AAGATGCCAAAATTATTGAGATGTGCAAAGGGTATTCCCCCAAGAGGGATGGAGAATAAGGTGCGAAGTACAAAGTCGCAGTGTTGTGGATGCTAGTTCCAGCTTATAACCGAAATGCGGGATGATGGTACCTCATTTGGCATTCGTACTGTACCAGGTCCTAAAGGTACGCATAACTACCCGTTTGGTACATTAGGGAGGGACAGAGGCAGATGAGTAATAAAGCGAAGGAGATTATTAGGGAAATATTGAGGTTTGGAGGAAAACCGGCTGGAATGGTGAAGCGAATTAATGCTGAATGCCCTGATGACTACATTGTCCCCAAACGGGTATACAACTACAAGAGTAGCTTACGATTGGACAGCTTCGAGGATAAAACTTTGGTGGAGTAGTTTTTTTACGTAGCTAAGGAACACGGGTATGTGATTTTTACAGATCATGATTCAGGTATGACCTCTGTCTCTTCTTCTCCGTCAAAGAATGATGGTGCAAAAAAAAAAAAATCCTGGAACAAGCGCGTTGGAAAAAGGCGGTCCTGGCATAAAACGTCATCGTCTTGGACGCTCGGGTGACAAAAAAAATTAAAAATCTGATTTATAAATTAACAAATGAATAATCATAATGACATAAATGTCCTCACTTAAGAAATCAATTTGACCAATCAAATATGTCAATTGAAAATTGCTCATGTCTTTTGTGTTGATGAACCAATCAAATTGTTCAAATTAAATCCAACCAATCACATTCAAGATTCTAAACTTATCAAAAGACATTTACTTATGTACAAATAGATTTTGAAATCGATTTTAAAAACATGTTTAAATGAAAAATATGTTTATGATGATTACCATTGATCACCACCTCTAGAGCTGGCAATCTTGACCCATGACTTAAGTTTTGACCCAACCCATCCATTACTTTGACTTACTTGGGTTGGGTCATACTAACTCATGGGTCAAATGATTCATGACTCAAATGACTCATTCCTAATTTCTGGGTTGGGTTGAGTGGGGTCAACAAAACAAATAAGTCATATGAGTAATTTGGCTGGGTTAGTTTGACCCAAAACTTTTTTTCCTCCAAACGTTTTCTGTTATCTCAGTTCGACGTTGTCACTTTCTCTCTTCTTGTCGAAATCAGAATTTGCCCATCGTTTCTCCACCGAGCTCCTCAGATCATCAGCCCATCGATCCGACTCCGGCGAGCTCCTCCGATGAATCCTCTCTCAAGTGGCTGTATTCCACCCTAAAGTCGATGAGATCTCTATTGATCCTTCCGTTGGCGCCGCAAAAAAGAAAGGGGTCAACTTCTTCGTCTTCACCCAGAAATTCTCGCCCACCTTCTCTTCCAATTGTTGATTCTTGAAGTTCAATACGCACTGAACTACAAAACTTTTGGGTTAATGCAAAAACCACTTCTAATTCCAATTTTTTTTTTTTTTTTTGGTATCCTACTATGAATTTCTAGTGAGGGTTTATGTGTATATCGTTTATAAAGGGCTTCCCGCTTTTGCTCTTTTCTATTTATATTTAGTGGGATATTTATTGGGTCGAATTGTGTTAGGTTGTAGTAAGGCTGTACATTTGTCTTCTTTTTTTTTTGGAAACGGGCTGTACATTTGTCAATTGCCCAAGTGTTGACAATTGCTTTAGAAGTTTTTTGAGCTAATCGCTTTCTATTTTTCTTTTTGCTTTGAGTTGGGGTGACAGTAGATTGCATATCCTGTGTTGTTATTAGAGAAATGAAGGAGGGGGGGTTAGCAAATCAGTTTTTACACAGACCAGGATACACACTGGACACTGGTTTTTACATAGACCAAACTGTTTTTCTGAAGCTACAATGAACTTTTTTTTCCTATTCGTAATCTCGAACTGTATCTGAAAAAACATTAAGATAGGTTCTGTTGTTGTGCTTTGTTGAAAGAGTTTAGTGGTTTATATTGTTACTTTCGGGTTGATTATAACGAAATGATGCAGAAATTTCTAATTATTTTTGGGATACTGTCTGAATTGTGGTTTGAATTCCGTTCATTTTGTTTGAATTCAAGCAGGAAAATCACAATATGAAGTTGAGGCTTAAATTTGCCGGATTGGAATAATTTCTTCCATATGTTCCTGCTGCTTTATTGTGAAATGAGTTAATACTTGTGGGCTTTTGTCCCATCCATTTTAGATTTGGAACACAGAAATATTTAATCTCAAGAATTGGCTTTTTGATGTTGTTTACAGCTAACTTGATAGTATTATTGTGTGTAATAGTATTTCCCGAGTGATGTTTCTTTTACAAATTTTTGTTTTTGGGACGTGTTAAGTTTCTTATTCCTGTTTTATTCTGTTTTTTTGGATTCCTCGATTGATGTTGTTGACAGGGTTTTGGTGAAAAACCTCACATTTGTCTCTGAAATTACTCATTTGTTATTTCTGTACTGACTTTTGTTTCTAGAAATCTGCCTGTTAGTAAAGCTCCTATTATTAATATATGTATGTAGTGTTTTTCTTCGCTGAAATTCGCATTTTTTGTTGGTGGGCTTGTTTTCTGAAAGTTGTAAGGTTGACAAGTTTATTGTTTTCATTTGATGCATGCCCTTGGTTTCATTTTTTATTTTTTTTTTGAGCTTAAGGAGTGGTACTGTTACTTTTTATAATACGAGTTTTGGAGTAAATCTTAGTTTTTTGTACACTATTATTTTCATCTGATTTGTGTTTTTGGTTATTCACGTAAGTTTATGTTGTTGTAGAAATTCTTCTTCATGTGCAATTTTTTTTTCTGTACACTATTGAATTGTGCCTTATACTCACAGTCTTCCAGTAAATTATGCCTCAGTTTCATTGATATAGTTTTTAAATATCAGATAGATGGTATCTGATACTCAGTTAAATGTTGTATGTGGAGTACCTTTTTCAATGATGGTGTTATTGCTTGTCCTCTTGCAGGTACCAATTGACTCTTATGTTATAGGAGCGCAACATTATGCTTTTCTTCAGCAGGTGGTTCTGCAACTTTCTTTTTGTTGTTAGGAAAGGGTGGAGTGGACTTCTGCAGTATCTCTTAGTAGGTTCCATTTCAGCTATTATAGACATCAGTTTATTGCTTTTGAAGTGTTGTAGTGGTAATCTTGAACTTCTGAGTTGATAGCTCTTTTTTCTTCTTAGACATCATTAGTTTTCTGTACCCTTGACAACAACCTAAGACATCATTCTCTGTCTCCCGTCATAGTCGATTTGTTTCCCCTGTACGTGACACTAAGTCGCTTTTCTCTGTGTTTCTATATCGGCTTTAAGATCAAAAGTTTTTACTTCAGTTTATTTTTTAATGCTCGGAAGAGTTTAAAGGGGGAAGCAAATGCCACGCCACAATGTCTCATTTATAGGAGAGGGGATAAGGCGAAAAATAGCTTCTTTTTGTTGATTACTTTAGTTTTGTCATTGATCTTGATCTTCTAAAATTGACGATGCAATCTTTGTGTAGGAGTCAGGAAAAGACTAAAAGCTATAAGGAGTGGATGTGAAAAGAGCATAAAATTTTTCTTGAATCTCTACTGTCTACAAGAAGATACTAGTCTTTACAGCTACTTTCATCTATTGAATGGATTTGCACTCCAGGTTTCATCTTGGATGATGTCATATCAGGCTTGCATGTTGCCTTTGTAAATTATATTGATACACCTATGTAATATTTTTACTTGTCTAGGTTAAGTATGCATTCACTTTTGATCGTACAAGTGGAAGATAATAACTTGCAATTCCATTTTCCTTTGGCTCATAAAAGTTACTGTTCTTTTTACGAAAAAATGTTTTTTCTTTGTTTATACTTTATAACATTACTTAGTGCTTAAACATGTTGACATTTTTATAGGATATCGACAATGCATACGTTTTTATAGAAATAAACTTTTTATGGAATTAAAAAAAAGTATATATATGTGAGATTTATTTATAAATTTATAAGAGAGCACAAAAAGAAATGAATGTAATTGATTTTAATTAAGAAATTAAAAGAAAAACTAGTTACAATATTTTTTGGGTGCAAAAAATAATCGAGATTTAATGGATTACATGGATCTATTAAAATAGGAGTCAATTTTAAAGAAAACTATAGGTTGAGTCAAATGACTCAATGACCCACATAGGTTGTTTAAAATTGTCAGGTTCCAGTGGCGGAATCGACAGAAATGGGGAATCTCCGGTGAATCGGAGGTGGTAGAAGGGCGGTTAGGGTTGGAAACTCAGAGAGGAATTGGGAACGTCACACACTTTTAATGAAATCAATTCAATACACTATTATTTCATAATGTCTTTTAGCCCCGGTTTGACTATTTATAGTACCGATGTTTACAATAATTCCAACTAGGTCCCTATACTAAAGAACTGGGACAATTAAGTCCGGTTCGTGACAAAAATGACTCATATATTGACTCAACTTATATTGACCCATATGAAAAATGAGTCAAGTTAGGTCATGAGTCATTTAAAACAAGTCTAAGTCAATTCAACTCATTTATATTATAGATCTTAAGCGAGTTGGGTCGGGTCATGAGGTAATTAATGCAACTCATCCCTTGACCCAACCCAAAACCCAAATGGGTGACACATTTGCCAGCCCACCTCGTACTGCTACAATAGCGGCGGCACCGGGGGATGGCCTAACATGCGCTTGGCCCAATCCAAGATCAAAAGTTTACAAAACCCAAAAACGGTTAACAGACTATTGCTGTTTAACTTTCCTACTTATTTCAACTAGAGTTTTTTTTTTTTTTTCTAAAATTGTTTTGAGTGTTAGTGTCACACGGTTAATTGATTAAAAAAAATGTCCGCGGCAAAAAGAGCCTTTCAAATATCAACAAGTGGTGATGTATTTTTATGATGCCACAAAGTGTCTTTATATTGTTATTATTATTGTGGAGCATGATGTAAACTATATCCTCTTGAGCATTCACAATAACTAAGACAAATGGAAATTGGATGGTGCCAGCGAAAAAAATACATCACCACTTATTTCAAAGAAAATTTTGTTCAATTGTTTAATCTTTTATTACCCATAAAAAGAAAAATTAGAGATTTTTAACAATGATATAATCATTTTTCTTTAATCTTTTTGTACAAACACTTAGCTAGACTAAGCTCCTATCAAACACCTCTCAACTCAAATATTCTGCGGGGTGCAAGAAATTAAGGACTTAAAAAACATAGATTAAAGAAAATCCAAAAAATAATTTCTTATTTCTTTACTTTCTCTCTCTCTCTCTCTCTCTCTCTCTCTCTCTCTCTCCCCCTTTTTCCTTTAGAAAAAAAAAAAAAGAATAATTTTGTTGGGAAAAAACTAGTCAATTATGTTGGATGAAGATCTGCTCCATCTTCTTCTCAAGTAATCTTCAACAGAAAGTGGGCTGCTTTGATCTTGGCTGCTAAATGATGCAGAATTGTCAAAAACATCACTCAAAGCAGTACTCAAATGGGATTCTGCAGCACCTGAATCAAAATATACTTCATCATCATCAACCTCAAAATTATCATTCTCATATTCTTCTTGCTTTTTTTCTCTACTTAATCCTTCACCCTGCTCCCATACTTTTTCTCCAGTCAAGATCTTTAATACCTGCATTGCAACCCCCAACATTCCCATCGTCAGAACTAAAACAAATCTTAAGGCATCATCATTCACTAGATATGCAAACTGTGACATTTTCTCGCTATCGGTTCATCAGAAATGATCATGGTACGGAATCAGGATTAGTATCCTTAGTCTAGCAACAGGGAATATACCCTCCTGCCTTATTTATAAAACAGAAGTAACATTCATTGGGCTAATACCTGGCTTATATCAGGACGTCGTCGAGCTGATTGTGTAAGGCACAGTTTCGCTGCACAAACCATTCTTTGTACTTGAACACCATCAACATCTTTACCAAGTTTTGGATCCAATATCCCATTCACATCTCCATTCTCCAACTTTGGTCTAGCCTGAAAGAAGAGTGAAAAGGCTGGCTAGTAAGCAATTACCATCTATTATGCAGAGAAACTACTCTACTGAATAAGTAGTGCAGGGGAAAAGAGTAAATTAATCATGGAAGATCGCTTTATACCCAAATGACTAGGCTTTCTTCTTGGCCTTTGGACTTCTCAAAACCAATGGCTCTTCTACCAGAAAGCAATTCCAGCAGAACTACGCCGTAAGAATATACGTCTACTTTGTGACTAACTTTGCCATACATAAAATACTCAGGTGCAAGATACCCAAAGGTTCCCACAACATCACTGTCCATAACGTAATATGAAGATGACTCTGTTGTTTTTGTTGGCCTTGGTCCCCATATTGACAGCCCAAAATCTGATAACTACATTCACAAATTGATTTCGTTTAGGTGTTATCGAAACTTTTGACAAATTATGCTTTTTGTGAAACAAGCAGAATCCTAAACAACAACTATTAGTAACACAAGTAAAAAACAAGCAAAAGGGGTGCAACATGGGATTCACTACCTGTGGCTCAAATTCATCATTGAGAAGAATATTTGAGGACTTAACATCTCTGTGGATGACTGTCCTTGGACACTCACTGTGTAGGTAATTTAAGCCTTCTGCAATCCCAATCGCTATGTTGTATCTTACTTCCCATCCCAATACAGAACTGTTATTATCATCCTTATTGCTATTGTTACCTGCAAAAAACGGCTTTCAGAAAAGCAACACCAATACATTTAAATGTACCAATAATGTTGATAATGATAAGAATGACCCTATATTATTCAGTGCCGAAGAGCTTGACGGAAAATTTCCAAAAAGTTCAATTATTATTACCATGTAAATTATCTTCCAAACTCCCTTTTGGGAGAAAATCATGGACAGAAATTAAGTGTTCATCAGCCAGGCATATCCCGAGCAGGCGAGTGATGTTCTTGTGCTTCAACGTCGTCATTATGTCGATTTCAAGGGTGAATTCCTTCCAAGCTTTTTTGGACGAATTCATGACCTTAATTGCTACTGCTTTTCCGTCTGCAAGAATTCCTTTGTACACGCTGTTACATCCTCCTTTGCCGATCAAATTATCTGCAACAATTAACATTTCCTCTCATTTAGTTTCTGCATAAGCAAGTGCAAATACTCCCTCCGTACCAAAATGATTTTCTATAGCCATAAACAGGAAAAAAAATTTTGAGGCAAAAGGGAATAGTATAGACTATATATAGAACATAGCAAATTTCATAACTACAGTTAAAAGAGGGCTAAAATACAAATGTCAAAGCACAAAACTGGCTTCAAAATATAAGGGTCTAAGAAAGGTCAATACTTGCTCGAACTAAAACTAACCAAACTCAACAAACCTGAACAAAATTGACTGGTCGAATTTCTCAGCGTCTCATAGCTGAACAACTTGCAGCCATTTGACTCTTCCACGACTTTAAGCAAATGCTCCAAATCACTTGAAACATCTGCACAGAACCTGAAATTCTGAGGGATTTCCAGCCTGGAACGGCTCGGCAAATTCATCACCCACTGAACCACGGACATCTTCCGTGCTTCCTTCGTCAACTGAGTCATTTCACCGGACGTTTGCAGCAGCGGCCAGCCGGGCTTCTGCTGCGTGAATTCCTCCACCGGAAGGGATATCCCGCTGAGTGTCCTCCTCCTTTGAAAAGGGCTACTCTCCAAACCTTCGTCTTTGGATGAATAACTGACCCTTCCTCCAAAATCTGATGATATTGAAACTGATAGCTCTGAGTCACCAAATTCTGAATGATAATCTTTACAGAAATTTGGGTCTTTTGGGCAATTCTGATAGATAATTTTCCCATTGTGAACAGCCATGACTTGAGTAGTTAAGGCCAGTCTCTTGGCACAGTACTTGGCAATTGAAACCTTTCCTGTGTATCTGGTGAAAAAGGGGACCAAATTAACACATGAAATTGAAAGTTTGAAGCAGACAAAAGAACTTGAATTTTGCAGATATGGACTTACCCCAGGGGACTGTTCTTGTTTATGCCGACAATTACAGCAGCAGCTGCTCTGTTTTTAGCCTCCCTGACCAGAAGTTTCCTGATTGAACTTCCTTTAACAATCTCCACAGCAATTCCAACCTGAAAATTCAAAATTGTACCCATTAGAGTTGGTGGTTTCTAAATGCTGATTTTAGCCAGCAAAACACAGAAGAAGGGCAAGAAAAAAAAAGATGCCCAGAAAAATCAGCAACTTTGACCAGAAAGAACCTGTTTTTGGTGACAGATGCCTCGATAATCATCAAGATAATCATCCATCAAGACTTTAGCTTTTGAAGAGGAATCTGAACCAGAGAAGGAAAATAAATAGATAAAATAAAATAAAAAAGCAAGAAAACAAATGGATTGACATCAATCAAAGACATGAGTCGACAAAACAGTAACATTTAGAATCATACATCATCGAAGCTTCGATGATTCATGTAAGTAGATAGATGGATGACTCGTGCTGATGGCATACATTCAAAAGTGCATCATTTGGAGAAACAAATAAATCTAAAATGAAAAAGAATAAGAAGAAGAATATTAGGCGTCAATTAATTACCTGAGTTTCTACAAACATGAAGGGCAACAACAGAATCGCCAGGATGAGCAACTTTGACAAGAGCCCAATCCAGAAGCTCTTTACCATGGCCATCAAATCCTACCCCAACCAGGACTATGTTATTGTGGTTCCTTTTCTCTTCACTCTCCAACAAAGTCATTATGATGAAATCGACCCTTTTGATTTACAAACTCAAAAGTCTCAAAAACCCCTTTGAATTTGCAGAGAATCAAATGTTAAAAAAAAAAAAAAAAAAAATTCACAAGAATTAATGCAGGAAATGATCATTCATTCATGGCTGCCTCCTCAAAAGTACGAACGTAATGGACCACTATTCCTTCCTTCCTTCCTTCCCTCCCTCTATAATTTTGAGTTTGAATACTGAACATAAAAGAGGACAAATATATTCTGGTTTTGTACAGTTCTTCCAATTTTTCAAGTATTTCCCCCCCAAATTCAGCTTATTTATTTCAGAGGATGACATTAATGATACCCCATTAAAGAGTAAAACAATTGCAAAATCCAAGTCTTACAGATACAAAGAAAATTCTTGACCCTAAAAAGAAAAAAAAATTAAAAACACTCTTCGGGTCCACTAAAACTTTTTTAAAAATATTTCTTTTGTGAGAGGTTTATGAAAAAGATGTCACATCTGCAATATCCACGTTTAATTTTTGCTAAAACTAAACATGATCCGACAACGAAAACTTACCTAATAATTCAAAAGGCTTTAATTTAAGTTTAACATTTATTGTTTTGAGAAAAATAAAATTAGTTGAAAGGGCCGCCAAAAGATCACCAGAGATGAACCTAATTGAATTATAAAAAATGCTTGGAAGTTGGTGCAATTGTGACATGGACTCTTACTAGTTTGATAGGCGATAGCTTTTTGGACTTTTTTTTCAAAAAAAAAAAAAATATATATATATATATATATATGATAAGAATTATTTTTTGAAATTAGTTAAAAGATTTGGAGAATCCGAAAGCTATGTGAAGATGATGTGGTCTTTGGAAACGTCGGCAAGAAAATAGATTCCGTCCGGCTCCCGCTATAAGAATATGGGACTTTATATATGAAGAGTGTAATTAATGTATGTTACTGGTTTCATTAATTAGTTCTAGGTGTTCGTGCACTGAATAGTTGGAGTCAATTGCCCACCAACAGGAATTAAAAAAAAAAAAACCCATTTAAAGGTTTTGATTAGTATGTATCACACCCTTTGAACTGTGCATTATATCGATTAGACCTCTAAACTACCAATTAGTCGAATTCCTCACCTACATTTCTACATGTTTTCTTTTCATGTGCAATTCATTTGAAGCGAATATTCAACTGAAGAATTGACATTATAGGCTTCTTCTGTGTCCCAATTAATTCCGAAAATAAGTAGAGCAATTTTCATTTCAAAACATACTCCCGCTTCATTTGAATTAATTTACGTCCGGAATGATAATCAACAAAACGAAATGATCATTTTGAGATGAAAAGTAGTTCAAAATGAGAAGAGCATAGATTTAACTTTGTACATCAAGATTTAACTTTGGTTAAATAAGCTCTATTTTATGGGAAAACTGATATAATGTAAAAGTTTAGGGATGAATTTTGGAATATTAACTAATAACTATATTATGTAATAATTATGGTAATTTCTGAAGAGTTAATTATAAAATGATGAGATTGTTGATAAAATCTGCAACAATTAGCGGGGGGAGGGGAACCCATGGTATCCGGTGGAACACCAACCGCCGACAAAATAGAGTCAAACACACAGATAATGCTACCACCTGCTCTTGCGGGTAAACGGTTGCTGCAACTGCACTCTAGTGATTCACCATTCCCAAAACCCTAATTTCATTTTTGTACTTTTATGTCAGACTTCACTCGATCTCAAAAACTAGTGTGTGGATAATTGGATTTTGTTACTCCCTCCTCCGTCCCACAAAAATAATTCCCATTGAGTTTTGAATTTTGTATTATTTATAGTATAAATTTAAAAATTTAATATAGATTATTTTTTTTGGGACGAATGTAGTAATTGTTAATTTTTAGTTTCAAATTATACTTCGATCTCAACAAATTTCACCAATTTGGAGGTAGTTTTTTTTTTTCCTTCTTAAAATGATAAGAACTGTATTGCCATCATCCCACGGTCTCAATTGAACTGGCCAAATAAAATTGTATAGCACACTCTTATTTTAGGAACAGATTAATTTATTTTTCTTACCTCCGCAATGTTTACAAAATTTTAGTGACATATGTAGTTTTACAGTCATGAAATTGCAATTCCATGTGAAACTTTTAGTATCTGATTTGGAAAAGGATAGAATAAAAAAGCAATAATAAATTGAAAAATGTCAATGGCAAGAAAAATATTAATTAAAAGAAAAAACGTATAAGAGGATGAGATGAGATAACCAATTAATGTTCGTTCAAGACGTAATGCATGAGACACGGAAGAAAGAAATCAAGAGTCCACGGCCTGAATTACGTTTTCTGTTTCTGACCGAAAATACTACAAATAACAAAAGGTCAATTCCATCAGTAAGATTAACCCAATATTTTTTTACAATCTATGGTAACTATTTAAGAAACCAGTCAGATTTGTTAAAGCAACTCAATGAAAAAAAATAGTGCAGGTCACTATCGAGGCAGTTAATATTATGTCACATTGCCACTGACTCTCTCTGCTGTTAAAAGTTCGAAAAAGGCGTATTTCGATAAGATCATCAATGATGCAATTCCTGCATACGAATTAGTTAGTGTTTGTTTAGACAACGTTTTATTTTAGTTTTTTAAAAAGTAGTTTAGATTTTTATTTAGAAAGTATTATAGTATAGTGATCATTTATGAAATTAAAATAGTTCAGTGACTAAAATGAAGATTTTATAATAGTATAACGACCAAATACAGGACTTTACAATAGCTCAGTGACCAAACACAACACTTTACAATGTTTAGTAATCAGACGCAATGAAGATTTTACAATAGTTCAGTGATCAAAACGAAGACTTTATAATAGTGTAATGACCAAACACAACACTTTAAAAGGTAAATTAAAAAGTTATTTGGATGATTTTTTTTTATTGGATTTTGTGTTTAAGAGGTAAAATGAGTGAAATTAGAAAATGAGTTATTGGACAAACAAACACTTATTTTGTCAGGGTTAATATATAAAAAAAAATCCTGAGTTTCAATTAATATTCTAAAACACCATTATTATTTAAAGGAATATCAAAAGTATCCCTTAACATATCAGTAAATTATCAAAAAGTTCTTTTTCACGGCTGAAATTGATATATGCATATGAAGTTAGCCAAAAAAAAGCTAAGAAGATATTTTTCACTCCCAAGAAACCTATAAAAGCAAATATCTATTTAAGTCGTAATTAACCGTGATATAGATATTTATTTAAATAATAAGAATGTTTTAAAAAAATCAAGTAAACCTCACATATGTTTTTGATATTAACCATTTTATAAGACGTGGAAGTGTTGCTACAAAGTACTTGTTTTGATATCAATTTACATTTCATTTTGCTATTTAAAAGTGGAAAGTGTTTCAAATTGAAAACTAAATAGGTAATAAAAATGTTGTTTGGATGTTGGTTTTGAAAAAAAAAGTATTTTGAACTACATTTTGAAATATCAAGTACAAGTGGTCACTAAACAATTAAATACTGTCAATTATAGTCACTGCAAAAAAAGAATTTTTCCAAAAACAATCACTCAACAACGGAATCCTGCCAAATTTGTCACTAAACTATTTGTAGTTCTAAAATGGTCACTACACTAACAAAAAGTATTTCAAGTTAGAATTTAAAATGTAAATCAGATTGTTGTTCGGATGATATTTTCTTTTCCATTGGGTTTTGTGTTTTAGAGATAAAATGCAAAATGGAAGATTGTCCAAATAAAGCCTTTCCCCCTTGAATTTTTTTCGGCTGTGTTCGACACGTCATTGTTACTACTCTCTTTCCACATACTTAACCATTTTTTATTTTAACATTATCTAAGTAATAAAAGTTTCTTTGAAAATGAATTTTTAGATCATAAATTCGTTTGTTGCAAAAAGAAAATTACCACAGATATTTTGTGAGAGGAACTCTATGTTTGCGCATTATGTTATAGACTTATAGACTCAAGTTTGTTCGTTATAAATTAAATTAAAACTTGATATAGTTTAATCAAACTTCCAGGCTAACATAAATAGAATTTTTATAATGTTTTCTACAAGTGGTGATTCATTTGTTACGTAGGAGATAGATGCAAATATAGAATACCAGATTAGCTTTTACGTGCGTCTAATTACAATTAGCCACCATGCACGCGTGCATGATTTCTACACGAAAGACGAAAAATCAATTTCAATCTTACGCACTTAAACCTACTGCATCCGCACCTCTGGAATTCTCAGTACAATTTTCCCTTCTTTTTTTTCTTTTTTTTTTTTTTACATTTATTTGGCTTTTCAATATGTACACACGAACTCATTTGCATACAATTTAATATAAATTGTAATGACCATGGTAGTTAATTTGGATGGCTAGGAGTGTCCTATGGAAAGTTTGAATCTCTAAGTTCTAATATCTGCAGGTCGTCGTTAGCTAGACTCTAATTTGTATATTCCCTTAATATAAGACATTTTAATTTGTTTTAAGTTTTACCTAATAGGAGTATATTTTTTCAATTGAAAAAAAAAAACACTTTTAAAAATACTTTTTAATAATTAGGAGAACACTATGAATATGAAAATGTAGTGTTAAAGTTTTTTTCTTAATTAAAAAATATATTAGATAAAACTTAAAACAAATCAAAATGTCTTATAATAAGTATCGAAAGAAATATTGCCAAAGATAATAGGTGAAGGGAGTCAGTGCCAGAAACAGTGGGGCAATCGCCCCCACCCCTTCAAGTTTGCAAAAGGAAATTATTAAATTTTAGCTATAAATTTGATAAATTATTTATTTTTGCCCCTGCTAAATTCATTTTACAAAGTATGGCCTCCATTTTGCTGAATTCCTAGCTCCGCCGCTGAAGGGAGTCGCAAATTTGTATTGCTCAATATATATAGGTGCGGGTTTGAATATTAGAGTGTCATAAAACATCATTATCTGTTTTCTAAGAAAGTAATATATGTTGTGTATTAACCACAAATTCCCAACCACAATTTGTATGCCTTGATATATAGTTAGCTATTTAACAATTGACATACTAACGAAATTAAACTAAAAGTTGAGAAATGGAAAAGGAAAAGAAGTTTTGATCTTTCAAGGCGAGGGTGTAGCAACGAGAGGTGGTGGAAATAGGAAAGGACGAAGATTTTGAAGGAAAAACCAGGGGGGAAAAGTACAAATAAACAAAAAATTATTCCATACAACAAATGTATTATTCTTTTTATTACAACAACACACCCATTATATTGAAAAATATTATGGTCCTCTAATTTTGTAGTAATTTCAGTAAAATTACAATCTTACCCTATTTATGTGTCTGACTGTACAATCCTACGTGATACAGCAGTTGTGTGTAAGATTTTTTCCAAATAAAAAAAATGAGGAAAACATTTGGAGAGATAATCAAACCGACAATTCAAAGTAAACCAAGTGTACACGTGGTATAACCCTTGTCCACTCGAAATCCCATTCACAAACTGAAAACAGTATAGTCAGAATCTACATATCTGCACGCATCAGCTTGATCTATTTACCATGGCCTAATCTTACTTTTTAATTTAGACGATAACATTTTGCCTTATACTGCCATGGTTTTCGGGTATTTAGTTATTCATTTATTTTTTCCCATTAGTACATGAGGCACCATTTAGAACGTAATTTTTCAGTATGTGTGCGTGTGTGTGTGTGTGTTTTTTTTTTCCTTTTCCTGTTAAAGAGATAATAAGTCAAATAGAACCTAAACTAATTCGTGAATGATACATGTTTCACATGAACTAACTAATCTCATTAAAATGAAAGTCTTTCCACAACTATTTCATAGTGAAGTTCGTGCTCAATCGGAAGGTTAAAAATACAACGTTCCTGACAGCATTGATTATTGAGAAGAAGTTAGAATAGGACGTCTAAACCGATCGATTTGATTGAATGTGTAATACTCTTTCCTTCCGTCTCACAAAAATAGTCTATTGAATGTGTAGTACTCCCTCTTTCCGTCCCACAAAAATAATTCATATGGAGTTTTGAAATATGGATTATTTTTGTGCGACGGAAGTAATAATAGATATATAGAGAAAGAATCCCGAGGGGGTGTTGATGTATTTATGATTTTCTTCTGTCTGATTCGATTTGATGGATGGATTGTTAGAGAGTGATGGGGTACACACTACACAGTAGGTTTTGGTTGGTGGTAGCCGGTGTGGGCTACTACTACTATAACGAGCAGTACTGGGACTCAACTGGTTTGTGAAGTTTTAAGTTTGGATACGACAAATGCATTTATGTCGTCACCGACACAAACAAGAAGAGAGCAAAAGGAATTTCAAATATTTGTTGCAGCTATTAATTGTGTTACTTATTACTATTAGTACGAAATGAAAGGCCCCCCTCCGGGACGCACCATTTGATTTGATCATCAGCTCCCGGTTAAGGATTTTGTTCGAGTCTTCATCAACATTGCATGCCGAATTGCCCATCCATTTAGTTTTGATTATGTTTGGAATGTTTTTTTTTTAATTTTTAGATTATAAATGTAAACAAAATATGCTGTAACGTAAAATATTCGTTCATGTTATTCAGCCAAGAGCGGCTTCCGTACATTTTTGCCAAAACTCAATTTGAATTCTAATTATATCATATTGACTGTGCTGTTCTTATTATTCCCACCAAAGGAGTAGTATTTCCATCTAATAACGACTTTAGTAATTGTGGAATAATTTAGCCGTATTTAGGGATCATGAGATAGCCTGCGTGGCTGCCTTAACCTTATTCATAGTTCTATTAAGTATTGAATCATTGAGCCATTTTCAGGGTCTATCAATAAAATTGAAAACAACCTTAGCCTCGTTCACAATGCTAATCAATAATACAGAAATACCCTTATTCCTATGTGATTCATCCTCGTCCTTAAACTCAGAAATGCTTCCTCCGTGCAATTTAGTAATAATAATTTAATTTATTGTACTGTTTTAACTTAACTAACTAAGTGCCATTTTCAAAAAAAACTAAGTGAAATATCAAAAATACCCTAACCCTAATTAATTGGTGATAAAGTATTTGGTTGGATAGTTTGGTCTTTTGGAAAAAAAAAATACTACTACCTCCATCCCGAAAAAAATAGTCCACATTGAATTTTCAGATTTGTACTATTTTTAGTACATATTTCAAAACTTGAAGTGAACTATTTTTTTTAGGACAGGTGACATAGTTTTTTTACCTCACTCATGTCGCTGTAATAGTGTTGGACACCGGTTATACCAAAAAAAAAAAAAAAGAAAAGAAGAAAAACAGGTTGCACAGCTAGCCCAGTAAAGGAAGCATTGGGCTAGAGTTAGACAATGGCCCATCACCCAATATCATCTAAAAATTCGGAAATAATTCGAAACTCCCGCCAGAGAACAATTCCTGGCGCCTTCTCTCCATCTCAATCTAACTTTATAGAGCCAAAAATAATATGGGCAAAATATGATTCCGCCGATATACTGATTCCATCCAAAGATGGTGCCCAAATCAAATGACGGGGACGATTTGGATCTCCTCCTCTCTCTTCAAGATAGAGTTCCCGAAACCCCTCCTGGTTCTCCTTTCCCAGGTACGATTGATTGCTTCACTTGTTTATTTTAAGAGATCGATTTTCTGGATGAGTATTCCGAATATGTAAATAGGTTTTTGATTGTATTTTTATGGTCTCTCGGTGATCTTTATGTATGAACTTGGGCGTCGGTTGCTTGGATCGTTTTTTGTGATTGTATTTGTGTCAAAACCCCGAAATGGGTTAATTGAATTTATGATGGGTTTTTCGATTTTATTCTCCGGGCTCTTGTTAAGTATTGGAGTACATGGGCAGGATATCTGTCGGACGAGGATGATGTATTGCCGAGATCAAGGAAGCAGGGACGGAGTGGGGGTGACATGTCTGTTTTCCGGGATGCTGTTAAAGATTGTTTTGATTATGATGTTGAAGCTTCAAATTCAGCGATCAAATCCACGACTAAGTCTAAAAAGGGCTCAAGTGATGATACCACTGTTGTCGAGAAATTTTCCGGTTTGAGGATTCTGTAAGTGTTCATGAGTCGTTTGAGAAAATGCGCCTTCAGATATCTTTCAAGAAAACTTGCTATTTTATCTTTTCATTATTTTCCGTCTTGAACTGTATTCTGGGATTTTAATTTTGTAAAACTTTAGTGTTTTTGGCATGCAAATGGGTCGTTAGTCTAAGTTACATGTAACAAATGGTGAGAAATGTAATGAGAGATATCAGAAAGTAAAGTTCAAATTCCCTTCCACGATGAATAGTATTTGTTAGTGTTCTCTTTTATGGTTAAATTGTGAGGGGCTGGATGGAGTTGCAGACGTCAACATATGGTTTCTTCGGCCACTGACAACAGGATATTGTAAGGGAAACCTGAAGCTTTGTACTCTCTGCATCAACGGCATGGTTAATTCACATGTAAAGAATGATTGTCTGTGCATATTGATTGTTGGAGCTTATTTGGAGGGAACTTTCTTTCTAATCAATGGAATAATTATTTTCTCAACATGCCTTGTCTATGCCTGATCATTCAATTTCACGTTTGTTCTTCAGGAATCAAGTGGTCTCGCCTACTGAATTGAGCAATCGCATTTCAGACATTCGATTTGTTCGTTTACCAGCCATTAAGTATGTTAAAAATGTCAATTAAACCCGTGGTTTGAAAGATCTAGCCATCTTCATGTCATCATTAAAGGAAAACTTGTGTTTTGGTTATAGGAATTTGCTCCAAGGCGACACCTTTTCCGGGTGTTGGGTGACTATTGGAGTGTTGACCGAGAAAGGGGATCAAAGGACTAGTTCTACAGGAAAGCCTTACACGATATGGAAAATGGGCTGTTTGGATGGAAAGACTACATCTGTCTTCTTGTTTGGTGATGCCTATAAGCGAAACTGCAATGAGAAGGATGGAACCATCTTTGCCCTTTTTAGTTGTGGTGTTCGCAAGGATAACTCGGTACTATTTGTTATGCGTGTGGTCCATTGGGATTTCCATGAAGAACTCATTTTGATTGTCATTTCCATTCTGCTTTTGTTTCAGGAAAATGGATTCTCTTTGAGTGTTTATTCTGCTGGTAACATCTTAAAGATTGGGACTTCCGCAGATTATGGAGTGTGCAAGGGGAAAAGGAAAGATGGGATTGCCTGCACAATAGTAATTAATAAGTATGTGATAATGCTGTGTGATGTACACAAATGAAAATTTCTAAAATTTGAATTGTCTGTCAACTTTTCTATGAGATTAAATCTGGTTCTTTTAGATGACAAGTTTGACACAAAGCTCTGTAAATGTATGTTGTCAGTAACGAATGCCTACTTGTTTTGTAAATAAAAAGAACTTGCAGCCTCTTTTTGTGATTCAGTCTTTTATTGTGACATATAGATAAGGAAAGAATCTACAATCTGCATCTTCATTATTCTTGTTTTTCATCTTCCACACCTATTATAACTTCTGCCTTAGTACTGTGACCTGTCTAGATTTTTCTCTTATATTCTGTCTCTTTCACTTGATCACTGTTGTCATAATGATGTGCAGGCGTCGAGGGATATATTGCAGTTACCATAAACAGGTAGAGTTAATTTGAAGTGCTCAATTAAATTATGTTGATTGAGTCGCACCTCCCGACTGCTTTCTACTCACCTCTGTTATTTCTTTCAGAAAACATCCGAGAAATATTCTGCTGTCAAAAGGACAGAGCTCTTTGGAGGGTGGGTCATGATTACTTGATTAGAAAGTTCTCCATTTTCCCGTAATAGGGGTACTTGTTATTTTCTTCATTTATAACGGTCACACTATTCTTTTTCGATCTCAGGAATTTACAAACAGCCTTCATGGACCCTCTGAAGTCAGAAAAAATATACATGGTCGACCCATCAATTTCTGAACAAAGAAATTCAGCAAATTCTTCAGCGCCACTGAAGTTGTTATCTGTTGATGCACTGAAAAAAGCCTTAAGGTTTGTTGATCAATATTTTATTTCTTTTCCTAGTAGTTTGGCCCTGAATTCTAAGGAGGCATTTATAAGTTTTGTTGGCCTGTTGTACCCTATATTTCAGTACTTCATGGAAGTTGTTTCCTTTTGTTTGAAATGAATGACTAATATTGAGAACTAATTTTGCATGTTACTGCTCATTGCTGTTTCTTGTTTATTCCCTGAATGATATTGACTCTAGAACGTTATAATTGCAATTTGTGCAGCCAGGCAGGCAAAGTGACCACTAATGTTTACTCCCAAGGAATCCGGTTTCTCACTGAAGTTGCAGGTTGGATGTAGAAGATCTGTCTTATTGTGAAGAAGTGTCCTTTACAATATCAATCTCTTGGGTTCTTTTCTTTCTTTCTTTTTCCTTTTTAACATTTCCGTTTATCTTTACTGCAGGGAAACCAGATCCAAAACAACAATCAAATAATATGAAAAAAAGGTGCATAAGAAAATTGGATTAAAGCTTCTCAATTTTTCTGCTTATGTGGTTTCCATTCTAATAAGAGTTCCCAATCATTTTATTCAGGGTATCAACATCAACAAGAAAGGAATTTGAGCGAGAGAAATCGTGCAAAGAACCAGATGCGAAGAGGATAAAAGTGAAGGGGCAGGCTGCTGCAGGAGAGAAGGTTAACACTGTTGGTGAAAAGATGATTGAACTGGAATTTATTAGCTCAGATGAGGAATTATGAGTCCTCCCAAGCAATTGAAATGCATGAACTTTCTTTCAATCAATCTGCGAATAACCCTGTCAGAAATATGTTCATAAACCTTGGTTCAATCAAGTCAAGGTGGTTAACAGAAAGCTTTTGTGACATAAGTTCATTAGTTCACACCACCCATTGTATTTGTAACATAATTAATTAGAATGCTCTAGATCTAGTCATTCAGTTGAATTGTTCTAGGTTAGTTATGCTTCATTTCTCTTTTTGGATTTTTCTTGTTGAGGAATTTTACAAAAAATCTGTATAGATTTCTGCTGTGTTTTCTCACATTCTCAGTTAGTAGTTCCACCTAAAACATACTGCACTATGGTGTTTTGCTGTGATTGTCGTCTTTTTTAAGACCATTTTCAGGATGCTTACATGTTGCATGTTGGATTTGAAGCACAAGCCTGGAAGGTATGCAACTTTAACCTTAAAGATGGGTTCATTATGGTATTTAGTTAAGTTGATTACATAGTCGAGGCAAGGGCTTGTTTGGTTTATGTTTCTATAGCGTGTTTTGGTTGAATTTTCAATGCAACTCTTATGTATTTACGACACATTTGTATATTTCCCTGATTGAAATTGGAATCAAGACACGAGGACAGTACAAAGACACCTTAAGTTTAGAGAACTGAGTATGAATCAGATATTTGGGTGCCGGAGGTTTTAGGTTCTTTTTGTCCCATGTGTTTCTAGTGCTATGATTTTCTTTCTTCCACTTATTACTGTACTCGGCCTTTTTATTCCGGCAGTAGTTGGGTGCCTGAGTGCTGGAATCTGAGGTAGTTGTGCTCTTGGCCACATTCTGAGATGGATTTAGCATATTCTTAAATGGTCTGTTTTGATTTGCTGGTAGCATTAGAAGTGGAAGAAAATAACTCAAAAATTCCTAGGAAAGAAAAAGCAGACACAAAAATATTCTGTGAATCAAAGGAAAAGTTTTGGGAGAAGAGAGTTGGATGAAAAGTTGGTAATCCAATCTCCGATGATTATGCATGCATGCATGCACGCACACAACCAGGCACATGGAGTTGTTAACAAGTCAATTTCCATGTGCATAACATAGAAGATTTTGGTTAGTTTTATACCATAATCCTTTCTTTAAGTTGTTGTACCAGGAATATATAGGAGATGATCCAATGGGCACATGTGTCTCGGTGGTCCAAATTGATTTAGGGTACATCGATTGATCGATGATCTTTACCGTCAATTTTACATTAGGAAAAAAAAAAAGAAAAGAAAGAATAAACTTCTTATCATGCAACCTACTACTAAAGTTGGGCTAATAAGTAACCGGAAGGTGAACCAAAAACATCTTTCCAACAAGTGTTTTCAGTACATCAAAATGCCCTCTCATTGGCAATGATTAAAAATGCTGGGTGTTTAACTACTTTAATTTACTACTACTATTTGATTTGTTTTAGGGTTTCTTGCCTTATACTACTGTCCAAATGATTGGGTCTAATTAGGCTCTTAGTACCAACCCATCCATTATTTCTTCATTTCCAACTCAAACTAAGAAATAAAGAGGAGGTTGCACTGAATTATGCACGCCTGATGATGATCTAATCCACCTAATTCTTTGAGAGGCACTTGTTTTATTTTATTTTATTATAATTTAATACCAATGCTCTAAAGTTTTGACTTTTGAAATTTTATTATTCTAAAACTCGTAAATTTTACCGATGGTAAAAATCAAACTTCCAATGACATAAGTGATGGTGAAATTTGGTAGTCTAATACTTCTTCTATTCCAAAATAAGTGTCATCCTATACTTTACAAATAATTTAAGAAACTCTTAAATAGGATAATAAAATTACTTGTATATCTTTAACTAACCTCGTTAAAAAAAATGTTCACCAATAGTATTAAATCTTTTGAGGGTAATTTTAGAAACTTTAGACAAAAAGTGTATTGAAATGTGAGAACGACAATTATTTTAAAATTTCTCTATTTTACTAAAACGAACTTATTTTGGAACGGAGAGAGTATTATATAGCTGAAGCTATAAATGATACCATCTCACATTTTTTGTCTTTTCCAAGCAGGAATCGATACTAATGTTCCAGATAAATAGTCTAATTTTAAAATATATATATTAAAATTAGACTTATGAGATTGGTATAACTTAAAATTGATAAATAATCATAAAACTTTATTCAATTTTTCATATTAATTTTTTAATTTGTTAGATTAAATCATCGAATTTTTTATATTTTAGTTTTTTAAATTGGAATATTTTCTCGGACGGAGGTAGTATAAGATACTATTAAAGAATGTGTTATTGGTGTAATTTTCTATCTGTATCATGTTTTGTCCGTTTGTATATTCAATCCGATCATCACGAAATTCCGTTATTCTCTTCATAATTTGGTCAAAATTATATAAAACGTTGTAATTAGGTCCCACCTTAAAAATTCTCATGACATTTGGAATCTTCGGAACGGGAGAACGAAGAAAAATGGGTGGAGTTGTTAAGGTTAACGTTGGGGGGGAACATAACGGAAAAAAAAAAAAAGGATGGTTAGGCTTGTAATTTAATTGAAGTTGGTAAATGCTTGAAGCTGACGTCCAAACCAAAATTTGCCAGTGATAATGATGATCAACATTGATAATGACATGAGGAAATGATTTGATTAGCTGACTAATAATAATAACAATAATAATGCATCATAATATCAAAATCCTTCCTTTTTAATGGAAACTACTATTTCCATCCAAATGTATCTATTTTCTGAAAAGAGTGTCTGGTTCTAGCCCGGAAGAGATGAAAACAACACAGTTGTTGATGTGCAATCCTTGAGAAATATAGAAGGCAAATAAAGAAAGCTGAAAAATACATGCTTGGTTTGGACATTATTGGTAATTTAGAGAGAAAAAGATAAAAAGGAAATGGAAAAGGCTAGCTACCAAATGAAACCCTCAAAATTGAAATTTCTCACATTATCAGTTAGAGTAATGATACATATACTGAAAAATTATAGTGAATTTGGATAATGACAAATGAAAAGACAAATACACCACACACTTGCTAAAAATGTTTAGTTATTAATCAAGGGTAAAAATATAATTTCGAGAAAAAAATAAAACTTCAACGGGAAAGTAACAAATAAACTAGGGACTATGATTTTTCCACATCAGTCACTATGTTTTGTCACTATTTTTATTCACTATATATATCATTTTCGTATCAGATATATCTTCTTCTTCTTCTTTATATTTCTTTTTTTTTTAACCTTAAAATACAAATGTAAAGCTACAATTTTTCACGTTGGGAACACCCTTATATATTTATTATGATATTATGATGGAGATAAATGAAATGAAAGCAACAAGTGCTCCATCCAATTGGAGAAGCCATGTGGGAAAATCCCTATCTATTCCTCACTTATGGAAAATGATTTATGCCATCCTCCTTTTCTTAACAATTAACATAGACACCCACTTCTTCTATATATATATATATATATATATATATATATATATATATATATATATAAAAACATAGACACCCACTACCTCAATTTTGGAAACAAACAGAGACCGCTATTACTCTGTGTATTAAAGTAGTACAATACTACTACTACTATAATAGTAGTAATATTGTATTTTTGATTCTTTTCTATATCCCAAACTCCACCCAACACCCATTAGAATAATAGAAAACACATAAATAAGATTTCGAAATACTCAGATTATAAAAAAGATCAGACAGGTCAGATAACAAACTATTACAATAAAGAAGTCGCTATACTAAAATACGTAAAGAAAGGAAATAGTGGGATTTATTTAGTATTAGAACTAAAATATGTAGGTATTTTAAATAAAAATACGTGTAGGTATTTATTTATTTATTTTTTTTTCCCGATTTTTGGCTCGAGAAAGTGAGAGTAGTTGTAATGGAAATGTAAAAAAAAAAAAAAAACCTAAAAATACGTGTAGAAAATGGATAGGGGAAAAAGGGGGGTGGGGCTCAAAACGGCCAATTATAGCTGTCTTCAAGCTGTCCTTTCCTTTTCCTCTTGTTTTCTTTTCTTTTTGAGTCCTCCTCTCCTCTGTCTTCTTCAAGTTCAAGGAGCTCTCTTCTCATTTCCCCTTCCTTCCTGCTTACTTAACTCCAACTCCAAAGGTTCGTTTGTCACCTTCTTTTTTTCCCATTATTTAATTAATTACATCATTAAAATCTTTTCATTTTCTTCTTCTTCTTTGAGTCATTTCCATCCAACATTTACTTACTGCATAAATAAAACGTGACTCGGTTCAGTTGGATTAGGTGCTTTGTTGTTTTCGCCCCCCCTCCCCTCCCCTCTCCTTCTTCTGCTTTTTTCCTGAATAAGGGTTTTGTTTAATCTTGCAAGTTAGGGTTCGTTCCGCCATTTTAAAGATTTCCTCTTTTTCTGTGCTCTGCTTTTTTGCTTATCTTCTATTTATATAGTACTGTACTGCTTCAAGAATTGGGTGAGAGTGGTGAAAAGCCCAGAAGAAAGTTTTGTTTGCTTTTTTTTTTTTTTGAGAAGAATCGGGTTTCCCCGCCGGAGGGTACATAGTCTGGGGTTTCGGCGCCGGCGGCGAGATGAGTGCGTCTCGGTTCATCAAGTGTGTCACCGTGGGTGACGGAGCTGTGGGTAAAACTTGCTTGCTCATCTCCTACACAAGCAACACCTTTCCCACTGTGAGTACATTGTCTCCTCTCAATTAAAGTTAGGATCTCTTATTGTTCATATGAAAGGTTTCTTGATGCCATATTTGGTCAGCTTTTTTTTGAGCTTTCTTGCACAAAAATCTTGAAATTAATTGGGTTCCTGGAGAATTGGAACTTTGGTAGGGGGAGGAGTATGAGCTGGGTTGTCTTAAAGGGAAAGTGCGGTTTCGATTTTGATTAATTAACCCAATTTCCAAATTTGTCTTCTGCATACTTTACACTGGTTTATGATTTATTAAGTTTAAAAAGTGATCAAGAAAGGATAAAGCAGTTAGCAGCCAATGTATGAAAAACCACTAGTGTGATTCTAACGCTAGAGACGAGCAAACTGACAGAAGGTGTTATATAGAGGAAGGAACTATTGGTCGTTAGAAACTCTTGTCACCTGTTTGGCCCTTTTTTCGGAACCTTTAGATTTTTTTCTTGATCCTGCCTGGCGCAGTTATATTGAACGATCTGTCGATGAATTCTTGAATGGGAGCTCCATATGACTTGCCAACTAATTGTTTGCCGGGGTTGTGTTGGTCCCTCTATATGGTAGCCATCATTTTCTTTCTTTCGAAGTAGTTATTTACATTGGTTCTTTACGGACATATGCAGGGTTGTAAAGGAATAGAAATCAAAATTTCATTCGTATCGTCTTGGTTACAGATATTTGTTACTTACCTTTTACTAATTAGTGTAAAACACATAATCTGTTTAGCTTGCATATTTTCTTAATTCTCTTTCCTAATTAAAACCACACATATGGCACGCTGAGCAGGATTATGTGCCCACTGTCTTTGACAATTTTAGTGCAAACGTGGTCGTGGATGGGAGCACTGTCAATCTAGGATTGTGGGATACTGCGGGTAAGCTAATAATTTGTTTCAGATGTTTTATCCTTAAAAATTTAGTAGCTTCTATATGATTTTGAATCATTTGCTTTAAACATACAGGGCAGGAAGATTACAACAGGTTAAGACCTTTGAGCTATCGTGGGGCAGATGTCTTCATTCTTGCATTTTCTCTTGTTAGTAAGGCCAGTTACGAGAATGTCTCAAAAAAGGTGAGTTCCCTTGTACTATTCTGGACTCTTTGATCTGTTATGCCCCGTACTCTTGCATGAAATCCTTTTTCATATGCAGCTGGTTCAGTTTCTTAGGGTTTAGGAAGGATCTTAGAACTATGTCCTTTACCAAAGACATAATAGCGGAGTGTATAATTAAGTACATAGTAGCTCTTTGTTGTTGTCTGAAAAATGTTTTCATTTTACTCTTAAAGTTGTGATAATCCATTATTTCTGTGAAGTTTAATGGCATATTCTTGTTAAGAGAATTCAAAATGAATACATTGTTAATAGGAATTGTGCACCAAAAATAGAGGCTGCTATCGGAAGTTGAACATTTTAAACTTTAGACAGTCTATAATTTATGGTAATATTGTATCTGATGAATTCCATTTTGTTTTGCTTTTCTCCCGATTCAATTTTCAGTGGATTCCTGAATTGAGGCATTATGCTCCCGGTGTTCCAATAATTCTTGTTGGAACAAAACTTGGTATGAATTTCTTTTCCATGCTTCACTTTTACACTTACTATTTGGCCCTGCTTTTCTGCCCTGGTTTATGTGTTATATAATGGCTTTGGCTTATTTGACGCTGCGGGGACTTGTGCCTGAATAAGAGTAGATGAGGATAATTTATTTTGGGCACACCAGGAATTCAGGAACTTTAACTGCAAATAAAGTCATAGAACCTCTAATTTTGAAACCTGGGAAAGGGAAACTACAGAGCTTTGTTTTACCGAACTCCAAATGTCTGTTTGGAGTGCCTTTCGTGCACAACTGCTGCTTTCCACTGCTTGAACTGTTGATGTAAAGATTCAACCAGTCCTTAGCTTTCTTGCTAGATATAGTTATAATTTTTCTTGGAATAAGCTCTAAAAGTGAATTTCATCTTTCTTGCTGCGATTAACATTTGACCCTCACACTTTTTACTCGAACAGAATAGTCCTATGTTGGCTTTCTTCCTTGTGTTTGAGGTACTCAAACAACCTGCTTTCCATGCTTTGGCAGATCTCCGAGATGATAAGCAGTTTTTTGTGGATCATCCTGGAGCAGTGCCCATCACCACTGCTCAGGTATACTCTACGTCAACTGTTCAATATTTATTTTGTTTTTCTAAACCCATAGATTTTACACATCACAATCTTTGAGGACATTGTTGCAATGCATTCCACGTACTCGAAATAAATTGGAAAAATGAGACCCTGTAGATAATAGTGAGATCACTGAGATGCAAAATTTACCTGATGAAAGTTCGTTCTTGCGCTTTTTGAAGGGAGAAGAGCTGCGAAAGATGATCGGAGCTGCTTCCTACATTGAGTGCAGCGCCAAAACACAGCAGGTGCAGATTAGGTTTTCATTTCGTATTACAATTTTGTCTTTGTGAAATCTATTTTCAGGACTAAACTGACATTTCCCTGTGGTCGTGGGTGTGTTTATTATCAGAACGTGAAAGCTGTATTTGATGCAGCCATTAAGGTTGTTCTCCAACCACCTAAGCCAAAGAAGAAAAAGAAGAGAAAGGGTCAGAGAGGTTGCAGTATATTGTAACTGAAGAAACATGGAGCGGAGGAACTCAGTTTGATCAATATATGATTTACGTTGTCATGCTCTTCCTCTCGTAAAGGAGCACAGCTTGCTGATTACAGTATCAACTGACTTTACTGGTTTGTCAGTCATCGTTGTAATATTGTGTACTATGTCATATTAGAAGATCTGGTACCTGAGAGATAATTTGAAAACTTGCTGCGTTCCTACCGAAAGCCTTAGAAGATCTGTATAATGTGTTATATAACTTTGTAAAAGATCTTTGTTGTGACCTAAAAATTGTTTCACTCCCTGATACGAGCATTATTAGTAGGATAGCTCTGGTACTGATCTGAACTGTGGCAGAGGAGCTGTTGGTTGGCATTTAATTGATGAATGTTGATTTGATTATTTTTTTTATTGTTAAGAGTGGTTTCTTCTGATTGTCTGAAAGGGTTTTGTTGGGCTGGAGTTGTAAAATGAGTTTTTCTTTGTTGTTGATGATATTATGGAATATTCTTTTTTCTTCCTGGGTTAATTTTCTTACAAAATTACAGACGAGTAGGTTCTTATAAATCACTTTGAAGGGGAGGGGAAAACACACACACACACACACACACAGGGAAATTACTACTGAATAGTCGGTGATCATAGTTTAATGGGGGAGCTACGGGGAAAAAATCAGCTAAGCTTCCTCTTGCTAGAACTCAGATACTCAACAAGAAAGCTAAAACAGTTATAAAATCAACAATAATTGAAAAGCAAATTTCAGCTCCTTTTTCCTTCTGTTCTGGCTGCTACATTACAACAAATTCAGAGTGGAGTGACATTGTGTATGAATAGTCTAAACAAATTAATTTCTTCTCCATCCATTCATGAATGTCATCAACAAATTCTTCTAATATTTTTCTTCTTTTTTTTTTTTTGAAAAATAAAATAGAATTATGCCTTGTCTATACTATCGGTAATGTCAAGATCATCTTTCCCAGTTTCAACTCCTGGATGCCCACACCTGACTTGCACTGCCAAGGTCTTTCTAACATCTGGGCACGCATCGGTTGCCCCAAAGAACACTGCTTTGTCCATTGGGATTGTGCAGTCCTTCTTGTTCTCGCAGAGCTGTTTCAAAATTAGACAAACTTATTACATATTTCGAAAGCATGGTTTTGATTTTGTTAAGAAGAGTTTTAGTGAAATACTAAGTGATTGATGTTGTGCATGCATGACAGTCTTCACTGAAAAGTTTTCGGTGCCGGTTACCTGTTTGGCGATTTGGAGGGCGTTAGGGGCGTTGCATTTGCCGACGGCATAAGAACCACAGACACCATAAGGATCACCAAAGCCAGCAAAATCGACAGACTTGATGATCTTGTTATCAGGACAAGTCAAGTGAGCTCCTGAGGTGACATTTTCTTGGATGGCCCTCATCTGGTTGCCTGTCCTTTCCCAGGTCTTGACATGGGGTGGATGATACTCCGTAATGTAGCTGCAGATTATGTCTCTGTTCACTGTCATGATCTTGATTTCCCTTGGGTCTCCTCCTGTTTCCTCAAGTACAACTAGCAAGTTCTTGGTTGGCTTCACAAATGCTCTTGGAATATGGTACCTTTACAAACACAAACCACAAATCAATAATGTTAAACCTCAATTTTCACATTAAGACTCCAGGTCCCTTGTTTTCTGTTTCATGTTTTGGCTCAACTTTCAATGCGTTTGACAAATGTAGAAAGCTACATTGAAAATTTTTAGTCAGAACACCCCACAGAAAACAAACCAAAAAGGCTCTTGATTTTGACTTTGTGATTATGGTACTAACTCTAGTTGAGTAGGCTGAGCCAAGGGAGACAGGAAAGAAACCCAGTAGCGACCAATGCTTCTGCCATTAACCCAGATCATTCCCTTAGCCATTTTGTTCATCTGGACAACAATCGGACCATTGCCTTCTGGCGCATCAAAGTAGGTCTGCATGTCCAACAAAAACGTCATCAAGAGTGCTCGAATGTAGTTTAGTATTTAGAAAACTGTGAATAATTTTAATGCAATTGCTGTGGAATTAATGTAGTTGATATGAGGATTCAGCATGATCTTTTATTGTAATTTATACCTTGTACCATGTCAAGGGAGCATTTACTCCTCCCAAGTTTCCTCCAGCGTTGAGTTTCTTCCATGCTGCTTTGCCAGTGCCTTCCTCAGTGAAATATTGTAGCCTTTCACCATCCAAACCAACCTGAGAGAATTACCAGAAAAGATTCTCTGAATACCATGTTCATTAAACTAGTAAGTCGTACAACTGTTGAAGTATGTTACCTGGTGCGCCCAGTTGTTCATGGTAATATCAAGAGTTCCGGACATGAGACCTTGAAGTGTAACTGCTCGGGGTCCAGCGAATCGCTTTTCCATGTATGCTCCGCTATTCTGTTCATTGTAGTTTGTTCATGGTTAATAAACCAAAGACAACCTAGTCAAATCGGCCAAGGGAAAATTTAATCTGACTGTTTAGATTATACCGGAAATCCAACAGTGTTTCCAAGGAGCAGGATTTCATTGACTCCAGGTTTTAAGCTGATAGGCTTCTGGAACACAAAGCTCTTTTCTATGTTGTTTCCGTGCTGAAATCCTGGAAAAGGAAAGGAAGGGATTCATGATTCCAAGGATTCATGCGATTCTTTTATTCTTTTTTTTTTTTTGTTTTTTTTGTCTCTTTTGACTGCACAAGAAAGAAAGCTTGATTGATTGTTTCTCTTTTCTAATAAAGAAGACAATGTAGCTTAATTCTTACCTACGTATTCGCCATTAATGAAAGCTGACAATGCATGGCCAAGACTCAAAACCTGGAGGACTGGGAGGATATCAGCCTTCATAGGCAAGTCTCGGTTGTTGAACTTGATGCTGCATAGATAGATACACAGATAGATACATATGATCACAAGTGTTTGTATATGTGAAGAGAAGCGGGCACTAGTTCACCATAACCCGCTTAAGAAAATCAAAGAAAAGAAGAAGAGAGGGTGTTTTAGAATACCTGGTGCTGTACCAAGCATAATCAGAGGTATCCTTTGTCAAAGTATACAGCTCCATAGGTGCCTTGCTCTTGAGTGGCAATTGGTCTGGTTTTGGGAGGTTTTCAGGGATAAATTCCCAATCAAGAGCTGCGGCCGTGGCCGCCTCATGGAAGTTTCTTGCGTTGTGTTGTGAGACAACCTGTTATAGTCAAAGGTGATTAAATGTGATTTTCATTTTTCATGGAAAGAATTAATCACATTCCAGAGTTGATGGCAATTATTGTTTACCGTCATGGTGTTGAAAACAACAGTCTTGCAGTCAGGCAAGATGCTGATGGATTTTTCAGGCAAATAATAATCTGTTCCCCTGAAGTTTAAGGTTGTTGCGTCTGCAGTTCTGTTGTTAATCAGGAAAGCAGCACAAACGCTCGCATCACCAGGCTTCTCAAATGTTATGATCTGCCACCCCCAAAGAAAAGAGAAAAAAAAAAGAAAGAAATCATTTTGAATCCATCTGTTCATGTTATTCCTGTTAAGTGATCAATGAGTGAACAAACCACAAACACATCAAAAAATGATGTGTATTAATTACCTGGGTATCCCCATCAATCTTTTGTGTGCTTGGAGTTCCCCACAGCAAAGCCTTCTTGGACAGCCTCAAAGCCCTGTGCAAGTCCCTCAGGTGGCCGAATTTTGGCTCCCTTCTCAACCCTACAGTCAACCGAGAATCATAAAAGGTATTCATATCATGTGACTTTGTTTGCATCAAAAGGGAAAAAGCTTCACTGACCATATTCATCAAGGGGTGCTTCATCATAGTAACGAGTTGTCACGAATGAAGAGCTTGATCTACCAAAATTGGTTCCACCATGGTACTGCAAGGAAACAACACATTACTTTCTCGCCTTTTTGCAAATGATTTGTATCATTTACAACATTAGGTTAATGACACAAACCATGTAGTAATTGTTAAGGGTTCCGTTCCTGGCAAAGAAGAGTGCAACAGCAAAAGCAATGTCTTCTGCTGCTCTCTGTGCTGGAGGGTCACCGAATGTTCTGTACCTGTTACACAGCAAACAATTGAGCTCCTGATGATCAGACAAGCTTCACATTCCCAGCACACCTTTTTTCCTTTTTTTTTTTTTGTATATATAATTTCGATAACTCGAAAAATAGAAATGAGTGAATGTTCACTTACTGTGCAGTCCAGTTCTCAGTCCAGAGTGAAGGCTTATCAGGACCATTGGGACCTACAAATGTTTCTCCACAGTGCCTTCCATTGCATGTACTAATCTGTATAGGTGACAAAACTTATTAATCACATTAATTTTAAAACGGAAAAAGAGAAGAAACTTAAAAATCCTTCGCTCTTGAATTACTAATTGGAAAGGAAAGGAAAAAAACTTACCACAGTAGGAGGGGCATCCTTCTGCTTGCACATAACCCATGGGATTTGATCATATAGTTTAACGGCCATGTTGGCTGCCCATTCCACATACTTCTTTCCCAACTCTCTATATGCAAGTTGGACATTGTTGTATTCATTTTCAATCTGCACCCCGCCATTTTTTTTAACATCTTTTTTGATAGAAATCAAAACGATATACATTTATGCGTAGAACAAAACAAAAAGCAAGAAATCAGACCTGTGCCAAGATAATAGGACCTCCTTGAGGTGCGAACAATTTCTCATTCTTCATCATTGTCATGATCATCTCAGTGTATTTTTGCATGTGGAACTGCCAAAATTGAAGGAATGAGAAATGAAAATGATGATACATATATCGACTGAATTTTTTTTTATGTTTTCAATCTAACAATGGGAATTACCATGAAGGGTTCATTGAAAGATCGGAATGTGATGTTTGGCACCTGTCTCAACCAATATGGGAAACCTCTAAAATACCAAAAGAAAGAAAGAAAAAGATTACAAGCGAAACCAAAAAAGAAGATTAAACCAAATAAATCAAATACACCATATTATTTTGTAATTAATCTTTTTGTTGTTGTTTTTTTTTTAAAAAAAAAAAAAGAAAGAAGAAGAAGAAGGAAACCCGGCATTCCATTCGGCCTCAATGAAAGGACCAACACGGAGAGTAGCATAAAGGCCAGCCTCTCCAATCAGTCTAATGAATTTCACCAGATCATTGTTCCCCGTGAAGTTGTACTGCAATTTTTCAAGTTCCCCCAAAAGAGAAAAGAAATTAACAATTTAATTCCCTATAAATGTCACAATATTAATAATTTTGTAAATTAATCTATCAAATAAATTGTAGACATACTTGGCCTTGAACAGGTTCATGAAGATTCCAGAAAACGTAGGTCTGAATCACATTAAGACCTCCTTCCTTAGCCCTCTGAATCAGCTCAGGCCACAGCTGTCCCCCAAAAAAAAACAAAAGAATGAGTTAATTTAGTATTATTTATTTGACTCACCATGCAAAAAATGATCATGCATGGGTTAAAGTAATAGGGCATGTAACATGTACTCTTTTCTTTTCGTGGCGAGTTTGGATTTTCATTTTTCAATTCAAATTGTGGTAAAAGTGAAATATGAAACCAAGACAATAATTTTGGGATAGAAGCAGATGGATACCTCAGGTGGGCTACGAGGATAATGAATGGAACCAGAGAAGAGGAGTTCCCGGTTACCGGCGATGATCAAGGAGCGGTTGTCATAAACAACGGTCTTCTTCTTGCCGGCATTCTTAACACCACCGCTGCCGCCATTCTTATTAACGTGCTTATTGGCGTCAGCAAAGGGGGCAGCGGCCAAGAGGGAGAGCAGGGCAAAGACGACTACAAGTTTCCGACAGGTGGTCCGATCATGAAGTATAACAGGACCCATTGTTGTTGGGAGCCAGACCGAAGGATCGGATGGGATGGCTGACGCAAGAAATGATATAGGATTAAAAGGAAAAAAAGGGAACAAAGACTGAGAATGAAAGATGAATGGAAAGGGACGACCTCTTCTTCCTCAAAGAAATGAGAGAGAGAGGAAAGGAGGGTGCCCAGGAACTGCCTGTCTTTGTAACAATTTTTCCCATCAAAAACCAATAATCAATGTTATAGAGAACAGCCCGGATCTTGTACGGCCCTACCGTCTCTTTCGCCTTCTCTTCCCTTTTCCTTCTTCCACCTTTTGTCCGTCCCTTCCGCTCCTTTTTCTTTTTTTTTTCACCCTAATTAAACCAACTAATAATTAATTCCTTTATTAACAATTTAATCTTCCCACAATATTATTTATTTATTAATACTACATAGTAATAATAATAATATTCTATATCCAATGTATTCTAGTAAGTATGTAACTATGTATAGATGTTGCCAGATCAACCATGTCCCCAACTATCTTTCGAAAATGGCGCGCCAAATACACGTCCCTTCCCACCTTAATTATTTGTTGTTGTAATTCTTATTATGCTCTCTGTTTATTAAATTTGGGAGTCGGGTTTCTAGAACTTCCCGCCACTGAAAACAAAGGCTACTTCTTTCTTTCTTCTTTTTTTCTTTTGAAAAAAAAAAAAACATCATGTCAATAATTTAAGAAATCATCCTTTGTTTAAAAGAAAATGCAAAACAAGGCAAATGGAGAAGAGAGGAATAGTGGTAAGACTTTTGGGTGTCACTTTTTATTTCACTTTAGCCTCAATTTATAAACTTTATAAAACCATAACATGTTACGTCTAATTTACTACTCCATAACTTTTACATAGATAAGATAAGAGTATTAATGTAGTTTAATGTAACTAGATAGATAGAGTAGTAAAGACAAAAGACATCTACAAATAAATGTATTTCGTAACACTCCCCCTTGGATGTCTGTTACGGAATAATGCATCGTTAAAACCTTTACTAGGAAAAACCCGTTGGGAAAAAAATCCTAGTGAAGGAAAAAGAGTACATTATCCAAATGCGACAGTGCCTCCTTAAAAACCTTGGCAGGAAAAACCCAATGGGATAAAAACCTTGGTTAAGGGAAAAAGAGTACAGTGTACAGTCACTCCCCCTGTTGAGCACATCACTTGACATCCTTAAGTCGTCGCATTCCAATTTTGGGGACTAGTTTCTCAAAAGTTGAAGTCGGTAATGATTTAGTGAATAAGTCTGCCAGGTTGTCGCTTGAGCGAATTTGTTGAACAATGATTTCACCACTCTTTTGAAGATCGTGAGTATAGAAGAATTTCGGAGATATATGCTTTGTTCTATCACCTTTGATATATCCTTCCTTCAATTGATTAATGCACACAGTATTGTCTTCATACAAGATAGTAGGGGCATTCTTGTCTAAATGCAAACCACATGATCCTCGAATGTGATGAACAATCAATCTTAACCAGACACATTCTTGACTTGCTTCATGAATTGCTAAAATCTCGGCATGATTGGAAGAAGTAGCAGTTAGAGTTTGTTTCATAGAACGCCATGATATAGCTCTTCCTTCACATGTAAAAAGATACCCTGTTTGCGACCGACCATTATGAGGATCGGATAAATATCCAGTATCGGCATAACCGATCAGATCCAACTTGGATGCCTTTGAATAATAAAGACACATATCAATCGTACCTTCAAGATACCGAAATATAATTTTAATACCATTCCAATGCCTTCGCGTAGGTGCAGAACTATATCGTGCTAACAAATTAAAAACGAATGATATATCAGGCCGTGTATGACTAGCGAGATAAATCAATGCTCCAATAGCACTAAGATATGGTACTTCTAGACCAAGTAGTTCTTCATTTTCCCCACGAGGCCGGAAAAGGTCTTTATCCTTATCAAGGGATCTTACCACCATAAGTGTGATCAAAGGGTGTGATTTGTCCATATAAAAACGTTTAAGCACTTTTTCTGTATACGTGGACTGATGTAGAAAAATACCACTTTCTAAGTGCTCAATTTGCAGTCCCAAACAAAATTTTGTCTTTCCAGGATCTTTCATTTCAAATTCTTGTTTCAGAAAATTTGCAGCTTTTCTGACCTCTTCAGGGGTCCCGATAATATTTAAGTCATCAACATAAACTGCAATGATTGCAAATTCTGATTCGGATCTTTTAGTGAAAACACAAGGACAAATGAGATCATTCTTATAACATTCCTTTATCAAATATTCGCCATGACAATTATACCACGTTCGTCCTGCTTGTTTTAATCCGTAAAAAGATTTATACAATTTAATTAAATAAAGTTCTCGAGAATTTGGATCTTGTCCCTTAGGTAATTGAAATCCTTTAGGGATTTTCATATAGATATCATTATCTAGTAAGCCATATAAATAGGCTGTCACAACATCCATAAGACGCATTTCAAGTTTTTCAATAGCTACCAGATTTAGTAAATATCTAAAAGTTGTTGCATCCACCACGGGAGAATATGTCTCCTCATAGTCAATACCCGGTCTTTGGGAAAAACCTTGTGCGACAAGTCGTGCCTTATATCGCATAATTTTATTATTCTCATTTCTTTTTCGCACAAATACCCACTTAAAACCTATGGGTTGCACATCTTCGGGTGTGCGTATTACTGGTCCAAAAAATTTGCATTTTGCCAGTGACTCTAATTCAGCTTGAATTGCATCTTTTTATTTTGGCCAATCATTTTTATGTCTGCATTCATCTACAGACCTCGGTTCATGATCCTCATTTTCATTCATAATACTAATTGCTGCAAAATATGCAAACTTATCATTAACTTCTGTTACACATCGGTTCCATTTTTCTCCAGTAACGACATAATTAATTTGAGATTTCATCATTATCAATATTTTCAGGTACATGAACTTTTTCTGGAAGTTTATTATCTATTATGTCATTTGTCTTTTCAAGAGTTTTTATTCTTGAAGATTCTTCAAAAATCTTAGTTACATCGATTTTGCCATCTTCATTATTTGCTCCTTTTCGTTTACGATGATTTTTATCTTTGGAACCAATTGGCCTACCACGTTTTAGATGTGTCTTTAATTCATTGTTAGTGGTAGACGGTCTTTCAGGGATATCAATTCGTATAAGAGCATTAGCAGCCAGTACATGCGACTTAGTCACACGTTTTAGGTCAGTAAAAGTATCTGGCAATTGATTTGCTAATTGTTGTAAATGAATTATCTTTTGAACTTCAAGTTCACATTGGCCTGTACGAGGATCAAGATGAGATAACGTTGATTCATTCCAACTTATTTTCTTATCCGGCAGTTTAATTTCTCCCCCTAATGTTGGGAAAACTGATCATCAAAATGACAATCAGCAAAATGAGCAGTAAATAAATTTCCAGTTCTAGGCTCAAAGTATTTTATAATAGATGGAGACTTATACCCAACATATATTCCCAACCTCCTTTGAGGTCCCATATTTGTGCGTTGTGGTGGAGCAATTGGAACATAAACCGCACATCCGAAAATTCTTAGATGAGAAATATTAGGTTCCTGACCAAAAACCATTTGTTCGGGAGAATATTCCTAGTAATTTGTTGGCCTTATGCGAATTAAGGTAGCCGCATGCAATACAGCATGACCCCAAGCGGATATTGGCAACTTTGTTCTCATAAGTAATGGCCTTGCAATTAGTTGAATTCGCTTGATAAAAGATTCCGCCATGCCATTTTGTGGGTGAACATAAGCTACAGGATGTTCAACTTTAATCCCAATAGACATATAATAGTCTTTAAATGATTGGGACGTGAATTCACCAGCATTGTCAAGACGAATTGTCTTTATAGGATTATCAGGAAAATGTGCTCTTAATCAAATTAGCTCAGCTAATAATTTTGCAAATGCCAAGTTACAAGTTGATAACAAGCACACATGTGACCATCTCGTGGATGCGTCAATTAAAATAATAAAATATCGAGATAGCCCACAAAGTGGGTGAATAGGCCCACAAATAGCTCCATGTATGCGTTGTAAAAATGCTGGAGATTCAGAGCGAATTTTCACTGGTGATGACCGGACAATTAACTTGCCTTGAGAACAGTAGCACATGAGAATTCATTTGATTGAAGAATCTTCTGGCTCTTTAAAGAATGACAATATGAATTCTCTAGTATTTTTCGCATCATAATGTAACCGGGATGGCCCAACCGGTCATGCCAAACGACAAAATCACCATAACTAGTAAACTTCGGGTTTACTGTTATATAAGTTTCAATGGCTGCAATACTTGTGTAGTATAGCCCATGAGAATATGAATGCAATTTCTCTAAGATAATTTTACTTCCATAAATTATATTTCTAATGTACAAGTATTCGATATTATCTTCACAATTTGTTTCAACATGATATTCATTTCTGCGAATATCTTTAAAACTCAACAAGTTTCTTTGAGATTTTGAAGAGTATAATGCATCATCAATGCAAAATTTCGTCCCTCCTGGGAGAATTACATTTACTCTTCCGGAGCCTTCAGTTAATTTTGTACTACCAGATATAGTACTAACATGAGTTTCTTTTATTACAATGTATGAAAAATATTTCTTTTCTTTAGGGATGGAGTGTGTAGTTGCACTGTCTGCCAGACACATTTCTTTGTCATTTACCATTAAAACATCTATTTTTCTTCAAAAACGAAATCAAAATTTCAAATGAGATATTGAATTTTGTTATTCCAATATTGCATCTATCAAATTATAAAGCATTCTAAGATATAAAACATTAAATATAATCCATTATATCAAATAGTAAATATTATATATATTATCATTTATTACAAAGAAATAATAGAAACAATTTTTATTTAAAACATCAAATGAGATATTATGCTTAAAATGTAGAATAGAAAACTACTTTTGGACATTTCCGTCATTAACAATGTGACTAGTTTCACCTTCAGGGTGATTGACAAAGAAATCGGCAACATCTAAAGAAGTAAGATCGGCAAAACCATTGTCTACAGGACTTTGGTTAAATCCAATATTATTGCCAACAAAATTAGTCTCTATCTTCTTTTCTTGTTTCTTTATAGATTCTTGATAGAGATCGGCAAGATGCTTAGGTGTAACGACACACACGAGACCCAACCCATGGTTATTCATACCACAACGGAAGCATTTACTCCCGCCTTTCTTTTTATTTCCATCTTTCTCACTACTAGTTCCCAACTTCTGGTGGAAAGTAGTATTTTTATTTTGACCACCACGACCGTTAAAACGAGTTTTACCATATCCTCTGCCACGACCACGACCACGACCACCATGCCCTCTATTTTGTCCATTATTTGGATTTATAGCTGCCGCATTTGCTTCAGGAAATGGGGCAGTACCAATTGGGCGAGTTTGATGGTTTTTCAATAAAAGCTCATTATTTTGCTCAGCAACGAGCAGAACCTGCATCGGTTCAGAATACTTTGTGTAACCCGTTTCACGGTATTGCTGCATCAGGAGTACATTTGTGGGGTGAAAAGTGGTATATGTTTTTTCGAGCATTAGTGCATCACTCATTTCATCACTACATAATTTCAAAAGTGATGTGATTCGAAAAACTGCTGAATTGTACTTATTAACAGTTTTAAAATCTTGGAAACGTAAGTGCATCCAATCATGACGAGCTTTTGGGAGCATAACCATCTTTAGGTGATTGTATCTTTCATTCAAACTCATCCATAAGATAAATGGATCTTCAACAGTTAAATATTCAATTTTCAACTATTAATGGAGGTGGCGCCGAAGGAAAATTGTGGCCTTGGCCTTTTCTTGATTTGTGGCCTCGTCGCCTTCTTTGGTAGTTTCTCCAAGTCCATTAGCATTTAGATGCATTTTGGCATCAAGCACCCATGATAAATAATTTTCTCCGGAAACATCAAGAGCTATGAACTCAAGTTTTGCAAGGATCCCTCAAGTTTTTCAATAACCAAAAATATACAAAAATCTCACGATGAAAGCGGCAAAAGGATCCCTCATTTTTGTTTCGAAAACACAAATATTAAAAAAAAAAATTAAATAAAAAACACACACGATGAAAACGACAAAAAAGGAGGGAGGGGTTGGTCATGGTATAAAAATAGAGTAGGATTTTAGAAGTTACCCAAAAAGAAGACTTGAAAAATTTGCTAGAGCACTTTCACGGTGATAACGTGTTTAAAAGAAAATGAAAAACAAGGCAATGTTTAAAAGAAAATACAAAACAAGGCAAATGGAGAAGAGAGGAATACTGGTAAGACTTCTGGGTGTCACTTTTCATTTCACTTTAGCCTCAATTTATAGGCTTTACAAAACTATAACATGTTATGTCTAATTTACTACTCCATAACTTTTACATAGATAAGATAAGAGTAGTAATGTAGTTTAATGTTACTAGATAGAGAGAGTAGTAAAGACAATTTATAGGCTTTACAAAACCATAACATAGTACGTCTAATTTACTACTCCATAACTTTTACATAAATAAGATAAGAATAGTAATATAATTTAATGTAACTAGATAGATAGAATAGTAAAGACAAAAGACATCTACAAATAAATGTATTTCATAACATCCTTAAATTATTACATCGCATTTTATTATATACTCCTTCCGTTCCCTCCGTCCCCCAGAAAAAGAATAACCCAAGAGGTAGTAGTAATACTTTTGAAGACCTCACGAAAGAGGCACCTAAGACATGAAGATACTTTTTGCCAAATAACAAACCTAACCATCTCTCAATCTTTCAATTCTGAGTCCTAAATCGGCCTAATCTCAAAAGGAAAACATTGTAGCTACTTATATAATTCGATGAATTCATACTGACACAACGCCTATTGAGCATATATAACGTGTCAACCATCTCTATCGAAAATTCCCAGATTTGCACACAAGAATTGGGTAACGAGAAGGGGGCAAACATGAGAAATGGAATTGGTATTAGTCACAAACATCTGCATTAACAACTTCTACCACTTCTCATTAAATGATGGCTCCAAACACACAATGTATTCATACATCCATCTATTTCAGTTCTCTTATCTGTACTGCTCATCATAATACTGTTTTATTTGCGGGAAGAAGAATGTCTAATCAATTTAACAAATGTTTATCATCATCCCAACTTCAAAAAACATCTCAGAGAGCTCTACTATTACACATCTTTCGGGCGTGTATCTGATATATCATCTTCCTACACCCCCAAGGGAAAAAGAAAAAAAAGTCAAAACAGAAAATCAAAGAATAATCTTCTACTTATTTACAATCCTCACAAGAGCCCAGAAATTCCTCTTTGCTTTGCTCGCCAAGCCAGTCAGCCCTCCCTCAGAAACTGCCGCCATCAATTCACCTGAAATATTGTGACTCTATCAGACTCGTCCATGGCACAAGGGTATGAACTTTTTATTGTGGCGTATTTTCCCCCTAAAACTAAACCTAAAACCCTGTAATGAAAAAAGAAAAGAAAAGAAAGAAAAAACCCTAACTATGTACTCCAAGAGTTGAAAGTGAAAAAAACATTGCAATATTAAGTTAATCCTAAGAAAAGCCCGGTGATTTACCTGTTGCCCCTAATTAACATGCCTCTCAACTACACCACATCTTGCTCGTAAGAGGCGGAGACTTTATTGAGCAGCAACACAGATGAATCCAAATTAAAAAAAAAATCATGTTGTCATACAAAAGTGTTCTCACAGCTAATGTACAATCTCCATCTGCTTCGACAAAAGTCTCAAGACAAATCAAATGACCCTTGCCCTTCATTAATTGCATAGAGTAGTTTCTTGTACATGATTTCCTGTTTCCAAATAAAATTGATTAAGATAAGCCAGATAAAGAAATTAAAAGGAATGAGGAAGGCAAAAAAAAAGGAAGGCATAATGAAGTTGTTGTCTTCAAATTTTGTAGAGGAATGGCAACAAAAGATTCACAGTAGTGCAAGGTCAACATATCCTCCCAGGATAACATCAATCACAAAAGTCACCAATCAGGAACTCCAAAAGGAAAGGAAAATTCAGTTTGCTCTTAATTAAGTACCTTTGTGGAATAAGGAGGGAGCTTCAAATAATTGGCACATGTCATCACGCTCGGCAAGTCCTCATCTGCAGATTCTGATGCCCCAGCAGCATTGTTCATTGCATTGCTTGGAATGGATGAATGCTGCTCAAAGGTAAGGACAGACAAGTTAGTACCATTCACCACGTATTTGTTTAGCAAGCATGCATGAGAAGTACTTCTTTATCCATGGTTCATACCTTCCGCACGATTGTCAACTTGGGATTCAACACAGCCAGACCTCCTGGTGGGAGTCGAGGCGCACCAGTCACAAACTGACAGAAGGCCCTTTGCTGCTCAGGGCTGAATTCTCCCATGATCTCCAATAACTAAGGCAAGTAGTAGAGGAGGATATGAACATTTTATTTTAACAAGGAAAATAAGTAGAAAGAATGAAACCCGAAGAAACAAAAAGGATATATTATGATTTGCACATCTTAACCATCATACGAGAGTTGAGATTGGTAGTATTAGAAAGCATACATTGATAATTGCAGGACTCTTCGCAGTATAGCCGTGATCAAATTTGATGTGATCCGCCAAAGTCTCCGCCTGCATACATAAAGAATTAGAAACTTTTTTCCCATTCAGATGCATCCGCAGAGAAAGAGAGAAAGAGAGAGAGAGAGAGAGAGAGAGAGAGAGAGAGAGAGAGAGAGAGAACCTTCCACATCTCCCTTCGGCCACATAGTAGATAGTCCAACTCATCAGGAGAGAATATTTGCAAAGTCGAAATATCAAACACCTGTCATCATCAGCAAGATTCCGCATATTAAAATTGACTAGCAACTATAAATGAACAGAACTAAAAGCATACAAATAAAATAAACACCAATTTTCAAAGAAGACCATTTTGTCTTAAGCAGATTATCATAGGAAACTAAAGAATCCAACCGGGAAACTCATTTACAAACAACTTCCAATCAACGAACACATAGCAATTATTATAAACCTGATTAAAGCCAGATCTGAATGCCTCCATCTGCCTCCTAATCCCAGCTCTGACAGTTGCGTCAACCACCAGTGAAAGATAATCCTCCAAGTTATTTAAGTTGACCTGTTTCAAAAGTTTTTTAAAAATATAAGGTCCAACAGAAACAATGCCCAGTGCCCCCAAAAAAAACAAAGAAACTTTTTCAGTCAAACACAACTTACATTTTCATCTCCTGATTTTAATACGTATTCAGGGTGACCCGGAAGTGTAAAATCTAAGCAGAGATCCTCGACCGAAGTCCCCTGAAAACGTAAATCAGAAATTTGAACTTGACTAGGACCTGTCATTGACTCCAGATACCGTTTCCTACAAACAAGGGCCTGCAATTCTTGCAATGTCTTGCCAAAAGTAGCATCGAAGGAAATTATATCTTCCAAATCGAGTTCCTGCGTCCACAATACAAAGAGCATTCAAGTGTGAAGAGAAGGACACAGAAAAGAAGCATCCCCAAAGAGGTTTACTAGTCCACACTATCAAACAAATCAGATAATCAGATGGGACAAATATATCACCTGGCCAAGCACAAGTTTATAAAAAGCAGTAGAAAGGGGCAAGTCCATTAGCCGCCCATCCTGAAGAGCTTTAGCCATCACTCGCCCAAGCAATCTGAAGTATTCAACAACTTTGGAAAACTGGCTACCGTCAGATGTATCAGCAGTTGGGGGCCATGGACGTGGAAACAATCCAAGAGGCGCATGCACAAGATCTCTATCAGCGGAAGAGACGTCATTGGTTTTTCCATCCATGTCAACATCAACGTCCATGGAGGACCTTTCTGAAGCAGTTGAAATCCACATACCCAATTTGTTCTTTTGTAGGTCATGGCTCAGCAGAGTGTAAAACTCAAGAGTAGGACCTAAGCCAGTTCCAACCTCACCGAAATATTCAACTTCAAGGACTGCCTTTTGGCTGGAGTACATTTCCATGACCTTCACAGCAGAATCCAGGATTCTATTACGTGAAACACGAACTTTCTGGCGCTGTAATCGCCCCACCCTCACCTCTCTCTCATTAGTTGAACCGTGGCCATCTGCACCTTGTTGTTGTTGAAGCCGATAAAGAGCACGAGACAAACCAAAAGCAGTTGAGTAGAAGTACTGGCGACGTGTCTCGAAAGGAAATAGAAAAGGACAAGCTTTAGTTAATTGATAACACCAAGATGGGAGAGCACCACTGCAAAGTGCAAGCGCATCTTGAATCTGCCTAGCTAGTTTAGGCGTTAGTTTGTTATTGATAAATTCCTCTGATGGAACTTTGGTACCATTTGCATTAAGGGCATCTAGGATTGCAAGTTTCCCTTCAGAGAAATCATCTACCACTGCCTGAATGCGTAGACGAGGTGCAAGCTGATTCAAAACCTCAAGCACGCGCAGAAGAGCCAATATATCGTATGTAGGATTATTTTTTTCCAAATCACAAGGGAGCTCCCCCTGCAAAATGCTATCCAGAAGAGATACTTGTTCTGTGCTAACAGTAGCAGATGAACTAGCTTTTGAAGACTTGGAAGGATTCCCTGAACTTGGAGTCCCTACTGAAGAATTCTCCGATTGACTTTCCGCTCTATGGTATGTAATGGTGTAAATATCAGTCCAAAGCCTGCTTCCGTCGCTAGAAACAAAATCACCACCACCATATCTCTCATCGTCGTCTTCTTCCAGGACAAGCTGTCTCTGGATTGCCTGATAAATCGTCAAATGTCTATTGAGCTGCTTACCACCAGAAGAAAAGATCAACCTAGCAGGGTCACTTGAACCAAAAAGTAGACGGCCATGCCTATCCCGAGCTCCTCTCGCGCCCCTAGCATTACCAGAAGCAAGTCCAGCCATGGCTGCAGCAGCAAACGACATCGCTCCCCTTGAACCATACGAGGCCCCACTCCTGAAATCGGCTGAATCAGAAGCTCCAACTGAAGGAGCTCTGCTGCTTGAACCAACAGCTTGATTCATCTGGCCGTCAAGTGCACTAGTAGCACCAGACGCATCCTCAACAGCGTCGCCCAACTTAACATCATGTACCTTCTCTGGCATACAAACGGGAATGGAATCGTCTCCAAGTACCTGACACATTTGAGCAACACATTAATAAGAAGCACAAAAGCATTAGCAGCATCATACAAAGCAACATCAAAACTTCCTTCACTAGGGTCAGCTCAATGCTACAAAACAACCACACTTGGGAAAGAACATCATCCTCTCATGCATTTACTTATAAACAATAACCAGAACCAGTTAGACAGGTCAGCCCTGCTGAATTTCAGTTACTATGAAATGCACCAACATCAACATCAGTCTGGGGGTCAGTTGCACACGGCCTTACCCTTGTAATTACACAAAGAGGCTGTTTCCGTTGCGACCCAAGGTACATTGCGTCATTTGATAAAAAATAAAAATAAAAAAAAAAAAAAATTAAGGTAGCTAGTATGCAGCCATATAACAGAGAGAGAGAGAGAGAGGCATACATCATCCTGATCATCATCATCATCATCTGATATGTCATCATCTTCAATCACCAAGGCATCATCTATTTCAACAGGAGAAATATCCAAATCCTCATCCTGCAAAAAGGAAAAAACGAACTAAGTTAATCCAGGAAAGGAAAATAAACATATCTCAAAATTTGGTAGCCATTCACAGCCAACAATAATCCACAACTCGAAATTCAGTATCCCAAATCTACGACCCAATCCAAAACCAAAACAGCCCACAAGAGCAACTTAATTTCTTGAGAATATCATTGGGTTGTGGGAGGAGGTATTGGAGGATGACTCAACTACAATGAGAAAAGTCTATACCTCAGAGCTAGTGTCTCCATTTACTGGCTTCATTTGAGCATCTTTATCCAAAGCTGCTCTTCTACGAGCAGCATTTCTAGTTTGAGGGCCTCTCCCTTCCTCCGAAGCTGGCTTCAAAACGGCTTTTCCTTTACCCTTTGATGAGCTTGCTCCTTTATCTGTAGTTTCCTTTTTTGATGCATCACCTATATTAAGTGCTGATCTAGATCTTGTTGAATGGCGCCGAGCAGTTGAAGCAGGTGTCGAACTAGAAGGTGTCGGGGCAGCCACGCCAGCATGTGGAGTCCCAGCATCAGCATTTGCTGTCGAGCCTGAGGATTTTTGACCAGAATCACTTCGTTGAATTCGTGGCCACAGGAAGTCTTCCACAGCTGCTAAACTTGCCAATGGATCTATTAAAACAACATTTGACGAATAGTCACGAAGGGATTTCTCTCCCTGGGCTCTGCAAAGCCGCAGCTTGAACGGCTGTGCTAAAGCACTTAAACCAGAAGAAGGCCGTGAATTCCCACCGGATGATCTAGAAGTATGGCTCAGAACAACAGGAAAGCGTTCCAAGGATGACAAAGCATTCTGAAGCTTTTGAATCAAGAGACTCATAGGAACTGTATTTCCTGCATTACCACTAGACGGAAGAGCAACAGCAACAAAAGATTTGTACCTCCTAATAGCTTGTTGTCGAAGTTTAGACAAATCAGCTTCTGAAACTTTATCCTTGGAAAAGTATCCACAAGTAAAATAATTCAGCAAAGCTTTGACGACACCACTACCTATGAACTCAAAAGTGGAGACACCGTCACCTTTACCAAGTTCCCCCAAAATATCAGCTACAACTCCAGCTAAATCCTTTTCTCTACTGGCTGACAGATCAGGAAGACGAATAGCTAGAGATTTTGATTTTCCCTTTGTTTTAGTCTTCTGCTCATCGGTGCCAGCATTGAGTTTCACACACAGATTCTTTAAATGCAAAAGATCATCTGTGATCCCAGTATCAATGGCATCTGGATCTGAAGGGAAATACTTCCCTCTGAAAGCTTTTGCACGTGCACTAACTGTAGCACGAATACCAGAGTTGGCTAATGGAGTATCTGCAGAATTTGGTGGTGAACCAAACGCAGAAGAAGGATTCTTTACATCATCACCGTCAGCATTTGAAGCACCAACACGACGTCGATTACGTCTAGGGCGGGATGATGATCCAGATATGGAATCATTATCCTTTTCAATGGAGGATTGCAGCTGGGGAGTAACACATGGAGAACCAGCTATTATCAATGCTTCTATTGCATGTACTACACCTTCCCGTATGAACATCTTGGAGAAAGTCTCTGGAAGTTTTTCCATTAAAATTTCCGCTATCTGAAGGGCAGGCACCAAAACCTGGGGATCCTTCCAAGCTAACACCCCAGCTAAGAAGCTGTAGACAAAAGGCAAAACTTTTTTGTAAGCGTTAATACACAACAACAATCAGCAGAGTAAAATAATTGAAGCGAGGCCAAATAAGCAAGATATACCTCGATATATTTGTAACACTTAATAAAGACTGAATCATATCTGCAGTGCTGAAGTACATAAGTTTTCCAATGACTGATAGACACTTGTAACGGACAGGACCATTGACACTGGAACCATAGATCTGTAAAAAAATGTGTGGTTCACTTAAAAACTTGACAGAACCACCAAAAAAAAAAAAATCAATAAACAAAAACAGGAAGTACTAAACTAACCTGGATAAGAACAGGAAGAAGATCTATTCCAAACTGCTGCAGTAGTTCAGGTTGCTCAAGCAATAATTTTTCTCTAGGTGATACTTCCTGTGAATTTCCACTCAGGTCTTCCTGTTTCACGGAACTACTGCCAGATGGCTTCTTGGCAAGTGGACCTTTAATGAACAAATTGTAACTAGCTGGAAGAGAGATAGTTCCTTGAGGCAAAGGAGGAAGAAGCTCATTTGCCAGGTTCATGATTTCAAAAACCTGGAGTGCGAGAAAAAGAAGAAAACACCTAAGATCAGTTTCCCTGTCAGGTAGCCGGAAATCCAAATCCAGAGATCAGCGAGAGACCCCTGAAGGCTACCAATTCCATAAAATCCTAACCCTCACATTCGGTTAAATGAAGGAATAAATATTGACCCCTGATGATAAACCAAGATTCAACAATATATCGTATCTGAAACACATGTTCAAATGGTAATCTCTGAACTAAAAGCCAAAAGCTTCGATAAAAGGATACCCTACAATATTTAAATTCTCCATGGTTCAATTATAGAAGAATACAACTCCTAAACTAGAAAGGCCAACAACAAAGAATGAGAAATTCCTATCTTGAGAATACGACTATAGCAAGGCTACAACCTGATCCGGCGGCCGACTTAACGCAGGTGAAACAGACATTCCAGCAACAAGACCAGAACCGGATAGAATATCCTTAAGAATCCCGCTTACTCCAAGAAGCAGTAAGGTTTTGGCTCCCAGATTAGACCCACTTGCACAGGTGGAGAGAAGTCTTATCAATCCCTGCATGTAAACAAAAAATATTATAAAACCAGCCCCTCACATATAAACTGTGGGAACTTAAATATCATAACTATGTTACCGTGTAAGTAGAAGTGCTCAGGGATGCTTGACCAGAATTGCTGGTAGAAATGAGAGAGGCAGCTTGTGTAACCAGTCCATGGTTGCAGAGTTCGTCCAGCTTATCAGGAGAAGAGGCAAAAGCCTCGGCAATACGGGTCAAGCAAATAGAAGCGTGCTCCAAAACCTATTCAAAAGAATTGAAGACGATGAAAATTGCAATGCAAAATGTCCATTCTGAATGAGAGAAAAGGGCAGATCCCTCAAGAGCAAGTGGTGGTAGTAAAAAATTGATCTTACCTTAGAATCATGATACTGAAGCAGGTTTGTTAGAAGAGGAACAGCTTCCATAACAAAGTCAGCAGCATCTGACGGAAGTTTTCTGCACATGTTTGCCGCTGTGGCGAGCGCTACACGCTGAAAGTTACAAATAAATCAAAACCAAAATATACAAACAACAAATGCGTGGCTGTCTGTTAAAACAAGGGAAAAAAGGGAAAAACATAATTTTTTTAACAAACATCCACGTGTATTTCTCAAATGTCTTACCTGGACCCCTGTTGAAAAGAAATCAAGGTAGGAAAGAACAGCCATCAATGCCCCAGCCCGCAAACAAGCAGTTGGGTGTTCCTGAGATATCTTCTTCAGCGCTTGCAGAGACTGACCGAATAAGAAACAATTAGCAAAATCTTAAAAGCTCCAGTCTAAAACTAAGCCAGCTAAAGACAAAACAAAAATGCTACATAAATAAGCACACACACTCACTTAACTAGACAATAAACAATTTCCAATCTCCCATGTGTTATAATAACAAAGGAGAGTCTGGCAATTATCCATCCACAATATAAAATCCATAACTCACACGTCAGGAAACTACCTTAAAAGATAAATCACCACATGCAACCTTTAGACTTGAAATTAACTCAGTTTGGTTTCCCAAAGTGGTAAGTTCGTCTTGATTAGTCCATAATCAAATATATATCCTCCCCAGGCTATAATAAAATGCCAACAGAAGTATAGATAATATCCACGTGGCACGAGCACAAGATGGAAGATTTTGTCCCTCAAATGGTTGTCGAATGAAGTTAACCACCAAAATGTATCAGATTACCAAGTTGAAAGATCATAGTAAAATAGCATGAAGTTAACCACCAAAATATCAAAGTAAATTAGGAGCTTAATGAAAAACATCACACAAAATCTGTTAATGATTTCAAAAACTGTTAATGATTTCAAAAGGAAGAAGCCTAAAGAAAAAAAGAAATAGAAAAATGGAGCCTACCAACCTGCTCAGCTAAGTCCATGTATTCAATTGTGAGCAACCTTGCAACAAAACACGACACAGCACCATAATGCACTACTGCAGCAGTAGACGACGGAAGCACATCTACCAAATGCGTAAGCGCCCTTGCAGCTAGCAGCATGATGTCAGCATTGCTCTCGTGGTTCAGCAACCCAACAAGGACAGGAACAAAAGAATCAACCGAAAATGTACTGAGAGACTCCTCAGTTCCAATTGAAAGCATGTCGCAGAGCTGAGTCAGTGCCTCCACTTGCTTACCTTCCTCCCCGTCCGCCCTCAGCCCCGATAGGATCTTCTTGAGCCGGCCACTCTGGTGGGAACCAGAACCGGAACCCACCGCCATTGCGGAACTGGGAAGCAAGTCATCTAATCCGGCACCTAATTTTCTCAACAGGCCTTGAAGTGCACTACTGGCGGAAGTTAGATTCTGGTGTAGAATCCCCACATTGCCATCGCTGTCGTTGTCGTTATCATCGTCTTCGCCATTACCGCCACCAGAAGAATCAATGTTCAATCCGAGGCTTCTTTCTGCCTCAAGAACCCTTTCTCGTTCCCTAATCCTGACGTCATGCTCCTTCTCTTTACCTTTATCGGAATTGTTATTATCCTTTTCCGCAGTAGCGGCGTGATGGTTAGGGTTTCTGCCACGTCGACTACGCGTGGTGCCGGAACCGGAGCCGGATGATTCGTTCGTGGGGTCCATCTTTGGGTCTTTCGACCTGATTTTCACAGCGCGGGAGCGAGTCGAGATCGACGATGATTTGGTAGTAGTGGTGGTGGTTGGAGCTGGGGGAGGAGCTGTAACGGCGGTGGCGGCAGAAGAAGAAGAAGAGGAAGAGAGACGAGCACGCTTGGTGGCGCGGGTTGTGGGTCCAGAAGAAGTAGAAGAAGAAGGCGCTGACGAGGTGGCCTCCACCCGCTTCCGGCTCCGAGTTTCCATACAAAAACCCAAACCCCCCTGAAAACCGGCGAACCCTCTCGCCGATTGAATCAATCAATCGGCGATGATCGCACACACTTCTGATCCCCAAATTATTAACATATCCAGCGATAACAATTCTAATTCCAAAATATTCAATTCAATTCAATCAAAGCTCCAATCTTTATCAATCCAATTCGACGGAATTAAGTCCCCAATTGATAGAAACAAATCCTAAAAGCGAAGGGAAAAGAAAATATCTACAAACAGAAAAGAATCGGTGTGACAAATGATGATAATAATTATAAAGGAAAAAAAAAAAAAGGAAGGTGAAAATATAAGATGAACTGGGAGTGAGAGGGGGGAAATATCGTACTAAAAGGGCTAATAGAAAACCCTAATTGTGATTTTGGTGGGTAAATTTCTCTCTTAATTAATAAGAGAGAAGAATCTGAAACGAGAAGCTTTGGTATAATGTTGGCTTTAATTTATTCTTTTCGTCTCTGTTTTCTCGTTTTTTATTTCTATCTTTTTTGGCTCCAAGTGTTTTGTTGCGTATCAGGATTATGTGTTTTGGAAATTTCTTCGGTTTCGTGGCGGTGCCAATGGATACTTCAACCGCCTCTTTTGGGCCATGTTAAAGCTATACACTCTTTATGCTTTCTTGGGCCGGAGAGTTTGTATAAGTCCACTTATTAATGACTCCGCTTCTGGCCTACTTTTTTATGGATTTCGTATGATAGGCACAGGGCCTGTTTTGATAACTCCTCACCATGTTTAATACAGTACATTATTGTTATTGTTATGTTAGTGGAGTTTTTGATTGCATGTTCGAGCATCTACAGCGTGGAAGCAATTTGTTGCACACCAAATTATGAAAATGACTATTTTGATGTAGTTTATCTCTGATCTACAATTTTATTTTCTGCATGCCATAAATCTAAAAATAACAAGGAAGATTAAATAAAGGAATTCAATGGGACATATTATTATTCATTCATTTGCTGCTTTTGCAATATAGCAACAAATTTGGTGTTCAACTGTAACAGAAATAACATTTTATATATATATATATATATATTATTCTACACCACTAGTGTATAAATACTATAATTTCACTAGCAATTTGCTGATTTGATGCAACACTGGAGATAGTGTTAAGCAACTTTAATGTTGCATCAAATCAGCAATTTGCTTATCAGTTTTTTGCAATTCACCTCCAATGGTATAACAAAATAGCATAAAAGAAGAGTAGTAAATTGTTAGTGCTACTACAGTAAAACACCAATTTGCTGCTCTACTGTAACAATATGAAATCGGGGCGCTGGTTAATTGGGTCAACCCGATTAGCCGACAGAACCGATTCAAATTCGATCGGTTTGATTCGGATATTTTAAAATTCAATTGAAATTTCGAGTTCACTCAAATAAACGATTCCTTATACGGTTTGGATTTCAGTTTACAAAAATATTTTTCGGGCCCTGCCCAAAAAATCGAATAAGATTTTAATATTTTATTTATATTTTAATTATTAATTTATATTAAATTCTTTAGAATTTTTATTTTATAGTTTAATCTCTAACATACGCTAAACCCTTGACCCATTTCCCTTGTCTTATTCTATAGCCCGTTTTCACCCCCCTTCTCCTCCTTTCTTTGTATCCTCTTTTTCTTCCCCTTTTTCTTTTCTCCACCGCCACCCCCTTCCCCTTCTTTACCTAGTACCTTCACCTCCCACCTTTACAAATTCACCAATTCCACTATCAATATCCAATCCAACTATCTCCTCCAAAAAAAAATGATTCAATTTCCAGATCCGATATTTTATTGAGCAATTAAAAAATTAGAAATATGTAACAAAGAGTGAGAATGGAAGGGACATAAATTGAAGAATTGTGACAAAAAGAACATAGAAAAAGAAACTGTTGCAGAGATGAATTTGAATTTGGAGGCGGATTTTTTTTTTTCCTAGGATTTAATGAGCAATTGAGCAAAAGATGTGCTTTTTTTTTTCCCTTTTTTTAAAATCTTTTTTTCTCTTATCCCTCCTAGATGAGTTGTTTAAATTCTTGAAAGAAAAAGATTGCAACTTTGTTATAAATAAAATTTATGGGATATGTGTATATAAATTTTTTTTATCGTATTTGATGATGGTGTTCACTTTGAAATGTGAAGAGGGGCATTCGAAGGTGTGAGGAAGAATGGGAATATGTAGAAAATTTTGTACTGATTTCGGTTGAATCGGGCAACGAATCAAAAACTCGATTGTTTAATCGGTCGGTTCGGTTCGATTCAATAAATTTTTTAGTTCGGTTTTGAGCAGGTGAGGTGAGAGGAAAAAACTGATTAAACCGAATCGAATTCCCCCGAACCGTTCCAAACCGATCGAATTAGCAGCCGTAGCATGAAATGGTACCCCACACCAATTTTTTTGTTTTATTTTTCTATAGTCTTTTTTTCCTTTGTTTTTTTGACTTTTGTGTACAACCTTGAGCATAAAAAATTATCTTGGATTGGAAATGACCAAAATCAAAACATCCATTTTAATGATTTGGGTTTGGAGTGAAGAAGAGCAACATTAAAACTGCTATTAGAATTGGAAAAAAAAGAAGAAGATGTTCTTATATATGCATTAAGATGTGCTTAAGTTTTTTTTTTTTTAAAAAAAAAATCGTTTTTCCTAAAAATCGATCAATAAATTCAGTCTCAGCATTTTCATACATAGTCAAACAATTTACCAAGCATACCATTAATCCAAAAAATTGTTCTTTTCCCATTTTCCTTAAATAATTCCGTAATTTTTCTCGCTCACTCTTGTAACATTATCAGAAATATAGAAGACAGTTACCACTAAATTGCACCTTGAATTACTACAATCACCATAAATTTCGACCCGAGCGAACAAGTTTTTAAAGAGTGTTATATAAAGTACAATAAAAAATAAGTAAAATACATCTCAATCTAAAATCTCAAGTTGTTATGTTTTTATGTCCTTATTAGCATTTTATATTATTCACTCCATACTGTACTATAAGGTATAAATAAATAAATAATTTTTAAGAAAAAATAATCGATTAATTTAGTTGTTTTTCTGATGAATTAAATGTATTACACATATCAAGTTCTATATTTCTAAGAGTCTGGATTAAACTAACTATGCTCCATTCATTGGTTTATTTACTTTTTTTTTTATTTTACGAATTACATTTTTTTTTGTTTTGGTGATTAACCTAAGTCGTATGGATTAAGCTAACCATCTTTCATTTATTAGTTTATTTTAATTAAACAATAAAGTTAGCTTGTAACAGATAATAATCGAGTTGAATTATCTCAATAAAAATAATGTTGGTGTCCAAATAATAATAATGTAACAAATTACAATGACAATAATCATCATTTATTAGTTTATAAGTTTATATGACCTCCGAACCAACAAAATAGTCTATTTTAAAATTTTAAAATATAATAATTAAAGGACTTAATCTTACAAATTTTAAAATTAATATGAAAATTTGAATAAAATTTCATGAATATTTATTATTTATCAATTTAATTTAATAATCAATGTTAGATAATTTTAAAATTTACATTTCTAAAATATGACTTTTTTTGGGGGGTAGATTTACACTTCTTTGTCAATTTAATGCTAAATTTAATGTGAGTTATTTTTTGTGGAAAACGAGTGTTATATGAATGTTTCGAGATTGGCCATCTTCTTTAAATCACAAGCTAATTTTGATCAATTCCAGAAAAAAAAAAACTAATTTGCTCATAGAAAACATTATGCAAAAAAAGATAATGTTGTTTTTCATTGAACTGCTTCATTAGTCTAAACGTCTTCGATTAATGTAAACGGCCCACGCCATGCCAAGGCCGGTGGCCCGGCACCATATCCGAAGTACAGTCACTCTTTTATTTTTTTAATTTAGTTTATTAAATTTAATTCCAAATTCTTACCCATTTCCGTCGGTCGAGTGGATAAACGAGTCATGAACCATGTCACCCCTTGGTGTTGTCTGTTTCCCAATATGACATGTAAAGCCGGCCATTTGTGTGGACAGAACAGGGATAATTAGGGGTATTTCACGTCATTGAGTTATATTTATACCATAAGTAATTTCATTAATTGCACATTACCCCCAACAGCTCTTGTGAAGTATATCCAAGTAACCCATAAACATCATGTTCGAATAACTGGCTTGTCATTAACTCGTTACTCTCTTCATAAGATGAGATAACCAAATTATTGATGCAAAGGAACCTGTTGTGCCAATTATTACACAACATAATTTAACAAAATGTATTGTGAGATGAACTTTGGACATCTATGTTAAGTTTACATTTATAGACGTGTAATAAGATATTAACTTATGCTTCAAACTTTGATAAAGAAGTATGAAGTGAATATACAAGAAAGAAATTTTTATGAAATCTTAAAAAAAGTATAATTCCATGGTTGTTGGAAATCCATAATTAAGGTCATTTGTGAAAAAAAATATAAAAAGTTTCATGAAATAATACTAATATTTATTCATCCAGATAAAGTATATATGTTTTAATATTAAGTCAATTGATATAATGATGTTTTTAAGATTGATATTATGTTTGTTTTACACTTGTATAAATGTAAGTATCAAACAATCCTAATTCATCACATGAAACATGCCATCTACTAAATTTATAATTATAAAGTAATTCAATAAATATACACATTTGTTACTCCCTCTGTCCCCACAAAAATAGTTCAGTTTAATAAAAAATTTTGTTCCAAAAAATAGTTCAGTTTCACAAAGTCAAATTTAAATTTGATTGAAATTACTTAACTACCCTTAAAACCTATAATCAAAAGCCGGCCAGTAATTTCTATCCAAACCTATTATACGGCCACCAAACTTCCAAGTGCGGCCACCACCATTTGCACTCCTCTAATTCTTCCGTCTCCAAGTGCGGCCACCACCACCTGCCGATCTGTTGTCACCACCACCTGAAGAATGAGGTTCTATTTACCAAATCTTCATTGCCGATTTGTTCAATTCCTCTGTCGATTCACCAATCTGCTGCAAAATTCACAACGCTCAAGTAGATTGTGTCCCTTGCCCCTCCCGATTGGATTTTCTCTGCTTCCAATTTCCAGCTCGTGTAATAATGACGAAAATTATTTTTTATCCTTTCCTTTGTTGGATTAAATTGATTCTCTTCTTTTGTCGTTAAAGAAAGTGGATGGATTGCTGCTAGATAGCCTTTTTTGGGTCTGATTTTAAGTTGAAAAATTACGATTTTCATGGCTGATTCGTCAGAGAATGAGAGAAATGACCAGAAAGGAAAGGTGTGGATTTGGCGGTGGCAATTGTAGTTGTCTATGGAGTTTGTGGCTGGATTGAAGAGGTGTTCTCCGGCGAATAAACGAAGGAGAAATATGTCTGGTGACTGGAAGATGAGATAGATGAGGGGTAAAAGTGGAAGTTTATAGTTTAAAATGAGTTGTACCTTGAGTGAGTTGATTAAAATTAAAAAGTTGTACATTTTAAAACTGGACTATTGTTTTTAAGACGGTGGGAGTATTTGAAATCAATAAATTATACTAATATAAATATATCTGGAAAAGGGCCAAAATATTTGGATTCAATTGGAACGAAATATATGTTAGGGGATCCTTATGTAATAGCTAAAATTTTGAGGGGGTTAAGAAGTGATTGATTAACATTTCTGTACTTATTTTAATTCTTATTTATTTTCTGCCTGAAGCGACGGAAAGGAGTCTCTGTAATAAGTAATGTATTGGAGGAATCGATGCTGACTTGTTTACAAAACAATCTCAAACTTCAACTTCGATTCGATTGAGGTCCCTCAAAGATTTGGCTGTGTGTTTCCGAGATGGGTTTTCTGAGTACTATACTGGGTTTCTTTGGATTTGGAGTTGGGATTTCTTCTGGCTTGGTCGTTGGGTACTATCTGTTCATCTATTTCCAACCTTCTGATGTCAAGGTCCTTCCCTTACAACCATCATGTTGGTTTTTTCGTGTTTAAATTAGTTCATTTTTTAGTAGCACTGCTGTATGTATATTGTTTTTTTTTCCTGTCTATTAATTAGTTCATTTTCTAGTAGCACTGCTGTATGTATTTTGTTTCTTCTTCTTGTCTATTAACACTCGTGTTGCTGTTGTTGTGTGATTTGGAGTATTTATCATTCGATTATCCTAAACAGAGTCACTCTATGTTAGCGTAGGAATTTTCTGTCCCTTTTGTATTTGAGTTAAATAGTTGGGTAGCGAGCATGATTGATAAGAATTTGTATTGTAAATGTCTAAAGCTGTATTCGACAGTATAAACATGAAATGTGGGATGCAACAAATAGGTTTATACTAGTATATACTGTAAGAGTGTGTGTGGGGATTGAGGATGCAACTCGGTATTGTAAAATGCAAATGAAATATAAATTACAAAAATAAAATGCTGTCAAATTGCTTTAGGCTATAGGATGGACGAATTTAGATGAATATAGCTTTCATGATTAAATCAACGTTTTCGGAGGTCTGATTTTGACTTGCTAGTTGATCAGGATCCGGTTATCCGCCCGTTGGCTGAGAGAGATGATCAAGGTTTGCAGAGTCTACTCCCTGAAATACCCCTGTGGGTGAAATGTCCGGACTACCAGCGAGTATGTTTTATGTTATTTTAACTGTTTCTTTATACCTCTGTGGAGTGACTGTTAAAAAGATGGATGCTATGCTGAAATATGTAGGTCGACTGGTTGAACAAGTTTCTTGAGTTAATGTGGCCTTATCTGGACAAGGTATGTTGATCCACTTAACTCCTTGTTAGGTTTCTTTCTCTCCCTTTCTTTTTTGGGAATCACCAGAGTTGAAATAGCTCGTGTAAAGGTTTGCATCAAGCACGGAAGCTTTTGAGATAGGAGCTATATCAGTGGGGGGATCATTGTTAAACCCGTCTGTTTCTTCTTGCAGGCAATTTGTAAGACTGCAAAAAACATTGCGACACCTATCATTGCTGAGCAGATCCCGAAGTATAAAATAGAATCCGTTGAGTTTGAAACACTAACTCTGGGGTCACTTCCTCCAACTTTTCAAGGTGCTTTCTCATGGTTAATATGTTCGCCTTTTGGACTTGGCTTATTATTGCTTGGATGGTAATTTATCTGAATGATTGATTTGGAATTCCCTTGGAAAAATATTGTTGAATGAATCCATTTCTGTTCAAACTAATATCCTTCGTGGTTGATTATGTAAAATCTTCTGAACAGGGGCTTCAAATAACATTCCTGAAGGGGGTAACTATCCAGTTCAATATGAAAAAAGAAGTTGGGAATGAGCTAATGCAAAAAAATTGTAAAACTATCTCTGGTTTCTGATATAATGTGATTAAGCTATTATAGAACAGAACAGAATTTTGGCTTATTTTCTCATTTCCATTGGTTGGCTAATGAAGTTTTAATCTGTTGTTTGATTATTTGCCTAAAGCCTGACCAGACTTGGTTTGATGAAGTTTTAGCCGCTTGTTTAATTATTCACCTCAAGTCCAACCACTGTAACAGTGTAACCAGACTAACTTGCTCTTTATGACCTTGTTTCTTCACTTGCTATTTGTACCGGAATGCATGGGTTCAATTGGATTATTTACTCATATTATTATTATTTCCCTTTTCCAAGCCTCTTTGATCCCTCCAATGTTTCTGCTCGAAGAAACAGAAAACATGTTTTAGTTTCAGGCTTTTGGCTATTTTCATGTATTCGTTGAATCATTTATATGCTATCTTAGTGCTGAACTAGTCTTTACTCAAAGTCTCAAACACTTGTCTCGTTTAGGTATGAAAGTCTATGTAACCGATGAAAAGGAATTGATCATGGAACCATCCCTCAAATGGGCAGCTAACCCTAATATTACTCTTGCTGTCAGAGCTTATGGGTTGAAAGCAACTGTTCAGGTGCTTTATTTGTTTCAATGCTGCTACCTCATACACATGGCTTTATTCGATAACTTCACAACCAGTAATCTAAATTTCAGGTAGTGGATCTACAAGTCTTTGCTGCACCACGTATTACTCTAAAGCCTTTGGTACCAAGCTTTCCATGTTTTGCCAAAATATTCGTATCCCTCATGGAGAAGGTTTGTGTTGCTTTGATATTACGTGAAGTGATGAATAAAATGCTTATCTCAACTTCTACTTTAAAGCTTAAAAAGTTAATCGTGCTCTCTTAGTTGTTTGAATTTCCTTGGTTTTTTATAGTTAAATGTATGAATCAATGGGTTATCCCTCTAATAATAGCATGTGAGAGAGTCCTTTCTGTGTGTTCATTTATGTGCATTGTGCCCCATTTACAGCCACATGTTGACTTTGGCCTGAAGCTTGTTGGGGCTGATCTTATGTCAATACCAGGGGTGTACCCGATTGTTCAGGTATAGTTCTGCCCTTCTAAATGTTCTTGTTTGTCATTTCGTTCTTTCATCCATTTCTTTTTACTGAAAGATGCACATTTCTCATCGGCTCCTTTTGAATATTATGGCATGGTGTTAGCTGCAAGATTGTTGTGTCTTTATGGGGCAACTAAAAAATGATCGTTTAGACCATGACACTTGTAAATTAATTATATAATCTTGCAAAGCAAGCTTGTTTTTAACTTTAGTTGACCCGCTAAATTAATCCACTGACATTGAACATTGTCCACTTTGTTTGGAATTTTTTTCCTGGAGAACGCGTATACATCAAAATACCACATAATGGGATTATAATTCTTAAGCTGACGTGGTGCACTTGTGAAATTTGTCTTTCTGAACATGTGCTTGTTAACTTTTTCAGATTATAGTCCACATTCTATGTCATGGATGTGATTTGTTTGAGTTTCTTTTTGAGATGTTTTACTTATTCTCGACTGGTATTAGAGTGAAACAACTACATTACTTTCAGGATGTTATCAAAAATCAAGTAGCGAGTATGTATCTTTGGCCTAAGACCTTGGAAGTACAAATTCTCGATCCAGCCAAGTACGTTGAATTTTCTTGCCACTCTGCAGATCTTATGCTGTGTTATATGGTGTAATGCATTTGTAGCGTATTAAGCTCTTGAATTCTTTTTTGCTCGTAGAGCCATGAAACGACCTGTTGGAATTCTTCATGTCAAAATCTTGAAGGCAATGAAGCTGAGAAAGAAAGATATACTGGGTGCATCTGATCCTTATGTGAAGTTGAAGCTCACTGAGTCAAAACTTCCTTCAAAGAAGACTACAGTGAAGCATAAAAATTTGAATCCTGAATGGAATGAGGAATTTACTATGCTTATTAAAGATCCTGAAACTCAGGCACTTCAAATTAATGTTTATGATTGGGAGCAGGTATATATATGTATATGCTTTCTATCATTGTGCCTTTTTTATTTGGAGTCCTTTATCAAGAAAATAAATTCAGCTCATTATTCTGTTTTAAAGATTGGAAAACACGACAAGATGGGGATGAACGTCGTTCCTGTAAAGGAACTTACTCCAGATGAGCCGAAGGTCATGACACTAACTCTTTTGAAGAACATGGATCCAAATGATGTTTCAAACGATAAGGAACGTGGGCAGATCGTGGTAGAATTAACGTACAAGCCTTTTAAGGAGGATGATATGCCGAAAGATTTTACTGAATCAGGTGCTGTTCAAATGGCTGATAAAGATACTCCACCTGGTGGAGGGCAACTTGTGGTAATAGTTCATGAAGCTCAAGATGTTGAAGGAAAGCACCACACTAATCCTTATGTACGAGTTACGTTCAGAGGAGAAGAGAAGAAAACCAAGGTACTGAATTACCTTCATTTAGATGTTCTTCATTGGTCCAGATTATTCGTTTGGAGCTTTCAGGGTTGCAAGTAATCCTTAATGTGTGTTAAAATGCATCTTCGTTCTTGTGTAAAATTCTGTAGGCACTTTGAGTACATGATTTTAGTTGACTTCACATGGAAATTTTTGCCCACTTCTGAGTATAATTTCTTTGTGAATCACACTTGGGTGCTTATATATGCATCATTCTTCAGCGAGATTTTGGATTAGAGCTATGAAGTTGGTTGATGCCATGATTAACTGTATCTTTAATGTCTCCTAGACTCTCAAACTTTTGAAAAATATTATTGGGTAGTCTCCACTGAGTTTGTATGTTTTTTGATCCCTGATGTAGCATATCAAGAAGAATAGAGATCCAAGGTGGGAAGAGGAATTTACTTTTACTGTGGAAGAGCCTCCAGTGAATGACCGTCTGCATGTAGAAGTATTGAGCCAATCATCAAGGATTGGACTGTTGCATCCCAAGGTATTGTACTCGCAAATGCTAAGTCTACCAAGTAATACACTGTTCAAAAGATTTTGGCCTGAACAATGGGTTGTCCTCATTTCATTTTCACTTTAGTTTCTGCTAGATTGGTAAGCTGGCAGCTAACAGTAACATTGTTATTGGAATCTCAGGAAAATTTGGGTTACATTGATATCAGCCTTGCTGACGTTGTGAACAACAAAAGGATCAACGAGAAGTTCCATCTTATTGATTCCAAGAACGGGGTGATCCAGATTGAGCTGCAGTGGAGAGAAGCTCCCCCAAAAGAAGAAAAAGAAGCAGCCCCTGCAAAAGAAGTAGCTTAAGGACGCCTTAGTTTTTGTTTCTTTCTCAAAATTTTACTTGCGCGTTTGTCTTGGATGTTGCTGGTTATGGTGGAGATATCTGATTAGGCCATATGTTGTTCTTTTCTTTTCAAAAGAAGTTTGGGTTTTTTTAATCTTTTGCACAGGGGAAGAGTTCATGGTGTCAGGAGGACGTCTTCGGGTTGGTGGTGGTTTCCTTTTTTGTGTGTGGGTATAACTATTATATACTTCAGCATTTTCACAGGGTTAAATTGCAGTGATTGCTTGATTTGTGGCATATTTTGTTGGGATACTTTGTGGGACATTCTGCAGCATCGCTACACTTTTGACGCAAATTTGATTCGCTAAGTGCCGTAGCAAAATATTAAGAGCTAATTAATACTCCATTCATGTGAAAAGCTTGTCTAATTTGGATTTTTATTCTTTAATTTAAATTGTACATAAAATTTTTTTCTTGAACACTATGAAGGAAATTATTATTATTTTTTTTCGTTAACGTTAGGAAGCCCACCACATATGGGTAAAAAATTGTACATAAGTATAAATTCAAATTGGACAATCATTTTAGAAGAGTATTATTTTCTGGCCAAATTGATATAATCATATGCAATAAAAAGTCAATAAAGGCTATGTGTAGCTTTTTTTTTAATGGTTTTTCAAGATTTTTATTGATATTATTCTTTTTTATTATTATTTTTTTATTTTCAATAGAAAAAATACATTAAAATAGGCATCGGGAAAATATTCAAAAATACCCAAAATGTAATTCAGATATATGTAGGGCCCACATATATAATTGAGTGAGTTTTTTTCTTTTCCATACTTGGAAATTTGACCGAAGAACTAAGAAAAAACTTTATCTGTTCCAACATCAAACCAAATTAAATTCTGAAATTAAAATTACATTTTTAATAACAATTTCAAAACTTCACGAATTATTTTTCATTTTTGCCACAGGGATATATTTAGGGCCGGAATGATTTCATTCTGGGCCACTGCCGGCAGCGAAAAGAGACTGTTGGGCCATTTCCTAAGAGGGTACTACTTGCTACGGTTTTCCCATTCCCAAGAAACTAATCCAATTCGGGGAACTAATAAAATATTTGTGTTCCAAGAAAAAAATAGAAAAGCTAAAAAAAATGTGGTACTGCACGCATGAAGTGTTGTACATCATAGATAGATATATACGTATAAATATATAATCAGGAACCAGTGGCAGTTGCGGAACGAGTCTATTGTCAACATTTGGAAGCTTATCATCATCAACAACAATGGCGACGGCAGTGGTGGTGGACGCCGATTACCTGAAAGAAGTCGACAAGGCTCGCCGGGACTTGCGTGCTTTAATCTCAAACAAGAATTGCGCTCCGATCATGCTCCGCTTGGCGTACGGTTATTATTATTATTTTTTTTTAACTTCGACGATTGTTTAATCGAACTTGAAAATAAGAAGAATAAAGAGGATTTGGTGGAATAGAGGTGATTCATTTTCTCTTGTGACTCTACCAGGTGGCACGATGCTGGAACTTACGATGTGAACACTAAAACCGGTGGCCCTAACGGCTCCATTAGGAACGACGAAGAGCTTGCTCACTCCGCTAACAATGGCTTGAAAATTGCTCTTGATTTTTGCGGTAATTCTCTTCTTTAATTTTCTGTATCACTTTTTTATATAGTTTGTTTTTGGCTATCGGCCTGCCTTGTTGTTTGTTTAACCTATGAAAGTACGGATAACATACAGAAAATCATAGGATGCTCCGCTCTTGCTGTTTATATTATTTTGTGGTTTCTAGAGTTGGAGAATTTGTCCTTTTAGCAGTTACTGTCTGGGAATCCATGTCGTTTTTGCTTGATTCTGCTTCTAATTTGATTAGATTAGTCCAATCGTGCAAATAATCTTAGACCATCTCCAGTTATGGTATTGTGGGTAGATCACTCATTATCATACTAGTGGGTAGGATTGTAAAGGTGGTAAAAAGGATAGACAATCACTCTTTAATGTCTAGAAACAACAACAATGAATTAGCTTTTATCCTATAGTTTGGTTCTGCTATTTTAATATGATTGTTTAGAAACATGATATTTTGTTGAGAAACATGTTTAGAAACATGAATAATGGAGATTATTTATTAGTTAGCATTTACTTTTTTCGGTGCATGTTGGGACTTAATCTGTGCTTGTTTGCAGTGGATTTTCAGCTCTAGACTGCTGTTAAATGTTTGCAGTTTAGAGTTATGCTGTGTCAGTGTGTGGCTATAGTGCATTTTTTTCTTATATATATATATATATATATATATATATATATATATAAAATAGGAAAGAACGTTAACGAAGAGGTGGTTTCTGCTTTTGTCTTCTTGTATGCGAAACAGCTTGGGTTGGGGGTGGGGGTGAGTGAGAATGATGCTTTTACTTTGTCATTTTCAATCAGTTAGTGATACCTTTCTCTTTGATAACTTTTTACAGAGGAAGTAAAGTCTCGCCATCCGAAGATTACTTATGCAGACCTGTTCCAGGTGACTATATATACTCTTTCATTTTAAGTTTGGTTTACTTCTTCACACTGGATGATGACAGTTGACAAGCAAGGTGGCACATTATCGAGCATATTCCTTCTTCTTGAACATTTTTAGGAAGTCATGGTAAAAGTAACAGAAAGTTGTGCCCCCACCATAGTGGAGTAGCATCTCTTTCCTATAGGCTGAAAGCTAAATGAATTTTGGCTGTTACACTGTAAATTGAAACTACTGGTGTGGACATAGCTCAAGTCTGGGAACTTATTGGTAGTTTAGCAGCAACTTTACGATGGCAAAGTTGTCGAGACTGAAAAGAACATCCCTTCTGCATTCAGTTGATACTTGATAACCAATATCTGTCAAACTTGCCTCCAGTATCTATATGCTGTAGAAAACTGAAAATATAAAAACAAAAATTTGTGACTATTCAGTAGCTTTTGGATGAAAGTCAGAAGTGGCAGTTAATTAACTGTTTGTTAGCTAATCATGGAGGTACGAGAACTGACCTTTGATTCTTTTAATGATGAGTTCAGAAGAAGATGGAGAGATGAAATTTTCTTGTGTAGCATGAGTTTCAGCTCTCTGATGTGGTTGTAGATTGTGATACAAATTCAGCAGCGTCTGAAGTCATTATTGAGATTGCCTATCTTGCATAGATATAATCTTCTGGATGTCAGATGTTTATGGTCATGATGCCAGATGATAAAAATTTAATGAACTTGAACCCAAATCTTAGTGCTTCTGACATAATTGGTTGGTGAATTTGTGTTTATGAAACAATGAAGCAACTGGCTAGAAAATTTTCTGCGATGGGATTTCTGTTAGCTGTTTTAAGTCGTTAGGAATGAATGAACAGCTATGTCAATCATATTGATTCATTCAAGCAATCCAATTTGCTTCCGTAGCTTGCAGGTGTTGTTGCTGTTGAAGTTACTGGTGGTCCCACCATTGAATTTGTTCCTGGTAGAAAGGTATATGCAGTTTAAATCCAACAATATTACGTAAATGTGTATTCCATATACCAATATTTAATGCTATTTCCATTTTTTGTCTTCAGGATTCAAAGGCTTCCCCGAGGGAAGGGAGGCTGCCTGATGCCAAGAAAGGTTGTTAAAATGCCCTTGATTTGTGTACTTCACGTTGTTTATGCTATTTCAGAAATGACCTTTTCGGTTTCTGTATTTTTAGCTATATATTATTCTTGTGTATCTGTTGTTTCAAATGACATGTATAATTTTTTGATTACAGGTGTTCCACATTTGAAAGAAGTTTTTTACCGCATGGGTTTGTCTGACAAGGATATCGTTGCGCTATCTGGTGGCCACACTCTGGTAATTTTGTTGTTCATTTGCAAATAAGTTAGTCTGGCACTTAAATTCAGTGTAAATTGCTTCATCTCTGGCAGAGGAACAATTACTTTTGGATTGAGCTGCTTACATCTGCAACATACAAAAACAGTTAATTATGCCGTTTGTCTTTTAGGGGAGGGCACATCCAGAGAGATCAGGATTTGAGGGTCCATGGACTAAGGAACCGCTAAAATTTGATAATTCATATTTTGTGTAAGTTCTAGCTAATGTTCTGCTTGGTATGTTGATGTATCTACTCGTATCACGTTGAAGCAATTAGTCATATACTTGCACTTTCTTACAGCGAGCTGCTTAAAGGAGAAAGTGAAGGGCTGCTGAAACTTCCAACAGATATAGCCTTATTGGAAGATCCTCAGTTTCGCAAATTTGTTGAGATTTATGCAAAGGTAGTCTAGGTTTTCAGATTGAAGAATGTTTCGATATTCCGCCTTTTATCCTTCAAAGTGCAACTCTTGTGCCCCATTGTAATTCTAATACTTGGCAAATCCGCAGGATGAGGATGCCTTCTTTCGAGATTATGCCGCATCGCACAAGAAACTTTCTGAGCTGGGGTTCTCTCCACCTTCTTCCAGTTTCAAGGCAACCATAAAGGACAGCACCGTGTTGGTGCAAAGTGCGGTTGGAGTAGTTGTGGCCGCTGCTGTTGTGGTTGTGAGTTACATGTATGAAGTCCGGAAGAAAACCAAGTGATGGACCTTTACTTCAGTATCATTTGCTTCCTCTCCGGGCAGAATGGTATTCAATCATTACTCTTTTGATGTCAGCATAAATAAGACTATCATACGAAAATTTGACTGGATGACGCCCAAGATGTATAAACTTCCAAAGCCACTTATCGGAGAAGAATATTATTTCTGATGGGTGGTATTCACATCACCTCTAGAGGTGGTATGAGTACAGTTCTCCAGATTGCTTCCTTTCAAACTCTTCGTTGAACACAATCTGTATCTTATTTTCTCTTTCGGCGCGACTGGCTTCCAAATTTGGTATACGAGGCAGAACCGGTAGACTTGAGTTTTAGATACGATTAGTGTTTTTAGCTTTTTAATGCAGAACCATCATTTGACGTTTACCTTGCTATTATGGCTATCGGTTTTGTTGTCCCCCAAAATTTTCTTATCAATGAAAATGCAGAGCTTCTTTGTTCTCATGGTGGTTTAGATTATAGATGTAAGGTATAACTATTGTGCTGTTTAAATATATCACTGGGTATTACTACACTACTTGTGCGCTTGGTACTATGACGCTTGGATACAAGAAGAGACTACTACTACTCCGCTACTCGGCTTCTAAGTTGAGAAGTACAGTTAACATCCATCCATCCCGACCATTTGGAACGCAATTATCTTCGTGTCACTAAAATTAATTCTGCGACGCATAAAACTCGAAAATGTCATTATTGTTGTTGGGTTTCACAAGTTATATCCACAAAATTGCATGAATACATGGATTGTTATCTTACGTTATCCACAAAATTTTGCTGCACAAGGATGCATATGATGAAATCCTGATACAGTGCAGACAAACCAAATAATTGGCTTCACTGCCACACTTCAACCTCACTTCATTCCCTTCCATTTTATTTAATAAGCCTCTCTCCATGTGCTAATAATTGAGCCAATCCCATTGCCTTATAATTTCTACCTAACCTTGACAGTATGGATTACTAGACAACCATTTGCTATTCCATATGGAGCATGTTAGGTTTTGGCCAGAATATTTTTTCATAAATTACTCAGATTTGGATCTGAACTGTCTAGTTTATCAGTATTCTTTTTGACTCCTACTACCACCAGTTGAATGGAAATACAACATCCTTTGGCGTCTGTATTATTGAACGTCTGTGGTCATCATTTTGGAAAAACTTGTAATATTGTCAATTCCAGTTTTGACAATTTGTATATTGGAGGTCTATATATTCTTGACTATATCAATGAAATAAATGTCCCTCTGTCGGTGCTAGCTCTTACAAGTTACAGAGAATGCATCCAGCTATTCGACTCAAGATCAATCAAATTCTAATTTGAGAAGTCATTATAGAATTTTCTTCAAGTCATTGTTTTCTAATACAGTTATTAGTACATTCATTATATAATACTCTGGAGAGGGGAGAAAAAAGCCCATTGATGCACACTAAATAAAAGCCTGCTTATAAAAATATAATGAGTTTAGATGCGGCAACTACTCAACAGGAATACAACATTTGCACTCCAAAATGAGGATTCATTCCAAAATGTCTTTTCTAATTGCAGAAAGAATTATTTACATGGGCCAAAAGAGAGAGGAGCTGGGGAAAAAGAAAAATTAAGCAAAAAAAGGAGAAGAAGAAGATAGGAAACAAAGAGGTAAAGCTAGTAAGAGTATGGTTGTCTGCATCAATAATGTGGAAATGAACCTACAGTTGGTGAAGCTTTTTACTCTGATTTAAAAGTGATAATTTGTTATACATCATCATATAAATTTAAGCTAATACTGATGGGTACAACCTCTTTAAATAATATAAACACGAAACGAAAACTGTTTGGTTTGTTTTTCTGATAGTATTTTCACAATATTTAATTAATAAATATATCATCTTAATATATTTTTTTACATTTTCAATACACTTTTTTACATATCTAATAAGAAAACATTTAAAAACACACACTAAAAAACAAATCCAACATACATTCACGATATTGAATCATGCAAGTTGGAACTCATAAAATAAATTTTGAGGTTTCCGCAAAAATTTCGAGTTACAAACACTAAACACCGCGTCTCCGAATCGGCTAATCCCTTGTACCAAACCAAGCAAGAAGGCAAGAACCGTAGGGGAGGGTCCTCACATGGGGATAGGGAAGAAGGAACCAAAAGAGGTAGGTAGGTAAGGGATTTTTGCCCCTTTGAGTTTGGAAGTTTGGGACATCCCCACGTAGTTAAAAAAAAAAAAAAAAAAAAAAGACTATACAAGCCTACAACGTTTCCAAACATCTTAGCACATGACATCCACGTGACATTTAGCCCTTAGTTGGCTCTCACACTGTCACACATGACCTTTACTGTTTTTTTCTCCACATATATATTTATTTTGCCTACCTTCTCAATAATAGTATACCACCAACTTGAATCTTCATCCTCTATTATTACCAACTCATAATTCATTTTATCACCAAAAAGTTTTGAACACTCCTTCATCTTGGAAAAAAAAAAGTAATGTTCATAAATTAAACTGTTCTAATAATATAATCTTCTTTTTTTTAACAAAGAGAGTACGATATATATATATATATATATATATATTTGGTAATGCCGGAAACCCACCAGAGATGGATAAACCCACGCCTATTGCAATAGCTTGTAAACCACAGTAAGAGGTAAATCACCTTAGGCAAGCCCGCGGTGATAAGTTCGGGTGCGAAATCGGAGGTTCATTAGTGGGTTAACCATAACAATCCCTTAGATGTGCCAATAGGCAGAGTGATTTTCTTATGATATTCTTTTCCTAATTTTATGTTGTCCACTATTTGTTGACTCCTCCTTATGTAATTTGGGCTATTTGACAAAAAAAAAAGCATTTCTTAAAAATTCAAATTGGTGGGAGACTGAGCTAAATTATAATATGTCAATTCTATATATATATATATATATATATATATATATATACACTTTATTTTTGTGGTTTTGAGGGTTTATCTGTATAGATATTTTGATATGTAACACATATAATAAGTGTGATAATGAAAACCAGCTTGGGGTTGTTTCTTTCCGTTTTTTTTTTCTTTTTTTCTTCTTTTTATTTAAAAAAAAAATGTGAGAAGAAAGCAACAAACTCAAGTGTTACATAGAAATCCACCAAACTGATAAGAAATTGATGAAGCTGGGACTACCAAAAGAGTAATTAGGAGGAGAGTAGGACTAGTGAATGTGCCGTATCACTGCCACCGTTTCTTCAATAAATTAAATGCATCAAGCTTTTCTTTTTCTTTTTTCTTTTTTCATTCATTGAGCAACCAAACTAACTCTTCTTTATTGTATTATTATTCACGCAATATCTCGCCATCCCAATTATTTCACAATTAAAAAAGAAGAAGAAAATATTAGTAGCAGTACATCTTTTAGTCCTTTAGAAATATCAACACGTTTAGTTAGTTTGCTAGTAAATGGTGCCAAGTAGAACAACATCATGCGATTAAAAGTATCATTAACTTGATCCATTTTACTGATTAGATATATTATGATCAAAGCGATAAATTGTCAAAAATCATACACCAAATTTACCCGGAGGGAAAAGAGAAAAAAGAAAAAGAAAAATATAGAATCTTAACGATAAAAAAGGACTAAAAATGTTATTATTTTCTACATTATGAATACCAACGAGCCATTTTCTCATCTTTTATTACGACTAAGATAGCTCAAACTCATTTCTAATATGTATAAAAATCAAACTTTGAGTGCATCATCATCATCATCATATGCATGGATAAGCTTTGGAAAATAGACATGTCCAATGAATATTGTGGGTTGTGGGGGTGTGTGAGAGTGAGATAAGAGTTGATGATCAGAAGAAGAAGATGGGGGAAGGGATAATGGTAGGTATGCATAATTTTCCAGGAGGAATAATCTTATTGGAGGGGTAATATATATGCATATCAATTTTGGGATTAATTGAAATGGTAGAATAAATACTACTCCAAAACAGATGATCGAGAGAGTCGTAGCTAGAATGTGGAGCCATCCCATGCATATTTTCTAGGGACCGTGATAATAATAATAATAATAATAATAATATGTATGTATGTATATATTGTGTCACAATCGAAGAAAAAGAAATTTTAAAGAACAAAAAAAAAGGTAGGTAAAATTAATGCAATACACAGATGAAAATTCTTGATCATTCATCAGTTATCACATTCATGATTCACCCATCCAATCCCAAGTGGGAGGAGTTAGGGAGGGAGATAGGTCGTAGAGGTTGATGGACTTCTTTCTCACCCCCAATATCCTTCTTTGTTTTCTTCAATTATATTGTTTCCGCTTACGTTTAGTTCTCGATCTCGTATTATAATCCCTTTAGTCCTTATTTATGTTTTTATTAAGTGTCTCTCTTTTTATAATTGTAAAGGATGTCATAATTATATCTCTAATTAACGCACTCTATCATACATATTTAATTTAGGGGTGGTATACTCTTTTCCTTAATTTTCAAGTTTCTAGAAGGTGTTCTAAAATATCAAATTAACACATTCGACGGAGTATATGTATACTGTATAGCGACTGAGCTACATATGGCTCTGGCGAAACCTTTTAGGGTTTCCATTTTCTCTATAAAAAAAAAAAAAAGAAGTTAGGGTTTCCATTTTGAGTCTTATATAATTAGTACTACAACATATTCTGCCTAATTAAACTTGCACCACAAGCAGGTTAGGGGAAAAAAAACAACACTATTTTTTTAAGGAAAAAAAAAAACAAAAGAGAGAAGTGGAAGGTGAACCAAAGCCCACATACAACTACAACCACACACACACACACACACACACACACACACTACAACTTCACTTTCTCTAACAAACATAAATAAAAGAAAATAGTTTCACCTTTTTTATTCCATTATATTTCAGCATCCATATTCTTACACTTTAAACCCAACTTCCAGATCTTCTAGAAACCCCAAAAATCTTACGTTTGCATTTTTTTTATTTTTTATTTTTTGTTTAGTTTTCTATTTTGTACTAAGACGAAATGAAAATTATTAACCCTTATTTTCACTTTCTTCCCCCCGTGCTTACTACACAACGTTGAGAGAGCTGCAACTACCAGATTATAATATTGTTTTGAACTGGCAAGAAAGAAAGAAAGAATATATAGATGTATATGGCTAAATTCAATTGGGCAGTCGCACTTTTGCCTATTTTGCCCACCTCAACTAACCGACTTAAATAGTAAAAGAAAATTCACATCTCCCTAATTAACCAACTTTTGATGCACGCCACCAAATCTTAATGACTTCAATTATAAACTAATTTATTAATATTAATCCATTCAAATTGAACCATAATATATGTATATGACTAGATACACATCTTTTTGCTGTTGGAACAAACTCCATATATACATTTTTGTTTACCAGAAAAAAAAAGAAGATAAATAATGATAATTAATTAAAAAGGTATACCAAGAAGAATACTTAGCAGTGACCCGATAAATATGCGATTAATTCAGAGGTCTAGTATATAGAAAAGGGTTGGGAAGATTAGAGTTTGTTTGTTTAAAAGTGGAGGAATAAGTAATTAGCATTGTATATTGAAATTAATTAGGTTTAATTAGGTGGTAGTAGTACCACTAATTATTACTAAATAAAGGGAATTTGGTAAGATGCTGGCGGGTTTGATTTCTTAAAATAAAGGACTGTTACAACTGCACAATTAGTGTAGGTAAGAGAAAATAGTAATGTACTAGGAATCCATTAAACCATTTGGGAGTTAGGGGCATCTCTCTCTTCTTGGATCTTTAAGGTACACCACCATGTACATGCATCAAACCCATACTTAATTAATTATATATCCATGTTAGTTACAACCAAATAATGATCTAGACTACACTAAACAATTGAGTGTAGGCAATGAGATTTTTTGGTTTTCTTTTTCTGCATACAAAATGAAATGTTTATAGTTGGCACGATATAAAATAATTACTGTTGTATATCTGTCAAGAAAGTAAAAAATTATTGAAATAAAATTTGAACTCTGTAATCGTTTATCAATCAAAATTTGATAAGAATACATTAAGCCTGGTTCTAATTGAATAAAAAATCACAACATAAGTTATACAATGAGAATATTATTTCAAACTCTAAGTGCAATATAGCTAGCTAACGTGGCAATTAGGATACAAATGAAAATTTTTGTTACTAGCTAATGACACACATAAGTATCTAATAATCCTCTCATATAGATTAGATAGAGTCACCTATGATCAAAATCATAATCAATCATAATCTGAATCAAAAGTGCGATGTTCAAAAGAAGAGATTAAATGTTAGACAAAAAGTTGAGGCGGAGATCACACACCTTCCCTTCTCATCTCATCTTCCACCACCTCGTCTTACCTTCTTTTTACTTTTTTTCTTTTGAGTTTAATAAACCACACTTTTACACCTACCTGAAGTTAACCCTTTTGTTTATATTTGTCACTTTCTTTGGTTAAACTAAAAAATAAATAAAAATTTTGGATAGGTCCCATTTGCTCAAATATAATAATAATAATAATTAGGATATAGTACTCAATATGATGATGCTAATATTATCAAGAGATCAACAGAGGCCAAAGGAGTGACCCCACCCTCAAACCTGTCTCACCAACTCGCATCTAGAAGCTCTCTCTCTATTCAATTCTTTACACTCTCTCCACTCATCTCCCCAACCCCCCTTAACCCCCCCACACCCCCCTTCTCTCTCTCTTCAGTCTTCAAAGATTGAGTGAGAGAGTCAAAAGCCTTATATAATCCCCACCTTAACTTCTCCAAAGGCCGGCCTTGATGCTCTAGGTAGCACCACCCAAGAGGCCTTATTATAAAACACAACAACAATACCTTTTGTTGTCTAAAACCAACAGAGCGAAAGGAAAAAAAAAAAAAAAAGGAAACCCAAAACTTCAAGAAGAAAAAGGAAGAAGATTTGTGATTTTGGTAAAAAAGTGGATATTTGATACGCCCAAGAAAATGGGAAGGTCACCATGCTGCGAGAAAGCTCATACGAACAAAGGGGCGTGGACTAAAGAAGAAGATGATCGGCTCATTGCGTACATCCGGGCTCACGGCGAAGGCTGCTGGAGATCACTCCCCAAGGCCGCCGGGCTGCTGAGGTGCGGCAAGAGTTGCCGGCTCCGGTGGATCAATTACTTGAGACCCGACCTTAAACGTGGCAACTTCACCGAGGAAGAAGACGAGCTCATCATTAAACTCCACAGCCTCCTCGGCAACAAGTGAGTTCATTTTTCATTATTTTCGTCCGATCTCCTTTTCTTACTTTCTTCTAAGTTCTAACTTAGTTAGTTATAATAATATGAAGGTTGAGTTATGGTACACACAGCCGAGATAATTAGTAAAACTTAGAGAAAATTTGCCAAATAAATGTTGTTAATTGCTATCTCCTTTTTCAACTAGTAAGTACCATAAGTTAAAAAGTTTTGTAGCAAAGTTGTCCTTTCATGCAGCACATAGTAAAAATCCAATTTTTCGGTCCACCACACAAAATATTTAGTATTTAATAATACAACAACAAAAAAAATAAATCATATTCCCTCCCTACCCTTTATAAAACGTTACAGTAATTCAGCTTTTGCAAATGTGTGATTTTAATTCTACTAGAATCAGTATAATCGCATAATTAAGTTTCTACAAGTAATTAGTCACTTAATTATTAAGTCTATGTTTACCGTAGATTTTGTTATGTGTGCCGTTATAATGCAATGATGATTGAAGTAATTAAAAAAAAAAAAGTGAAAATGGTGATGAGAGCTAATTAATCATGATTGATTAATTAATTACAAATATGAATAATAAAAAATAGAAATGTTGATGGAAATGAATTTTGTTGGTGGTACGTAGGTGGTCGCTGATAGCGGGAAGATTGCCAGGAAGAACAGACAATGAGATAAAGAACTACTGGAATACCCACATCCGAAGGAAGCTGTTGAGCCGCGGAATCGATCCCACAACTCATCGCCCCATCCTCAACCATACTCATAATAATAATAATAATGCCCCATCCTCCACAGATGTTAAACCTTGTAATAATAATAATAGTATTCCTTCTTCAGCTGCCCAACAACTACAAGAAGATCATCATCCTCATCATCATCAAGCCGTCAAAACCATTTGTTTCAGCAACAACAACACCAACAACAACGAAGAAAGAAAACCAGAAGTAGTGATGAAAAGAGAAGAAATCATCATCCCCTTTGACTATCACCAGCCACGAGAAATGTTAGTAAGACCCTCGTCGTCCTCGTCGTCGTCATCGTGTAGTGATACAACTGCAACTCCTGATGAATTGAATCTAGAGCTCAAGATCAGCCCGCCTTGCAATTTCCAAGAAAAGGTCAACATTGTTCGACACCAACAAGATTTTATGATGCTTCAAGGAATGCCATCATCAAGAAGTAGTACTAGTACTACTATGTGTTTTTCATGCAGCTTGGGGATCCAAAACGGCAAAGATTGTGCTTGTCATCATCATCCTCATCCTATTCATTATCCCGGCACCAACAAGATTAATCATGGGTATGATTTCTTGGGGTTAAAGTCCAACAACACTGTTTTAAATTTGGATTTCAGAAGCTTGGAGATGAAGTAAAAAAAGAAAAAAAAAAATTATTGATTGATTGCAAATATAGGAGAGAAAATTTATGAGAGAAACTACGAAGAGTGGTGGTGGTGGACTTTTTTTAATTCATCCAGTCTTTTCTGATTTCTCTCTCTCTTTTTTCTTTTTCTTTTCTTGCTTTTGATTTTGTAAAATTTTTAATTAATTAGCGAAAATTAAGAAACCCTGCAGATCATCAGTCCTTAACTAATATATAGCATTTAATTAATGGGAAAGGTATTGTTAGATTTGTGTATTCTTTTGTGATAATTGACAACAGTTTTGACATTTTGGCTAGTTAATTTCATCTTATTTATGGCTCAGTTTTGATGATTTGCTTAATCATGAACTTTTTGGTAAGTAACACATACAAACGGGAACATGAGATTTGTTGAGATTAAAACTTTGACCGACGAAGGGAATGTGATTCTAATTTCATGCCTGGTTCCATGTCGATTAATTTTTAATCGGTCTAGGAATCGATCGAATATCGTATAAAATGAGTAAAAAAATAAAAAAATTTTGTCTCCTTTTACTACTATATAATACTACCCAAATAATAATAATAATAATAATAATAATAATAATCTATTATTTGAAGTAATTTTTTGAAAACTAATAATTAAAATCAGACTATGGTAGATTAAATCACGGGCAATGGTGTGAAGTGATACCTAGCTAGCTGTCCACATGTAGCTAATTTATTCTTCTTGCAGTTTTGATATCTTTGCATCTCAGCTGATTTCCTTTTCCATCTCCGTTTTTTTTTTAACCCCTAAACCAGGGAAAACGAAAAGGTTGACAACAATTATTGAACTAATTTCTTCCAGAATCCGTTTTTCATTAATTGCTTGAGATAATTAAGAGCTAATTAATTTGGTTTATTATATTATCATGATAACCGTGACGACCAAGAAGCTTTTTCGTATGGTTGATCGGTAGTTGGGTACCTCTGTATAGCTAGCTGATTAAGAATATCACACACCCAAAAAAAATAAATAAATAAATAAAAGCAAATATTTCTCTTTGCCAAATATATTCTCTGGCTGGTCTTGCTAGGTTATCTTTTCGGCCAGAGCCTAAAAGTTTAGAATTGCTTGGCTCCAAATTTCTAGTACAATTTATAAATGAATTTCACACATTCTGAATTAAAACTTTTTTTTATCCCTTTCAAAATGGCTGTTCTAATTACTTGTATCATTTTAGAATAAAATAAGTAGATGAATAAAAATATTCTCCCTCTTATGTAAAATAATTCTTTTATTTAAAATATTATTGTTTTAGTATAACAAAACGGACATAATTATTTTAGTACGGATGAAATATGTTGTGTCAAAGAAAAAAAAATTAATTCTCTTTTCCTAGTCTCCTCGAGAAAGACTTTTTTCCAACTAAGACCAAATTTCTGTTCATAAATTTATTTTTTATATGAAAAATAAACAAAAACATGGGTTTTCCTTTTTTTCCATTTCTTGAGAGATTCTTTTTTTTTTTTTTGTCTTGTTCGGAGAAAAAAGGGTTTTGAGGGACGAAATTGGATAAGCTGTGGGAGGACGAGAAGTAAAGAGGAGGAACAGGTGGGTGGGTAACCTATCTTTTTTATTCTTTATTCAAATGAAAAGCAAAGAATTAGTACAATACTCTAATTTAGTACTTACTTATTTATGCACAGTTCTTAATAAGCATGCATGAGTTATTCCTACAATTATAGCTTGTCTAGTCAACCTTTTCATATTTTTCCAAGCTTTTTTTTTTTTTTTAAAAAAAAGGACTAAAATCGGAAGCCTATTTATATTTATTGTGATTTTGCAGTATTAAAAAACGTATCCTATTATTATAATCCATCAATTTTCGAAAAAAATAATTTAATTTGAGAAATAATAATCTTAAAATTGGAATATATTATTTAAAAGTTATCATAAAATTGATAAGATAAAAATATATACATGTTAAAAAATTTTATTTTTCAAGATGGAGAGAGTATATAGATAAGAAATGTTTTTATTTATTTTTTTTCTTAAAAAAAAAAGATAAGAAGAAACAACAATATTGTCTGCAGATTACGTACTATCGAAAGATCCTTCTACCAACCGGCCAACAATAATTACTATCAAACTAACCAACCACAGATCAAAATCAACTGTATATCCATCAATTTTAATTTGTTCACAATTATTGCAATCATAATTCCGAGCTCTCCATCCATCTGCGTGCATGGAGCTAGCTTGTGATCTCTCTAGTCTTTCCACTTCTTGTGATTTTTCCAAAAATCTGAAACTCAGGTCATCATTGTATATACCAACAAATTGAGTTTTTCTACCTCCGTCTCACAAAAATAATTCACATTAAGTTTTCTTGATTTTTGTACAATTTTTAGTACAAATTTTAAAATTCAATGTGAACTATTTTTTTGGGACAGAGGTTGTACAAGTTTATTATCCTTCCGTTCCCTAATACTCTCGTAACAAGTATTCATCGGAATAGATATACAAAAAAAAGTAGTTACAATTAAATTCTTATCGTAAAATGGATGATGAAGCCATTCATAACAATATGTTTAGAGCGACCTTTTCTTCATTTCGTTATCATGCATTTCATTGAGTACTTGCCACAACGGGGAATATATCTCTGATTTCTATGTATGGGAAACCATTTTTCTTAGCCCTATTAATGCTGATGTTTTCTTAGCTCATTTCGAAAGTGAAACCTGTCTTAAGTTCTGTTTTCTTGAATTACATATAATATAAATAAATAGCTTTAAAAATGAATATTTTAGTAGGATTGATGAGTATGGCTGACACATTCAGGTCGGCCTGAAATGGTTAAGGTCAATGCGTGCCGTGGAAAAGGTCAAAAATCAATTGAAAATTATATATTATCTCCGTCAAAAAAAAAAAAAAAAATAGTCCATATTAAGATTTGAGATTTGTGCTAGTTTTAGTACAAATTTATGAACTCAATATGAACTACTTTTCTGGGACGGATGGAGTATAATAGAACTATTGCAACGTATTGAAGTTGGAAATTAAATTACCATCAGTCTCTTATAATTGGTTAAGAGGAGAAGACAAATAAAAAAATCCAGCCAAATCTCTGCCTTGCAGTGTGTCGAAATTTTTGATTGAATTTTAACCCAACTGACGTATTTATAACACTAAAAGAAAAGGACAATTGGTCAAAAGGGGAAGGGAAAAAAAGAAGAGAAAGGAACATTTCAGTATTAATTTATATGATTTGTTATTATCGGTTGCTAGTATATATTTCTTCTATCCCGGACTTGTTATCCAGTTTGAGAATTTATTTATAGTACGATTTAAACTAAAAATAAAAATTTAAACTGAACAATAATTTTGGAACAAAAAGAAGTCAGAAGTATTTTGCGGGCGGAAAGATCATATGATATACAGGCTCCTACATTAGGAGAAGACTGTGGAAATACATATACGACATTGCCAGCCGATTTTGCACAAAAATGACCAAGTTGTGCAGTAGTAGGATACATATATAATTTGGTAGGAGCTTATATTATTTTAATTTTCAATTAAAATTTGCCAATTTTCATCACGTCGCTTTCAATATTTCAAATGTGTTAGGTAGACACTTTAGAAGCTTCCACAAGATATTTTATTTGGAGGTGTTTGTTCCCTTTTTTTTTTTGGTTGCTGCTTTCACTTTCACTAGCCATGGAGAAAATTTGTCTAACAAGACTTTATATATATATATATATATATATATATATATAGATATATATGACCCCCCCCCCCTAAATTATTGCATCAATCTAGCTACTTCCATCATATTTTGTACTAATGGTAATGGGGTAAATCATAATTGTTTGTTTCAGACTTCTCTTCCAATTGTAGAGAGTTTATAGGAAATTAAACACTAACTGATCAGAGACTGTGACGTATTCCAATTTTTTCTTCTACAATAATAATTTTATTTTTTTAATTAAAAAAAAATATCATGCTGTTCAAAACTCGAAGTGTAATCAAACTTGTATGACTCAAAAAGAAATAGTCAAATTCAAAACGCTCAAACGCATTATATTCATCAACAATCATCAAAGATAGAAGCTCAAATATATAATTGTTAATTATTATTAGTCCAAAGTCCAACTCCCACCAACATCACATGCAAGAGTGGTCTTCCTTTCATCTTCAACTCCCATTGGTGGACCCTTAAATTTGATCCAATCCAGTGTGTATTTATATATCTTCAGATCAGAATGATCATCAACGCGGAACCACTTCCCACAATTTAATCATTCGTTCTTGCAATAAAATATGATCATCTTTTTTCTCCTCATTATTATTTTCTTTTGTTGTGTGTGTGTGTTGTGTGTGTGTGTGTGTGTGTTCTAGGTATTATAGTTCGGCCTTTGATTAGAACGTACGGCTAACCCACTACCTCCATTCCACGTTCCATCTATATAGATGTACCTTAACGTTTGACTTCTCTACTTCACTTTAGCGGAAAACAAAATTGTACAGTTTCGATGATTACCCGCCGAAATTTGAATATAATGTGTACCAATTCATTTGTTCTATCAAATGCCCCCCTCATTAAATTCACGACTTAGCAATTTAGTCCTCGACTTTAAATCTGGGAGAGACGGTCTAAAGTTGACAAAGTAAAAGCTCTTACTACATAAAAATCGCCCATTTCATACCATTTTTTTTTATTATTATTATTAAATCAGCATGCAGCACATTAGCCCTCCAAAGCTGAAATTGAGAGATGGTTACATAAAGTTACTCGAGGAAAAATGGGTGCAATTAAGAGTGATGTATGTGGGGAATTAAGAAAGAGACACAAAAGATAAAGTTGGTGATAAAAAAGGGCGCCATGGACAAAGACATAGGCTTAATCAAAACTTATGTGTGGTGTAAAATTAAGATAGAGTCCAAACTCCATAACACTCTTTTAAAGTGTTACATGGTAGTACTACTAATCATCCACAAGGTACATAATAATTTTAGGGTTCTTTCGTTTTCCAATCTTTGAGGGTGGTAGTTGGCAGCCCTGCTGACCTTCTTAATTACTATAGGGGTTCTTCATGTGCATGCTTGTGAGTTTAGGGTCCACTTCCTTAAATTCTCAGCCCTAATGTCATTGGTTTCCTTTTTTCCACCCTTTATACGTTAATGACATGTTTTGAAAGAGCTTTGTTGAGGTTGATGCTGGTAAATAATTATTTGACCGAGTGACAAGGTTTATCAAGCTACGTATAAACCAGACCAAAAAAATACATAAAATAATTAAGCTTCATTTAACTTAGGTTGAACATCTTGTAATATTGCACTGAGTATTTCATAGCGCTCACTCTAGACATTATTTGACAATCAATCATAAGCCTAAAATCAAGTGGATGAACGAAGTTTTGTGTGCCAAGTTGTAGACTGTTGATGTTCCAAAACCACAGAGAGTAAACTGAAAATTACACAAACCCAAGGGAAAAAAAGTGTATTTCATCTTAGTTGTCAACTTTCAACATTTTAGACTGCATAATGAGAGAGGATGAGACGCATAATAGGCTATAAGTTTGGAGTGTGTGAGAGATTGCAAAGTTTTAAGCCCACTACACAACTCACCCTGGGCTGAATATTTATTGCTGGGAGAAGGGTAGCATAAGCAGGCCGCATTCAGGGTAGAAAATGACGACTCCTTCAGAAAAAACAAAAGTTATTCCCCCCACCCAAAAACAAATATTGCCTTCATCAGTTCCTATTTAAATATAGACCTGCTTCAGTGTGATTGAGAAAAACAGAAGCTGAATCGGCCGGGGAAGTGCACAAACAAGAAATGATCAATTCACTTAGGCAGCTATCAAAAGAATGTGCAAAAGTTGTTTTAGCCAAGTTAAATTATAGAAAGCTAAACTCCTTGTGTTCAACGACAGTGTTGCATAAGCGCAAGATCATCAATTTCTGTCTAAGCGAGCAAGAAATTCAAAGCAACAGTTGATCACAGTCAAAGCATTCCAAAAATTAGTAAATACAAAGCAAAAGCAAGTTTAAATAGAGGCAAGAAACTACTACAAGCACACTAGGTCTCCTTGGGAGGAGCCTTCTTTGCAGCCTCTGCCGCGGCTTTCTCTGCCTCAATCTCCCCAACAATGGCATCAATTTCAGCCTCTTCAAGTTGTCTCAGCCCATCTTTTGTCATGACAGCGACTTCAATGTTCTTCCCACCACTCTCGACAACCTTGATAATTCACATTCAGGAACCAGTAAGTCACTATGTTTAACTCAAAACAAATGCAAGGGTTCTTCATATGAAAGCACAAGTCAAGACCTCAATAAACAAATCAGCAATCGTCGAAATAGTTGAAACAAAGTTTTAATTCATGTGACGCACAAACAAAGAGCAAAGACTCGTAATCTATAGGAAAACGCACTATAGTACACCTCCTATCGGCAAAGACTTCAGATTTGATTTCTATTGCAAATTTTAACAGATTGTACAACTTAATCACTGCGGGAGCAATATATCTGCAGCAGCGTGGTCAAAGAATGGATATGCATCTTGTGCATTCTCATAAATCACAAAAGATAATAGGCAAGGTGGGACATAATGAAAGGAAAAGTAAGTAACAGGGATTTTCACCCATGCTGCAAATGAAATATGGATTTTATTCAACTATTAAAGTTCATGACTTACGCTACTAATGTGCGTATGGATTTTATTCAACTATGACAAAGAAGGGTGATCGAAAGATGTGTGTGTGTGTGTGTGTGTGAGAGAGAGAGAGAGAGAGAGAGAGAGAGAGAGAGAGAGAGAGAATGTGGATCAATGTCCAATAGAAAGTAGTACTCTGAACATCACTAACTTAGATTGGTTAATAAGGTATCCAATCCAAAGTAGTACTCTCAAAATTTTTAACCTAATTTGGATAACAAGGTGATGTACGTAAAATATTCTACCATTGATGCAACTACTTTACCTTCAATTTTTGCAATAATTGCTCATTCTAACAGCAGACCTAGTAGCCTTAAGAAATAAAAGAGACAGTTCTTTCTTATAGTCAAAAGTCAAAACCACAGAAACCTAAAGACTCCTACAGGAACTACTTAAGCAACGACCATCCAATTTGTAAAGTAATGTGCCAAGCACTATTCCAACCCGTACATTAACTTAACCAAACTAATCAAGCATGCACAAGCACAAACAACTTATTTACTGGTCAAAAGCATGAAGGTCAGGACAGTATGCATGCAGAGCAAACAGATTGAGAATCCAACAAAATCCCAAGTCCAGAAACATAATGCTCAAGTCTATCACACAATAAAAGGCCCAAACACTTGATGCATTCAAGTATATGAAAATCACACAATAGCTAAAGCAACTTACTTCAAGCAAAGCCCGGATAGCTAATTTGACCGTTTCTTGGCCAGATGTTTCCTTGTAATTCTTCTCCAGAAACTCCCTAATAGAATTGGAGTTTCTCCCTGTTGCATTTGCTTTCCAAGCTGAAAAGGTCCCTGAAGGATCCGTCTGATAGAGAGAAGGAACATCCGTGTATGGGTCAAAGCCAATTATCAAAGTTGAAAGGCCAAATGGTCTTACACCTCCACTTTGAGTATATTTTTGCTGGAGACCAGCAATGTAACGAGTTATATACTCAACAGTAACAGGGTCCTCCACAGTAAGTCTATGACTTTGACACTCAATACGTGCTTTGTTTATCAAAACACGGGCATCTGCTTTCAGACCAGCGCACGCCAATGCAATGTGATTGTCCAGATTAACAATCTTCCTGACTGACCTGAAATGGCACAAAAAGAAGATTAATCCTGAGTCTGAAAGCACAGTTTCTTTGGGTTCCTTCAGATATGTTCCGCATTACCTTTCATATCGTACCAAATATCTAATCTTGACAGGGGGCAAAAATTCCTAAAGTAAGAACCTTTTTGCAGGAGCTGCCAGTTTCAAAAGGGACACATAAACACCCTTACCAACAAATATAGAATTATCTAGGGGCATACATCCTCAAATACCAAATAACCTAAATCCTAACGGAAAAAAAAAAGCACTTCTTTAAACACAAAAACGAAATCAAACATCGTCAATCACAAAACCCTAAAACACATAGCAAACCAGTAATCACATATCTGGAGAAAAAATCAAATTTGAAAGTCTTCAATCCCAAAACCCTAAACCCGGAATTAATTATAATAGAGTAAGGGAGGGAGTGAGATTACGAACCTAGAATCCTGAAGCTTTGGAGTGGACTTCTTCTCGACACCGAGGACGATGTTGTCGGTGCCGCGGACGCCAACGGCAGCGTTACCCTTGCGAACAGCTTCAAGGGCGTACTCGACCTGGAACAGATGGCCGTCTGGAGAGAAGACGGTGATGGCTCGATCGTACCTGGCCATGATTAACTATGAAAAGGTTCAAGGAGAAAAGAAAATTACGGTGTTAATAGATCTCAATCGTCAGCGGCGGGGCTGCTTTTGGTAGAGCTCCGAGTGAATGATCTGAGCAGTCGGGAAAATTGATTTTTGAAGGCTGGCTTTTCAGGAAGGACTTCTTGAGGGGGAAGCCAACTCGATGACTTAAAAAGTCTAAAAACACCTCCCTACGACGTCGTATATATTATGGTTCCTTCTGCTCTTTTTTTCTTTTCTTTTTTTTTTCTTTTTCTTTTTTCCGTTTTTGTTTTCTAGTATTTTTTTTTTAAAAAAAATTATAATTCTCGTTTCTTAAATATTCTTATTTCAGGATTAGATTACTGTGTTCTATAAATGCCTAATCCAATTGTACAATATTATTAGCCTTCTGAGAAAAAACATATGACTTCGGCCACTTTTTTTTTTTCAATTAGCTATTATTAATTTTTAATTTTTTTTTCATATTTGCAAGGTGTCTACCATCGGCAACAGTGACTAATACAATAACTAATCATTCACCAACAGTGACTGATACAATAACTGATCATTAACCAAAATAATACTAATATGCAACATAATAAAGAGTAAAAGATCTAAAAGTAAATTATAAAGAACATAAAAATGTAAATCAATATTAGTTGTCGCTACCGTATACTTAAAGGTTTGAATTGCATTGCATCAATAGGAAGTTGGCCTTGCATGGCTTTACTCTTTTAGTTATGAAAATATTTATCTTTTTTGAGCAGCTGAGGTAGAGAAGAAAAATCTGATATAGATAGACAATCCGGTTATTGAATCTGGTTGTATTATGCATGGAGCTTGCATAGAGCTAGGTGAAGGTGACCCTCATGCACTAGGTGACCCTCATGCATGCCATAATGCTGGATTGAAATCCACATACTATCAGTATCTCTTGTTCTTTCTTTTTTCGGTTTTGTTCTGATCCCAATGATTCCTTCCAAGAAGTTTTGAAAACCATTGACCTATCTAACATGTATACACATCTCATCATGATTCATGAATTCAATACAACCACTAACATGTTGTCATTCTTCCACTAGCGGAAATCCATCAGCAACAGCAAGGTGTGTGTAACACATGAAGACGTGCATTTTGAGCTCCACAAATGATTCCCCTTCATACAAATATCTACACACTCAGTTCTATCCATTTGTTGTTAACATTGAACAAATGTAGTCACAGAATTTACTGCAACTTTCGTAGTACTAAATCGTCTACCTATTTTTTTCGCCGCTGAAAGTACATAACCTAAAGAGCTGCAGAAATAGTATCAAGAGGGGGGAACAGCAGCAACTTGACTCCTGTTGATGGTGGGAAGACAGTCAGCAGGCATTCCTGCCTGTGGTGCGAAGCAACTTAATCCATGGATGTCCTGGCCTGTCGTGTCATTTCCTCTCCTGTTGCCGGCCAAGCCTGATACACGTTCTTGGAAGGAGAAAGGGACTACATCCCCTCACTCATTTGAGGACAGATAAAAGAAACAATTTCTTCTAAGCTTCGAGGAACTAAGCAAAACAACCCTCAACTAATTTGGAAGAGTTACCACTTACCTGTATAGAGACATTGGCAACAAAGGCTCTACTTGAAAGACTGCACTAGCTTCAAACCAGATTCTAGAGCTTAACAAGTAGATAAATTTTGCAGTGATAACCTAATGTATTTTGCAACAATGAAAGATTATGATCAATAAATGGCTTATATAACCCACAGTGTCCCATATGCTTTGCTTCTGGAGCATGCAACAGGTGCGGAAGCTTAAGAGACCAGTAATTTATCAAGAAAAGTTTGTGCCGGTCCATGTTTAAGAATTTAATTACCATATTCTCCAAATTCCAACGTTCGAGTGAACTTGTAATGCTACTGGAAGCGTCGCAACAATCTGAAACCAGAACTCGTTAAACAAAAAAGGTTATCTTTTTCAGTAGTCAAAGCTCAGCCTAATCCTCAACTACACATATAACTTCTCCAGTTCTTCATGCTAGATATATATGTTAAATCTTCACTTTTCACTAATTCTATGCCTGAACATTTCTTCGAGCCAAGTAAATTCATATAATAAGAAAGGATACCCTGAATCTAAAAAATGTGATTCCAATTTCAGTGCTACAATCGGGGAAGCATTATTGGGATTGATTGATAATGACCACAGAAATACAAATATCCAAGCAATGGAACTGCCATAAAAAGGTGCTTTTTGCCTAAGTGCCACAACACTAAAAGGACCAATGGTTTTAGTCTCTTGTTGTAATAATTATTGTAATAGGAAACAGGAGCCTGTAGGTTCATCATCTGATTTCTATTTATAAAAACCATTGATGTCTTCTGTACCCACAATCATTTCCTAGACTATACCTATACTCATCACAAACTTCAGGAAGCAATATTAAGTCATGTTGCCTAGAAGTAGAACTCTTCCTTCAAGAATATATAATGGTGTTGTAAGTAGTAGATGTTCGGACATAGTTTTGGTCTAAAGCCAAATGTCCTTTTTTTTTTTTTTTGAATTGTTCCTTACTCATCTAACTTAATTGTCAAATCTGTATTTGTTTTTTTAGGTTGAAGAGAGGCAAGACATCAGAACCTACCTGCAGGTGGAAGTCCAACCAAAAGCTCGGCCAGAAAATGAAGCAATAAATCTGCAAGTTAACTATTCCAAGAGCTTTGACGATGATGGCAGACTGAAGAGAACAGGTAAACACTAGAAAAGTTAAGAGTATCTTCACCACTGAGCACACACTCAGCTGATCTGTTGATAACATAAAATGTAATAACTCAAAAATTTCCTACCACCTAAAGTTGACACGTAGATGAAAATTTATAACTAGTAATCTTGATTCCTGCAAGACAGCTGGAAAACTCATGGCTTTCAATCAGGCTCATAACTTCCTCTACCATATGAGTGTTTTAACACACAGACTGTCTGAGTAAATAAGTCATATAACAAGCTCACTGGAAGCATGAAACGGAAATGCACCAACAACTTATCTGAAGTTCAATTCTTTTACTGACATTAGTATCTTGTAACAATTTATTCCTGACTCAGGGACTTTCTGGACTGCAACATCACATATCATTACAGCCGTTATTGGCTCGGGTGTGCTCTCATTAGCATGGGCTATAGGACAGCTTGGATGGGTTGCAGGACCTACTGTCATGTTAGTTTTTGCTTTTGTAATACTCTACACATCCAATTTGCTGTCCCAATGCTACAGGTCAGGCAATCCGGTCACTGGTATAAGAAACTATACATACATGGATGCCGTTAAGGCAACCTTAGGTACAGAATTTCACCTTTGATAAATTCATTGTGCTTATTGACGAAGTCTTTAAAGCGATTTATATCCTTTACAGGAGGGAAGAAGGTCAAAATCTGTGGATTAATCCAGTACATCAATTTAATTGGTGTTGCAATAGGCTACACAATTGCAGCATCAGCCAGCATGATGTGAGTTCTTAAGAAAAGTAACAGACTTTCTCAATACATTCATCTATCATACATAAGAGGATTAACTATAACCAGCAATGAATTACCTTGGTGCTTTTGACATCGTTCCAAAACATGTTTTGCTTCCCCTCTTCTCCTTGACAGGGCAATAAGTTACTCAAATTGCTTCCATAGAAGTAAGGGCAAAAATCCATGCCACATGTCAAGCAACGGATATATGATTGCCTTCGGAATCATAGAAATCATATTTTCCCAGATCCCTGATTTCGACCAAGTATGGTGGCTTTCCATTGTTGCAGCAATTATGTCTTTCACATATTCCACAGTTGGTCTTGCCCTTGGCATTGGGAAAGTTGCAGGTGCAGATGTCATTACCACAACTATCACACATCATAAGCAATCACCCCCCCCCCCCTCACAATCAAGCATAACTTTGAAATCCTATTAGCATGCATTCTATACCTGTCACTAACATTGCCGCCACACAACTTAACTACTTAAGCCTGGAATCAACACTTACAGAGTATTAACGGTAACGGACTTAATTTAATAATAATTAATGAACCATCATTTCTGGACAGAACACAGAAGCTTCGAGGGAAGCCTAACAGGCATCGCCATAGGCACAGTAACAAAGGCTGGAACTGTAACTGCAACGCAGAAGTTATGGAGAAGTTTGCAAGCTTTAGGTGCAATAGCATTTGCGTATTCATACTCAATCATCTTGATCGAAATTCAGGTAGAAATTCAACACTTTATGCTGCTAGATTTTCTATACCCAGCTACTAGTTTAGCCTATGATGTGAAAAAAATCAATGCTCTCTTGTAGGATACTTTAAAGTCTCCTCCAGCAGAATATAAAACTATGAAAAAAGCCACTTTGTTGAGCATCATCATTACCACCATATTCTACTTACTTTGTGGATGCATGGGATATGCTGCCTTTGGGGATAATGCTCCAGGAAACCTGCTCACTGGCTTTGGATTCTATAACCCTTATTGGTTACTAGATATAGCTAATGTAGCCATCATAGTCCATCTTGTTGGTGCCTACCAGGTAAAGAACAAATCAAACTTGTTCCTATCAAATAAAATATTAAAGATATCCATAATGCTAATGGAGTAATGGACATTAACCTCATCCATCTCGCTAAGAATACATAAATGGAAAATTGCAGGTCTACTGCCAACCACTATTTGCTTTTGTAGAAAAAAGGAGTGCACAAATATGGTCAACTAGCAACTTTGTAACTGCTGAACATGACCTACCTGTGCCTTTTTTCGGGGTGTACCAGCTGAATTGCTTCCGAGTGCTATGGAGAACTGCTTTTGTGATTCTGACAACTGTCATCGCCATGCTCATGCCATTCTTCAATGATGTCGTGGGCCTACTTGGAGCTTTAGGGTTCTGGCCACTAACAGTTTACTTCCCAGTTGAGATGTATATTGCTCAGAAGAAGATCGGCCGATGGACAAGTCAGTGGGTCGGCCTTCAGTTACTAAGTGCAGCTTGTTTACTTGTTTCACTAGCTGCAGCAATTGGATCAATAGCTGGTGTTGTCCTTGATCTACAAACTTATAAACCCTTCAAAACTAATTATCCTTGATCTCCAAATTTATAAACCCCTCAAGACCAAGTACTATAAAGAGACATGTACGTGTGAAGAAGCAAGTTTCAAATACTAGAAAGGAGCATACATAGATAGATAGTGTGGCAATTCGCTAATTGTCTCTGCTGTTCAGAAAATAAATTTGTAACAATCATGTCGTCATTAAGGTTTCCACCAGAAAGCATGAAAGTAAGATTTCAATCGCAAATGCAGAACTGAACACCAAAAAACTGATGCCATCACCAAAAAAATTGAAACCCAAAGGAGAAAGTTTTAGCATGGAGCTTCCTTCAACTACAAAAGTTCTCATCAAATAAACAAGAACGCCATTCAAATGCACATCAATCTCAAAACAGATTGAAGACACTCAATATTACGTTCTTTGAAGAGGGATTTGAGACTACAATTCAAGATGTATTACTAACAAACTCTTTGATGCAGAATAACTGCTGCCGACTGATAAAGGATAAATACTAAGCCCTAAAAACGAGCAACACAGTTTTTAACACAGAATTAAAGCATATACAGAGATGAGTCTATTGTTACAAGTAAAACCTAGAAAGGGATTTATTTGCTATAATTATTTTCCCTTCAGTTTTGCAGCATTTGCTTTAACAAGAGAAGTAGGCTTTATGGCGCTCTTGGGGTTGAGAGCTTTCCTGATCTTAAACACAGCCCAGGCAGTCCCGATAGCATGTCCTGCTGCACCAAGCCCATCATGTGTCACCTCTGCAGCTTTTTCTCCATACCTGTGGAGAAACAAAGAGGCGCATTCAGAACAATCTGAAAACAAAATAAACGTATGCTTCCAGGGATACTGTGGCAAATATATATTTACACCAAGAGACCAAAAAAATGAGCATAATTCTTATTTGAACACCTACCTATGGTTAACAAGGCCTGTTGTTACGACTGCAGTAGTTGACATTACATTCTTTCCAGCAACTTCAACAGCATCACACACCTTGTTAAATCCATCCAAAGAGGCCAGCACAATCTCTCCTGGAAGAAGGCTGAAAAACTTTTTGCCAGGCTTCGAGTTTGCGATTGAACTCGTAAAAAACCCAGAGACTTTAACAACACCAGATAGTATTCCCGTAGCAACTTTCTCAGACATCTTCGTCAACTTCTTAACTCTGGCAGAAAAAGGTTAAGCACAATGATTGAGCCATTTGATATACAAAATATGATCAACAAGGACAATATAATTAAAAAAAATGATCAACCTAAGAATTACGGAGAAGACTTAATTAGCGGTTTGATAGCGGTTTGATGCCAGAAAACAGACCAAAAATCAAGGGCAACATAAATCAGCTGACATGTCAACTCGGGAAACAAGACAGCAGGATGAACATAGAGAAGAAAATTTGAAATAAAGTTTCCAATAGACCGGACAAATTTTAACACCAAACTACATTTTATTTCATTTCTGTTTAAGATTTAATAGCCAACTTTCCAGTAGACAAAAGCATAATACATGCCCGTAGTTCATCATATTCTCAAGATGTCTTCTTAGTCCTTTTCCGATCCAACTATAAAAATCCCCACAACCGAAAAAATACTGAGACACAAATTAGGATGTAGAATGTGAGGATGTGTGAAAAATAAAAATTTTAAACAGGAAAACAAGAAGGCATATAAGAGATTAAGAGCTTTCACCCAAAAAGATGCTTAATAAAAACAAAACAGAAGATCAAACCTTTTCATCCTTCTCAGCGTTTCAGGGCTGATACTGGACTCCTTCCCAGCTCCCATCCTCTTCTTCAAGAACTCATTCCCCCATTTCAACCTGTCCACCGTCACATCACCACACCACAAAATCCCCTTCACCACGTGACCTGACCCGGCAGCAATCATCCGGGCCATACCGCCGCTGTAATCCTCAACATTGGGAGCCAACGTAGTCCAATACGCAGCAGAACTTTTCTCCACCATCTCCCCTTTCTTTTTATCCTTCACCATCTCCTCCGGCGAGACATCCTTCGCCGCCGCCCACCACCCTTCCTGCGGGGCTTTGGCCGCCACTTTCTCCACCCTAAACGCGCTGTACATGCCCAGCACCCCATCCAAATCCCTCAAAAGTCGCTCCTGTTCTTTCCCTTTGGCCGCGATCGTCAGCCCGTAGTTCAGCACATTCTCGCCGTCGTCAACTTTATCTCCGTCCTCAGTTTCCGGCGGGACTCTAAGGGTAAAGAAGTAATGGGATTCGTCCAGCTTCACCGCAGCTTCATCTTTAGCCAGCGGCCACTGAATCTCAGTCCCGACCCGGGCCAACACCGCGACGACATTAGCACCCTGCTTGAGCTTCACAATCGTGAAATCCCCGCTTGCAAGCTCAACGCTCTGCTTCTTATCAATTAAGTGAACAATAGCCCCCGGGATCTTAATCACAACTTCTTCGGACGACTCGAATGCCAAGTTCTTTTGAGCTTCAGGGTTCCCCTGAATCTCGACATCGACACCGCGATCGTCTTCGTCGGGGAAGAGATTCTCTGCTAAATCCTTCAAATCAACGGTTGGGTATAGGGAGGAAGCAGAAGAAGACGAGACTGCAGGTTTAGGCGAGGAAGTAAAATCCGGGTTAGAATCGATCACTTTTGGATACATAGACTTCTTTTCCGACATGGCTGGAAACGGGAGTTGCTGAAGTCTTGATTTTTTTATCTTTTTTGCCCACTTTCCGGCTGAGATAGTTCTGGAGATGCGTTTATTCCCTATCTGATTGTGCGATATTTAAAGAGGAGTAAGCGTAGGTGGTAAGTATCGAGTAGAGAAGAAGGCGCGGAGGGTCCGCGTCGGTCATTTCCGTCCGACGTGGCAGCGCCGGAAGTGGAGGAGTGTCTTCCTTGTTAAGTTGTCTTTGCACGTCGCGGTTTCCCAATTTGGTCATTTTGGATATCAATTTGCTTTACTGTCACACGGAGAGAGAGGTGGCTCTGGCTCAGGTGGGAGACCAGTCAATTATAGTTTTCCAGATATTTTTCCCTCCCAGCGTGACAGTGGGGTCCGTGAAACTTCAGCCCAGTTTCAAGGCCTAAACCCAAATGCTACTGATACACCCAAATCCAGCTAATTGTCTTGTTTTTACAAAGCAAGAGGATCGTAGTCTGAATTTCGAATCCGAACAAAGCCCAATCCAGAGAGACGTAAAATGGAGGGTGATCTTTTTGGTTAGTGACATTGATTTCGTTGATAATTTCTGATAAATCTACAGACACACTGCACTCTGAAGATGGTATATGATTGATATTTTGACTACATCTCTGTATAACCGGGGGTCTCCGATTATCTTTGGCAAAAATTAAAACGAAGCCCAATGGTTGTACGTAATCAAATTCTCAAAGTTTCCGACTATGAATTATCTCTAGCTTTCTTTCTATTTCTTTCCAAATTTTCTCTAATAGAAATCGAGTCAGTGGATTGTACCTTTAACCGCGAGATTGAAGATTCGATTCTTACCACGAACGCGGGAAGCAGGCTGCTTAAAGAAGAAGCATATAGCTGACTAGCAGTCAGGTTAAGCAGGCAAGGTATGGCATTATTGAGCACGGAAACCGGACAGACTGAGCAAGAGGTGCACACAAGTAGAGTCTCCCTAGTAATACTATCTCCTTTCTCAGTAAATTTTATCCCCAGTTATAATAGTCTGAATACCTCTAAAAAAAATTCTCTAATACAATGAACCACAAAAATCCTATTCATATTTTCATTATGCCTCCATTTTTTAAAAAATAAATAAATATGCATCCATTTTTTTTGGTTATCTTACTGAGGAAATTTGTACTTGTCGAGATCTTAATAAAATGTATAGTCTGTTATACATGTATTTTTTCTTCTGAATTAAGTTGGATAAACAAAATACACTGATCCAGTGGTTGAAGGAAGACCAGCCAGGAATAACCTTGAAATTTTTGCTCCTCAAAAAATTCTTCTTTCCACGCATTTGTTAATTCCGATTCCGCCGCTGCATGTCAAATGTTAAGTTGCTCGTACGTTTGTCAACCGTAGTAAATCAATCCAGGTGTTTAAACTTAAGTTCAAGAAGACATCATATAAGATGGTTTTTATGTAATTGGGACTAACTAGTTTAGAATACCGGAAGTTTAATTAATACTTGAAGGATTAATAATCAATATTACCAAAACCATATAAATATAGATAGAGAGGACATGAAAAGCTGGTGAGAAAAGAAGCCAACGGAAAGCACTTTCGGTAATGGACAAGAAAGTGGAGCGAATATTGATTGTTAATTATACTTTGAACCAGCAAAATTTATTAATTTTTAGAAAATTATTAAATAATCGATAAATTAATAAACTATTAATTTAAAGAATTTCTATGAGAAAAAATCACCGTCACTAAATCACGTAATTTGTAATTGTCTTTATATTTGAATCAATCAATTATTATAATTCTTCTGAATACTAAATACCAATACATAGTTCATATCATCTTTAAGGACTGAAAAACAAGTATCAATAATTCATATTTTACTAAATATTTATAGTTATTATTATTTTATTTTATTTTGCTTTTAGAGCATTTATTAATTTATGATTTTGTTGGGACATGTAGATATATAGGAGATTTTCACAAACATTATTATCTTATCATTTTATCAATTATTTTTTATTTTTTGTACTGGTCTCAAGTTAGAATCGGAAAAAATTATTAATTTATAGATTATTAATTTACAGACATTCTACTATAGTTCTAAATTGACAGCAAACCTTTTTGAATTTAGATCCAAAATGAAGATTAACATTAAAACTCAGGTTTGATTAGTTTTTAATTAGCCCAATAGTAATGTACTTGAAGTTAGCATTTGTTTATTAGTACTTTTATTAAGTTCATCACTCCGTAATACTATTAGTAACCATGATACTACACGAGAAAAAATCATTTTTATTAACACAAACCCAAGTCTCCAAACAAAAGAAAACGTAAGAGCAACTAATTCGAGCTACCTTAAAGATTGAGAAAGAAAGAAAAAGGTAGAAAAAAGAATTCATCCTTTGGGATTTTATTTTTATTGTCTGGTCTATTTCTGCTTTAGCACGCCAACAATTTTAATAATTACCACTTTTGCTTTTCTACTCTTTTTACTTCCATTTACTTTTGTCTTTCTTTCTTTCCGTTTTTTTCCCTCCTTTTTGAATTTCAATTCAGCTCAATTGGAGTATTTTCACCGAGAAAATCGCCGAATAATCAATTGTAAAGAAGAAAAAAAAGAAGAAGTAAAAAGAAGAAGTAAAAAGATTTTTTCACACTAGAGTTCCTAGTGAAAAGATTTTGTTATAGAGTAGGCAACATAGCTCACGACAACGAATAGGTTGATTCGCTTGCCAGACTAGGATCATCTTGTAAATCTGGAAAATACGTTTTGTCAACACCTCTGGCATCAATCCTAGAAAAAATTAGTAATAAATTGACCTAGTTCAACTCAATCCTAACGAATTAACTTTTGTTAAACTAAGCCTTTTGCTTCACCGGTATATATATATATATATATATATAAAAAAGGTAACATAGCACAAAACATATTTTGTTGAAGTGAATGATATCACTCATTCCAAAATGGCACATTACAAAACAAGAACAGGACTTGAATATTCAATATAGTATCGTGAAAACAAAAACCATGAACAAGATGGAAATCGTATTATTACCATCGTGTTACTCTTAAATTATTCAATGAACAAGATGGAGGGTAATTAGTTAGTGGCTCTATTTTAGTAGCGGTACAAAAAGTCAGAAGGAAAACAAGATGAAGCTTACATTTGATTAGCACCAAAACCTTGAGCTTAGGTAAGCCAAGTGAACAACAAGAAGGAGAAGACAAGACATCACCTATTTGATTATACATAGGTGGAGTTATTATCCGATATAAAGTATAGTAAGATGCCAAAAAAAAAAAAACATGGTACGACCGACGTTTTTTTTCCTCACCATATTCATAACTTTGATTAGTACTAATAATTAAATTAACAACATTAATTATTAGCACTATTATGTACTACCACTACTTTTGATTAATTATTAATAACTATAATTTGTTCATACACACACACACACACACTAGATGAATCTAGTGGCAAAATATATAAAATCAAATTATTTAGCTCGGTCCTGAATGATGTCAAAACCCATCTCAGTTGGATCAGTGGCTTGAACTTCATAATGGATCCCATCCAACACTCTCCTCAACCCATCTTTTGATGTTGCATACAACATTTTCGCCCTTATTCTTGATTCTGTTGGCGCCCTGTATTTTCCAACCGACAATATCATAATAAATTAGTAATAAATACTAATAATAACTCGATTAACTACACCAAGTTAATTATTTTACTGATATCATTAATTAAAATCATTGCAAAATTTTGTTCTCAAAGTGACTAAAATAAAGGAAGTTTTACGAGAAAAAGACTTGACGTACTAAAGACACACGATTCTAGCATTGGATTCTGGCAAATACGGACAATTCTTTTTCATTTTCTACACCAAATTGTCAAAAAAACCGACGTCTCAAATCGTAATTTTCTATTTGGACAAAGTAGAAAAAGAAAAAGAAGCCAAAAAAAAAAAAAAAAAAAAGAAAATCAAAGCGGAGGATATAAGACTTAGAAAGAGGATATAATAAAGGAGAATATATACCAAGCGATGAAAAAGATCTTGCTTTTGCGGCAGTTGTCGACAGTGACGAAGTCGAAATCGAAGACGGCGTAGCGGCAGTCGTCTTTGGGAAGGAGGCGGCCATCTCGTCGTAACCTTCGCCGGCGGCGCCGACCTTGTCGACGGTGACGAGCCGGGATTTCTCGTCAATCTTGAAGACGATGTAACGGTGAACTTTCTTCCACTTCATCTCCATGAATGAATTCTTGCATTCATCCGTCACCCACATCCCTGTCGTCGCCTATACATATCCATCGCCGTCCCAATTCATACATAAATCAATCAATTAATTAATTCCTCATGAAATGAAAGAATGAAAAGGGATCATCCCAGAAAACCAAACTGATTATAATTTCCATCCGGATTTGACACATCCAGGAATTGCAAGCTCGGAACAGGGGCTCCGATTAATTCAAGCAAATTAGAGATGATATGATGGGGAGTGTCACTTGTACAGCTACCATAATTAGTCCAAAACTAAACAAGCAAATGGATATGGAACAGAGATGAGAGATATTGCTTACCATTTTGAAAGCCATAGCCATCTTGATCCGGGCGGTAAGAAGTACCCCAGCTAATTAAGGTAGTATAGTTGAGGAGGAGGAGGAGGTGGTGGTGGAGAAATAGGATTCTGGTATGAGGATAATTCTTTTTACTTTGGGGAATTTGTCAAGTAAAGTGCAAAGTGGTGATGGGAATTGGTTTTGGTTTGATTTGATGGGTTGATGATCTTGATTGACATATAAATATGTAGAGAGAGAGAGAGAGAGAGGGAGATGATAAGACGGGAAAACTTAATCGAAATCGAGTGAAAATGGTGGGAGTGGTACAACGTACTGACCACACTTGCTCCATTATATATAAAGTTCTGCTTCTGCTCCCATTTTTCCCATTCGTACTAGTTTAGTCGACTCATGATTCACTATTAAATTCACAGTGATATTTTCTCTCACACATACACATATAAAAATCAAAATGCCCACTAATATATTCTCTCCGATCCTTAATATTATAATATATTTTGATTTATTTTAAGTTTCACATAATATGTATTTTTTAATTAAAAAATCTTAAATATATATATTTTCACATTTATTATGTTCTTTTGATTGTTAAGAAATATTTTAAAAAATTTTTCGTCTATTAAAAATATATATACAAGATGAAACATAAGACAAATGAAAATATCTTATATTAATTATATTAAGTACCAGAGGATATACTACAATGGTAAGGGGTTGTCCATCGTCAAACATAGTTGGAGTTTCAAAACCCGATATTGATAGGAATTAGTTACCGAATTTTATTATTTTATTTTATTTTTTTGTAAAGTACTACTTCCATTCACAAATAGATGTTGTTGGAGAGATTTGACAAAGTTTAAGGAAATAATAATTATTTTGTTAAAATACTATAATACTACTTCCATTTACTCTTAATATAATTGTAGTCCCAATAACATTTCGTTCTAATACAATTCTACATTAAACATCATTACAGTTTCCTATGTAAAGGCAGTATTGAAAAAAATTGACAAAATTTGCTTCGATTTGTGAGAACGACATCTATTTTTGAATATTTAGTTTTTCTTCTAACGACATCTATTTGTGAATGAAGGGAGTACATATATATTAATTGATTACTAAAATAGTACATTGTGGCATGGCATAAGCCATATTATGAAATTACTAATAATTATACTTAGGAACTTTAATCAGTTCATAAGATCGAAAAGTAGTAATAGTTAGATTTATCAAAGAGTTTATTTCCTGAGCTTCCGTTGGAAGTATTTCAGGCCAAAGATTAGTATTCAACTAGGAGACTGGTATAATGGTAGCACCTTACTTTCTCCAGAAAGGGGAAAAAACCGTACTATTGAAAATTCATTGGCGATGAATTTAATTGGAAAATGATGAGCACAATGTGCGGAGATTTGCTGGTCTTGGAAACGCTACCAGATGAGTTACTAGTACAAATTCTTTTTTTTTTTTTCGTGATTTTCATCATAGAAAGGTCATCTTCCCCTGCTTGATGATTTTAAGACACGATGAGTCATGATGATTAATATTGGGATTGTCATTCACTAGTTTGAGCATATGGGCCATTTGCATTAACCTCTACATAAATCACTAGTACTATTAAGTCTTCACTAAATGCACCTCTAGATCTACCCCAATCTCTGAGACCACCTCCCCCGTCTGCACTCTTATTAATTAACTGATTGCGTTACGATGTGACCACACCATTTAGACAACAACAATTAGAGAAAAGTTCCTTGAAATCTGAAAACAACACTTATTTTGAACTTTCTCCGTTTTGTTAAAACAACACTTATTTTAGTACTTACTCCATCAAAAGATTACAATCGTCAATTTAAGGAATATTACTCAGTTTATTTTCTGATTTTTTTGATAATTACATCGAAACCCTTTTTATCCATCTCATATTGGTTATCTTCAAACCACCAGAGAAAACAAACATTTTCGGATACCATTCTCCGAATAGACAGCTTATGTTGGTATTATAATAATAATATCTAATTGAATGATTAAAGATCAATCTATAACAAGGGTTACATAAAATATATAGGAAGAAGGTAAGGTAAGGTTAATTATTTAGAACCACCCCCCACCAACTAGATTCCAAACATAAAATCCTCAAATTTCTTTGGTGGGGTTTTAGTACTTTAATTTCTTAGGGGCCTCAACAAGTATACATATATATAGTAATTCTCCATCCTATATGCATAATGTGTGTGTGTGTGTGGTATTTTTTTCCAGTGTCCGACTCTTATTGCTCCAGTTCATGACAGTTGACATTGATACGATCCTGACTTCTTCTGGCTAATATTGGATTATTGTCTAAATAAATGCTGTTATTGAATGATATTCACGATTTATTGTGTAAGATCGATCTCATTCTCGATATCTGTCTTCCCTTCTTTCTTGCAATTGACCGCTCCATACGTGTTGAGGTATATTAAGTACCGTCGGGAGCCTTACAACAATATAAAAAATCACATCGGGTGGTTTGCGCCATAAGTTGGACTTTTTGATGGTTTATTTCCTTGATAAAAATACCTAACGGAACAATACAACATTGCTACGATTGATTGTATAGACTCACTAATCAATCCATTTAACATGTTTTTTCAAAAAAAATCGCAAAATCCCATTTATCTAAGGTGGACTGAAAACAGAAATTATAAATGGAATTTGTACACTACGTTGGGAAAAGATTTAAAAGAGACAGAAACATATTGTGAAAGGTGTAAATGTAGAGGTCCTGAGGAGCAACAGCCTCAACGATCACCGACGGGCACATCAACAAATGTAATTCATCTGGCATTCTCCCGCTTTTCTCTCTTTTTGTGTTTCTCAATTAGCCTTCGCGTCCAAGCAACTTAAACTCTCCACTTTGTTTATTTTAATTCTTACTTTTTTTTTTCTTTTTTATTAGTATTCTTTTGTCCCAAAATTATTATCCTGTAAAAATATAACTTAGACAATAATTTTAAGACGATATAATATTTTTTCCCTTTTCTTTTTTCTTTGTGTTGGGGGTTAAGTACTTGGGTTCTTTCCCCTTGTCGTCATTAGTGCATTGTTATTGTTTTAAGAATGTGCATATAGAGTATGTTAATCGTGTTGAAAATAATTTTTAATATTATTCTCTCTATTTCAAATTGTAGGTCGTTTTAGGTTTGGAGAGATTTTTTTTAAATTTAAGTCGTTTTACAAATTCTATACAAATTAATGCTATTTTTCTAACTTTACCCTCAATAAATGATGTGAATTCTATTTTTATTTAATTTTGTTTATAGTTGCAATGTAATTAATAAGAGATAAAATATATATTTAACACATAAATTAATTATTGAATGATTGTCTTTTTAGTTTGCGTACAGTGTCTAAAAAGATTTATATTTTAAAATGGAGAGGTGGGCAATGTCTAACACATAATGTGATCGACGTAATTCCAGAGGTAGGCAGATCCCAAAACATCTTACTTTAGGAAATGAGCCTTTTGATGATCATGTGGAAACACATCATCCATCCGGTGGATAAGGTCAAATGACTCAATTCTCATCCTCTTAATTTCTAAAAAAAATTTCCTTAATGCATTATGCATACCATTAATCTAGGATCTGATGCCCAAAAAAAATTCCACAAGCCATCAGGATGAAGATACAGTATGTCTCTCCTGGCACTATGTTTACAAATTACAAAACCTAACTTCCAATAGCATAAGGCTAAATTAGATCGACCAATTTGAAACATTTCTAATTTCCTCCTCGGATCCCTGTCTGCCTAGAGTGGCAGGGGGACCTCTTCAATGCATCACCAAGAAATAGTACCATATATATGATTCATAGATTAAAGTCCACCACATTTTCTTTTTCTTCCTTTTTAGAGGTTGAGATTTTAGGCTAGATATACTTCAGATTTGTTGAAACAACAATTTGATATGCATAAGATACAGCTGTATTATGAAACCTTTTTTTGCCCATGTTGAAGTAAGTTTATGCCTCTCAAATATGGTAGCTATCTTGTCTTTCGTTTGTTGTTACACGCTTAATTAATTGGTAAAATTCAAAATCCTTTTATACTAATAAATGGAATTACAATTTCGTGAAAATGAAGATGTGTTTAAACTCTAAGCGCAACGCTCTTTTTAACATATACTTTCCGCTAAAATTATTATCTAGTTTGAATATTCATTTTTAGTACAAATTAAATTATAAATAAAACTTTAGACTGAATGATAATTTCGACACAGATATAAATCTCACTTGATATTTACTTTTATGTCAAATTCGTACATAAAAAGACTTGTACGTGTAATAAGTCTTCCACACTCCCAAAAGATGTCCCAATTTCTTTGTCAAACATAGGGTGTTGGGCGTGGGGTTTAAGATTGAGTAACACAACAGCTTACCTAATACACCCCAATTCTCTTATCATCTCATGTTCTTGTGAATTGAAATCTCAACTTCTTTCGCTTGGAGGTATTTCCGTCTTTGTGTGCAGCCATAGTATTATTCTTGATGGGATCAAGTTTATCACATTCCTATATTTATACGGAATTTATTGACCATATTACTCCACTTGATTTTATGGATTTTAGATTGATGCATTGTGTTATGTTATTTGTCACCTAAAGTTTCTTGGTCTATTGTCTTTGGTATCAATCTGTAATTTATCAGCATGGAATATTTGCATTTGAGAGCAGTGTTTGATCAAATTGAACCGGGTCCATCACAGATAGGAAAAGAAAAAGAAAAAACAAAAATTGAGATAACACTTACTGCCTCCATTTCAATTTGTAGGTCTAGGTTTGGAGAGATTTTTCAAAATATAGGTCATTTTACATATTCTAGGCAAATTAATGATCATTTTTCCAATTTTACCCTCAATAAATGATGTCAATATATTTTCATTTAGTCTTGTTTATAGTTCCAATGTAATTAACGAAGGATAAAATAAATATTTAACACATAAAGTAATTGTTGGATAATTATTTCTTTAATTTACGTGTAAAGTCTAAAGTGACTTACATTTTGAAATGAATGTTGTACTCCTTCGGTCCTTCTTATAAGGAATTTCGATTTGTCTTATGTTTTACGTGATATGTTTTTTTCAATTGAAAGAAAAACCTTAAAAACATTTCCTAATAATTAGAATAATAAAATGAATGTGAAAATGTAGTTTTAAGGTTTTTTTTTTTCAATAAAAAGATAGTAGTTTATACCTAGAACATATCAGAATGTTTTATAACAAAAACAAGAAGAAGTATCAACACGGATAACATTTGTTTTATTCGAGGTTTTTTTTTTTCATATTTGTAGGTGTTCGCCAACAATAGTAACTAAATCTCCCCTGTTGTATTGGACAGAATAAGCTTAGCATTTAGAAAGTAAAGTAAAATGGAAGCCCAAAATGCAGCTATTTCTTGACTCCGTGACTCTCCAGTAGGTCCTAACTCAAAAAAGTAAGAGTAATTCCAATTAATGAGTAAAGAGGAAAAAAAAAAAAGAAAAGAAAAGAAAGAATAAAATGAAAATAGATCTCAACAGCTAATGATGAAGGAACAAGGTAATTAAATTGTGTGTTTATAAATCGCTACAGGGGATTTCTGTGATTTCTCATCTATGCAGATCCATTTGCACTCTCGTTTCCCTAGCCTGATTTACTCTTCCCATCATTATTAATTGTGTATATAAATGGCGGTCTCATCTTTATTAACCAAGTCCCTGTTACACCACAGCCAACTGAACCTCTCATTCTATGCACAGTCTTCCAACAACAAAAACATTTTATACAAGAAGTGGTGTTCTAACACCAAATCTTTGGCGACTCCTACTTAACGGGAGGTGGGCATAAACCTCATGAACCTCTTGTTTACAAACATCTCCTCGATCCCGGTCAATAGCGTAGCAAATGTAGATTGTATCTATAACGTTATCCAACACATGCACAAACAAACTCAGCACAACAATCAGCAGCAGCCATGCCATAGCAGCAATGAAGTAGGCATCGGCACCGATGTGACCGACAGCTCTTATTATGACACATACCTGCATGCATGCACAGTGAAATTTGACCTTATTATAGCAACAATAATAACACACATTAATGAACAAAACCATATCTAAAAATAGAATACCAACAAACAAGCATGACGCTCTACAGCGTCGTAATTTCCTTGAAAAAGCACATATCCAGTCATGACTAAAATTTTCAAAACATTGAAAATGTAAAAACTGCATTGAATCTGATCCAAAACAGAGAAAGCAATACCAAAAAACAAGATACTCCCTCCATTTCAAAATGTAGATCGTTTTAGGTTTGGAGAGATTTTTCAAAATGTAAGTCGTTTTACAAATTCTAGGCAAATTAATGACTATTTTCCAAATTTACCCTCAATAAATGACGCTAATATATTTTTATTTAGTCTTGTTTATAGTTTCAATGTAATTAATGAGGGGTAAAAAAGATATTTAACACATAAATTAATTGTTGGATGATTGTCTCCTTAGTTTACGTGCCAAGTCTAAAAGACTTACACTTTGAAATGGAAGGAGTAGCTGACAAAAATCTTACTTTTCTGGGATGTTACAGAAACTAGGTACAGGTAATGCACAGGGTGTAAATAAGCAGCAAATTGACATGCATATTTGGTAGTCATAGAAAAGGATTCATAATTGAAGCTAATCTACACCCACCCATACAAATTGACAAGCATATTCTTCCATAGATACATACATGTAAGAGATGCTACATATTTGCAAGTCATAGTCCATCTGCAAGCGAGCGAAGCAACCTTTTCCCATATTTAGTTCACTTCACCCATGTCCAAATATAAATCCCATAGAAGAATGTATATGGCAGGGATAATGTTAAACCATAAACTAACTTATTTCAAAAACCCAAATTTCTGAAATGCACAAGGAAAGCAACAAAAATGAACTCACCACTATCGCATATATTGCTGAAAGTACGAATATTATTCCTGCAAGAATACGAGTGGAGACAGTCTCCACAAAGGCAGCCGAGAGAAGATTGCGTCTCAAAAGTTCATAAGTGATCCTTGCTGATGTGCAGTAAGCTTCACCTGTTATAGCTGCAAAGTTTATGGTGAACTTGTTAAGGAAGTCAAATGCCACCATTAGGGCATTAACACAGCACCGCAAGATTATGTTCACGATTCCAGAAGGAGCATCTTCTTGCCTAGCGTTATCAACCATTGCACGCACCACCCGGACAACACAGGTAAGCAATCCGGACAAGCATACTGTGCCAGAGGAAGGACCAAATGCATTTCTGCAATAAATAATCATGAACTAGGGAAATAAGTGACAATCATTGTGTAAAAATCTGGACGAAAAAGAATTTATTCAACACTGAAGGTGTGAAGATAACAGTCAAAACCGAATGTGCAAATCCACAAGGGTATATTGAGTTCAAGCATGCAAATTGCAACACAACACTCATATCCATGACAACTAACAAAACTAACTTGTAATCACAAAACGCAAAGTACACATAGCCTGCCTACACAAAATTATAGCCAATTTCAGAAACCAAAAAATGCGTATGTAAATAGGAGTGCATGCCTAAACTTTAACAAGGTTCGTTTTCTGTAAGACACTCTTTCAAAACTCAGTCGTGCATAAGTTGAACCAAGGAAAACCCAATCAGTTCAGAGTTCAAAATTCTAACAAAATGAACATTTACTAGGTAGCCCAAAGTTCCAACCTTGAGTTCTTGAAACTTGAAAGAATTCACTTTTGCATCAATCCATATATTAAAGCTCCCTATAGAGATGATCTAGAATCAATATTAGCAGCTCGCTCTTAAATATTTTATTTAAGTAGATGATTTCTTTATCACTATACAGACATCCCAAGAGACAAATATAATCCAAATAAAGTTGAACATGGAGATAATTCAAAACAGATTGCCAAAACCAATACAACAATCAACGGACAAACTCATACAAGTTACCAACTAAACAGTTCACGATCAAGTCCAACTTCAAGTAGTAAAAAATAAAATAACAATGGATACTGGAAAAAAAAAGGAAGGAAAAGAGCCATCAAAGAAAGTAACCTCAAGGCGCTCCTTAAACTTTTCTCGGGCCTCTCGTAATCCTTGGAGAAGTACCACTGAGCAATAGTGCCACTGATTACATAAACCTGAGCTTCAATCATAGCAGTGGCAGACCAAAGCATAGTCAAAATACCCAAGGTATAATAGGCAGGCACCCATTTATCCTCTTTCCAAACACAGTAAAACTCGCCATTTCTATCCTCTTTTGGTACAATCTTTCCATTCAGCCTAGAGAACACCAAGAACACCACAATTGGGGAATAATACAAGAGCAAAACAAAAGTCAAGCAAGGTAGCACCCCAAAAAGGCCCAAATTTTGTGACAGGGCATTGGCAGCCACCCCAATTATGTTAATAGTCAGCTCAACCCTATGCCAATTCACAAGAAATATCCACACGATCACCCCAATGACCAAAAACACGAAAACGAGAACCAAAATTCGATAAACCAAAGGGAAAGATTCACTACAAGAGGAGCTGACGGTGCAAGCAACAAACCAGTACACGTTTATAAACACTGGGACAATTACAAAGAAAGGAAGGGCAATGTACACAATCTGTTTGGTGTAATGTTTGAGGGAAAAGAGCACGAATAAAACAAAGGGCAAGCTCAAAATTAAAGTTATTACAAGTGTCCATATCAAAGTTTTCAACAAACCCGGTTTTTTAAGAGAATTTAAGGAAATGGGTTCAGTTAAGGAGCCGGGATTCTGAAGAAGTGTACAGGAAGAAGAAGTTGAATTATAGATAAAGGAAGAAACTTGGGATGGGGAATAAGGATTTCTATGGACACAAGCGAAAATTCCAAAACCAAAAGTGGCAAGTATAAGAAGAATAAAAAGGATGAGAAAAGGCCAGTCTTTAAATTGGCGGGGGCCGTGTTTGTATGTGATATGGAGGAATTGGGATTGGTCGTCGTCGCCGCCGTCGTTGTAACTGACGGAGGCTATGGGCGGCTGCGACGGTGGCGCGTCAACGACGGAAGGGTAGAGGGGCTTGGAAATTAGGGGCTGGGAGGGAGTTTCCTGGTCAGTACTGGCTGAACTACTGTTGCTGGTGCTTTCCATGGCATGTGAGGGAGGGGATTCCCGAGGAGGAGCAGGCGGAGGCGGTGGCGGTGGCGGTGGCGGAGGAGGCGGTGGTGGGCGGTGGTGGAATCTGGGGAAGTGGTGAGGTTGATGGGATAAATGTTATGGGGAACTGGAAGCTTTGTCGTTGACTTGTCAGTGGCATTTTTTAGCTGAGGTTGCTGCTGAGCTCAGTTGAGCTGGTGAGGATAATGATTAGGAATACTATGGTCGGTTATTTTCATTTTTTAAAAAAAAAATTTTCTGAATGGTTTTTTTTTTTCAGTCTAACACATTCTATTTTAAATGTCTCAAATTTAATTCAAGTTCATTTTAGTCTATGATCGACAAGATTAAAATGATGACTTGAAACATATTTTCTTTTGAAAAATTACTCGTGTATGTAAAGAAGAGTGCATCTTGATTTTTATTTTCCAATCCATAAACAGGTTGCCCTCAATTTTACTTCTTCCGTCTCAAAATTATTGTTCAATTTTATTTTTCATTTTTAATACAAATTGATTCAAAAATATTCAAATTGTACAATAATTTTAAAACAGAAAGAGTATTAAATATTCCTTTGTATGCTGCAAAAACATACTGCATATTCAACAACAGTATATTGATTAAGGTGGGTGTACTTCACAGAATGTCGCATTTTTTGTCTTTTAATCTGTAATTTCATTTCAACTGTCATACATAAGATGTAAATACTCATGGTTTAATTGAGGCATATGGTAAAGAAATGTGGATTTAACAATTTTCCCAGCCCAAGGTAGCATAAGATGAACTATGGTGCTACAATTCAATGAAAAACAATGCTACCAGACAGTCAAATACTGAAATGGCCTCTCCTTTTTCTGCTCCTTTTGGACAATTTAGGTCATATATAGTTATCTGTTAGTTCCAGAACTCAAAAATTCAGCTAGTCATCATCCTGATGAAGTGGAAGTTGCTGCAGTATTAGTACTACTACTACTATTAAGCTCATCCCACTGGCTCTTTGGTATCTCTCCGGAATCCACAATTATCACTTTCTTCCTAGGTTTTCCACTATATGTTCCAGCTCCCCCTTCTATTGCAAACACAGTATCCATCCCTTCTATCACTTTTCCGAACACAACATGCTCCCCATCCAGCCTGCATCCCAAAAATAATTCAACATTTTCTGTTAAACGATCCACCAAGGTGGAAGTGCATTAAAAGAGACTCTGAAGTGAAGTGAACTAGACAAAGAAACCAAGCTTGGCGCGATTGAAATTTGAGTTACGAAGTTCAAAGCAGGAAATCGTAAGATTATATATCCATCTTTCTCAACTAGCAATGTATCCAAAAGAGAACACTGGATTGTTGCCCCAATTGGGTCACGGCACAATTGAGACTATACACTAAGCAGTCAGAGAATCCCAAAATCTTAAACATCAACCACAATACAGAGTAAGAAAATTTTACCAGCTAGTCTTGACAGTGGTAATGAAGAATTGGCATCCATTGGAATCAGGCCCGGAATTTACCATCGAAACAATGCCTGTAAAAAATATGGGAATCGCCTCAAATAGTTGTCACTTTAACGACCATTAGCCGCCAAAGCAATAAATATTAAGTATATTCCCAGAAATTTAACATTAGGAAAACCTGCATGGGAGTGTTTTATCTTGAAATTTTCATCGCGGAAAGTGCCCCCAAAAATAGACATATTTCCCTTCCCATTGCCATATACAATATCTCCACCCTGAATCATGAATCCAGGTATAATTCGATGAAATGGTGTTCCCTTATAATGGAGAGGTTTTCCATTGCTGGCCTTGCCCAATTCCCCAGTGCACAAAGCCCTAAAATTTTCTACTGTTTTTGGAACAACTTCGCCATACAAGCCAATCACAATCCTCCCTGCAGAGAACCACAACAGCTCACAGTGATTAAACACATAAAGCAAATTGGGGCAAAATTATTAATACTATCTACTGAAACATGATGAATAATATACTTCCACCATTGCTCAAGAGTAATATAAATCAAAAGGGGCCGACAAAAGCAAGAGTAAATAGGGCATAAAACCAACTTCACAAGCTTGTCATTATGAATCATGGTTTTTCTGGCACTAAAGAACATCGTTTAATGCAGCATGATGAAGAATAGAGTCAAGCAAGTAAGGAACAAAGATTGACTCAAATCAATCAAAAATGTATGATAACATTACCAAGTTCCTGATAAGTATACAAGGGGATACAGAATTAGATATCCAAGTAAGTTGCAGCAGTCCGTTACTTGAGAGCGGTTCTTTATGCAAATGGCAAGTCTCATACCCCAGAAAGACAGAGGGGCAACAGCGAGGATATAATACAAATTTGGACAAAGTGAAAACTAATGAAGTATCCACGTTATCTTTCCACTTACATTTCAAAAAAAACGTTATCTTTCCACTTAGAAAGAATCAGCCAAAATTATGAAAGGATAGGAATGGAGAGGGTCCATAAATACCTGCACGTTGTTTATCTATGTCAACATCCAGAAAGACCCGGTGAGTAATTTCATACACTTCTTCGACCTTCTCTTTCTCATCCTGCATAAGGTTGCGAAAATAATGGCACCCAAAAAGTTATAACTTACACAATGCAAAGTCTCACTGAGCATCATCACAGCTACATGTTTGATGTTCAATTCCAGCCTATCAATATGTCTTTGTTATTTCTCGAGATTGCCTAAATCACTAATAAAATTGTTAACCCTCTGTAAATCTGGGAATTAATCTATCATCATCCCAAAAACTCCTACGATGCTGCAGTGCTCAAATCATCCCAACCTTTCAGAACTCCAGAACAGTAAAACCCCATGATTCTTGTGCAGTAAAATAGGGAAGAGACCAGTATCATAAACCATTAATTAAACAGCAAATCAATCCATATTCTCTCCTCAATAGACACTCTATAAGTCCTTCACAGAATACCTAATTAACGATAGAATTAACGGCATAAGTAACCCAAAGCAAAACAAACCCCCAAAAAAAGGTTTCTTTAAACTTTCAATCCAAAGTGTGTATTGGGAAAAGGAAACATGAATTAGCAAGAAATTTCAACTCTTCAGATAACATAAACACAAAGAGGGAAACTTGGGTAGCATTCGGAACTGCCAATCCAAATTTGCAGATCCAAAGACTTAATGGGGTGAAAAAAAGGGGTTACCTGTTGAGAGAAGGAGAGAGCCAAAAAGATGAGAACCAAAGCGACCAACAAGAAGAAAAGGCTCCTGGGCTGTAACAATGCTGAGATCTCCCTCCCCATCACCTTCAATTCTTCCTCATCAACAGTACCTCCATGCCCCTCCTTAAAAGATGCCAATTTTTTCTTCCCTTTTTATTTCTGAGTCAGCCACTCCCACTAGACAAACTTTTGCTTTCTCTTGAGTGAAGATCAAGATTCAAGATTCTTTCTTTGAATCGCGATCTTCAGTGAAGATCATCAATGCGATGAGAGCAACTTCAATTCTTTGGATCCTTTCTGGGATTTGGGGAGAACTAAATTTATCGCCTGCCTCGAATTTTATCGGAGTGTTTAATTACTTAACAGTGGAGAATGTACGTTTGGAGGAGAAAACGACAATACAGCTTTTGGAATTTGGAAATAGTACTAATACTTTGATCTCTATTTTTTTCCTGAATAATATTTACCCCATTTCGGCAACTTTTTTCTTCGAATTATAGCAAGTCTGAAAATAAAAGGAATGCAGACTACAGACAATTTCCAGTCAATTTTGTATATACTTTTTACCAGAAAAATTTACAGGTGCAAAAAAAAAATAAGGGAAATTATTGGGTCATCTGTGTTTGGAAATTCAAAACAAAGACATAACTTGTTTTGAATTCATGTTCTGGATCTCATGCTCCTTTTCTTAGAAAAAAAAAAAAAAAAATTGACATGAAAAAAGAAAAGATACTGTATAACCTTTCACATGAAACAGCTGGGATGAGAACAGAGAAATGCTTTTCTTGAATTATTTTTCTGAACAGTAAACCATTCATCATGGGCCGAAGATAGTTTAAGGAAACGGGCTGAAAATCTGGTAAAAAGTAACCAAATGAATTCTTAGCCCATTATAGGCAGTCCAAGTTCTTGCTCAAGACATAACCAGGAGCAGTAGAATACAGCCAAAACCACAATGACAAAAACTTGTAACCAACATTCAAAATTCTTCGACCAAAGTGGTTGTGGTGGAGGCGGAGTGCCTACTCCGCCCTTGACTATAGGTTGAGAGTTCAAATCTTGTCATAGGTATTGAGCAAACTTAAATATTTTAGCCAGCTGTCCCATCCATCGAAGTGCTTACAATTCAGCGAGAGGAATTAGTCACTATTGTCGACGGTAAACACCCTGTAATAATGAAAAAACATTCAAAATTCTTCTACATTTCTTCTGAAGAAACAACTTTCCATAACTTTGAAGTCACAAGAACAAAATGAAACTGTTAGGTCTAGTTGATAATGTAATGCATCAAATCCATATAATTTTGAAGATAATTTTTGGACCATTTCAACTTTTTGACATTGATAAAAATGCCAGCCATTCATTCATTTCATCCCATGTATCCAATTAAAATTCCAAAAAAAAAAAAAAAAGAGGGGAAGAAAAAATCTATGGGATCTGAAGCTTGGTTAACATCTCCTACTGGGAAATGGCTAGGATTTGTGACTGCAATCTGGGTCCAATCCATTTCCGGGAACAACTACACTTTCTCAAACTACTCTGATGCATTGAAATCCATCATGAAGCTAACTCAGCTTCAGCTAAATCAGCTCTCCGTGGTTAAAGATGTTGGCAAAGCATTTGGTCTTCTTGCTGGTTTTGCATCTGATAAATTGCCTCTGCAACTCATTCTTCTCATTGGCGCTATTGAAGGATTCATTGGTTACGGTGCTCAATGGCTTGTTGTTAGCCAAACCATCAACCCTCTTCCTTACTGGGCAGTAAGTATTGCTATTATATTACTCCATAAAAGCCACATTAATACTTTCATCTTTTGCTGCATACTAGATGATTTCAATAAGAATAATTTTTGTTTAGATGGTAAAAAATTTTCACCCAGATTATTTATTAATCATAAGCTTAATTTTAATTATGCCCATTGAAGATGTGCATATTTATGTGCTTGGGAGGCAACAGCACAACTTGGATGAACACAGCAATTCTAGTGACCTGCATTAGAAACTTCAAGAAGAACAGAGGACCTGTTTCAGGGATTCTCAAAGGCTATGTTGGATTAAGCACAGCCATCTTCACCGATTCCTGCGCGGCTTTGTTTGCAAACTCTCCATCTCCATTCTTAGTCATGTTGGCTGTCGTCCCTCTTGCCGTTTGTTTCGCCGCCACTATCTTCCTTCGGGAAGTTGCATCAATCAAAACAGAGGAAGCAGAGGAAGATAATCAGGAAGGAAAATACTTGGGAATCATCAACATCCTCTCAGTCATCGTCGCGGTTTATCTTTTAATATACGATGTAATAGGAAGTGGTCATGGTCACACGTATAACATAGCTTTTGTAACAATACTTTTAATCCTCTTAGCCTTACCTTTGTACATCCCGTTGAACCTTGCCTTAAAAACCATGATTTCCTCAACCCGTGCGTCCGCGCAATTTCCCAATGTCGAGGCAGAAAGAAGTTATATTAGTACCTCATTACTCGAAAGCGAAAATAGTGGCGATCTCGATGAAGTGGAAAAGAACACGCAAAGGTTAAAAGGAGATAGGGAAGAGGGAGAGAAATCGAGAAGACGGCCGGCAATCGGGGATGATCATACTATATTAGAAGCATTTGGAAGCGTCGATTTCTGGATACTATTTGTGTCATTTCTGTTCGGAGTAGGCACTGGAATGACGGTAATGAACAACATGGGACAAATGGGAGCGGCTTTGGGCTACCAAAACGTGGCTATTTTCGTTTCCCTTCTCAGCATTGCTGGATTTTTTGGCCGCATAATCTCTGGCTCTGCTTCTGAGTATTTCATCAAGTACGCTTTTGTTATTATAATTATATATTCAGAAATAATATAATCCGCTGTCAATTAACTAACCAACAGGAATTGAATTTGATGAATTGTGCAGTAAATTTGCAACGCCAAGGCCAATATGGAATGCAGTATCCCAGATTGTGATGGCAATTGGGTTCATCCTGATGGCTCTGAATGTGCCCGGATCACTTTACATAGGATCAGTGATTGTGGGGGTTTGCTATGGAGTTCGTCTAGCTTGCAGTGTGCCTATAGCCTCTGAGTTATTTGGGCTCAAATACTATGGCCTAATATACAACGTGATGATTCTTAATCTGCCATTGGGGTCGTTTTTATTTTCGGGACTTGTGGCAGGGTTTCTGTATGATGTCCAGGCCAGCCCAGTTGCTGGAGGAGGGAATTCGTGTGATGGTGCACATTGTTACAGGCTTGTCTACGCGATCATGGCGGCTACTTCTGTGTTGGGCTTCTTTTTGGACATTTTGTTGGCTCTAAGGACTCGAGCTCTTTATGCTAATATCCAAGCCAACAAGAAGAGGTCTAGTTCTAATAGTGCATCTCAACCCAATCGCAACAGTTCCAATTAATTACTAACTCCTGTTGTGAAAGGGGGTTCTGTGATAGATACCCTTGTGTAATGATCCGTTGTATTCAAAAAAATAAAACCTGAAAAAGCAGTCAAATTAGCAAAGTTTTAAGTGAAAGTATATCAAATTAGCACACAAATAACAGCCTTATAATTGATGGTCTTGATCAGAAGATAAACACAAGGTTATTTGGAAATAAATGCGATCGGGTTAAAAAAAAGTCATAAAGCAGTAGTCTAATCGAATGTCGAAACAATGAATCAGTGAAATGTGAATGATGATGAAATGGACCAGAGGTTCATTAATGTATGTCAATTACTTGTACATGTCAACCTCAAAAAGACATCCATTTTATCCAGGCAATTAGTCCTCCATCATTTTTTAACTACCAAGAGATAAAGATAAGAAGATTGGGAACGTAAATGAACGACCATCCTGCAGCATATTCCCATGCATGGGCTCTTCATCCATTCGGTATTTTTTTTTGTTAACTTCGGGTTTCCACACCAAGCACACCACCTCTTTGTGGCGCCAGGCACCGTGTCAACGCATTATCACGTTGTTCATGGCGCGATAATGGAGCTGATACCGGCCGGGCGCTGATCTTATAGCAGTGCAGAAGGGAGAATTGTAATCAACCAAAAACATTTAAGGTGTGGAGGAAGGAATTAGTGCGATGGAGCCCATTAATACAGAAAAGTTTATGCCAGCTGCTTTGTACATTAGGCTCCCTTTTTGCTTTTTGGACCATTTCATATAGGTCCCTTTTTTTCTTTTTTTTTTGTCAAAATCCAATCAAACAGCCGAACAAAGAAGGTGTCATTTCCAAGCCAAAATCAGTATCCACTGGAACATCCATTTAATCGCTAGCGATATTATAATTGTTGAAGAGATTGAAAGTTTGGAGTCATAATCAGGTAGTTGTCAATATTAATTAATTGGACCAGCCAAAAAGAGCACTCATAAAAAGTGCCAGAAGAAGATATTCTAGCGCGGAGTCTCTTGTTTTTTTAAGTACAAAAATGTCCAAGCAAGAGCCCGTTGATGTGTATTTTACTTCCTTACCGATAGTGTTATGATTTAGTGTATTTTACTTTGTAAAACACGCGTAATAAGTAATCGTGAAACAAAATACAAAACAAACAATCGATGTGAGTTAATTATAGTTCTTGTTTTGGCAGCAATGACAACAAATCTGTCCTTAATTACATGTACTACTAATACAATAGACACAAGTTTCAATAGTTTTATATTGTTACAAAAAGTTCAACAAGACAACGGTAACAATTATAATACGTGTTAGCTTTGGTTCGTAAACATGATATAGTAAGGGAAACCAGGATGGTAAAGCAGTACTATAGTAAAACAAGTAAGATTGTACTTTAAAACCAGAATGGTTAGGTCAATTGTCAACCTCAGACGTCAGGACTAAAACACATCCATACTCTATTAACTTTGGTTTTTAGTATTTATTACGGATACACTTTAAACTTTAATTTGATGAAGATAAGATAAGAAAAAAAAAAAAGAGGGGAACACATGGGGAGGCCTTCCCCAATCTACAATTTGTACGGCTATAGACTTGTGCATGTGGTTCTGCTTTCTCCCGTCAGTATCGTTAACGTTCTTTCTTCCCCCATTCCAATATACCAATATTCCAATAGGGATGATTGACCAATGATTTAAGTCATCAAGCTGGTTTAGCTGAAATGCTGCTATAATATCACTTATTACCATCTCCTTTTACGCCTGGTATTCACTAAATATTTTGTCCATATATAGCCTTTTTTTTTTTTTGGCATTTCCTGAATCTTTGTTAACACTTCAAGGCATAGAGAATATCGTATATGGAAATTTCACTCACCCACCATACGTAACGCTTTCCCTAGCTAATGCCTCAATGCTTAGAGACTGCTGACGATACCTCCATGACTCAATGTATATTGGAAGAGAAGAAGAAGTAACTTAATATAACAGGGGAAAAAGGCCGTTCTGTTATTCTGACCTTTCGCTGCAAGTTGAGCCATATACAAAAACAAAAAAGGCCTCTTACTTTTTTGAACAAAAAAAAAATGTTTCGAATTCGGTCTTCAAAACGTATACATCAGTTCGAGGCGTGTGGGGATAGGCCACATTCGAAATTTGCTAATTTTGACTTTTAATACTAAACAATACTTGTCACATGAAAATCAACAATTGCATTTTCCATCTCTTTTCTTTGGTTATAATTAAGTTGGGTATTGTTCAAATTATCGACCATTTTAAATTTTCATCGTTTTAGCATGTCTAATGACAATTTATGAAAATTTTCGGTAGTTACTTAAAAATCTCGATATGAATATACATTACTCAAGTATAAAACCCTCAAAAATAGTTGTAACTTTGTATCCATTGTTACAAATAATGAAACAATATACTCCGTACATCTAAAAGCAGTTCACTCCACTCATTCTCAGATTAATAGGTTCCACTTTCACTGAAGAAAAGCGAAATGTATCATTGAAAACATTATGTAATAATTTGATATGAATATTTGACATCAAATTGCCGTAAACCAAAAGTATCAAATTGAATCAGATCTGAAAGACGATCAAAAAAAAAACGCCAAAAGGTCAAAATCTCCCACGTTGTGACTGCAAAAGCACGGATCCTTCCTACCGTGTATACTACCACGTCTGACATGTTATGTGCTGAATATGGTTCAGTTAAAAGACAAAACTGTGCCTTAGAATTTTCTTTTATTCATCTGCAACCAGTAAATATTCTACATAAATAATGTAAAGAGTAAGATAATCAAACGGGTTCATCGAGTGCTAAGAAGCCTTCTATTTTTAATCGTAGGTCGAAGGTTTAAACCTTGTCTATGGAGTATATTTTTTTTTAAAAAAAAAAAGAATAAAGAGTAAGATACAAAAAAACCCTTAATATTCGAATCTCGCAATAAACATAGAGCAACTTAAAGAGAGAGAGTAAAGACTAAAATGCAAAAAGCCCTTAAAGTTTGTATGTTTTCCAAGTTACACAATGGTAGTCCACATTTAGGAGTCTTTTTATGTTTTACATTATAGTCTTCCAAAACCAACACCATTTTTTGACGGTCTTCTCGTTTTTAGGGATAGTTTTAACAATTAAATCGTCTCACTTTTTTCATCGAATCTAACTCATAAATTTAAAATTCAACCAACAACAATGATTACACATTTACATCAATAGCTTTATCAAGTTTTTCTAAGTCAATCCTAAAATGAATATAAAAAAAACTACTATAATTATGAAATGAAAAAAAAAACTCAAAAGAAAAACTAGATAGGAAAATTAGTTTCATATCATGGTGGGAAAAAGATGGTGAACAATGCCAACTGCCAAGTAAAAGTAAAATATAATCGTTACGGGTCAAAAAAATAATCACATTTTTTTGTATTGTGATAACGTAAATTTTTTTTAGGAACAAAATTCTCTGATTCGACTGATCGAGTGACTCGAAACTTAGCCGCATTACAAACAAAAATTAGGACAAACTTGGTTTTCTAGTAAGGAGGCTTAACCCAAAAAAATGAGTACAAACTTGTGGGCGTTAATTGTATGATTTATTTCTAAATTCAAACAAAATTACTGTTTTAATATAAAAATGATATTGACCAGGTTGTGGAATGGGGAAATCAGTTTTGGTGTGAGCCGTCGGGGTCCCTATCAAGACAGGCTGTATATAAGCGGAGTACGATTGTCCAATTTTTCCACCGTACATCTCTGATAAGTGCTCATCTTCTTCGACATCTACCTAACCAATTGGTTTTAATTAACTTAATTAATGACATATTTTGGGTGACAACGAAAGGATCTTGCGTTAATCATGTGTGTTTGGTTCCTTTCTCTTCATTTTATTTTTATTTTATTTTATTTTTATGCAATTTGTTCTTTTCTTTAGAAGAGCGGACCACATGCTTCTAATATGTTATGAAGGTTTAAGTATTATATGCCTATAACAGGTAGAGACCAGAGATGCTGCTCAAGTATTTGTGTGTTTCCATCAGCAATTGAGAGGAGGCAAAAAGCAAATTTGATTCTTCCTTCACATGGGTTGATGATGTTTGATCTACTTCTCCCTCCATTTCGATTTGAATTATTCTTATTATTATTATGTAGCGGTATATTGTTGATCACATCAATCTACTGGAACGATACTGATATTTAATTAATTAAATCGATCGTAAACTGCGGAGTCAAACTAATTGATTGCAATCTTATTTAGGCAACTCGTGGATGATTGGTAGTACCATAGCTTAGGAAATTCATGCTGCGATATACAGAGTTTTTAATAATAAAAGCATAAGCCAATTAAATGACAACTTTGGAAAAAGTGAATGAAATGGTTGAGATATGGAAGAATGAAAAATTCCATGCATCAGGTTTTCTGCCCATCAATCCATCAATTCTGCAAAATACGATGATTTTTCCGCCGGCGCAACTTGCCAGTTGTTTAGTCTGATGACAGTGAAATCCAGATAACAACACAAGTGGTAAGAATTCAAAGATCAGCCCATCAGAACAAGGATTAGATTTCAACTAACCATGTCATTGATGGATTTTGTAGCAAGTACGTAGTGTAATAATGATGTTAATATTGGATTTAACTTCCCTTTTTTTTTTCAATAAAAACGTAATTTTATGGTTTTTGACAGCTAGGAAAATACTAGCAATTCAAAAAGGTACAACTATAAAACAATTATTGGTGTGGAGTGAATGATTGATTTGGGTACGTAATACTCATGAATAGTCAGTAGTACCACAATATATATATATAGTAAAAGTCTGCAGGTACAGCAGTCCCGTCATGTTCCCCGAAGTTATCACGAAGAGTTAAGGTTGATTGTCTTATTGATAACTTGGTCCACTTATACAAAAATCAATCCTTGCTTTTGATTGGTTTATGGAAATCGGATCTTTGTATCCTAAACGACAACTTATATAAAGTGTATATGGAGACCGGAATAGCAATTTTCCGTTGAAGTGGTGCACATGAAAAACTGCGGCTGCTGCCGGCCGAGATGACAGCCCAAGTTGGCCAACTCCACTGTTGAGTACAAGAAATGATTCTGCACATATACATTACTGAGAATAGTACTCCACTGATGTCAAATTGGGGTCACTAAAATCACCCTGTAACTGTTGTAATTACTTGTTAATGATGTGAAATTGACCGCTTTGAAACTTGAGCGCACTAATCTCACTTCACAATCACACTGATATTTTGCAGCGATTTGTATGTCCCCATTGATGTAACCTTTCTTGATAATATATGGATACAAGTCACGACATGTATTTTTTAAGAATAAATCCGGGAATAAAGATGGTTTTGTTTGCGCTTTAGTGGTAATAACATATTATAATATTTAATATAGTAGTATTCGATTCATTTGGTGCCAAAGATTGGACTCTTGTATCAACCGTCAAAACTCCTGCTCCCAAATAGAGACCCACACGAAACTAAAAAATTAAAATAAATTAAGCAAGATCCATTGATATTTTCTGTGTGTATTTTGAACTACTTTGTTTTCCAAAATAAAGTATTAGTAGTAGCCCAACGCATGATATATGCTGCATTTTGTACGCTTTGTCACCGCTTCTCAAACGTGAAATATAATGATATTCTTTTATAACAATGTTATATTTCACAGACGACCACCTTTAGTTTGTTGGGGTCCAACTCAAGAAAGGTCGAGCAAATAAACATTTTTCCGTCAAGAGAGTGGGAGATCATAATATTCGTTTCATTTTTCTCAATGCAGAGCAGCCACTAGTGTCCAAAATAAGTGTCTTTTGTAATTTTTCTTTTTTAAAAACAAGTGTCGAAGAAAGTCTCTCAAGCTTTCATTCCTAAATCGAAACCGAACAAAAATTAGTGAAAAGTGCAAAAAGGAAAGAGAAGTGACAAAACGTAAACAACGATAGGATTCATGCTAGTATAAGTCCCTGTAATCCTGAAATAATGGTTAATTTTTATTTTAATTTATAATACAATTTATGTTGAAATATAAATTCAAATTAGATAATCGTATTAAAACAGAGTGAATAACAGCCAAAAGAGACAAATTACTAAAAGAATGAATATCACATGCTACCGTACATCGTTCATACGGAGAGATTGTAAATTATGCATTCACTAACAAGGGAAGTGAAGCATATTTCTAGAGAAACGAATTTTGGAATAGAGAGTTTCAACTTTTTTTTTTTTTGATGATCGGGGCAATAATACATTAACTTTCTACTATATTATTGTTGGTTTCTAAGGGGGTACGAAATATCCAAAAGATCGTGGTTAAGCCACCAATAGACTCCCTGGTGGCCATAAATCCAGTCGGAGTAAGCCGGCTAGAGAGTTTCAACTTTAGTGCTCTTTTTGTTTTGATTTTTCTTTTTAATGTTATTGATGTGTCCCTGATTGTGTGTACCTGTATATATGATGCTCATTGACATCCTCTTTACTATAAAAGAAGAGCGAAGAGAATATTAGCCAAATATTTTAAAAGAAAAGCATCATACGAAAAATGTGCCCATATATATACATGGTAATATTTTATTTATTTATTTATGAGAATTTATTTATTAAGAAATGGTTGGCATGCAGTCAGCAGTCCTACAATTATTTTGAAGGGAAGCAAAGTTATGTGGCTTTTTCCCTTTTTGGCTTTCCGCTATAGAGAACTATGAAATATTAATAAAATAATAAACACGGTTGTAACGATGTAATAACACGGCAACCTGTTTTGGGGTTTGGTTTTCATACCCAGATGGTCCCCAGATGATGTACCACTACTTCTCAACAATTTCCTTAATCGACTTTTCAGTTCAAAAAAAAAAAAACGAAAAAACTTGTTTCAACTTCCGACACCACAAAGCCATTTACTATAAATCATACTCTCCCACAGAAACCAAACCCCCCAACCAAAACAAAAAAAAGTCACCTACTTTCGTCGAATTCTAAAAGCCCCCCCATCAAATTCTCGCTCTACAATTTTTGACTCCAAAACAAAATAAAAATAAAAATTAATAATCAAGATTAGGTAGTCCATTCGGGATGGGATTTTTGCCGTCTCCGACTTCCCCGGCCGGGAAGTGGCTCGGCTTTGTCACCGCCGTGTGGGTCCAATCAATCTCCGGCAACAACTACACTTTCTCCAACTACTCCGCCGCCCTCAAGTCCCTCATGTCCCTCACTCAGCTCCAGCTCAACAACCTCTCCGTTGCCAAAGACGTCGGCAAAGCCTTCGGCATCCTCGCCGGCTTAGCTTCCGACCGCCTCCCCACCCCACTCATCCTCCTCATCGGCGCCGCCGAAGGATTCGTCGGCTACGGCGTCCAATGGCTGGTGGTCAGCGGCCGGATTCAGCCGCTTCCCTACTGGGCCATGTGTATTTTCTTGTGCATGGGCGGAAACAGCACCACCTGGATGAACACCGCCATTCTGGTCACCTGTATGCGCAATTTCCGCAAGAACCGGGGCCCCGTTTCCGGAATCATGAAGGGATACGTCGGGTTGAGCACCGCCATCTTCACCGACGTCTGCTCTGCTCTGTTTTCCAACGACCCTTCCACTTTCCTCCTCATGCTCATGATCGTCCCCTTCGCCGTCTGCCTCACCGCCATTGTATTCCTCCGGGAGATCCCGCCGTCCTCCAACTCCGACGAGGAGAAGGAGGAGACCCGGTACTTCGGAATCGTCAACGTAATCGCCGTCGTCATCGCCGTTTATTTGCTGGCATTCGACGTCTCCGGCGAGCACGGCCGCCTCTTCTCCCAACTATTCGCTTACGTTCTGCTATTCTTGCTCGCTTCGCCGTTGGCTATTCCGGTGTTCATCATGCTGAAAAATTTCCTGAGATTCAGCTTCGATGACTCACTGCTGGACTTGGAGAAGGAGCCCCTTCTGGAGAAGAAGACGGGGGCGGCTGCAGCGGCGGGGATTACGGCGAAGGAAGTAGTAGTAGCAAAGGGGGAGGAAACAGCGAGGCCGCCGGTGATTGGAGAAGATCACACGATTATCGAGGCAGTGAAGACGGTGGATTTCTGGATCTTGTTCGTGTCGTTTCTGTGCGGTGTCGGGACGGGATTGGCAGTGATGAATAACTTGGGCCAGATGGGCCTCGCCTTGGGTTACGTGGACGTTTCCATATTCGTGTCTCTCACTAGCATTTGGGGATTCTTCGGCCGGATTCTCTCCGGCTCTGTCTCCGAGTACTTCATCAAGTATGTTCTCTCGTCTCTTCCTCTCATTTTCCCATTTCTTGTATTACCAACGATTTACTTTCTTCTAGGTAGTTTTAAAATGTTGTCTAATGAACAAAATTCATTGGTTTATTCAAATGGTTTCTGTTTACACACTTCCTTTCCGAAATAGATTTTAATTGCAAATGAAGCATTTATACCTTAAAAAGAATTTAGTCAATTCCTTACTCTTACGGCAACATTGTGCTAGTACAAGGAAAGGAGAAAGAAAAGGAAAGCAGAGCTTTGAAAAGTTACTTAATGAGGTCTTTTTAGTTTAAAACATCAATTGGAAGGAGGTCATATCTGGAAAACTAAAATCTATACCCAACTGGGGATGGGGAAGTCTGGGGGACAATAAATCTGCCCAACCAAAATGAACTGAATTTTCAAGTAACGTCTGAGCTAGAATTGGAACTTTTATTGGTACCATACTGTAAGTTGAATTTTTTTTTAACCTTTTTTTTGTCGGTTTGCCCTGGCTTCTTTCCCAGAAGCTACATTTGTATACGTCCGCAGGAGTTGTTTCAAACGTTGGTGTCTTTGTCAATACATTGTCACTCTCTCTTATAATAATAAATTGAACAAATTTTGGTCCGTCTATACACTTTCTGGGTAGGTGGGAATGGTTTCAGTTTCAATAGAATGTAAAAAAATCTTTTGGCATATTAATTCTAAGCCGAATTTTGGTGCTGCACTTCTTTATTAGTTGCAACTTGCAAAGTGAATGGTACCACGTTTGGATCATATTGGACTTGGACTTGTTCCTGTCCACCCAATCCCACTGTTTGCTGTCCTTTTTATCCTCTATTCAAAATCTTGAAACTTTCATGTTTGCTCTGCTTTTGAAATGCCTTTCTAATAATTAAGGATACGTATTAGTAGAGAAAATGTAGCATGACAAATGAACACATTCTTAAAAGCATGATCTGATTCTTTTTTTCGAATATAACAAATGGTAGGAGGGGAGGAACGCCGAGGCCAGTATGGAATGCAGCATCACAAATTGTAATGGCATTCGGTTACATAATGATGGCCATGGCTTTACCTGGCTCACTCTACATTGGCTCCATAGTGGTCGGAGTTTGCTATGGGATTCGTCTAGCCGTGACTGTCCCAACTGCATCTGAGCTGTTTGGCCTAAAGTACTATGGTCTCATTTACAACATCCTAATCCTCAACCTTCCGTTAGGCTCCTTCCTTTTCTCTGGTTTGTTAGCCGGACTATTGTACGATGCTCAGGCGACTAAGACGGCGGGTGGCGGCAACACTTGCATTGGTGCACATTGTTACCGGCTGGTGTTTGTGGTCATGGCCATTGCTTGTGTGGTTGGTTTTGGTCTGGATGTATTGCTAGCTATCAGGACTAAGCCATTGTACAACAAGATTTATTTAAGTCGGAAATCGAAGAAGGCTGCAGCTGCATCCGGCGCCCAATAGTAGTCCGTCATTTTGAGTGAGGCTATCCATCACTTAGAAAGTACTAATCAGCTCTCCCACCCACTTTTCATGTGCTATGTAGTGAGATACGTACGTTTAAAATGATGTTGTTTTGTTTAAGCAGTAACAAAATGACATTGTTTTGGATGTTACATAAACATAAAACACACAAAAAAAAAACAAAAAAAACAAAAAAAAGAAAAAGCCGCCAAATGATTCTTTTTAGATGGTTTGGTCTCAGGATTGATGGGGGGAATTGGTATCAATTATTCCCAGGTGAAGTCCTGGAGTAGAATTGTTCGTAGGGGAAATGGTGGGCATGGCGCCAAAGACATTTTCTTATAGTGCCTCCTACTCCATTACCCGTTAATCCATGACTCTCCAGCCTCCATTAGTGTATGTGATTATGTGAATTCAACTGTTTACAAATAGGTTAAGATGCCTGCTCTTTGTGCTTCCCTCTCAAACTGGTACTTGGGTTAGCCGTTTCATATTTCAAAGAATTTCGGGCTGAAAGACCTCTATAAAAAGGCTCATTTCACAGCCATTAAGTACATTAATTAGCCCTCGTTAATGTTGCTCCCAACTGAAATTGATGAACTTCAAAAGTCTGAATTTATTGATCTGGGTTCCATCCTCTTCATCCGGGGCTTGACGGATTCCATTATGGGCCGGCATTTGGCAGATACCACCCTGGTTCCTTGGTTCATTAGCCGTCATGGATGACCATTTGCAGGCCCATCAAAATCTGAACCTCCATCGGCACCATCTGTTTTCAGGGGAAGTGTCAGAAAACAGAGGGCTTATGAACTCAGAATGGTGGGCTCTATTTTCTCTTACCTCCCTTGCTGCCCATTTCTCATGGATTTCAGGCCAGGAAGCTCTTCCAAAACTCCATCTTCATGAGTACTAGTCTGAGTAGCAATGTCTCAATGATGATGTTTATCCTTAAGGTTCAGACTTCAGGTGTAAGTGTAACTCTGAATAAGGTTTTACGGCTTTTTTTTGTCCGGTATCACAAAAATGAGTCCAAGGTTAATTCATTGGGTTAATGTTTGTGATTAATTAGTCTGTGTGTCTTAATTCGAAAACAGGGTATCCAACTCAGAGGTGTTTCATGTGCTGTACCGATTCATACAATCCAGATATGAGGTTGATTGCCAATCCAGATAAAAGAAGCAGGGAAAGTGGTAATAAACAACAAAGGGACCATCTTTTCAAACTGGGGAAAAAGGGACCAGATTAAAAGATCAATAAATTTGGAATGTTGCTGGTCCAATAAATTCCAAGTTTAGTGCTTTCTCGGCCTGCCATCACACACAATTTGAACTCTGCTTTTTCTTTTTTTCACCATGCGCGGCCTAACAAACGTTGCTACCTAATATTCTCTTTGTGCATTCTGATTTCGTTCTAGATTTAACTTATAATATTTTTTTTATTAGAAAAAAACCTTAAAATATATTTTTATATACGTTGTGTTTTACTAATTATTATGAAATGTTTTTAAGATTTTTATTTCAATTAAAAAGATATTTAAGTAAAATCTAGTATAAAATCAAAATAGTTTATAAGGACTTAAGGAGTATTGAACAAACTCAGATGAATTAACTTCAAGACTTGTCCCTGAAAAATTATCACATCGTTGATTTGATTTCCCATTATTTTCACGTTCTGATCATTGGACCAACACAGCGTGCATGCCGGCTCGCTCGCCTAGCTAAGTAGTACTGCTACTGGTTGGACCATCCACTCAACAATTGTAGCTTCAACTAAAAAGAATTGTGGTGGATTGGTAAGAATTCCTCTACCCTTAATCATAGGTCGATGATTTGAACCTCGTTATAAACATGGAACAAACTTTAATCCTTTGATTAGTTCTCCCACCCATCGAGCTGTCTACTATGAGCGAGGGGAATTAGTCACTAATATCAAAAGTGGACACCCTGCAAAATGTAGAAAAAATTTTTTTGTGTAAGTTCAAAAGTCACGAACCTACACATAAATTCAGTTAGATCAAATTCAACTAATGTAATCAAATTCAAACAGTTGTTTACTTTGGGATTTGGTTTCATGAGTTGAATCAGTTCAAAGAACACGGGATGGATGGAGCAATTTCTGTTTTGATGATTACGTTTCGGAGACAGAGAGATACATAGCCGAAACAACGCATGCCATTCCCGAAATGGGCAAAAACTGCTGCCTTCTTTTTAAGTGTCTCTGTTTGTTTTACAATTTCCAGTATCATGTGATTGATTCTGTTACACTCCCCCAATTCCTGCTTTCCACTAGCTCCCCCAGTTCGGCAAATTGTTGTCTTTTCGCCTAACTTCACCGCTCCGAAACTCAAATTGGGTTTTTATGTTTTTGACACTAGGATCTACTGCTTCTTATTGGCCATCAATTTGGATCCAAATCCCAATGGGTGTTTTAAAACATTGATGCAGATATTGATATTAAATTGACAAGGTGATTGCGTTTAACGCAAAGATATTTTAATTATTAGATTTCAAACTTCCATGCATATAAAGTAGTAGTACTACTTTCAAAACCAGTTTCAAATCTAAACAAGAAAACGGGAAAAAAAAGGAAATGCTTTGATTCCTTTTTTTTTTTGGAGGTATTATTGCAAATCAGTGAGACGCTGAGGGGACATGTATTGGTTTTAATCTGGAAAATGGAATACAATTATGGGATGAGAGTAGGTGGACGATCCTCCTTATTAGAGGTCCAAAACAAAAATATGCACAAAGTTCCCAAATGCATATTAAAAAGACTCGGTACCAGTGTATCACATGCATAACATTCACATTTTATGATGAATTGATACATTAACCAAAAATGGTTGATTCTTCATCTTAAATATCACTCTTAACACAATTCACGTGTTACTTATTGTTTTTTCCATCATCGTAATATGGCAGGCAATTCCCCCTTCCACCCATAGAAATGTGAACTGTCATTGGCTCTTTCCACTATTTCTCTTGTGATTCTTTCCATCCCATTTGCCCTCTTTTCTTCTTCAATTTCATTTTTCCATCAGCTCCTCCTCCTCCTCCTCCATCTCCATTGGAGGGTATCACAGAGATAAGTAACCTTTCATCCCCATTCCATCATTTGTACTGGACATGGCAAAAGGCTCTTCTTTTTTCTTACTCACAATAGTGTTACTGTGGAGCCATTTTTCTGGCATTTCTCCCCTCATTGCTCTTCACAGTTATTGCTCTGACTCTCTTGTTTTTTTCACTTCATTCCTACATACAATACTCCCTCTGTCCCAAAATTATTGTCCAGCTTGAGATTTCACTTTTAGTACAATTTGAGCTAAAAATGAAAACCAAACTGGACAATAATTTTGGGACGAAGGGAATATAAATCCATGAATCTTTTATAGGTCTCCTTTTTTTCTTGTTGTAATGTTGCTTTTTTGTTGTTTGAATTGCAGATGGGCCACCCTACGATTCTTCTGCACATACTGAGGTGACAGAAACATATTTTCTTGCACTATTATCTTCTTTTTCCCCATTCAATTTATTTATTTATTCTACCCGTCTCAAGAGAAAAATTCTGTATTTACCTGAGTAGTTCAGTAAAAATAACACTTTTATTTCAAGATAAACGGACTATTTTTCACTACGAAATCCTGTTGATTCAATTTATACGAAGCCTAACTGGGTGGGGAAACGGATGAATTTAACAAACCAAATTTGCTGTTCAAAACAAAGACCTGATTTGGTGGTGGTTTTATCTGGAACAGTGTAAACTAAATCCAGACAAGCCACTTTACTACCATGGAGGTATCCTTATGGATCAGGAAGTCCAGTACGCTTGGGTACAAGGCCCAAAAGGGAATCCAGTTTATTCTCCAACACTTGCTGTACTAAACCTCCTGCCGGACACCTATTACTGCTTTTCCAGTTACGATCCTGTTAAATTCCTCCTCACTCTAAGAGTTTCTATATGCTTATTTTTGTTTTCATTTATGCTCATTTGTAACTTTTGGGCCTTAACAGCTTGGATCAAGACAAATTATACAGGCATTTCACTCATTAAAGCCGGCCTAATTACAGAAACAGATGCAATAAATTGTACCGGGACTGTTCTGGCCCAAAGTGGGTGCTGGTCATTTCTAAAGGGCGGATTTCTGTTAAATTCTCCATCAAACTCATCTCTGCTCTATTTCCAGGTATTAATCCTTTCACTACTTATTTCCCATTTTCTAAGTACGTATTTGCATTAAACGTAAAAACTAAGATAAAATTTCTAGCATATAACATCGCCAACTTGGGTGCTTAATTTTTATTTATTTATTTATTTTAACAGAATTCAGAAGGCAAAAATATAAATGTGGAGATAGCCAGCCCTGCGTTGCAGCCCTTCAGCAAGGAGCAATGGAGATTGAACCAGAAGTATAAGATTAATAAGGTAATAATTTGACAACTTCTACATTATTATTATCTTTGAAATGCATGGTCACAAATTTACCAGGTCATCTTATTTCGAATTTTCAATAAAAAGACACCACCATTATTTACAGCAATATATATACTAGTACTAATTGTTTTGTAAATGTTTCAGGAAAGGAAGCGAGAAGTTATCATTCATATTTCAAACACAAATGGCGTTAAGCTGGAAGGAGCAGATGTGACCGTAACACAAGAATCAAGTGATTTCCCATTTGGATCAGCCATCTCAGCCAACATCATTGGGAATTTGCCGTATCAGGTCTGCATATATGAACAAAAATTTGATCCTGTTTCCTCTGTTGCGATTGTGTTGTTTCCCTGTTTTCCACACGTTTTAATCAGCTGTATTTCTTCCAGAAATGGTTCACTGAGCGATTCAACGCAGCGGTTTTTGAGAACGAGCTCAAATGGTATGCAACAGAACCAACAGAAGGCCAAATCAACTACACAATCGCCGATCGAATGCTGGAATATATTCGATCCCACCAAATCCTGGCTCGCGGACATAACATATTCTGGGAAGATCCCCGGTACACTCCACCATGGGTGGTTAATCTAACCTCCTCCCAGCTCCGTTCTGCTGTAAATTCCAGAATCAAAAGCCTCATGGAGAGATACAAAGAACAATTCGTTCACTGGGACGTCAGCAATGAGTTGCTGCATTTTGATTTTTATGAACAAAAACTGGGCCCTAATGCTTCCCTGGAATTTTTCAAGACAGCCCACGAATCCGACCCGTTGGCCACGTTGTTTTTGAATGATTACAATGTTGTTGAGACTTGCGACGATAATTCAACAGTGGATGCATTTGTAATGAAGGTGAAGGAGCTAAGGAGAGGAGGAGTCACCATGGATGGAATTGGATTGGAGGGTCATTTTCATGTGCCTAATTTGCCTATGATGAGAGCTGTTCTTGATAAATTGGCTACACTTGGACTTCCAATTTGGCTTACAGAAGTTGATATCAGTAGATCTCTTGGCCAGCAAAAACAGGTACATTGGTTACATACATTTTCTTTTACTGTGTTTGTGAGCTGAATTTGTTGTTTTCTGGTTCAACGCAAGTTCCATCTTATTTTCGTTTTCCAGGCTTTGTATCTAGAAGAAGTATTGAGGGAAGGATTTTCACATCCAGCAGTGAGAGGGATAATGCTTTGGTCAGCCCTTGATCCAAATGGGTGTTACCAAATGTGCCTTACCGATGACAAATTCAACAACTTGCCGGCTGGCGATGTGGTGGACAAGCTACTCAAAGAGTGGCAAACGGGGACGATCAATGGCCAAACAGATGAACAAGGATCATTCATTTTCCAAGGTTTCTTAGGTGAATACAAGGTTAGTGCTAGGTATGGTGACAAGGTTGTGAACTCAACTTTCTCCCTGAACAAAGGTGATGAGACTAGACATTTTAGCATTCAACTCTGAGCTTTAAATTTTCAGCCTAACACGACTGAGTGAGCTTCGGCTCTCCAGGTTTTCAATATACACGGAATACAACTATTATAAACTGAGCTATTATTGTTACTTGGCGTATAATGAGTCATGATGCAAGCTCAAATCTGCATCTCTTCAGTCCTGAAAGCTTCTTAGCGTAATTGGCAGAAGAAGGGATGTTTCGACTAGAAAATGAGGCAACAAATTAAAGTAACCTTTTTCCCTTTTGTCAGAGAATAGAGTGGCAAAAGTAGCTGTTAATTTAGGACCAATTGGAGAGACAAGAGATAATCCCCAGGCCACTTTTTGACTTTATTCCATTGCGCTACCCAGTGATTCAAAGTTGTAGATTGTGTTGGGGCCCAAACCAATTACTCACTCCGGTCTTTAATATAAGACATTTTGATTTTGTCTTAAGTTTTTACCTATTATATATTTTCAATTGACGAAAAAAAATACCTTAAACATATATTTTTGTATTCTTTGTATTCTCTTTATTGTTATGAAATATTTTAAAATTTTTTTTGTCAATTAAAAATAAGTACTAAGTTAAACCTAAGATAAATCAAAATACCTTATATTAAGGACCGGAGGAAATACTAGAAAAGCCACATACTTTGAAACTTTAGGAACCCAGTTTCACACCTCATTTTTGCTTTAGAATGAATAAGATAACTAAACACTATGGTAATGTTGATGAACTGGACAAAGTTCTGAGAAAAGGGAAGCACAATGTACCCGAAAAACAACACACAGTTGTGAAACAAGGCAACCCCATACACATACTTGCAGTTTCCGCAAAGAGATGCCTTCGTTTTATCTCTGCAACTGTTGTGCCATTTCATTCTCACTTTACCCAACTTTTGCCAGTTTTTTGCCTCTCAAGTAACCGTAATCATCTCCCCCCCCCCCCAAGTTTTTCCGACACAAGAGAATTGGAATGATTTACTGAACTTAAGGAATCCCGTTTCTTTTCCAAGCAATGCCTTTCTTGATTCAAAAATAAGAACCCTCGCATAAATAGGCCAACAAAAAGCATTACATATGCACAATTTAAAAGGAAAAACCATTCCTCCTACTATCACTACCAATTTTACTACTACCATCAAAAAGAAAGTCTACTAAAATTCCTAACCCAAAATGCCAAAATCCAAACAATTTATTAGAAACCCCTACAATTGAAGAAATGAGAGAAGTAGAAATGCAAAGCCAAACAGGGCAGCAGCAGAATGCCAAACACACATTAATCTCGTGGAGTCACCCATGGCCAAACCCGCCAAATATGATCCATCAGCCAGCATAGCATTTGAACCTGAACCCGAACCCGAACTCGAATCTGGTTCTGGATCAGACCCAGAAGTCACAACCATTGAGCCTGTCCCTGTTGATTCGGACCCCATACCACTTCCTGTTCCAGACATTGTTGACCCGCCATCACCATAGCTTGTCCCTGGTGGAGTTGTTGGATCCTTCGAAGATTTTTGACTGCAAAATTCCCCAACAGACATAATAATACATTAGACATAGGCACCATTCAATCCAAACTGTTTTATGATCAAATCAATTGATTATCGTCTCATGAATTATTAGCTATAAATAATGTCAATCCCATTGTAAAAACAAATCAAGCAAACAACATATGTGACAACAAAAAGGTAATAATGAAATTAATGCAGCATATGATTCAATCATTAATCACAACAAAAAAAGACAAACTTTAAACTTCGGGGATACCTTGGTGAGGAAGGGCAAAAAGTGAGACTATAATCAGCGCCGGTGCAAGTGAAAGTACTGGTCGGGTCATCATAAGCGTAGCTGTAGGATCTGGGGCAAGCCGACTTGAACATTTCCGAGTAAACCGACGGCCTACAGGATGCCGGCGAGTTAAACTCTCCGGCGCAACAGTACTGATCACTTCCAAAAGCTTCACAGGCACTCTTGCAGGCTCCACCACCGTTGGCCCGAAGCTCCGTAGGACATATCCGATTCAGATCCGTCAAACAGCCGGTTGAGGCGCACATACCCGACCCGCCCGTCCCTTCAACAATCATGGGCAGATTGTACCCGTCCACCAGGCTAACATCATAGAAGTCCTGACCGCCGCCGTTTCCCAAGGAGAACTCGGCGAGGGTCGCCGGAGGAGCTGCACCAGCACCATTGCATTCGACCTGGCCCGACCCGCAGTCGCCGGTGTCGCAAGTGCCTGACCCGGATTCGTCGAAGTTACAACCGGTTCGGGCCCAGAAGCGGCCGGACCACCCCGTCGGAGCAGTAAAGGTACGGGAAGAGTCGCTGGGGAGCTCGAACCCGGTGCTTTCCAGAGTAGGGCTTCCGGCATTGGGTAAAATACCAGGCCAAACAGTGTACTCACATTTGTTCACGAATGTAAACGTTGCCCCATAAACCCCTAAAAGCAAGGAAAATGTAGAAAACGCATCAGCTTAAATATTCCACAAAAACCCATAAATAATAACATTTTTTTCTCTTTTTTTTTTGTTTTGTCAAGCTAAGCTCACTGTAACTCAAACTCCTGAACCACAAATTAAAACAAACAAAATGGTTGAGATTTTTTTAAAAGGTTTCACTCTACTACATCAAGAACAAAGTTTTTAATGTTTGTTAAGCCGAGCACATTGTGAAAATGGCGGTTTTATGAACAATGCTTAAGACAGGATATAAAAGAACAGTCATCAACATACCTGCAGAAAGGATGAGGAAAGTGAGGGAGAAATAGGCGAAAACAGGGAATGAAAAGGGCAGATCCATGTGGGGTGGTTAATTCGGGACTCCTGTTTTTTTTTTTTTTTCCTGCAGAGTGTAGGCTAATAAGGTGAATGAATGAGGGTGTTGCAAAGAGGTAAAGAGAAAAAAGAGGGAGAAGAAAGTGGGAAGGATTTTTTAGAGATTGGGGGGACAGTGTCGAAAAGGAGATTGAGGTAGAATTAAGGGAGCAGTAATGGTGGTGGGGAAGAAAGAATAATAATACCACAGCAGCAGAAGGTTAATTACTTTGACCAATGTAGCAAAGAACGGAAAAGGCCTGGTGTTTGACGCGGTGGTGATGAGGGGTGGTTCTGCTGCTGGTGGGAGTGGCAGAGAAGGGGGGAAACTAGCTGGCTGGTATAGTACCACTGGATAGAGTGAATTAATGGTGTGTGAGCCGCAGAACTGAAAAAAGATTGAAAATTGTAGCAAAACCAAAGTGATATAGTAGTAGAGTGAGTGTGTGTGTGTGTGTGTACGAACATCAAAAAAATATTATATAAAAAATAAAAAAAAAACAAAGAGACAAAAGTGGAATTTTTTGAGGAAAAAGGAAAAATGGAGTGAGGTTGGGTGTGGGAGGGAGGGAAGCGGCCAGTGGTTATCTCTTCTCAGGGCACTCACCGCATGGGAATGGGAGAAAAAGGAAATATATAACTGTAACAGTGTACTACCTCTAATACTGATTAATTTAGTCAACATTTAGGTAAGTCCAGTGTTTTTTTGAATTAACTTATGTTAATAATTCTGATTCAGATTATTACAAAATTGGTAGCTACCACTGATACGATTAAAACTCCAAAGGGAGTGCAGATAAAATGACACATAAATGGGGGGAGTGCCCAGTTGAGAAAGAGAAGTTATAATTAAAAAGGAAACCAAAGGAATATCGCTTTCCGATATTCTTTCTGAGCTTTTCTTTTTTTTTTTCCTTCCTTTCTGGTCATTTTGCAGATTACTCTTTAATTAAATATATATATAAGGCCCTCTCTGTTGATGCGAGGATTTAGGAGGTAGAGATATTCTTTCATTAATAATAGATTAATAAAAGAAAATAAATGTATTTTTTCCAATTTGGCAGAGGACCCTTGCCTGGGTTTGGGGGCCCGGATTGGGAGCTAGTACTATTTTTTTAATAAATATAATAATTATGATGAGCAGGTTTTGGGATAGTGTGGTAGGACTATGCGTAATGAGTTGCTGTTGAATGAATGAATGCAGTTTCTGACCAAATAAGAGAAACCCATTTTATTCTGAATCAGTTTAGACTTTAGACTCAGCTATAGGCTATATTGCAGTGTAGCCAGTGTGCTCATTGATCTGTGTTTTTTTTTTTTTTTTTTTAAACAAACTCAATGGACCAACTATTGCATTACTCCTTTGCCCGTTTAATTCTCACGAGAATTCAAAAAATATTAAGGATATGCTTGTTTCGTTTTTTTAGTATAGCTTTTTAAGTGTTTTTTGTATTTAAAATATCAAAAAATATATTAAAAATATAAAAAAATATTCTGAGATGGGACAGTTATTAATATATTAATTTAATAAAACCATAAAAAAATGAAACAAACAAAGCCTAAGTATTAACTGTTGAGATCATGTAATTAAACTTTATTTACTTTAACCGTATTCACCTAGACATCTGGAAGACCTTCAGGTATTTTGTCTTTTAAGCCTTCAGATATAAAAACAATCAATTAAAACCCTGAAGTTATTCATTTTGTCTTTTAGCTTTAAACTAAAATGTGACGACAATGATTCTTTTTCTTATACAAAAACCCGTGAGAACCAAAACTAACCCAAAAAGAAAAACGATCAAAAGGACAAATACACGTATGTGCTTCATTTCTTCATACTCCATTGTCCATACAGAGATTTTCCCTTTCCCCCTTTTGCAATAACAGTCCATCAAGAAAAAGCCATGGATCTATTTTTTCGTTTTTACAATATTATTTGACCACTTTGACGCTTGTGTTATGGTTTAATTTTTTACTGCAGAATGAGTCCATCACGCGTAGACCAGATGATTTTATTTTTTTATCCTTTCCTTTTCTTTTTTTGGTGTAATAAAATACCCCTTCCATTCCAAAATAAGTATCGTTTTGGCAAAATGGAGAAATTCTAAAATAAATGTCGTTTTCGGATTCCAATGTATTTTTTGTCAACAATTTTCAAATATACCTTCAAAAAAATAATATTATTGGTAACATTTATTTTAATGTGGTTGGTTAAGAATATTCTAGTAATTTAATTACCCTAGTTAATGTTTTCTTAAACTTTGTGTAAACTTTAGAATGACACTTATTTTGAAACGGAGAGAGTACATTATCATATATGTCACTCACTCCATCAAATGCGTAACGATATTTGGTGTATCCGTCACTTCGACATAAATATATGTACTAGTGGTACTCTCTCTGTTTCAAAATAAGTGTCATTCTAGAGTTTGCACATAGTTTAAGAAAACATTAAATAAGGTAACTAAATTACTAGAATATCCTCAACCAACCCCGTTAAAATAAATGTTCACCAATAATCTTATTTCTTTTGAAGGTATGTTTGGAAATTTTTGACAAAACATGCATTGGAATCCGAAAACGACACTTATTTTGGAATTTCTCTATTTTGCCAAAACGACACTTATTTTAGAATGGAGAGAGTATTATATTACCTCCGATCTAAAAAAAATAGTCCACATTAAGTTTTGAAATTTATACTAAGTTTAGTACAAATTTCAAAACTCAATGTGAACTATTTTTTTGGGAGGGAGGGAGGATGGTCCTGATATCATTTCCTTATCCGTATTGGCTATTACGTGTACTCTCCCAATGTCATAGTTTCAATTCTTTGCAGTATTTTTTTTTCCTTCAACAAGTAAAAAAACATGATCCTCCACTCCAGTTATAAAATTACTACCACAAAAAACAGAATGGAACCAAGGTCAAGCCTATTGGGTTGGACTTGGACCACCTCGGCAGCGGTAATTTGTGAAAAAAGATTGCCTAGGATTCCCCTTCTCTTCTTTTCATGTTTCTGCCCCCACAGTTTCCCTCTATATTTATTATTTACTAATTAATTCTTGCCAGTGGCCATGAACAGTCTCATGATAATAGTAAGAATGACTTTTGGTTAATGAAACGTTCTCTGTTCAAAAAACTTCAATATGTCAAATTATACATTCAAAACTGGTCTCATTATCATTTATACCAGGATGGAGACGAGGAGGGAGCGAGTATCCCAGCAGCTTTTCATTTCATGGCAGTAAAATAAACTTTTTTAGAATTACGGTTACGTTTTCCAGTGGGTCCATGCACCCCGGCCCCAATCATGGAGAAAGAAGATGAAAGAAGCATAAGAGAGGCGAGGATTGATCCAATCAAATACTGCTAGAAAAGAACCCAGAATTGGCATGGCCAGATTCCCCATCCATTTGCCCTTTTTTGGTTGCTCTACCGTCATTTGAAAAAATAATTACTTTACCGTCTGTGAAAGGTGAAAAAATCGTTGATTTTTTAATTGTTGTAGTAAATGATAATGTAGGATGCGAAAGCTGAGTGCAATAAGATCCAATGTGAATTCAGTAAAATAATAATTATCACCTTAATCAAACCGACAAATATCTGGTTTTGAAATTTAATTCGAGAGATTTACAGGACTCATTAAGATATTCATTTACAAAAAAACTTTAATTCGAGAGATTTACAATAACTTCAGACCTGAGCAGGTGATATACCCCCCAAACAACCGTTAAAAAATGCAAAAAAGAAAGGGCAACATTTTCGACCCGCGTGATTCCAAAGACCAAGTGGCGTTGGGCCTAACACCCCAAGTTAGGGACATACATTTTCTTTTCTTTCTGTTTGTTTGAAGAATCTGGAGTCCCTTTAGTTCCCTTCTCTCCATATATTGCCTCTTTTTTGGGCAGAAAATTACAAAGTTTTAAGCAAAGATAGACCTTTTTTTTTTTTTAAATTTGCTGGTACCTTCGTATCTCAAAGTGCATAATTATTTCCATGACCACCAAAATCCAGAAAGACTGATTATAAAGGGGTTCTCCCACTATCAAACTTGTAGGACCTAGTTCTAAAATTTGTCTATTCATTAATGCCATCTTTAACCCGTTGCAAATGTAGCCATTCATCTCCCACAAGCTGAATAAATAAACGATGCACCATATGCCGTATCTAATTCATCATGCTTTCTTGATTTGAACAAGTGCTGGAGGAATGATTAAGCTATGAATACTATACTAGACTACAATATACCCCTTTTTTCTCGCATTAAGTCCTGCCATTGACGCCCAAGGTTCTTATTATTTTTTCTGCTCCATTCATTCATTCCTTGAAACTTGTTTTATTTTGGTTCACTAAAACAGTGCTTTCTTTTGTGTCTGTAAGGCTTAAAGTGCAGCCGTATGTTTCCACCACATAAAAAAGAGTTCATAGTTGCGGCACCAAAAGCAGAGTGAGTCATGTATTGTATCTACTAAATGTTGCCGTGATTCTTGTACATACCCTATGCTCATCTATCTAACTATATATATATGTCAGCGTTATCAAATTATTTCCCCAAAAGTCTCAAACAAGTTCTAAATTGACAAAAACTCAGTTGATGCACAAACGGGTGATCATCTAAAGAGACAAGTACAATTTCATTTCTATAAGTCTCAAAATGAAGCCCCAAGTGAAAATAAGTAAAACTCAGTTCATACACACAACGGGAAGCAATAGCGAGGCCCGGGATGGACAACCCACGCCGACATAGGTCAAACCATATCCATTAAACCATAGTGTTGAAACTTTCATCCATGGAAAATAACATAGGACAAGAAATGGGGAAAAAAGGAACAGGAAAGAGGAATCATCCATCTAGATTACAAAACCGCAAGCTACAAGCTGCAAGGAATCATCAAGCTGTTTTTAACATTTTACTACATGCAATGGAACATCATGTCATGACCCTTATATCTCAGAACGCATTCGCCAAAACTTCGAATCTAATTAGGTCTAGTGCCTAGAGAGCTAGCCAGCAGCTTGTCCTTTCTCCATCACAATTGATAGATGAACTTCTTCACAATAGAACAGATATGATTCAGCTTAACCAGAGTGACTATCCTGGAGAAAACTACTCAATGTACATAGTACAAACAAAAACAAAGTTATCGAGAAAGGAGGGACCTATTTACAGACGCCCTAGTACAATTCATTATCTGGGATTTTCAGATTCCATATTGAACCCAGGCTGTAAAGGGTAATGAAGAAGATATTGCAGCAAAGAGGGGCATGCAAGCACCCTGGGTCCTCAATTGCAATTTGTCTTTGGCTTCAGCCTGAAAGGGTTCATCACCATTGTTGTTACTGTTACAGGATTCATGACAAAGGAAAAGACAGCATAACTGCAGCTAAGACAGAAACCACAGAAGCCATGATTTGTGCGGAAGCCAAACCTGAAGAGGACAGTCCACTAGCGTGTATTCTCCCGATGTACATTCTGGATTTATTAACCAAGGGTAGTTCACCAGCCTCTCTTATTTCTCCCAGTAATTTCATGCTGCACATTTCCCACAAAAATCATATTTTCCCAACAATGAAATCGCAGGGACTAAATCTATTTTAGCATCAAGTTGTTGGAATGTTATAAACTGGTGACAAATATCAAAACAGGATAACAAAAAGAAAGATAACATCATATGCAGAATATTTTGATGATCATATATGTGTTGGTTGCATAAGATAGATTAGACTGTTCCAAAAAAATGGGAGTTTCCGTAGGAGCGTGACTGCTCTCAAGGGCAATCTAATAACAGCTCTTGCCGATTAGACATTAATCGTATGGCAGCCTGACATATCTCCCATCACACTAGTCCATTTACAAGCTATTTGTATCACCACCTACCAATAACAGCTTGATTCGCATAAAACAGGTTATGTTCCTTCTTTTACACTGATACTAATTAGATAGTCATGTCATTAATCTCATCACACACAATGTCCTGCATATCATGTGTTTTTCTTTTTATACAACAAGACTACGCTCAAGAAATCAGTCAGCGTTCTACTTTTGGAGACTACACGTTTACAACATGGGAAATAATCTTCTAGGTTAATATTTCCCGTAAAGTATAGTAGCTATTAGGCCAGCACTAACTATGATAACATATGAGCCCCACAATTGTAATAAACTATTCTAAAATGAGTAATAATACTCATACGTTTGCATTATTCACTGAGAGGAAAGGAGGGTGTCCTGGTGCTTTATAGTGCATTAGTGTGTTAAGTGAAGGGAAGTGGTTGGTTCATAAAAACTTCAGCACATATGAGTTCCGACAAGGGGAGCTTTTATATATTGTGATTAGAAACTATATTTAGCCACATTAAAACTGTAACCTTATACCAAATGTAAATGCTCTTAATACTGCAAAAAGTTACTTTAGTTGTAGTGATCATAAACATACTTCTTAAATCATTATTAACGCCACGTTAGTTACCATAGAAAGATACTGTCTCCAAACTAATACCACATGATAGCAGCTTCCTTTATGACGCCAAAAGGAGTGCAAGTTTTTGAAGGTGCGGAGTCCTGAAGATCAATTTAACAGAGACATCTACATATTCGTGATCAAAACCATAACCTCCTGCCACATTGCCTACTCCTTTCAAACGTCTTTTCATATTTGCTAACTGCCAAACGTTTTTCCAACCATAGTGACAACATTAATTTACTCTAATGATATTATCACTATAAGAAATCATCCGTAATGAACAATATCATGTGCATAATATCCCATTTTCTATCTGGCGATGCTAAAGTATTACATCAAATACTTTACTAATACGGATGCAAATAATGTGCTCCACGAAGCAGTGCCACATTACCGGCCATATATTCGCACAACCGAGAGTAACACCAAATGGAAATCAAATTAAGAACAATAATAACAAAGCGGATAGTGGATTAACCTGGTGTACGGGGAAGGGCAGAAGATGATCAAGTAGTCCGCAGATGCACAAGTGAAGGTACTGGTTTTGTCATCATACGCATAGCTATAAGCGCGTGGGCAGGAGTACTTAAAATACAGCGAGTACTCCGACGGCTGACAAGTTTCCGGCGTATTATGCCCCTCACTACAGCAGTACACCGGATCCCCAAACGCCTCGCACGCGCTCTTGCACGCGACGCTCTCAGAACGACTCCCATTTCCCGCCGTCACCCTGAGCCCCGACGGACACGCGCCGTTGAGGTCCACCAAGCACCCCGTCGGGCTACAACCCCCTCTTTTCTTACCTCCCCGGGGCACCACCAGCATCGGCAAGTTGTAACCGTCGACCAAGCTGACGTCATAGAAATCCAAACCCTGGTCACCGTTTAAGGTGAACTCGGCCAGGGTGGCGGGTGGGATAGCACCGCTTCCGGCGCATTCCACCTTGCCGGAGCCGCAGTCGGCGGTGAGGCAGGAGAATTTCCCGGAAGACGGGTCGGTGGAGCAATCCGTGCGCGCCCAGAGGCGTCCCGACCATGAGTAAGGCACAGATAGCGTTACGGATTTGCCTCGCTTGAGAACGAAGCCGGTTTGGGTAAGCGGAGTCCTGTCGGCGCTGGTAAGTATTCCGGGCCATATTGTCCGGCGGCATTTGTTCACTATCTTGAACTTCGTTGACTGAACCCCTGCGTTGGAAATTAAATTAAAAAAAAAAAATTAAGAGGCCAAATTTTTAATACTTTGAGGAAAAAGCAAAAGTGAGTGATGAAGAAGAGAAGCTGATTACCGGAGAAGTGGGTGGTGGTGGAGGTGAAGAGGAGGAGGAGGAGAATGATAGGGGAAAACATTGGGCCGCGCCGACGATCCATTCAACTTTGAGCTGAGAAAGGAAGCTAAGAATAAAGAAGAAAAAGGTGAGGGGACGGGAATGAAAGGAAAGCAAAGTTCGCCATTGGCATAAAGGTCGGAAGCGTTGCTTGCTATGGTGGTCGTTTCCATTTTTTGCATCTTTTTTTCCCCCACTTTTTTATTTCGTGGTTATTAATAAGATCACAATAATTGCTCTTTTTACTTTGTGTTATGAATCATTAAAATGGTACTAGTATTTTTCACATTTCAAACCATGTCACGTGCAATTTACAAAAACATTTGTATTTTATGATACAAGAAATATATGCATTGTGATGTGCGAGTCTTTAATTTCCTCTTAAGAAAAAAAATATTTTCAAGGTAGTAATTTTAACATAGACAAAAAAAAAAATTGAAAAAATTTATGGAAAGTGGAAAGGTTTTTTTTGCAAAGTGTCGTATGGTAAGACATCATATCAAAGTTCTTAATTTGAATATGAAGAGATTCAACGGAGGAGTCCTTTTCACTCTATCACAAAATAATTGTCTCATTTAGAATTTTATTTATAATACAAAACTATTTTAAAAATAAAAATATCAATTTAAACAATTATTTTGAAACATAAAGAACAATAAAGAAATAAAATTCTTATCGAAACAACAAACAATGCCATATCACTAAGACTATGTATATACTTCATGAACCTTTAACCTAACCAATAATTTTCAAATTGTATATGCGGTATGCCTTACAACCTTTTGGTATATTATATATTTGGAGTCTGAAATTATTGTTTTGACTGATTTGAATTCGAGAGTCTGTAATACCCTTTTTGAGAATGCAACTTTAGTACTAATACACTTTACTTCTTTCTGTTACTTTATTGGTCTTTTGTTCTCTCTCTTCAACCGTTAATTTTACAAGTGGATTAATGATGTTATAAATTTAAACCTTCAAGTATTTAATCACTCCCTCCATAGAAGATGAAATCCATGATGTAGTTTTTTAAAAAAATACTTACAATCTTAATTATGTTAACCCAAATTACATATTTGAATAATTCTATTTGAAGTTTGAACTTCATTAAATCAAATTTGGACTAAATTGAATTAAATATGAATCGAATCCATCTCTTTCAGAACTCACACCCAACTGTCAAGTAAATATAAGCACTCTAATTCCAAACTGATTTAGCGTAGTCTAAGCTTAGAAAACGAGATAGAATATCATAAACAAAGTGACAATTTCATGGGGAATTCTGTGCGTCTCAATCCCAATTCTCGTGTTTCCAATACCATGTGTTGATCATATTAGCCTATCTTTCGAGTATTGGAATAAGAAAAAATTGACCACCCAAAAAACATTACGACCTATTTTTTTACATACGAAAGAGCCTAAAAACCTAATTACATAACATTTCTTTATACGAAGATGATAACATCTTACAGGAATCATTAGTTTTCTTTTAATTATAAGGTAGAATTGTCAGAGTATGTAACCTAACAGTGAACACGAAAAAGTCGATTTTGTGGATTGAATTGTTGCCCTTTGGCGAACTTGAACTGATTGTGGGAGAGCTGGCCAAAGGGGCTGCTCCATGTCCATAACGAAGTTCGAACTCTCACTATGGTACAGGTGGAGGAATACTTATCACTTCACCACAACGCTTTTGATTAAAAAACTCTTTGAAATACTACTACTATTATTTGTTAACGGGTTACTATCTTCTTTCATCAGAAGAAAAAAATGGCATCAGATCTGTCTGTTTCCAGTTTCCACTTATATCTCCCTTTTTGAATCCAAGCTTCCATGCAATCTGCAGGACAAAAACACTGAACTGGGCTACTTAAGGATGATACAATGCATTTTCGGCCCAAGGACAAGTGTGTCTACACATTTGGGTGGGCGTTTTTGAGTATGAGCTTCTCTATTATAGGAGAAGACCTTTGATTCTTGAACTCCAAGCATAATTGGGCCCTAAGAAGTTCCACTTAAAATCAAAAGCAACTAGTCTCCAGAGGAGAAATTGGGTTTGTCAAATTTCCAACAAATTTTAACTAGGATAAAGCATACTTTTCCCGTTTGCAACTACCGAATGATTAAAACCGGAGAAAAAAGAAACCAGCGAGAAAAGGAAAAGAAACAGAAGGGCTAATGAATAAGGTGACACAGCAGATTGTTCCCCCAATCATTGTGAATTGCCACCCTTCAATCATGTTTGGGGGATGAAAATGACGCTGTTGGAAAAGAGCAGCATCTAATAATTAGTAGAATATCACTGTTGTTTTACATGAGGAGATCTCTCTTAATTCCACTATATTTGGTGTGGCCTCCCAACAATGAGGCCACAAAAAGGAGCATTCTAACATCATAGTGTTTAAACCATTAGCATTGCTGCTTTGGGTTAAACTTTTAACAGTGGATTATTAGTGCACTGATAAATTGAAACATCCCTGAGATTTTGTTGTTTGTATGAGGTTGATGTTGGAACTCCCACACGTATTACATACAGGAGAGAGCTTCAACTTTGAATGCATGTTTTCTAATGATGTAACGTGGATTAATTTTGAGCAAACAACAAAAAAGGTTAAAAAGTAGCTTTTGCCGGCGGGATTAATATCGTTGACACTTTTTAATAAGAAACCTCAATTCAATTGTTCCAGCTGGATGAGCAGAATAATGTATTCGATCATACACTAGGTAGTAAATAAGTATTATTCCCTTCCGTCCCATAATTATTGTCCAGTTTGAATTTTTATTTTCGGTTCAAATTGTACTAAAAGTGAAATCTCAAACTAGACAATAATTTTAGGATAAATGGAGTACAAAATACTGCATTCTGAATCCACAGTCCCTCACACATTAAAGCAAATTAATGTGTTGCATTGAGGAGCAATTCGTGTTTAAATTTTGAAATCTTAATTATAGTAATTCCTAAATAAAATTACACTTATATTGGTCACGCTAGATTATACTACTAAATAAATATACTGAGTTTTTGTCATTCAATTATTGAAGGAGCCATTCCAAAACACATATCTAAGGTATAATTGCCCACCGAAAGGTGACAACATCTGATTTTGCCCAGCTGGGATGTTGAGGTTCCCCTAGGCAAATGAAGGGAATTCATAAGAAGAAAAAAAGAATTGAACTCCTGAATTTTATTTTGATTTTGGTTGGAACTTGATGTTCATTCTTCTATAATCAAGTTGCCTTTCAGAAAACTGATTCTGAATCTTACAGATAAACTTCAAAAAAGTAGGATGTACTCCTGCATTCAAATATAATTATAGCATTAGCCATAAGCACAAGTTGTGGTAATTATTTTTTAAAAAAAATGGCAGATATGGAGAGTCGACAAAGTGGGGGTGGGGCGTTTGTGGGTGGTGGGAAGAAGACAAATGAACCGTCATCGGGCGGGTGAATTTCCGAATAACTATTCATCGGATTTTGATACAAACTTCGAACATGCCTTACTGTCCCTTGTCTCTCCAAAATCTGAAATAAACTTTAGGATTTAGCAGTAGTATTTGTCTACAAACTTCAGCCCATCCAATTGGCTGCATTATTTTGCTTCTTGTCAGCAGTGTGCCTTAACTATAAAATTTAATCACCATCTTCATCAAAAACTTAAAACGCCCTAAACTTTTGGTGGGCGACCATGCAATTTGCCTTGTTTAATGCATTACTACTAATAAATATACTACTACTTGATATGAGTGTTTTAATTTGGTAAACACGAGCAAAAATCTATTGTTGCTTGATTATTTTTTTCGTTTGTCTTGACTCGGGTTTGATTTTAGGTCATTCATGCACGAAGATAATGATCGGTTTAATCGCGTGTTTCTTTAAGATCAAGCTATCATTTTGACTATCTTAACTTTTCATATGAATGTTTATTTTACAACATACTCCCTCCCTCCGTCTCAAATTATTGTCTAGTTTGAAATTTCATTTCTAATCCAAATTGTAGTAAGACTTAATATACAGATTGGATAATAATTTTGGGACGAAGTGAATATTTTATATGAGCTGAAAGAATTATATTTCTGCGTATCTTACCGGTTGTACATTGAGATATATATATACAAGGATACATAAAACCCTAGCCGACTATTCCGAAAACCCTAATTTGGTTTCCTTAATTACATACTCTATCAGCCCCCCGCAATCGTAGCAGGATGAGGAATCATGCCTAGATTGGTTCTAAACAAATAAAATTTATCTTTAACTAATGACTTGGTGAAGACATCTGCAAGTTGAGATTGTGTGGGGATATGAAGAACAACAAGAAGACCAGCAACAACTCGTTCACGAACAAAATAGATATCCAGCTCAATATGCTTTGTTCTGGCATGATTAACATGATTGGCGGCAAGGTAGGTAGCAGAAATATTATCACACAGAATAACTGAAGATCTGGGAAGCTTGATGTGAAGCTCAGATAAAAGATTTTCTAACCAAACAACTTCAGATAAGGTAGTAGCAACAGCGCGATACGCAGATTCAGCAGAAGATCGTGAAACAGTAGATTGCTTTTTGAAAGACTATGAGACCAATGATGAACCTAAAAAGACATAGAACCCAGTGGTAGAAGGTCTAGTTGTCGGACACCCAGCCCAATCAGCATCGGAAGAAGCCACAAGATGATCAAGAGAACCATCACGGGTATGAATACCATAGTGAAGAGTACCCTTGCCGCCAAAACCAGCACGGTTTTGCGACTGGTTTTGGATGGCGGTGGTTGTGGATTCGTCAGACCGAGCCATGAAGGAGGAAGATTGCTGCGTGGGTGGTAAGGATTAGAGGATTTTTTTTTTTTTTTTTGTAAGAATTAAACGAGGATGAGGAAGAAGACACATGGAGGGAGAAAGAAATAAGTGCAGCGGCAGATGATGAAGAAAAGTGATTGCAGCGGCGACAATTGATAAATTTTTTTTTTTTTTGAAGCTGCCGCAGCAAGTGCAGTTGAAGAAGAAGCAGGAGGATTGAATCTAATTGGGTGTAGGAGGATCGAAGCAGGATGGTGAAAGATCAGAAAGCTAAAGGCACATGACAATTGATTAAATAAAGGCACAAATTTGATATATAAAAATTAAAACAAAGCAGGATGTCGAGGGGAGAGAGAGTGAAGTCGGAAACTAGAGAACAGCAGAAGGAGGCCGCAACAGCTAACATAGAATGAAGAAAACCGGGACTCCAAGAAAGTGGGAGCTGCTGACTAAAATATAACAGAAAAAAAACCTCCAAGAAGATTGGTGAGACACTGAAGAAGGCAAGGCTGGGAGAACCGCCAGCGTCAGAAAGGAAAAATTAAGTGAAAGGAAAGATATGCTCCAAGACAATGGGAGTGTGGGATTTTGGGTGGTGGCGATGGGATTTGAAACTTCGGTGGTTCGGCGGAGAAGAAAAGAAAACGGACGGCAAGAAACCCTAAAAAATTAAGAGGACAGGAAAGAAGGATGATACCATGAAAGAATTATATTTCTGTGTGTCTTACTGGTTGTACATTGAGATATATATATACAAGGATACATAAAACCCTAGCTGACTATTCCGGAAACTCTAATTTGGTTTCCTCAATTACATGCTATGTCATGAGCTTCTTAATCAAAAGGCATAGCTCCATTGAAAATTAGTCTAACGCCTTAAATTATTTATGACGTAATATAAGAGTTTCATTCCCATATTGCCAATAGTTAAACTATTTTTGTGATTTATCATCTCTTTTTAAATAATGTGTATCATTAATTTATTTTCTTATCCAACGACCAAAGCAAAGAAATACCTTTCAATATGAATTTGTAAAATGCTTCTCATCGACTTAAAATTTTATATCAAACAAAACTCTTCATTTTTTCGACAAAGGGTGACTATAAACAACAATCTAAAATATTTTTCGAAGGTAACGAAATGTTTGAAATCAAGATTAGCGCATTTTTCTTCTTCTTTTTTAGGAAAATGATTACCAAAATTGGAATAAGGGGGTGGTGTTATTTGTTGACTGAAATTGAGGGAATGGTCAAAGGGGACAAAGTTATCAGAGAATGTTCCTGGTCCCAGTCGCTAGAAAGCATGACAAAACGGAGGAGTGGATGAGTTCCCCAACAAAATCCCCATGAATATGTTGCATTCCACCTTAACATATATACCTTAAAAAAAGCTTTCTTTAAGGAGGGGTTTTTTTCAAGGCCCTTCTTCTCTTTTCCAGTTCAATTTTTCACAAAATAAAATAAAATTCCCCATATGTATTGCTGGCTAGCTAATGTTACCTTCGTCAATTACCGCCATTTTAGAGAAAAAGAAAAATAACCCATCATGTTTTCTCATCATGACATTAAGCATGATCAATCATCACTTCTTGGCCTTACCAATTTCAATTCAAAACTACGAACTATAGCCTATAGGCATAGCACTATAGCTAAGCAAACTAGTTTAATAAAGTATTCCCATTTGTCCCATAATTATTGTCTGGTTTCGGTTTTCATTTCTAGTATAAATTATACTAAAAGTAAAATATTAAACTGGACAATAATTTTGGGATGGAGAGAGTAATTAATTAGGGCCAAGTTATGGGGGTAAAAGAAGATGATCATTGTAGACGTGATGAAAACGTATGAAAGAGAGATTGAAGATGTATTGAGAAGAGATTAGTATTTAATTGAAGAGCAATCATTTAATCATGTGAGTCTCAATAGCATATAGTCATATACTACTAATAAATAGTACTACTAAGGATGAAAAAAAATCTGCAAGCGAATTTCACATTATGCATAGTTCATGAGTTAGATTCATTCTAATTATAAGTATGAAATAACATTAAACAAATTCACATTATAATCGATCGAATATGAAATCACTATCAAATGTCACATACTTTTAGTTTATAGAAGGAAGAAGAATGGATGTGGTCAAATTACTGTAGAAAAGGAAAGAAGCAGAGAAGAATCAAATGGGGATGGTTTTTGTTTTGGGTTGTATTTTAGTTGGAAGGGAATCTAGTAGAATGGAGCATTGCAAAAATCCAAAAAATAGTAAGAAATGTATAGAATCCAAAGCAAAAAGCTAGTGGGTGAAGAATTATTTTTTCTTTTTTAACAACAAATAAATAAAATGATACGTAAAACTAAAAGCATAACTGCACATGATGCTGCATTGTAAAATCGACTACGGTAGTTGTATCTCGTGCAAAAACCAAAACCAAAACCAAAAAACTGAAGGTACCTACAACTCTAAACAAAATAACAAATTCATGTGACTTCTCAAGAGGTGAAAAAATGGTTAATTAACGTGAGATGATAGGGTTAATTAATTAAACATCTATATTTGCATTATATTAAGCCGTAAGGGTTTCATATTTGTGGATGATACACCCTTATGTATTCAACAAGAGTTTAAGCGCACAATGTTTTTTGGCCGATCCTAATGAGAAAAAAATTTGTTGTTGGTGTTTAAAATTTCATCTCTTTTATACAGTCACACGGATACGTATTAAAGTTTCAGAAATCATGAACTAGTAAAACTCCTTCCTCCCACCCCCCAACAAAAAAAAAATATTAAGAAGTAGAATAAGAGATTACCTTTTAATTAATGTGAAGATTAATTTGTTTTTTTTTTTTAATTTTAAACTGAAATGGTTTGATTTGAAGAGTGGGCTCGACTCCACAAAGGAATTCTACTTGGCCATGTGAAAATGTGATGAAAAAAAGCAAGCTTTAAATTATTTTTTTGCAATGTTTGGTTTCGCTAGTAAAGCGACCACGCCCGTTTGGCTGCAATCATTCGGTCGACCCTGTTATAATTCCCTCCTCCCGCTATTTTACAATTTCTTTTTTTTTTTTTTTTTTGTGCTACTTTTAGACAAGCTTTTCATGGCATTTTCGTGGTACCAAAATTAGATTTGTCACACTTGGTATGGAACATATTCTTTGGCCTTTTAACGTTTTCATTCTTTCTTTTCTTAAATGGTTCTTATGTATACCCTTTTTTTTTATTTGCGGCTAATCACAAATTAGTACTATACCATTTTTCAACATGGTGCCGAATAAAACTAATGACAGAAAATGTCAATTGCTACTTAATTTTACTACTAGCTTGTCACATTGATTTTACAGTGTAAAAATGGAAATTGAACTCTGTAAACTGGAATTTCCACTTTAATCATTATCGCGTCATATTATGCAATTAGTTCTGCAATTTTAGACTCTAAGTTGTGAAAGATCACAAGACGAAACACTTGGTGAGCAATCATAATTCAAATTCAAAATCTTTTGCTCGTAACATGAACTGCTAAAGCTTTATAAACGTTTTTTTTTTTTTTGTTTTAAAACAATCGTTTCATATTATGAATCTTCTCTTCTTTTAATTGGTTTAGCATCAGTCATTAGTAAGTATTATAGCAGAATATGGTAGCCACCATTTGTATCATTATTAATAATATTAGTATTACTATTTGGTTGGTGAAATTCTTTTCATGGTTTTAGTGTCTGATATTAGTATCATTATTATTGCTAGGAATATAATAATTATGTGTGGAGAGTAGAGAACCACCCGTGCGGATTAGCCATTCAAGCCCCTGTACTTAAACAATGATTTGATTTCTCTAATTTTCATTATCATCATAATTAATCCACTCTATTTCCCTTGCCACAAATTAAACAAAAACATAATTTTCACAAACTCATAGTAGAAAAGCATATAAAATATAATCATGGGCTTCTACTATTTTTCATGAATAGAAGAATAGTTTAATCATGCTTAATTAGCTCAAATTTTGTAAAAGAGCAAGAGATTTATGCACGAAAATCACTGTGTTTTTTTTTTTTGGGGGGGGGGGGTGGATGCTCTAAAAAGTGGTAGTATTTTTTTCAGTTTCCCAAAATCGCTGTATCTATTATTCCTTTCAGCCACAGTCTTTCCCACCCTCCAAGGGGACCCCACCTCCTCGTCTGTTTTTTGGGCAGCCCTTCCTAAATATAAATACAACAACTGAAATCAGTATTGATGCAAATTACTAACAAGTTCAGAAAATATACACTTTTCTGAAGCAAACCCACATTCAATCTTTCATTCAATTCGTGTTGTTGCTGTTTGCATCGATATATCCAAATGTTTAATTAAGTTTTGAGGGGGGAAAAGAAAAAAAAAAAATACAGGATCAAGTGCTATCAACTCAATAAATTAAGTGGATTATTAGGATCGTGGTGGAACAGGGAGAAGAAGAAGAAGCAAAATGGAGTCATCCGACAAGGTTGTGGAAACGGTGATGGTAGGGAATTATGTAGAAATGGAGACAGAAGGGAAGCCCAGAGACATGAAAACCAGGATTTCCAAGTTCTTTTGGCATGGTGGCTCTGTTTATGATGCTTGGTTCAGCTGTGCTTCCAATCAGGTCCGTCCATCCATAAAAACCTTCCCAGCTTCCTCTGTTTTCCTCTGAAAATGTTTTATATGAATCTAACACGTTAATAAATGATTTGAAATTAACAAACAGGTGGCTCAGGTGCTGCTAACACTGCCATACTCATTCTCGCAGCTGGGAATGATGTCCGGGATAATGTTCCAGCTGTTTTATGGGTTGATGGGAAGCTGGACGGCTTACCTCATTAGCATTCTCTATATTGAGTACCGCACCCGTAAAGAACGTGAAAAAGTCGACTTCAGAAACCATGTCATTCAGGTCCTTTATCAAACATCTTTCCTTCATCCATCCATATCTGGTCAAAACTCCCCCCTCAAAACAAAAAATAAAAAAATAAAGAAATTGTTAAATGTTGAGCAGCAGCAGAGACACAAATACCTATCCATTTCCCTCACATGATCATGCGATAAACTACAAAACCATTTCATCAATTTTCATGTACTTTATAATAATAGTTAATTATTGGTGTTGTTTATAATCTGGTGCAGTGGTTTGAAGTTCTTGATGGGCTGCTTGGAAAGCATTGGAGGAACGTGGGTTTGGCGTTTAACTGCACATTTCTTCTGTTTGGATCCGTGATTCAGCTCATTGCTTGTGCTAGGTACGGGAGTATCTATCTATAACCCATTTCTTTATTTAATTTTGGAAGGAAAGAAAAAAGAAAAGATTGCATGCATGTGGTGTATGGGATTTTTATATTAATGTCCGTTTGCTAATTTTCTGAGCAAAACCTGCCAAAAACTCTGGAGAGAGGGGGCTAATACTGTATTTATCCATCTTTTAATGCAAATTTTTGTATTTGTGTTGTTATGGTTGCAGCAACATATACTACATAAATGATCATCTGGACAAGAGAACTTGGACTTACATCTTCGGAGCATGTTGTGCTACCACTGTGTTTATACCTTCATTTCACAACTACCGAATCTGGTCTTTTCTGGGATTGATCATGACTACCTACACCGCTTGGTATCTCACCATTGCTTCCCTTGCCCATGGCCAGGTAATTAGTACTATAGTATACTATCCCTTAAAACACGACTGTTATTTTGAAACGCGGAAATTATTAAATCGTTAATGTGAATGATTTGATCAAATTGGGATTGGGTGAAAAATTAAATGCAGGTGGAAGGGGTGAAGCATTCAGGGCCTAGCAAGATGGTATTATACTTCACAGGGGCAACAAACATCCTCTATACATTCGGGGGTCATGCCGTTACTGTGTAAGACAAGTTTTTTTTTTTGAGTATTTTATTTTTTTATTAAATTAAAGATTAAAAAAAATCTTGTGAGATATCTTCTTCACAGTGAATTAATTTGGACGTCATTTTGAAAAGGACTCATCCTAGCATTCTTCGACATGTTCTGAATTAAATCTGGTTCCATCTGACTATAAGATTAGAAAAGAGAAAGACTTTTTTTTTTATTTGGTGTATAGGTTATGATAAAGAAGAATATTTAACAGTTGGCATTTTAGTACTGTTGGGTCGCTGGGTATAAACAAAAAATTGAACAGTCTTTCAATTATTTTTTCTTCCTGAGATTTGGGTCATTGAATATTGACCCATCGTTTTCGTATACTCTTTTCTTTTTATGCATGGATATTATTTGTTTTTTTATTTTATTTTTATGTTTTTCACATCTGTAGAACAATAGGAAGCATGAGCGTGCATACGATTTCATGATTCAATATATACCCTGAGACTGGACCTTTTGATAAAGTTACAATTATCAAGGAAAAAACAAAGCGTGCCTCTCAAAAAAAAAAGTGGTATTTTTTTTTTCTGTTATTTTAAAAGATAAAATGGTCCATTTCTTCACAAGAAATCCCTTTCAGACTTTGAGTTCAGTACAGATATTATACCTTTTGCAAGTGAAAAATGCCAAACTCTTTTGAGGGTCGATCTCTATCGCCCATTTTGTTTTTCTGCCATCACTATTATTTGATTCCCTTCCAAAGTAACCCAAAAAGTATATTTTCTAAGAGCCCTTGGCTTAAAGTATACCTTTGGAACTTCCCCTCTAATTATGATTGTTTTTTCACTTTAATCATTATTAAAACCCTTGTATCATTTTTCATCTTCTTTTCGGGTGGGATGTAAGGCAAAAAGTTGATCCTTCATGTACGTGTTAGATGACTTTTAGTCCCTGTTTATAAAACTCACATCACTTTTGGACCTAATTTATTAATAAGATGCACAAATGAGTTATTGTTTTTGTTATTCACCGTTGTCTAGTAAATAAAGCTTTGTAAATATGTTCACGCTTGATATTGTAGCATAAGATTAAAGTGTCCATTTCTAACCATGTATATGATAACGGAAGTAATAAGATTTCAACAATACGGGATTGAAACACTTCGTTCAAAAGATCAAGGGACCAAAATATGATAAGGAGTTTTTTTTCATTTCCCTCATTTGTTCTGTTTCGGTCTGAATGACTTGAATAATTTAAATTTTGGTCTATTTTCTAAAGGAGTTTTTTTCCCCCCATGTCCTTGATTTGAACAGAGAAATAATGCATGCAATGTGGAAGCCACAAAAATTCAAGGCAATATACTTGCTGGCAACGCTGTATGTGTTGACACTGACGCTGCCATCAGCATCAGCAGTGTATTGGGCGTTTGGGGACATGCTTCTGAATCACTCCAACGCCTTTGCTCTTCTCCCAAGATCTCCTTTCAGAGACATGGCTGTTATCCTCATGCTCATTCATCAGGCAATGCATTTCCTCCTCCCTCCCAACCCACAACTACCCTTCATCAATTCCATTTATTGTTGCAGTCCAGAGTTCTTTTTGACTTGATTGGTTCTCCTCAAACAAAAGTTTAAGATGCCTACATTTAAGTCAATTGTATCTTGCTTAATTTAACTGATGTTTAATGTGCTTCATTTGCAGTTCATAACATTTGGATTTGCATGCACCCCATTGTATTTCGTTTGGGAAAAGGCAATAGGATTGCACGAATGCAAGAGCCTCTGCAAGCGGGCTGCAGCTAGATTGCCTGTTGTGATTCCTATTTGGTTTTTGGCCATCATTTTCCCTTTCTTTGGACCGATCAACTCCACTGTTGGATCCCTTCTTGTTAGCTTCACTGTCTATATCATCCCTGCTCTAGCGCACATCTTCACTTTCAAGTCTGCTGCTGCCCGAGAGGTATATATAATTCATCAAATACTCCCTCCATTTCAAATTATAAGTCGTTTTAGGATGCTTTACACGCACACAGACACACACACACACACACACACATAACAGTAATGATTATTGATGGTGCTGAAATTGAGTGAAAACTACGTGAATTGTTATGACAGAATGCAGTGGAACAACCTCCAAAATTTGTGGGGAGATGGGTTGGAACATTTGTGATCAATATCTTTGTGGTAATCTGGGTACTTATTGTTGGCTTTGGATTTGGTGGCTGGGCTAGCATGGTGAATTTCATCCACCAGATTGACACATTTGGGCTTTTCACCAAGTGCTACCAATGCCCTCCTCCTCAACAGATTCCACCCCATCCCCTCAACGCCACCGCCCCTCTAGCTCCACCTCCAACCGCCAATCTCAGCCAGCCCCCCCACCACATCAATCACAGGCCTTGAGCTATTGAAGAGTTGTTGATGGAATCTTCAAGTAACTTACATGTGGTTGCCATGAATTAGAAAATCAATGTGGGATCATATGGAGATTGGCTGGAAATGAGACTTGAATGGATCATATTATGCATTTCAAATATCATTAATTTGGGTAAGGTTGGTTGGTTTAGATTAGCTGGGAAGTTTGATTTGTTTGTATTTCGACAAGGAAGAAAAAAAAAAATCTAGCATGTATCAAGCAAGTGTAAGAGGAATTTGTATCTCAAACCAGGAGACTAGAGCTAGCTAGAAGTTTTGCAGATGATCTGTTAAGCTATTCGTTATAAATTAATATGGCATCTATGTTAATACCTCTGTGATCTGCTCTGCACTCATTTTATTTTATTTTATTTTTTGGAAAAAAGTGCACTTTATCTTTAAGGTCACTAGAAAGTCCAAATCACAACGAGGGAGTAAATTCGTCCCCTTCTAAAGTCACACATTATTAGCATTGTTATGAAGGTCGTTGAAATTACTTCTTCTAAGGGGTCAAGTTTGTTGATTGAGATGCAAAATGCAGCGATCACAAATCACTATCCAGCAACAAAAAACAACCAAGCAAGCTTTGGGAGTTGTAAACTTGTGTGTTGGTACCAAAAGATCATTAAAAACCAAATACAGCTACCAGAAGATGACCTTTTCAAGTACTGAATTGATTAAACAGAACAATCATCAGGAAGTCAAAGGACAAACACAATCAAAAGAGGCAAAAGTTATAACTGAAATCATCCATCCATTCATAATTCCAAAACTAAAACTTAACAATCCGAATATGCTGGCTGCATCTACTGCATGTACAAGTTAGAATCACAATTGATCATCAACCCCTACTAAGCCGCTGCAACTGCAATGCATAGCATTTACTTAATAATTTAAAGGACAGACCATGCTTTTTTACAAAACATAGGACCCATCGAAACCACCTGAACGACTACTACTGATAAATACCAAGGTGACCACAAAAGAAGTGAGATTTCAAACGAATTCCCCCTTATAAGAAATGGTTCACCAATTCACCAAATAAAAGACCATTTTTCTTTTTCTTTTTTTTTTTTCTCTGGATGATTAAGTACTAAAACATGAAGCAAATCAAGGGTTGAAGTTGACACACAGATCAACGATTCAGATCAACCCTGATGAAAACCATAGCAATCAACGACCACCGCTGGTGCACTCACGAGCAAAATGGCCCTCTTCTCCACACTTGTAGCAGCTGCCACCTCCGCCGCCGCCGCCAAACCTACTACCGCCTCCGCCGCCTCCCTGGGAGCAGTCCCGAGCAAGGTGGCCAGACTCACCGCACTTGTAACACCCGCCTCCGCTACCTCCACCGCCGTAGCCACCACCACCACCACCGCCATATCCGCCGCCTCCACTGCCATATCCGCCTCCACCGCGGGCGCCACTTCTTCCACCGTAACCACCGCCGCCGCCACCGTAACCACCTCCCCCGCCACCACCGTACCCACCTCCACCGCCACCGCGGGGGGCTCCCTGGACAGCGGCACCATCTGGGCCGGAGACATTGACAGCCTTGATACGGCCGTCGTCACCCTCCTTCACTTCGAACTCAACCGCCTCGCCGACACCAAGGCTGCGGAAACCACCAGCGCCCTCCTGGATCCCAGAGTGATGGACGAACAGATCTTCGCCGCCGTCATCAGGAGTGATGAATCCAAAGCCCTTCTGGTCATTAAACCACTTCACAGTTCCCTTAACCCTATCGCCCTCTGCCATTTCTCAGCGAAAAAGAGAAAACCTAGATTGGAAAAAAAAAAAAAAAAGCACTTCTCACTACTGCTTCTCTCTCTAGAAAGGCTCTTGTGTGTGTTGAAGGGTCCGGGAGGAGGAGCCTCTGTCCTGTATTTATGGGGAATGAATTCGATAAGCATGAAAGGAGAGAGGGTGCCACGTCATCGAGGTCTTGGAAATGAAAGAGGCGTTTCCATTTTGTTGGGGGCCCATCGTCTCTTTTGTTTCCTCTGGGAGTCGACCCGACGGCTGTCATCTTCTCGATGGGATCCGACGGCTGGGGTGCGTTGTATGACTTTTGTTTGACCATCAGGTCACGTGAGGAGTATGGAGTCCTGACTGATCAGTGGACTCTTTGACTGAAAGGACTGATAGGAGGGAGGTTGGTAGAATTCAAAGGAAAGTTTTGGGGTCACTCTGTTAATTTTTGGAACTTGAAAGAGGCACTTTTTGAATTTTCTGGAAGGTAAAATGGTAATTAACAAAGATATTTGTCCTTGGTCGTAGCTGATTTGTCTCGTCCTAGCCAGCCTGCCATTCTGCCACTCTAACCGTCTAATGCGTCAGAAATGCTGCTGGTCCTTGAGATATTTTTGAGTTGCTACTTTTTTTGTAGTTTTTAAATGTAAAAACATTTTTTTTGTGTCAAGTGAATAAAATTGTAAATATCCTGTTAAACTTCCAACATTTCTTTTCTATAAAATAAAAATTGCAAATAATTTTGTCATAAACATAGCTAATATATACATTTTGTATCGTTTTTCTTTTGGCCGATGGGCTCGACCCATTTTAATGGTTTTTTCATCACGCGGAGAATATGGACTTATGCTATGGGGATGAACATTATGTGGAGTTGTTGTAAAATTCTATTGAAATCTTCTCGGAAACTCATCTACAAAATTACTATGTAAGAGCCAATATATTTTCCTCTATTTTTTTTCTAATCATTAATTGCTTATTCATTTCTATAAATATCTAGGAATTTTAAGGTAGAGAGAATGGGTCTTTTCATCCCAAGGTTTGAGCCACACCATCTAAAACATCTCAAAGTTTAAAAGCATGTCATTTTCATTCCAAACTTTTCAAAAATATGTAATATTGGAACATTTGTTAATTTTTTTCAAATTATTAACGGCGATATTTCATTCAGTTTCTTTTCCCCTATTTTTTTTAGTCAAAAAAGTTTCATGCTTGCGTTTGGTAAATTTAGTCCATGCCAAGCAAAAAAGTTGCATGCCCCTTCATTAATTACAACACCAATTTTTATAATGATGCTACGTATTTAAATAAATAAATGAAATAGTGCTTACTTTCTAATTAGGACACACACAAAACCTCTCATGCAATCTAGAAAGTGGATCTTGGATTTTTTTTTTTTCTTTTCTAAGCAAGGGAATAATGGATGATGTGAAGACCAAATTAGGTTTAGTTATTTTCTTATAAGTTGGGAGTTAGTGTAACGTGTTAAATGATTAAAATAATTGGGGGAGTAGAAATAGAATAAAGTACCACCACCAATTAATTAACTGAAGTTAAAAATTTAACGAATATCCTAATGTAACATGTTTTTAAAAAGTTTGGGATGTAAATGGCATGTTCTGAAACTTTGGGATGTTTTGAATGGTGTGGCCCAAACTTTGGGATGAAAAGACCCATTTTCTCTTTTAAGGTATTGTTTGCGTGCTTTAAATACCTCAAACTCCCCATTTCGTAACTACTCCCTCCATTCCAAAATAGATGTCGTTGGATGAAAACTCATTTTTTTCAAAATATATGTCGTTTTTGCATTTCGAGGCATGTTTTGTCAATTTCTTCCAACATTACCCCTACATGGGAAATTGTAATTGCGTTTAAAGTAGAAATATATTAGAACTAAATAATATTATAAATAGGATTACATTGAAAGTAAATGAGGGTAGATTAGTATTTTAACTAAGTATTTATTGTGTTCTTAAACTCTGTGCAACTCCCCCAACGATATCTATTTTGGAATGGAGGGAGTATCGTGTAATTGAATTTATGTACTCCAAACACTTTTTTGTATTCTCTCGTAAGTATAAATTTTTTTATGGGCAATGCTTAGTGTGTTAAAGACTCGATTTTTAGTCTACTCAAGAATTTTTCACTTTGGGTTTTCATTAATAATTGATTTGACCACTCTAAATACTCTGTATTTGATATCGTTTCGGACTTTGTTATGCACTTATTAATGTATATATCTTATTAATATTAACTGAAAGGTACAAAATCATTTGAAATTCACTTGAACATGATAAAGTGTTAGTCGGCCGGGCAATCCCCGGACTAAGACACTAATTTTTTTTGCAGAATGAAGTGTTTTTCCCGAGACACTAAATTTTAATATTAACCCATAAGTGAATGTTAAAAATAGCTTGAGCTATGCTCTTCATTCGTTTGTTTGTTTTGATTTTTTTTTCAAATACATATTATTTTTTTAAGTTGGACCCCTGCAACGGTTCGAATTAAGACACTAATATATATATATATATATATATGTGATTGCGTTAGAATAGTTCCCGGTCAACTGTCTTTTACTTTGTTCATATTCGATATTGTTATATTATATAAAAGGATATTTATTCTTTTTCAAAAATTTTGTTTTCTTTTATTTAACTAACTTAAAAGTACAAATGGCCGTCCAGACATTCAGCATCTAGTTTTAATTATTGGTGAATTATCAATCATTTTCTGAATTTTTTTTCCCAATGAGATGTATAATTGATAAAATAGGACTATAAATAACAGTTTAATAATTTTATCGTAATTTTATTAGAATTATAATTGGAAATGATCAACTATAATAATAATTTTCTTATATAGATTATTAATTTAAATTATACATATAAAACTGATCAAGTCAATGAAAAAAGATTCCTTAATACGTTCTTATTACATTTACTATACAAAATTAAAGAATAATTAATTATGGTTAAAATTTAAAATTTTTAAATTAAAGAAATAAGATAGTATTTTAATTTAACTAAATTACATTATTTAGTTAAATAATGTAAAAAAAACTAAATTACATTATCTTTTTATATTTAAATGAAAATAGAGTATTAATGACACGTGACACAATTTGCCAAATTCTTTAATCGAGCAGCACATGTGAATTGAAAAGTTCACTTATACATGCAATAGTTCGAAAAACCCATTTATTTGTGCACTTTCTTGAAATTTTAAAATTTTTATCTATACATAAGTAAATGTCTCTTGGTGAGTTTAGAATCTTGAATATGATTGGTCAATATTTAAATTGAGCTATCTGATTGGTTCATAAGTTCACATGACATCAGCATTTTAGAATTATTTGATCTGATTGATCAATAAGTGTCCCATATGATATCACAAATTGAAGTGAGGGCAATTATGGCATTATCATGACGAAATGACTCTTTTCCCGGAATTGAATTAATACTTAGGCGATTAAAATTACGTCGTTTAACAATTTCTGTCATCCGACCGTCTCTCCTTTGCTCCCATTTGTTAATGAGTTGTTCTTTGCATAATTTTCACCTTCAGGCACGATCTCAGAGCTATGATGCAAATCCTCTGGTTTCGAAACCCTATTTTGTGGTTCCGCCATGACCGATTCTAATAGAGTTGGAATTCATTGCATCCAATTATGGGCAGACGTCGACAATTGACATTCGATGGTGGGTTGTGGAACATCGACATCCCCAATTTGGTCGTTATTTAGTATTGTTGGCCGATGTTAGTGGTAAAAGTCGACAATTGTTACTGAAAATATAACCTTTGATTGCGTGTCTGAATAAATGGTTTATAAGGTAAAACGATTAAAGCAGCTCAAAGCTCGCATCACCGATGCCGAAGAGGAGGTACACCAAATAGTTAATTAATTGCAATTAGAAATCATACACTTAGAAAAACATCTCATTTTTGATGTTCAATGGTAGTGAACAAATAAACGCAAATAATTTTGGTATTCAATGGTGGTAATGTTAGATGTTACTCAGTGCATCATAGATTGAAGCTCTCACGTGAACAAATTCGAGCTTATTGACGCCTTCTGATTACTTCAGAGTAGTTTAAAGATAAAAATTAGTCCATTTTTCTTATTTAATTTTTTTAAAATTAAAGTTTTGATTTGAGAGATTCCGTGTGGTAAAATTGGAGGAGAATTTATTGTTTGTGTTAGAGTCTACTAGGTTGCTCCTCACTTGAAGGTTTTGATCTTGTTTTATTTGATTGTAAATAATGTATGTGGTTTAGGATTATGATCATAATTAGGTTACATAGTGGTGTTCGATAGTGTGAAATCTCTGGAATAGACAACTACTTTTTTATTTTCCATTCTCATGTTCATTTTCTTCTTTTTGTTTGCTTTTTTTTCCCCCTTTTTTGTTCATTTTTCTTCTTGTAGTCACTAAACCCATATATAAAAGTTATTTGTCTTTCCTTTAGGATTAGGAGTTATTCTAAGCAGATGCAACACTGCTTTTTCTTTTATATCTTCATGATTGTTTTGGTATTTTTTCGCCTGGTTCAATACAGATTTTTATTGGTACCAAAAACTATTTTGCAAGAGATTGATGTTGGGATACTCTATTAGTTTTATAGACTAACTAATACAATAAAACCTGTATGGTAATGGTTTTATTAATATTTTCAATAATGAATATGTGTTGAATTTATTGGATTGGGTCTTTATTTGTGGTCTTAAGAAATCTTCAAGCTGATGTAGTCCTTTGAGTGAAACAAATAGCTCTCATTGTTGTCTCAAGTTTATATTCAGAGCCCTTCTGCTATGTAATACTTGATGCTGTATATTATTTATATATTCTCACAAACTCTTTTCAGGTTCGAAAAATATGATAATGGAAAGGCATGCATTTTGATTACGTTGTGCGGGAAAACCATCTGTTGGTAGAGAAATATAATGGTGAGCTTTCCTTTGATCTTATGGAGTTGAGATTCAATCATGTCTTATATGGTTTAGAGTTTAGATTATGTCGTGTAGAAATATAGAAAAAATTAATGGGTTGAAATATGTTCAACTTAGATATTGAAATGTACAATAACTTATTTCATTTGCTTATGCAGTACTATTTGTTAAGTTAATAAACATATTACTGTGTTGTTGCTTAAAGTTGGATGATTTTATAGTTTTGATCCGACCACTTATAGTAGTCTCTTATTCGGAATGATTTTATGTGTGGTCTCTATTATCCGTTATTTTAGTTTTGTAGCCAAGATGAAAATTTTTATTAGCATCTCCAAATATGAAGCCATGCACTCAATTTATGGCGTTATATGGAAAATAGTTTTTTTCTCATAGTGACATTGAAGCTTTTCTCATGGCGTTGTACGGAAATAGAACTAGTAAAATGAATAAATACTTCAAGACAAAACTATTAATCCAACAAAATGGTCAATCGTTATGTGCTTCATAAGGTTGGGACTTGGGTCACGAGGCCCCGGACTAGAATCCTACATCTCGAATTATGTCGGTTTGTGAAAGGCTTTTGAACTTTTTGGCAAAATTTCAGGTCCAGATATATGGTATACTTTGGGCCATTGTTAAGAACAAGCCCAATCATTTATAACCACTTCTGATTCAGAAGTTTCGGCGTTTGATAAAAAAAACTAAACTACATAAATGGTCTCATACATTTGTCCGAATTTAAATTTTGGTCCCCTACATCAACATATATATAGATTGAGCCTTTACATTTCATTTTGAAACTTTTTTGGTCTCTTTTCACTGTTCCCTCACCATTTCCGTCTTGATGACCGTTGACCCTATCAAATCAGGGGTATTTTCGGAATGACACATATAAGGTCAAAATAACAAATGTTTAAATGGTCCTCTACATTTGTCCAAATTTAAATTTTGGTCTCCTACATCAACATGTATATGGATTGAGCCTTTACATTTTATTTTGAAACTTTTTTGGTCTCTTTTCACTGTTCCGTCACCATTTCCGTCTTGATGACCGTTGAACCTACCAAGTCAGAGGTATTTTCGGAATGACACATATAAGATCAAAATAAAAAAAATATTTTTATAATAAAATAGAATAAAATATTAAAAATTATTATTTTATAATAAAAAATTAAATAATGTAAAAATAAAAAAATTAAAATGATTTTAAATTTCAAATTTCAAATTTTTTTTTTCACTTCCCACCTTTGTGGGTCCCACATGCCAGTCAATTTCCTCCTCTTTTGTGCTACAGTAAAAAAAAATCAAAATTAAAAAATAAACTTACTTTCACCCGTCAAAATTAAAAAGCAAAAAAAAGACGGGTGAAGATAAGTTTGCTTTTTAATTTTGATTTTTTTTTACTGTAACAAAAAAAAGGGGAGAAATTGACTAGCATGTGGAACCCAGAAAGGTGGAAAGTGAAAAAAAAATTGAAATTTGAAATCATTTTAATTTTTAATTTTTATTTTTAAATTATTTAATTTTTTATTATAAAATAATAAATTTTAATATTTTATTCTATTTTATTATAAAAACATTTGTTATTTTGATCTTATATGTGTCATTCCAAAAATACCCCTAACTTGGTAGGGTCAACGGTCATCAAGATTAAATGGTGACGGAACAGTGAAAAGAGACTAAAAATGTTTCAAAATGAAATGTAAAGGCTCAATCTATATACATGTTGATGTAGGGGACCAAAATTTAAATTCGGACAAATGTAGGGGATCATTTAAACATTTGTTATTTTGATCTTATATGTGTCATTCCAAAATACCCCGACTGATAGGTCAATCATCATCAAGACGAAAATGATTTAACAAATGAAAAGAGACCAAAAAAGTTTCAAAATGAAATATAAAGGTTCAATCCATATATATGTTGATGTAGGGGACCAAAATTTAAATTCGAACAAATGTAGGGGAGCATTTATACAGTTTAGTCGACAAAAAATTACTTCTTCCTGTTATGCTTTATAGGAGGGTTATCACTTACAAGGAGAGCTATTTGATTTTTCTTTCCAGGTGAAGTAATTACATATATAAATGAAATTTTGGCAATTTCCCAGCTTTGAACAATGAAATAAATTACCGCCGGAAAAATTGATCAACCGCACGCAGTAATAAGAATTTTTGTGTAATCAATTCATTTGGCTTTGTGCGTACTTTAAAAATAAAAAATACAAAAGGATGACTGATGAAGTGCAGTGGCGATGATTTGCTAATATCTGGTCTGAAACTTTTTGGGACCTGAAGGTGCATATTATTGATGGTGGTGGTGGTGGTTATGTCTTATTGATTTGTCCTTTTTTTAATTGACTCCTAGCTTTTGGCATTCAAGCGTTCTTTATTTTATTTCATTTTAAAGGAGGCATTCAAGCTTGTACACAACAAATATATGGGAAAAGTTTTATCTGTGAAAATGATAAAAGTTACTCCTTCTATCCCAAAATTATTGCTCAGTTTGAAATTTCACTTTTAGTACAATTTGAACTGAAAATGAAAACCCAAATTGGATAATAATTATGGGACGAAGGGAGTACTAATGTTTTTTGATTGTGTAATTGAGTTCCTTGTAACTCATCAAAAGGTTGCCAAAATTTTTTTATAACTCGAATTATTAGAACCTAATTGATCAAATAGTGTTTTTATAGGTAAAAACAACTAACTACTTAGACCTGTTTAACGTTGCAAAAATTATCCCAAGTGAATATACCAGATTTGCATTTGGCGTCACCGGCACTTTTTTTTTCCCCTTTATAATTTTCCGTTAATTTTGGGGAGCGCACAATTGAATAAAATAAAATAAAATTAATACGACAACACCGAGGTGCACCACCTACGCCGTTGGATCTCGGACCCCAAACCATCTTCCTCCGTCCATATTCTCTTATCCTCTCAATTTCACCCCTCAATCAAACTTTTTGCCTGGCTTTCTTCTTTCTTTCTTCCTTCCCCTTCATCGGCCTCCCAGCTTTTCAATTCTCTCTCTCTTCCTTTTCCTGGGCTGCGAGCTCCCCCAACTGCCCTCTTTTTTCACACTGCTTTTTTTCTTTATGTAATTTTTGCTGCGAAGAACACGAATAAGCACGCTTCGTAGTTACGTAAGTTGTGTTATACTCTGCACTTTACTCATGATGTGATTTATTATCCTTGTCGTAATTGTTAGATTTTTAGTTTTAATTATTTATCATTTCATTTCTGCTAATTAATTGGTTCGTCTAATTCAAATTCTGAACCCCTACCAAGATCTTTGTGAATGTGGGAATCACAATTTGGAATAGTTAAAATTAGGGAAATTTGAACTGTGGGTTTTTGTGATTGGAGTCCGACCTGTTTCTGCATCTTTTACTGTTTTAGGAGTATTTATATCCATTGAGATAGGTCTAAGAATGTGTTTTTTCGCAATTTTTCTGAATTTTTTGTTTGTCTGAAACTAGGGTTTTTTGATTAGGGGTCATAGTTATGGAGAACGGTGTTGTTGCGGCTGTTAATGGGGACCAATTGGGAGAGACTAAAGTTTCTGAAGAGGGGTTTTTGGAGTCCAGGACAGCCGTGGAAAAGGAAATGTCAGAAGGGGGTGATGATGCCTTTGTGGAAGCATTGGAGGGAGATGTTGATTCTCTTGTAAGTGATTTGGGTGTTGAGAAGTTCGAAGACATGGCTGGTGGGATGAGCGATGATGAGGTGCAAGTGGATGGAAGGGAGTTAGGAACTAGTTCTGATATCAATGCTGGGAATGAGCACAGTTTTGATTATAATGGGGTTGTTGTGGATGAAGAAAAGCAATTGATGACAGATGGTACTAAAGATCCAGATAACATGAAGGATGGAATAGATAACCTGAAGGACGGATATGAGTCTAGTGACTTAGGTGAAGATGTTGTTGAAAAGCTTGAGAATGGTGAGCAATCAACTAATGATCAGGGACATGAGCCTTTGGGAGGTCAAAATGCTAATGAGGTAAAAGGAGGCAGTGAGGGCTCAAATTTGGTGGCTGATCGCAGTGGAAATGATTTCCAATTGGATAAGGTGAATGAAGTTGATAGTAATGGCCACCAGGATGAAAGGCTGATAGAGCTTGAAAATGTTTCATCGATCCCTGATCCAGAGCATGTGGATTCTCCGACCCTAGGTCTGGAGCACTTTCCAGCGAAATTTGATTCTGAACAGAATGGAGGAGATTCTCCAAGTTCAACACCTGAAAATGAGTACCATGAAACCGAAGCTGTTCAAGCTAATAATATTGCTTCGTTGACTGATCATGAAGGGAGACTGCCAGAAGTCAATGCATCTTCTCCGTTGGTAGAAAAATCAGAAACTGCCGAAGGTGAGAACTTACTTTCGAGCGGAGACTCGGTTGAGAAAATTGATTCTGGGTCCAATGGTTTGATAGCAGAAATTCCAGAGGGACCTGAACCTCCCCAAGAGACCAGCATAGATGAATCTGTGGTTGTAGGAAAGGAAATGGCTAGTCAAATGGAGGCTGATCTCTCAGCAGAAAGTTCTAGTGATTCTAAGGCTGAAGTCACCTCTTCAAATGCTGAAATATCTGATCCTTTGGTTAAGGAACTTCATGTGGTCAGTAGCAGTCCTTATTCTGAAGCTGACAGAGAAGATGTCAAATTTATGGAAGTGAATCAATCTGGCCCCCAAATATCAGACCGGGATGTACCACCTACAACTGATGCTTCGTCAACCACTAGCATGGCTGAACTTCCAGCTCGTCCTGCTGGACTTGTTCATCCATCCTCAGGTGCAAGAGGGCAGGAAAGCAACGCTGGAGAGCAAGGTAGATCAGTAATTGGTGTTTCGGTATCTTCCAATGGTCCTGTGCAGCCTCGTCCTACTGGTCTTGGCCGTGCTGCACCATTGCTGGAACCTGCTTCTCGTCATGTGCATCAACCTCGAGTGAACGGGACAGGTTCTACCTTGCAAAACCAGCTGGTTGAAGACCCGACAAATGGGGAGGCTGAGGAAACTGATGAGACGCGGGAGAAGCTTCAGATGATACGTGTGAAATTTCTACGTCTTGCTCATCGACTCGGGCAGACTCCACATAATGTGGTTGTGGCCCAGGTTTTGTACAGGCTTGGTTTGGCTGAACAGCTACGAGGAAGAAGTGGGAGTCGTGTCGCCGGCTTTAGCTTTGACCGTGCTAGTTCTATGGCAGAGCAGCTGGAAGCTTCTGGTCAGGAGCCTCTAGATTTCTCCTGCACAATAATGGTTCTTGGAAAATCAGGGGTCGGTAAAAGTGCTACCATAAATTCGATATTTGATGAGGTTAAGTTTAATACTGATGCTTTCCAGTCTGGTACCAAAAAGGTTCAAGATGTTGTCGGTACGGTACAGGGGATCAAGGTCCGGGTTATTGACACACCTGGTTTACTACCATCTTATTCAGACCAACGCAAGAATGAGAAAACACTCCGTGCAGTTCGTCAGTATATCAAGAAAACACCCCCAGATATCATTTTGTATCTTGATAGGTTGGATATGCCGAGTAGGGAGTTTGGTGACATGCCATTACTGAGGACCATTACTGAAATTTTTGGACCATCAATCTGGTTTAATGCCATAGTTGTTTTGACTCATGCTGCATCTGCTCCTCCCGAAGGTCCAAACGGGGCAACAGGTTATGATATGTTTGTAACTCAGCGCTCTCATGTCGTCCAGCAAGCAATACGCCATGCAGCTGGAGATATGCGCCTGATGAATCCTGTTTCTTTGGTGGAAAATCACTCGGCATGCAGGACCAATCGAGCTGGGCAGAGAGTTTTGCCAAACGGCCAGGTTTGGAAACCTCACTTGTTATTGTTATCCTTTGCTTCAAAAATATTGGCAGAAGCGAATACGCTTTTGAAATTACAAGACACTCCTCCAGGGAAGCCTTTTGCCCCTAGATCAAGAGCAACATCTCTGCCTTTTCTACTTTCATCTCTTCTTCAGTCACGATCACCTGTAAAACTTCCTGCGGAACAATATGGTGGCGATGATGATGATTTTGATGATGACTTGGATGAGTCATCAGACTCAGAAGACGAATCCGCATATGAGGAACTACCTCCATTCAAACCGTTGACCAAGGCCCAGTTGGAAAAGCTTCCCAAAGACCAAAGGAAACAATACCATGATGAATTAGAATACAGGGAAAGGCTTTTCATGAAGCAGCAGTTGAAAGAAGAGAAAAAGCGGCGCAAATTAATGAAAGAACTGCAAGCTGCCCCTAATAATTTACCAGCTGAATACCAGGAACAAATGGAAGAAGAAAGTAGTGCTGCAGCATCTGTGCCAGTCCCCATGCCTGACTTGGCTCTACCTGCTTCATTTGATTCTGATAATCCAACTCATCGATACCGCTGTCTGGATTCCTCTAACCAGTGGCTTGTGAGGCCTGTCCTTGACCCCAACAGTTGGGACCATGACGTTGGTTATGAGGGGATAAATGTAGAGAGACTCTTTAGTGTCAAGGAGAAGATACCGGTTTCTTTCTCTGGCCAATTTTCAAAGGATAAAAAGGACACCCATCTTCAAATGGAGATGGCGAGTACAATCAAACACGGGATAGGGAAATCAACTTCTCTTGGATTTGACTTGCAGTCAATGGGCAGGGATATTGTCTATACACTACGAAGTGAGACGAGATTTAATAATTGGAGAAAGAATAAAGCGTTAGCTGGTGTCTCTGTAACTCTCTTAGGTGATACAGTTACAGGTGGACTGAAAATTGAGGACAAATTGATCATTAATAAACGAGGTCAGGTGGTTGTTTCTGCGGGGGCTGTCGTTGGACGCGGAGATGTTGCTTATGGTGGTAGTCTGGAGGCTACCCTAAGAGATAAAGATCATCCACTGGGTCGTTTTCTGTCAACCCTTGGACTCTCTGTAATGGATTGGCATGGGGATCTAGCTATTGGATGCAATTTGCAGAGCCAGGTACCAGTTGGAAGAAGTTCAAACTTGATTGGTCGGGTTAGTGTTAATAACAGGGGATCGGGACAAGTTAGTATCCGTTTCAACAGCTCAGAACATCTTCAACTTGTCCTTTTTGCTGCTGTTCCTATTGTCCGGAAACTACTATCACATTTTCAGCCTGTGCAATATTGAGGATGAGATTTATGATACAAAGCAGCCAGTTGGATGATGCAGATTTACGTTAAAGTGACAATTATATTGAGATGAGCAGTAAATGTGAGTAACTAAAGCTGTTTAAAGGCATTTGGTTTGAATGAATTTTTGAACTGTGTGTTTGTTTCTTTTCGGCTTTCTTTTTTATTTTTATTTTTATTTTTATTTTATTTATTTATTTTTTTGGTGCTTGGATATTGCCTTTTAAACCTGTTTATCTTTTGCATAGAAGGTCATTGTTTCTTTTAGGAGAAAAATATAGCTTCATAATTTCTATTATCAGAATATGGAACGATTACATGAATTATGAGCCCTTAACTATATTCATCTCTGTATGATGTTAATTCTGGTCCGGGTTCAGTTTCCAATTCAGTTATTGTTCAGTTAATGCAATCTGTTTGTGTTAATTATTTTTCACGTGTCATATATTTTGTTTTATTGAACATCTTAATTTCTGGGATCTGCCGGTTTTGCATAAGTGTTTCTCCCTTATACAAGTCTTTGTAGTGTTGATTGTGTGGTGAGAGAATCTGAATCTTTATTTTTGGTGTTATGCTTGACTATTGTCTGGTGCTTATAAGTTAGTAGTTAGAATTTCCATGACTTTCTGCCTAATTTAGATTCTGAAAAACTAGTTAATCGTTTGCATTTTATGCCGATAGGGGGCTATGTCTTTTTGGATTGATACTTTGCTCTGTAAATGTTAGAGCTCCAGGATATTTGAAAATGGTGTTTCGAATGAAGTTTAGACTATCATCCTTGCTAGTTTTGCTTTTGATGTATGAAACTGTTTATTTATTTATTTATTTCCTCCCCCCTGAGTTTTTTAAAATGCCTAGATGCTGCAGATCACATTTTGTGAAGAAGCGTAGAAATTGAAGCTAGGATTCTTTGGAGAGTCAGAAACGCAGCCTGCAGCAGGTTTTAGTAGGATATCACTGGGACATTGCATGATGAGAGATGTTAGCCAGACTAGAGCAATTCCCTTGCAATATTAATATGTGAACGTTTGGTTCTAGCTTGTAAATTAGGCGCCGACTTGATTTTGGTGGTAACACAGGTACCATTTACTGAAATTTTTTTAATCTCAAAGAAGGGGGAGGGAACTGATGGACAATAGTCATCATCAAATGCTAAAATGTTGAGTTTGATTAGATCTATCTGGTTTACCCCTCGTTTTCGGGCAGATTATCATCAAAGACATTTGAGTTTTTCAAATAAATGTGGTTATCTAGAACTGAAGTTCTGCTATTCTACGGATGGCATTTGATTTGTGGGAATGGTAGGGGTGCACAATCATTAGCTCGTTGATAACAGTCGTGCTTCTGCTTAGTTTATTATATGCTTCCAGAGCCGGGGATTAGTGTCTACTGCATCGTTTATATGCTAGTGCTTGCGTCTGCCTCAGTTCAAATTTAGGATTGAATATGCCAGCAGCTGATGTCCATTTTGAGGTTTTGATACCAACATTGGACCAGAAGATAGCTAACGTTTAAACGCTTGGAAAGGTGGGTAGAATAACAAATCTGTTTATTAGAGACTAAAAGCAGCAAGCCAAAAGCTGGCACTGATGCTTAATTTCCAAATGAACAAGTAGAAAACTATTTAACTAAGAAATTTCGAGTGGATCTTCAGTACATGCATTTCTAAGAGGTTTTTCGATTCCCCGTTGTACTACTTAGAGTCGAGTCCATCAAATTAAAACTCTTTATAGTTTAGAGACACTTTATAAATAGGACCAGGAAAAAATATGTAGCAACACGGTCCACGAATGATCCTTAAATTCCCTTCACCCTCAGAAATGGGACATGAAGAAACGGAATAACCACAAAAAGGTTAATCACAAATGGTCCTCAGACATTATCAGCAAGTATTGTCGGCCGAAAAACGTTGCAGTGAGACATTTGGATTCGACATTGAGTGCCGTACTGATGCAGACTCCAACTGATTTGGACTTACGAGTCCTTCTCGATTTCGTGGATCACGTGTCCTATTATTGGCCCCCCCAAATCAATTATTGTCATAAATTCAGCCTCTCCTTTTTTTTTTCCCCGTACAATAACAGTGTTAGCCATGCAATAATAAAATCATTTTGAACATCTTCGGTCACGGCCCCATAAATAACGCCTTTGTGCCAAAATCTCGTTTCGACTGTATTGCGGATCGATGTGGAGGATTGAAGATGGTTGATAAAAGATTAATGAGTGGTAGTAGTTTCATTATAATAATAAATAATAAATTGACTCAACTTCTTTTACACGTGCAATAAATAAGGATAGTTCATTATACATTAGTACATAACTTCTGCCGTTCTCCATGTTAATATGCAAATGATGCATTTCGTTCCGACCATCTTTACTACAACCTGGATTTGAATATACTATCTCATAGTGTTATGTCTCCACAAAGAAAATTTATGCTTTTTTATGCTTTTTTTTTTTTTTTTCTGGTGATAAAAAATGAAGGCTTCGTTTCTTCGAAATTTTTTCAAGGGGGTGGTTTCACAATACACGCTCTTTTTGCCTATAGTTATTGGACCCCGTCTATGCTTCATTTGTTATCGACAATAATTGAGTGCCTTCAACAACATTCACGTGTTCATATTGAGGAGGGTTAGTCCGCTAGCTTGTTAATTTATTTTGTACTACCTCATCTGATAAAAATCTTATTGGAAAACATGGTTGATTATAAATGCAAGGGAAAGTGAAGTCATCATTCAATGGCTTTATTTAAATACACCTAACCCTAGAGAAAATATGCTGGGAAAGTTTATCATCACCCCACAGTATTGTTGAATAAGTCAGCTAATTGTTTTTTTTTTTTTTTTTTACTTTTTCAATGCATTCCTAATTAATTGTAGTAAGTTCGGCGATTTATGAAGAGTCAATAATTTTATATAAGTGATGAGAATTGGATTGGAAGTACTATATATGTTGCCAAGGTTTTGAATGTTCTAACTTCTAAATGTACTTATATTTTTCATACAACCTACCAATAAAAAAAATTGTTTTGAGGTCGTAATCATGAGCAAATTTGTTATTGACAACATCAATGAAACGGTGAATTTGGTGTTTTCTTTTTAATGAACTTTTTGTCCAAGCCTGTTCACAAGTTGAAACGTTCCAAGTTGCCGATTCCGGTGGTTGAATGACCAATTATCTTCCGGGGGTGTTTGGGTGGGAGGAAGTTATTAAAAAACACCAACTTGAGTATGTTAGGACGTGCTTCGTGAATTATTGACCTAACCTAACCACGTCGTTCGGAACAAAAAATAAAAAATAAAAAATAATGTTAAGTCTACTCAAATAAATCATACTCTCAATAAACACAAAAAATAAAAAATAAAAAATAATGTTAAGTCTACTCAAATAAATCATACTCTCAATAAACACAAATAAAACACAATCGCTATATTGGAGTGGAATGACTTAGATATTAATGGAATTATTTGCCATCGAATGACCAAATGAATTGTGGAATAAAGGATAAACCGACTACTTTGGCCTGACAGCTGTGAAATCCGATAGCTCTGAAGTCTGAAATTGGTCAACTTTTTTATTCAACTGGAACAACGTGGAAACACGGTCTTATTACATGGCTAAAACTAAAAAACATGGGAAAAAAGGAAAAATCTACCATAAGGTGAAAGAGCTTGGAGTTTTCAACTTACAACAACAATAATCGTACGTGTGAGATGATCAGTAGTGGATGACAAACACGTTGTACTCAACCACAGCGTTGAGGGTAGCCTGGTCAAGGGAGTAAGTGTGAGTAGAGACGGCTCCCCGGGCCAACCGGAATACACCCGACCCGCCCACTATGGACGGTTCCCGGTACGTATTCGTGATGGCGTCCCGGGCAATGATGCTGAGAGTGCTTCCTTTGAACGGTTCGGCGGTGAAAACTACGTTGAACGTCAGGATGAAGGCGGGTTCCTCTTGACTCGCGGCGCTGTAAAGCCCCTGAGCCCGGCCCACGAGCAGGGAATCGGGTTCCGGGCCGGCGGTCAACGGGTCGTCAATGACCATGGTTGACCCGAACATGGTGGGAGAGGTGGCGGTGATGTTGGCCCGGGCAACTTCGACGGCGGTGGGAGTGGCGGCGACCCGGTTCTCGTGGTAGTAGAATTTGAAGGTGGTCAACTTGGGTGCTGAGTAAGGCAGGGTGTAACGGAACCACCTCTCCACGGCTTCCGGGCTCTGCGGGTCAACGGCTTCGACGGCTTCTTTTCCGTCAAAACTGACGGTCTTGTACTCCATCGGAACTGCCTGAAGTGGCACGGCCGCCGCCATGGCCATGCAGCAGCAAAGCATCATCACTGCAACTGTGATAGCGATCTTCATTTCTGCAAGGGGTAATTTAATACGAGTATATTTTTTTTTTCCTAAGGTTTTTTGCAAACTTTGTGTTTTTCCTTTTGGTACAATCATATGATGCTTCAACCTCTGACCTATTTATAGTGTCAAAACTCTAAAGTGGTGAAAGATTAAAAACGTTTGATCGGTAAATAGGACAATTATTTGGGTTAGCAGCCATGAATTGACTATAATTTAATTAAGATGAAAGCTACGGTACAACCACAACGTGAGCCACATTTACAAACCGTACTTTAGATTCCCTTTTGTGCTATTGTAAAATACTCCTAAAATATACCTACCACTTTCTTCTTTACAAAAATCACGAGATAATTTTCATTAACATTACCACATGTTAACGTGCATTTTCTTTTTCATTTTAAGTTAGTAGACTGCGCCAAAAATAAAAAATAAAAAATCGTAAGTTAAATGGTGTCCTATTTCGCACTAGACAAAGTACGTTGAAACACGGTTATCTTGGACTGGTCTCTGCTTCGTTTCGATGCATGATGATAGGATGTCACAATCTTTTTGCTCTAGTTTTCATTGTCTAAGGAAAAACAGATTTTTATTCTTAAAACTCGATATGCTTTTTGGATTTTTTTAAACACTTTTTTCAAACATGATATTTCTTTTCCCCACTTCCAAGGGATATGCATCAATTAAACGTTTTTCCAGACTACAGCTTTCTTCACTTTATAGTAGTCCTTCCGTTTATCCAATTTAGATTTTTAATTCTAATTCAAATTATACTAAAAATAGAATCTCAAATTAGACAATAATTTTAGGGCATAGGGAGTAATTTTGATAAAGTTTTCTTTTTCACCCAAGCCGAATGATAGATTAATAAAACCAATTCGCTTTCAAGCTAGGTTGGCAATCATACATGTATATATACTGGTCCCTGCCTATTTTTATAATTAATTAATGGACAAACCACTCACTGAAGCTAAAATCTTATAAAAAAGTCCAAGTTGAACGATGACTAATGTAGTTTTAATAATTAAGTAGCACGAACGAGGTGATAAAAATTGCAAATGACCGCAACATATGTTGAGATCGAGGACTCTCGAATTTGAGAATAAAAGGCAGTCGAATTTGAGAATAAAAGGCAGTACGTCATACTAACGTAATTATTTCCTCCGTTGTCCGTAACACACGACAATTATTTTTGAAATAGATGGCATAATTTGTTATTACTATTTTTTTTTCCTTCACTAAAATTGTCTAAAGGATAAAACGAAAAATTATTATAAATAAACCGTATAAACTCTAATTGATTGTTGATGAGAAAGGCATTAGCACTATTATTCCATCTGTTTTAAAATTATTGTCCAATTTAGATATTTACTTTTAATTCAATTTATATTAAAAATTAAAATCTAAAACGGATAATAATTTCGGGACGTATGGATTACCAGGTGAAAAGGTAAAACAGAATAATAAAACCAAGTCATGATGATCAGCCAATTAGCTAGAATAGTACTCCTATACTTTGTGATAAATAGGAAGAATACTCCAGAGTAGAAACTTTCTTTAATTTTGTCAAAAAAGTTGCATACTAAACAACGACGCGTGTTATAAATTAACGTTACAAAGAATGCAATATATAGGATCCTGTTGTTTGTTTGATATCTCCTCGCAGTTCTAATGTCTTCAATGATTGAGGAATGATAATAATTAAAAGATTCTGAGCACCTTTTTGTTTTTGGGTGGTGGATTTTTCTTTCGCTTTCCAAAATTCAAATCAATAATGCATTGCTATACCATTTGGTTTCTACTGTATATATTAATATTTTGTCATTATACTCATTCTATCTCGATTCTCTGTTTTTTTTTTCTTCTGGACAAAGGGATTGGAAAATTCAAGATCGACCCCAAGATAACTTTCCTCGTGAATAAATGAGTAACGAATGAAATAATGTAATAACAATGTCCGGAAATATGTATACAAAATTGACAATTTGAGATATGGCTTGTTATTGACTATAAAAGATGCTGGTCTAATTAAATACGTTAATAACAAACATATATAGTTGATGATTAAAACAACCCGAGAAATGGAAAGAAAGAAAACGATGTTCTACTTACCTAATTGATTAATACCCAATTGTTAATTTTTTGGTAAATGATTTGTGAAAATGAAACAATAGTACCCTTAAATTGATTAATTATCTTTTTTGACAGTGCCTTCAAAGAGAAGTAGTCCAAAGTGTTATTATTCAAATTCTGCTGGCATAATGCGTCAAATATTGACGAAACACAAGCTTAGAAAAGTCAAAATAAATTATAGGAACATGACATTATTAGCGGTACAAAAAATGTACAGCCTGAATGTTGATATCATTAACCTTAGAAATGCATGGCTTATAAAGTAACTCGAACACTTCAGTAGTGCTCGACGAAAACGTTGTACTCCACAACCACATTCAGCGTAGCCGGGTCAAGTGAATAAGTATGGGTCGAAATGACTCCACGGGCCAGCCGGAAAGCTCCAGACCCGCCGACGATCGACGGTTCCCGGTAGGTATTCGTAATGGGGTCCCGAGCCATAACGCTGAGGGTGCTGCCTTTGAATTCTCCGGCAGTAAACACCACATTAAACTGCAAGATGAATGCAAAATCCTCTTGACTCGCGGAAGCATAAATCCCTTGAGCTCGGCCGATGACCTGAGAGTTGGGATCCGGGCTGACGGTCAACGGGTCATCGATGACGTAGGTTGAGCCGAAACCGGTCCGAGAAGTGGCGGTCAAGTTAGCCCGGGCTACTTCTACGGCCGTCGGGGTGGCAGCCACCCGGTTCTCGTGGTAGTAGAACTTCAGCTTGGTCAACTTGGGCTTGGCGAATGGCCGGACGTATCGGAACCATCTTTCAACTGCTTCCGGGCTCTGATCATCATCGGGTAATGGGGACGTCATGGCCATGGCAACCATGCAGAAGCAAAGCAATAATAATGCAATTCTGATCTTCATCATTTTCACTCTTCTTCTCTTCTGCTAATTGATGAATTTCAAACTCTCTTTTTTGTTTGTTTGTTTGTTTGTTTGTTTGGCTTAATCATGGCTTTAGCCTCTATGTATGCATTACGTATTTATAGTAAATCGAACGTATGGGATCACAAAGGTATACGGGAGCGTAGTAGCAACCAGTTTTACGTACAACTGCAAAAAGTCCTCGGATTTGAATAAAAATACTGATTTGGTTATGCAAGTCATAATAAACTTATTATATATACCATGTCGCGTAACAGTATGGTCCTCGAAGTTAATTTGGCGAATTCTTGTACAAAAAACTGCTTTAATAACAGTGGTCGTAGCCGTGGGTTTTGACCTTGTTCTAATTAAATAGTCTATTTGTGGCTAGTTAAATGCTTAACTCGCACACATTTGACATTCTTCATGGCTAATAAGTGCATATTCTATATTTCCGACCCCATCTTCAAACAATTATACATCGGACAAGGCATTCGTGTGAAATAAGGTCTAATTATTTGAGTATATTGAAATAATCACATACCAACTATCAACCTTCAAATTAAACAGGCTTAACAGGGTGTTTTTTTTTTTTTTTTGTCTTTTGTTATTTTAATTTTATTTTCATGTGGCCATTAAGTACTTTAAAATGGCTTCTTGTGGCTAACTAGTCTAATTAAAACCAATGGGTTAACGTCCTATGTAGAGATGTTTTAAAATATTTACATAAACCTAGCTACAAATATAACGGTTCTAAATGAGTCAATTTATTAGCTTAATATATACTGAATTATGTCCATATTCAATAACGATTCGCATTTTGAGAATTTTAACTATATTGAGTTGTCGGTCCAAATTAAAGTAACTCTTATAATATGAGATATATATATATATATATATAAATGGATTATTATCTAACACGGTAGGGGGTATAACTTGAAATTCTGGTGTCATATACAAATTGTGACTATAATATATCCCAAATGGTTGTCAAACGATCTAATCCATAGATTAAAAACTCCCGGCGTAAACTTCTGTTTATTCCGTACTCAAATAAAAAAGAAAAAGTAAACGGGTGCTGACTCAGCGTGATTTGGTAATTTTATATGTACTCAATTTGGTACGATGGCACTTGGTTTATTTGCTTTTCGTTATGTCCAAAATGGCGGCCATCATTTCTTTATAAACACTTCGAATAATTGAGTACCAACTGCTAATATTTATTATCATCATTCGTAACCAACACCACCCCACCCCCCCAAAAAAATCGTTATCTCTGTGGTATTGACTGGTAAATGAATGGGAGCAATTTGACGGTTGACCGTCACATGTATGGAGCTCCAAAATGGGGCGCCACTACCCTCTAAAATCAAAAATTCAAAATCACTCAATTGCGACACTCTACTATTATAACTTTACACATAATTCTACTCACATGTCAATCCTAATTGGCCATCCATATCACCACCTCATAAATTTCTAATACTAATATTTTATTAAAAAATTGAAACCAGAATTTACTATCAAATTTCTTTTTCATTTCTATTCATCGTTTCAGTAATTTTTTATACTATGTATTTGGAAATACATGTTGCCCAGAGGTTCCCGAAGTTTTTTTATACTATGTGTTTCAAACTCTAATGCCCTCAAATAATTAACTGGTTTGATTCGGAAGAAGAATATTGTACCAATAGCTTGATTTTTAAACTTAGCCCTTCCTTGTACCAATTTTTTTTTTATTAACAGTAAATATAAAAAAACAAATCCCAAAGATCATGAGGATGATTATTTTATCTTTCGTTAGCTTAAGCCTTCAAGTAATAATTTTATGGCAAAAAAAAAAAGGAAAGAAAAAAGAGAGAGAGAAGAGGAAATAACAATTTGCCTCATATATGGTAATTTTATTAGGTGCCCGTCGATCAGTAATAGGAAACACGTAGTTATAATCAAAATCCAGAAGAGTGGTGTATATATATACACTACTCCAGCCATCCATCCTGCAGTTCTAGGGTTCAAAAATTCATAGCGAAGTTATAATCTCTGTTTCCAACGCTTTAGGCCTTCTGCATTCATTAACCATGCCTAAAGTTGGTGATTTTGATTGGAGATATACGTCTCTTGCGCTGATTTATAGTATTACTTTTGGATGGAGCTCTCTTTGTATTAGGATTGTTATGGTTAGCAATTTATTCGGCACCGGAACAAATATTGCGGGGCTTCATTCATCTTTTGGACATATTTCATCACTTTCATGGGAGCTTTTCTAATGTCTCTCATGGATCCAGGGGGGTTGTATCATGCTCTGGATCGTATTTGTTATCCAAAGTTTGAGGATGGATCAAGTCCTGATTTGGGGGGAAGTGGATTGGTTAAACATTAGCAATTTTATGTGGTTAGCTATTGGTTGTTTCGATTTAGGACTTACTTTCTACCAACCCATGCGTCCAATGTTGTACTGATAGCCATACTGATACCCGTAAAGTTGGTTGATTCGTATCGAGGTTCCACACATTTATCACTCTCATCATTTTTCACTCTTTTGTTACCTTTGCAACACTCCGCACCCACCGTAGTTTCAATGATTCCGTCTTGGCTTCCTGCCCTGCAGCAATGGTGGCTCTCTATACTATGGTAAGCATTAGTTCTGAATTACTACTATTTTGTTTGTATGCTTGACTTCTTTCTAATCACCCATTCCTAATTAATTTTCCTGCACAAATTTCATAATTTGGTTTCACAGTGTGTTCCGTCGCTATCGATTCTCGACCCAACTTTACCTATTTCCATGCAAGATTATTATTATACAGTGATATCCCATAAAGAGTGTAGAAAATACTCCAAAGCCAAGGACGACGATGACGATAATGTTGTTCGTCAAGAAGATGATCAGTTGAATGCCAACCACGACAACTTCTATGTTAGATTGAAGGATCACGAAGATGTCAATGGCACTTACTACAAAAAATTGAACCTCAACGGCAACAACTGTGAGAGAGAATTAAACGGCGACCATGATTATTTAATTGTTTAGTAGGATTTTTTGTTCTTTATTCATGATAATTTAATTAGATAACTTGCATCCATCCTTGTGAGAATAAGTGGATTTTTCATCTACAATAACTTTATTTGTTAATTTTTTTTTCTCTTTTCATAGTAGTATAATGTTTTTTTTTTCAGGATTAATTGATTGGTTGATAGTCTTTGATATTTACCTCATTATTAGAAAATTGGATTGAGTATAAGATAGTTAATGCCATTTTGGTTGACCTTTTCCGCAATCATCCATATTCTTTCAATTCGAAACTCCCGCAACAAAGATACCTGGTACCCTCAATACTTGACACGGTTACAGCAAAGTCTTGGGATTTCGCAGAGAAAATGGTTGGTGCTTCATATGGTATTACAAACTTTATCTCCAATTTGTGTAACAAAAGATATCGAATTAGTATGATTATAAGAAAAGTAATACTATTTGTATTCATGGATGTTCAGTTGCTAGATACAATGAGAAAGATTTAATAAGATTTATGTAACAAAAGATATAAGATTAGTATGATTAAAAAAATAGAAGAAAAGTAATACTATTTGTATTCATGGATATTCAGTTGTGGGATACAATGAGAAAGATTTAATAGGATGATTTGGGCGGTTCATCTACGAGGGTCACCGATACTAACACTACAACAAAAATGAGTAGTTTAGACATTTTTTTATGTCTCAATAAGTGGTGTAATAGGATACATGTGATTCACATTGCGTGGGACACTACTAAATAGTGTCTCCTATAATCGAGTCACAATAAGTCATAAAATATTTGAAAGTGTATTATTAGATGTTCACTTATTAAGACATTTTAAAGTAACCCATTAAGTAGGTTAATGGTTCACAAGCAACCCCACATAGTACACTTATGATAGTGTTTCATAATATACATACACTTTTTCATTTTTAATAAGACACTTTTTAGCAAATGTCCTAATACACATATAATGAGACACATTTTAGAAAAAAATGTCATACTATGAAGGTATTAATAGCTCATTTTTGTTGTAGTGTAATAAACATAACGAGAGAAGGTTGTATGGGTAGGGGAGTTCCAAGAATATGACAGTTAATGTATACTGATGATTGTTTATTTTTTATTGAATGTAATTTTATGAACGTGCGCCGGCTTGTTGTTGCCCTTAATTGTTATGCTAGAGAATCAGGGCAGAGAATCAATTTTGATAAATTCACCATCATCGTAAGCCCTAACATTCACTCAAACATGAAGTTGCTGGTAAGTTTATGGTTACGTATTCTACTGGGCTCTCATGCTGGCCGATGTTTAGGACTGTCCTTGGACTTTATGCAGAGTAAGAATGTTCTCTTTAGTGATACCCTTACCAAACTAAGGGGTAAGCTTAGCTCTTGGAAAACAAAATCCTTGTCAATGGCTGGAAGAGTGGTTTTGGCAAAGCATACTCTTGCTGCATTACTGGTCTACATGATGGGTGCCTTCAAGCTTCCATTCTAGGTATCTGTCGAGGTGGATCAGATCATTGCTAACTTTATTTGGAAAGACGATCTCGAAGGTCGAAATATTCACTGGAAGTCGTGGAGTTTTATGTGTCAATCCAAGCTTCGTGGAGGACGGGGTCTATGTTCAGTAAGGGAGATGAACCATGCTCTCTTAGCAAAATTATCGTGGCGAATCATTAGCAATAAAAAGTCTCTTTTCTTTATAGTGTTTAGACAGAAATATTGCAGGCGGGTGAATTTCCTCTCTTTTACTGCTATCTCTCATTCTTCCTGGGGATGGAGAAGCATTTTATGGGGAAGAGACTTGCCGAGGCGATATCTGAAATGGAAGGTTGGACGGGGGGACCGTGTTTGGATCGATGATGATTGGATCTCGAGTTGTTCAAATCCTTTGAGAAATGTTGTTCTTTCAAGTGATCACACTGCTTTGATTGTGAAGGATTTAATGGATGATTCTGGAGTTTGGAGGTTGCCACTTCTTCATGTTATGTTCCCTCCTTTAGTAATCAATCATATTCGGTGAATTTATCTTCCTTCTAATGTGGAATCTGCTGAGGATCAGTTGTATTGGGAGCTTACTAAACATGGCCATTATATTGTCAAAAATGGTTATTACATGCTGCAACAGGACAATTACATCGAGCAAGCATCAAGCATGCCTGTTGTCTCAACTTCAAGTTTAGTGGGAAATCTCAGCCTTTGAGGGTTGGAAAATCTTTTGGAAAGTTAAGATTCCAGCTAAACTTCAATGGCTACTCTGGAGATCCTTTGTTAAGGCTCTCCCCACAGCACATAACCTTTTGAGAAGAGGGGTAATGGTATCTTCTCTATGTAGCAGATGTGGCCAAGAAGTGAAAACGACCGAGCATGTGTTTCTAGAATGTGAAATGTCTCAAAGGGTTTGGTTTCTGTGTCCTTTTGGTTTCAATTTTGATGGTGCTCAACATAATGCAGATTGGCTGAATGAGTGGCTCCTTGCAGTCCCAGATTATTCCCTCATTAAACTATCATTTCACAGTATGGGCAGCATATGGGTTGCAAGGAACAGAGCTGTCTGGGACGATATTAAGGAAAATCCAGTTATGACATGGGAACGAGCGATAGAGGCACACAACCTGTACTTGAATTTGAATCAACCATCTTTGTCAGAATCTCAATGCTTGCAAACTACGGCAACTGAGGTCACGTTCAACTCAGAGACGCACCTCATATATGTGGATGGCGCTTTTGTGTCTAATGGATGTCAAGGGGCTTCATCTTGGGAAATTTGGGATACGAAAGGCAATATAGTCGCTTTCAATGGTTTAAAATTTGCCTATGTGCTTGCCATTCAAGAAGAAGCTATTGGTCTGTTGTACGCTTTACAGAATGCTCTTGCCTTGAATATGCGCTCCTGCAAGGTTTTCACGATTGTAGCTTACTATCCGAATTTGAAAGAGGAAAAGATGTTTTGCCTATCAAAATTACCGATATCTGTAGAGATATTATTAGGCTAAAAAATATGTTTGAATGTAGTAAAATTATTAAGGCTTCTAGGGATGAGGTAGAGCGAGTGCACCGGTTAGCTAAGAAGTTAAATTCTGTACAATTCTCTGTTTAGTTTTATGTATAAAATATGCGCTTTACTAAAAAAAAAAAAACTGAGAAAAGGTTAGATTTGTTGCCGAATTGAAAGCCAGCTAGAGAGGAGATCGATTATGAAATATATGTTAGAAAGAGAGAAATGAGTAAAGATTTCTAATTCAAATGGTGATATTTTTTCTTTTCAACAAACAAAATATTACGATATTTTAATCAGTGCAGATTCAGTTCAGGTACCCTGGCCATCTTAAAAATAACACATATATGACTATACAATATAGAAAAACTTCGTAAAAGCACAACATTTTTCAATTTATAACAAATTCTTCTAACTAAGGGTGTCGATTTTCGATACGACGACACGAATTTACATAAAAAAACTTGACTCGACACGAGACAATTAACACAATTTGAGTTTTTATCACATTTTTTCTCCAAAAAAATTTAATAATCACAAAACAAATAAAGAAAAATTTTAGTTAAAGTAAATATGAAAATTAATAGTCTACATTTTAAACCCCCCCAAAAAAACCTAAAAGAATCAGTTAAGACGAGTTGTATCTTCTTGGTTATTTTGGGGATTAAATTGTGACAAAAACTATTTTTCATATACTTTTGGGTCTTGGAGTAGTTTTGAGTTATTTTATCTTTTTTATGAAAAATTATATTTATTTATTTTTTTTCAATTATGTTCTTATATTTCCTAACTTATAATGTTGATAATTTGAGTTTCTCTTCTTCATTTTCTTTATTTTTTTTAAAAATTTTATAACAAGAAGATACTCTCTTGTCTAAAAAAAGAAAATCTACATTGAATTTTTGAATTTGTATTAAAATAGTGTATACTATTTAAAACTAAATGTTGACTATTTTATTGGGACAAAATAGTATAAGATTGGTATGAGACAAAAAATGGACTGAAATATTTTTTTTTGGAAGAAACATTCAATTTTAATTAGAATTTGTTATTTTTTTTATGCCTGTTTATTTAAATCTTTACATATAGATATATATTTTAAAAAATTCTTGAACACAACATTTAATTTTCTAATTTTTCAACATTTTTCCTTTCAATATTTCGTAATCTTAAAAAGAGAGTGATACAAAGCCCAGTATACAAATTGAACTTGGTTAAATCGAAACCCAATGGGCTGGACTCAGCGGATAACACAAGCCCAATAACTCCGTGGAGGAGAAAAACCGTACGACGTCGTTGGCAGCTTTTCATCGTCTCCCTAGCAGTGAAGTCTAAAGTCTAAACAGACGAAACCAGCAGAAGAGCGCGAATTTCTGGTCCAAAGCTAGGGTTTAAATAAACCCCGAAACTCTAAACCTTTACCAATTCAACAATGGCGACAACTGCAACTGCAAATGCAGAGGAACCTAGCACTTCGAGTGGCACCAAAACTGTGGACGCCTCGCTATGGTGGGATTCTTTCACTCTTTTACTACACGAACTGGAAAATTCTTCCGTTTCCTCCGACCTCCCGCCTTCTCTGGTAATTGCTACTCCCTTGGTATCTTGATTAGTTTTTCTGAGAATTGAAAGCTGACATTGGTATGAATTGCTTCAGGCGAAGAAACTCAAGGATCATCATGCGTGGTTCTTGGACACTACCACTATGTTTAAGCCACCAGACCCCAAGTCAAGAGAAGCTTTGGACTCGAAAAAGTTGAAAATCGGTTCGAGAGAGTTGATCATACGGCCTGAACTTAAAGAGGCAGCGCTTGAAGCTAGTTCCGTTCTGGTAATTGTATATGATTTTCTTCATCTTCTTGTCTTGCTGTCGATTGAACCATTTCGTTGCATTACTTAGTTAAGAGCAGAGCTAAGAGGACTAGGAAAGAGACCCTTAATCAAAAGTGACTATTACCAGGGGTGGAACCTGGAGCTAATTGTTGCCATTTTAGACACAATTATCCTTTGAAACTTGAATCAGTTGACTATCTTAGGGTTATATTGTCCAAACAACAAAATTTAGCTTATGATGCTAACTTTTGCTCTGAGAGTAACATCATCCTTGATCAAAGGATTTGATACTCAAACAGATCATCCATGTTTAATAGATTACAATGGAGCGACATGAATGCTATAGCCAATCTCATATAGTGGGAAACGACTTACTTGTTACTCCTTCTCAGTATTTAGTGGCATTTTCCCTCCAGGGCATGAATGAGGTGCAGTCATATATTATTGTGGAAAGAACAGCTGCAAATGGAACCCTAGGAATGGACGCGACAAGTGATGATACATTTCACTCGGTGAGTATTCTATTCTCTATTCAAAACATTCATCTTGCATGTGTAACAACAATCGGGTCCATGGTCAGTAGGCAAATAGTTTCTGTCATCATTGTTTCTTTTATTCTTAGATGTTTCAACGGGCTTCAGCTCTAATTCTTTTTGGCTGATACTTATAATATGTGCCTTAACATTTTGTTTAGACGAAATTTTCTGGTCAGGGATAAGATTGAAATTTCTTTTGTCTCGTGCAACATTTTACTTTCGAGGAAAAATAACAAAACAATATTGAAGAGAATATTTCTGAAATAATGCAAATAAGTTTGAGGAAATGAAGTTTCAAAATCTAATTCTGAATGGATATGGATATTGATTAAGTATTTTTACATTTGTAGGCAACCCTTATTTACAATACACGGACACAGAAAAATGAAGCCTAAGTGCTTGCTGGAGTCTAAGTTTTACCTAGTTTTTTCTGATATCTTATTGAACTTATATTGTTCATCTGAAGGTGGTGGTCCAGTATTACATTGAACGACAGTGTTTACTGAAATGCACGAGGCTGATCATCATGAATGCTTGTAAGTCTGGGGGTTTGCATTGTGTTTCTGTGTTACATTAGCTAATCAGTTTTTCAATTGATGAATAATCACTTCTTAAATCAAATTCTATCAGTAATTATCTGTTGGGTTCTGCATAAAAATTTTGTTGACTTTATTGGAATAACCACAACATTTATAGCAAGTGCCAAAGCATTCAATTTGTTATGGGTCTCATACGTTTGTCTTTGTGATGTCATTGTTGAAATGGACCTAATTCCCATATGGCTTCTGTTTTCTACGAAATTTGAAGGGAAGTTATATGATTTTAATAATACATTGTCATAAAATGAACTGAAGTTGGTTAGTTTTACATTTTCTGCTTGGGCAATTTGAGGTGATTTTACTTAGTTATATGATTGAACCATCTCTGTGAATTTACTTTCTCTGCCAAGTAGTTATAATCATTCAGGTTTAGCTTTCCCTTTTCTTTCATTTGGAAACTTGGTTATGATATTGTGATGCCATTGATCCATCGAATGGAGGGGGAAATGTTTTATAAAACTTTTTATGCTTCATTTTTCTGCAGTACTTGTTGGATCCGGATCTAATGAAGTTCACGCTATGTGGGAAGGGGCTCAAAAATTGATCTCTGACGGGCTAGAAGTTAGATTACTTTCAGTCCTTGAGGGCCTTTTAGTATCAGACTATCCTGAGCAACTGGTGAGCCTGTTTACCCTATTCAGTTTATCTCTTCTGTATTCGTGTCATCTTTAGTATTACCCCGCGTTCTGATTGATAGAAATCTATTTTGCATTTGGCACTTGTATATTGTTCTACAGGAAGTTGATCTGTTCACATTGTGGGCTGAGGAGACCCTGATTGAAGTCAATCTGGTTCTTGAAATTATTTTTCTTTCTTACTATGATGGTTTTGCTGCTTGTAATGGCAAACACTGGAAAAAGTTGCTCTTGGTGTATGAGGTATAGCAATATTTATGTCTGCCTTGATTTGTTCAATTATATCTTTATACCTAGTAAGATGGCTCCCACATAGTGGGATAGAGGCTTGCTGTTGCTTTAAATTCTGGTCGATGCTGTGCTGCAGGGGTTTTTGTCTGGTTCTTTCAATTTAGGGAAGCTGTCTATATCAGCAGAGGCTGAATGGTTGGCTTATTATGCCAAAATGCAACTGCTACTTATTCTCATTGAAACTCTAGATTTGGAAAATCTTCTCCAGATGACCCATGATGAAACTCCATTCAGGTATACCTGGCATCTGCATGTTGATTTTCTGTACCTTGTCGACAAAACATGAGAACTGAACCCACCTCCCCTTCCCCCGCTGTTTACTTTGTACCAACATAAATTTTACATTTGGCAAGGTTGGTCTGCAGTTATTTTCCTGGATGTATTTGTTTCCCAATTGCAATGCATGATTTCATCATTGGGGCATTTTATTTATTTATTTATTTTTTGGGTTTTGTTTTATGTTGTTTGATTTGATTTTAAGTCCTTCAATTACGATGGAATGAATATGAGTTATTTCTAATATCTGTGGCAAACGATAGATGAGTAATGAGTAAAACAAAATGAAGCATGACCATGTAAAGACATAATCTGTTTTGTTTATTTTATTTATTTATTTTGTGTTATCTTCTCGGTTGACCTTCTTATTCTTAATCTTTGATTCTTTCGTTCTACATACTTTGTTCTAGATAATTGACAATAACAACCTAAATTTCTCTCTTCTTTCTCAGGCAGAGTTCAGTAGCTTTTTCCGTGGTTGATATTGAGGAGATAGATAAAATTATTTCTGCTATAGATTTATTTCAAGCAAAAGAAGCAGGCCCATTGGTTCTAGCTTGGGCAATATTTCTTTGTCTCATTTTGTCTCTTCCGGAAGCAGAAGACAACCATGTGTTGCTGGTAATTTAATTGTTAAACTGCATTCATTGGATCGATCCTTAATCGTACTCGAAGGTAGTATCTTACTAGGGACATTGATGCAGGAGATGGACCATGTTGATTATGTACGTCAAGCCATTGAAGCTTCATCGTTAAGTTATGTGCTTGCAATTCTGCAAAGCAAGATATGGCAGGAGTCGGATGTGAGTCGTCTTCTTTTTTAATCACTAAATGCTCTTGTTTGCACTCTCTTTTTTTGTTTTTGTTCTTTTCTTTGTAATCTTTACTTTTATTGTTGGGTTTGCTGGTTATATTATTGTCAGGCTCCTACTGCTGGTTATCGCTGTGTTTTGAGAACTTTCATATCTGCTTTTGTTGCCTCATATGAAATTAATCTTCAGGTATCACTCATTCAGCTGTTAAATTATCTCATTGTAAACATTGTTCCCTGTTAATTGAGCTCATTTTAATCCGTGTTCCCTGTGTTATTGTATTTTCTTTCTCTTTTCCGACACAGTTGGAGGATGACAATTTAAGATTAATATTGGACATCCTCTGCATGATCTACCGATCAGAGGTTTGTATCTGCCATTATCGCCTGGGATGATCTATTATGATGCCGTTACATGCTGTTACTTGTGGGCATTTAATGGAATCTGTTCATACGCTGCTGCAGGAATCACTCTGCAATCAGTTTTGGGACCGGGAGAGTTTTCTTGATGGGCCCATACGGTGTCTTCTTTGCAATATGGAAGGCGAATTCCCATTCAGGGTTGTGGAATTTGTGCGCTTCTTATCAGCCCTTTGTGAAGGGGCTTGGCCGGCGGAGTGCGTGTAAGTAAAATTCCTTATCTATATTTTTGTCTTATATTTCCTCTCCATTGTCACAATTTAGATGGCAGGGGTCAATTCATAAGTTATTGATATAACCTGGTTTTGATGGTAACTTCTCTTTTGAAAGTTACATCGTAGGCGATGAAGATTTGTCTCTTTTCTAGTTGGTGCTAGAATTTAGTTTTAACGTTAATGATGCCTGTTCATCATTTGTCAAGTTTCTTGAGCTTTAGTTATGTAACTGAGCAACCCTTATTGCAGTTGAATGCTTTCTGAAGTAGGATAAACTAGGGTCTTCGCTTCAGTTTAGATCTAGACTACTTCTTCTTCTTTTTTTTTAAGGATAGATTTGGTGGAGAGACTGATCAACTGTTTTGTTCTTATTAACCATCTTTCCATGCACTTGCATGGCTGAAGTATGTCAATATTAATTATGGCTCGTACTTTCTTTTTGTTCTGTTCTTCATAAGTTAATTCGGTGTGAATATAATACTGTTTTAAATCATTAGATGTACGTCTAATATTAAACTCCCTGGACAGAAAATGATCTTGGATAGCTCATAGCTTTACTGCTTGCTGTAATCAGATCTTGACTTGGTTGTGAACATGTTTAAGTGTAAGCCCTTTACAGTATCAGTTTCAAAATGGAAGTATGAAGTAATGTCATGAGCTGAATCTTTCAGTATGCTTGCTGGTTGATGTGTATTTTACCGTGAGCATTTTATGGAGTTTCACTGTATTTTTGTTACTCAGAATGCAAGATCACAAAGCACCTTGATATTTGTGTTACTTTCTAAACGTGCATTTTCTGCCACGTTCTGACAGATATAATTTTCTTGAAAAGAGTGTTGGATTGTCAACCCCGTTTGAGATAAATAGTGAGTCCTTGGTGGACAGATCCATGAAGATTGTTCAAACACATGTAGCTTTGCCTGTTCCTGGTGTTCAAGGTTTGATCATTCCTAGGGGCACCCGGGGTCAGGTTCTGAGAATGATCAACAAGGATTGCGCTTTGGTACGGTGGGAGGTAATTTTCTTCTCCAATTCGTTTATCGGATGGTTCTGTTGTTTTCTACCCACGTAATCAAGCTATTAGGGTAAATATTTATCTTCTTTGTCAGAGCTGCTTTCTGTTGTTTTATATTTGTCCCCTTCTTGGTACGCACCATAGTGTGGGTGCTTAATATCTGATTGCATAGGGGTGATATTGGCATTTGAATTCAACACGTGATTGTTTCATGGTAGTGGGGACTTGCCTTTACATAATTCAGCTGTCCTTATTCATTCCCTCCCTTGTTTGGGTATATAATATTTGGCAGTACATGAGAACAAGTCTTGTGTTCTGGTTGGACGTACTCATTGTGCAGAAGAGGGTGAAGCTTTGATTTGCAGTTTTATATCTTCTGAGACGTATGCTTCTTTTTGGCGTTTGATAGTTAGTGCTGCCATAATTATTATTATTATTTTAATATATTTCCTCCCTTTTTCGCATGTTTTATTTTTGTGCAGCATGCGCAATCAGGAGTCACCGTCCTGCTTTACCGGATGGCCCAAGAGCTGTACTCCCAAAGCAGCGAGGAAGTTCTAGTAACCCTTGACTTGCTGAGTCGATTGGTGACTTTTAACTTGGTATATGACATTTACCTCTGTTAATAAATGATCTCTACTTCTCGATTAAAATGGATTTCTTGTTCCCCATGATTATATTTGCAGTTCACAAGATTTGTGCTTCTGATGATTTGTGCTTCCCGATTAAATGGGACATAATCGTTATTTATTATTTTGTTATTGTGCACGTCTTATCCTTGGTTTATGGAATCAATGATTGGCTGAATTGTGACAGTGACTGAACTCTGGACCTTTAGGTGTTTGACGGTTTAATATTCTTTAGCAAAGTATGTGGCTTCTACTGATAATATCTTAGACATATTCTAAATGCAAAACAACCTAAAACCGCCTATATAATCAAAAGAACTTCCAACATTGAAGCCTAGTTTTTGGAGCTTGCTTGAACTACAAGAACTATGGAGGCTGTTAACTGGAAAATGTTTGCTTGGATTGTTCACCTCTTGGGGATTTTTTTTTTTCTGCTTGCCTAGGCCTTTGAATCTCTTGTGCTACTTTTGCCATCTTGAGGAGTTCTAAAACTCGAGGCTGGAAAATTGTCCTAGGTGGAAGTGTTTATTGCTATATCAATGTTCTCATGAGCAAAGTTGTTGGAGTCTTAACATTGTTCATCATTCAATATAATAAATTGATACTTTTTCAGGCAATCTTGGTAACATAACCGTTGTGCCCCTAAAAGCAACCGTTGTTCATCATTTAATATAATAAATTGATACTTTATATGTTGACAAAATTCTAAACTGATGTGTTCACTTGTCTGGATTGTGATATACCTTTTACTGTTTCTTCTGATTTCCCTGCAAATCCCAAGTCTGAAGTGCAATTCGATAGTGTATCAGTATGCAGGTGTTTTGTTACTTCTTCTGTACGTGGTTATTTGTTCCCGAAACTTTTGTTCTTCTTGATGTAATTTTTGCTGTTGGTTCTCGTTATCCCCGTCGAATTTGATCTCTATTATAACTTCAAATAATGTCTGCTTCGTCATAGTTGAGTTGTTAATGGGGGAGATTAGAGTTTTTCTTCAATACTGAATGGCTGAAAATTTCATGTATGTAGGCCGTGTGCAATTCACTTTTGAATATCCCCAAGTCTTCATCGGCATCTGTCTCAGTGGAAGGACTCCAAGAGTATAGCTGGTATTTAACTGCATATTCTGTTTCTCTTTGTTTCCGGTTAAATATGAGGTTTTCTCTGTACCGTCACTCGCTTTCTTCAGGGGAATTCTTCTGCTCTTACTGCAGTGTCAATGTCGTAGAGATGATTTGCGCTTTAGTGAAGAACGTGCCTTCTACTTCTTATGGTGCAAAAGCAATGTCCATGGGTGTAAAGATCCTGACGAAGATGCTAAAGTGGTGATGATACTATATTCCTTTTGACTCCCATCTTATATAAGTTTTCTAGGAATGGCATGCTGATTGGACTGCATCCACATTGTACCATCAATTTCTCTTCTTTTACTGTAGTTATTTGAGGATAGTCGTTATAATGTTAAAGGACCATCCTGATGATTTGTGGGGATGTGATGATCATATAGATATTAATTCATAGTGGGCTAATTCCATCCTTCAGTATATTGTACCAAGAGCACCTAGTTATTTCTTGTTTAATTTTACTTAAAAGGCCTTCCATGACAGCCTCCTTTTGAGTATTATCGAAGTTCCTTAAGCATATAAGTGCGTCTGATGGATCATCAAACTATGCAAAACAATATGTAAAGGATAGGGTAGTTTTTTTTAATGGATTCTATATGACCTAGTTGATAGCATGAAGCAGGTTGAGGCATTCATGAAGCAATTTACTTAATCTGCTGGACTTTGTATTGTTAGAGGGAACCGTCAAAGTTGTATTATTGCCGCATGTCAAGTTGATTGGCGTTGGTTTTCATGGCTATTGTGAAACTAGACATTGTTCAGTCCAGTTGCATACATCCTTAACTATGTTTATTTTGCCATAATTTGGTTCTAATCTTCTTCTTTTGCTGTTTCTCTGCAGCTCTCCATATCATGTTGGTATCATAATATTGAAAAGCAATATATTTGATGTCAACTTGAGGCAGAATTCTTTTGATGTTACTTCCAGCGGTTTGTCTAGGTGAGTTTCTATGTTTCATCAGTGTAGAGTAAAGTTTATTTTATCTGTAATGAAAACCTCTTTATTTTATTCGAAGAACTTTAAAGTTTTCCTTGAAAAGAAATGAATTTCAAATAGTTTTCGGACTTTAGAATGATGCCAGGTATCATATCCTCTCTCATTTCTGAATCCATTTGTGCAGTTTATTATCATTTCGCTTCAACAATGTAGTAGGTGGAATGCTGGAGTAAATTATTTTTTGATCTTTTCCTTTAAAGTGTCTATGTAAAGTGGTGCCTTGAAGAGGCTTGCTTCTTTGAATGCCATTTCACTGCAATTTTTGCTCTCTTTATGTTTCTGTGATTTCAATTATTGCAAAACATGATGCGCATATCATAGTTCTATTTTGCAAAGAAGCTACATCTACCTAAAGAGAGGCTTCATGTGCATGTTGAGTTCTTTGCCCATTTTATCCCCTTAAAAATTGGTCGGGTCTTAGGGTTTGATTGCCATTGCACTGCAATATCTGCGCCCTTTATGCTATTTCAATTATTGTTTTCTTAGCACTTTTTATCTACCATCCTCATGCTGGTTAATGCTGAAGTATTATCATTTTGGTAACCTGTCATTTGATGATATTGGCGTTTAGTTTCAATTGTCATCTTCTCCCTCCTTTCTTGCTTGTTCTTGTCAGTTTTGTGTTTTGATCTGTTTTGATCTATTATCTTGTTTGCGCTGGTTTATTATAACTGTAAGGTGTTATTTGGCTAAAAAGAATTTACATCAATTCCTGACTAAAGACATTGTGACAGGGAATCATGGTTGCTTTCTGGAAGGCTTTCTAAAATGCTTATGATCGACTGCGAGCAGAATGACTGTTCATTGACCCTTTCAGGCATGTCACTTTGTAACTTCTTTCCTGGTTGATGACGGTGTTTGTTTAGTGTTTAGAGGCTGTAGTTGTAAAGACATCTTTAAGCTTTTAATGCAAACTTTGCCACCTAATTCATAGCGTGAAAATTCATTTCCTCTATTGTGCTAACCTGGTGAGAGCCGGATCTGGGTCTATTTTGGTTCTGCACCTAGGAATAGCAATTGGAGAAATGTTTCTTCTGCTTATTTATTTCTTTTGTGTTTTCTGTAACTTTCGAGAATTGTTAATCTCCCAACTGAACCCGGGTTGCTTCTCCCGTTATCATAAATAACTAAACACACGTTAATTATTTAATACATTTCCCTCTATCACTTTGGAATTAAACTTTAACTTTGTATAGTCGATGTTATAACTCCTTTTTGATGTCTGGAACTTATCGTAATCGAGTGCTTTTGTTGTTGTTCTGGATTGTGGCATTGTTTTCTCACTCGCTCGCTCTCTCTCTCTCTCTCTATATATATATATATATATATATATATATACTGATTGTGCTAACGTTTCGTCTGGTGACTACTTTACAGTGCTGGAATTAACCATCCAGCTAGTAGAAATGGGACTTGAAACCGATATGGTGTTTGGACTTGTCCTTTTCTCCTTTCAGTATGTTTTAGTCAATCATGAGATTTGGAATTACTCAACAAAGCATATGCGTTGGGAAGTAACTCTGAAGGTATCTATTTTACTTGTTTGAGAAATTTGTACTTGTTGGTCTGGGGATACTGAAATCCTTGCAGAATCGTTTTGAATAAATTGGAGATATCTCATGGCTCTTTGGTGATTTTGTCAAGGACTTTCTTTCTTTCTTTTTTTTTTTTTTAAAATTAGGTTGCGGTTTATCACTTTATAATTTTTGTGTTTTTGATAACTTGATATCAAGACAATTGCAACATGAAATGTAATTATAATTCGGTTTGACTTTGACTTCTTAGTTAAATATTTGTCCTCCAATGGATTCAGTCTCTGCTGCCATGTCTGACAACTTGTGCACCTGCAGTTGAATATTTTGCATGTTGCCATCCGTAGTTGTGATTTACTTGCTTAGATAAAATTGGCAATTCCGACTCCACTTAAAGTTGCTCTAAGCTACCAAATGATCAATGGTTGCGGTATAAGTGATGGTTGATCTACTTTTACCGACCTCATAGGGACATAGTGTCACTTATCTTCGTTGACGAATCCATACGTCTTTCTTCTTATTCATTAATCTTAGTTTCTTATTTCCTTCTCATATTTTTATGATACATACTGGTCTTGTTGTACTTGGGGTATCATTTGGAAATTGCTGTACGTAATGATGATCATTGGATGAATTGTTTAATAGACCCTTATTTGTTCCTTTAGGTGCTTCAAGTTGTTAAAACTTGCATTTTGACAACTTCACAATGCAAGAGACTGAGTAGTGTTATCCAGGATATTTTACTCTCTGATTCTTCCGTCCACAATGCACTCTTTCAAATCGTCTGTACCACTACGCAGGGATTAGAGGTAATTGTTCCCGCTTCTTTTGTTTTTCCACTATGAGTTGTTCCATTTCAATATGCATCATTCCTTGTTAACATTGGAGTTTGTTCCCTGCAGAGGCTTTATATCAGTCGCCTTCATGGGCCAATGGATCTTGGACAAATACAGGATGCTATATCCTCTGGGTTGGATGTTCTTTTCAGTATGCTTTATTTTTTCTCTAAGGTATGTTTGGGGAAAGACCGGCAACTGCCAATTTCTCATTTTCCAGGGTTTTTGAAAGCCTGAAGAATGAGTTGATTCAACTAAAGAGTGTTTGCTTAGTAGGATCTGTATACAGTGATATTTATCATGCTACAAGTAAAAGTGGATGTATTTTACATCTGAAGTGCAAGAAAATGCAAAGGATTAAGCCAAATAGTAGGCGATTGTTGTTCTACAAGTGTCCTAATTTTTGGTTATATGTGTTGGGTGCCTTGAGATGTTGGTTTATGTCATTTCTGAGCACATGCTCCCTATTTCAGAGTCTCAGACACATACCCCGCTTTTAACTCAGATTGTTTAAATTGGCTGGCGGTCCCCTTTATTTTCGATGTTAAAATTGTGTTGATGGTATAATGCCTATATGGGCATATCTTGAACTTTTATGATGGGAAAAAAGTTGAGGAGCTTCTATCTCTAATTTCAGGACCTTTACCAGAATATTTCAGTTTTTCATCAAGCTGTCCTATCGCTGGCGGCAAAACCAGTTTCCGTGGTTACTGCAGCTATATCCTTGATGTCATTCTTCCGGAACTCTGTATGTTGTTTAGTCTCTCACTTATTTTCTACTATTCTTGTCCTCTTGCATTTTTTTGGAGTTGATTCTCTTTCACATTTGCTGCCATCTTATATTGCAATGATGTTTTCACATTGGGGATTACATGCTGATTTTCCTTGGAGAATTTCAGCATTTTGTGTGGGTTTGAAGAGGAAATTCCGCAAAATAATTATTAGGCATGTCTGTAGTTATATACACTAGATTCTATTTTAGTTTTCTTTTGAACCTTGCTCTGTACCATGAAGAAGTCTTTCTCTTTCTTATAAGATCAAATCATGGATAGTCTATTACTCTTGTTGAAGTCATATCTCAGATTGGAAAGAGATGAAAAGCAAACAATAATATTAGATTCAGTCATTGCCTGAATTTGTGGGTTGAACATGTCTCCTGCTTTTTTTGGTTGGATTTTCTAAGTTATTCTTATTGAGCCAATTTTCTTTTATAGTTTTTTGCTAAGGTTTTGATTCGGTCCTGTGCTGCATGATACTTTATTTTCCATGCATATGTGATTAATTTTATTGTTCTTGCAGAAGATACAAGTTAATGCTGCAAGGTTACTATCCATGTTATTTGCTACTGGGGCTGCTTCACAATCATTTGCACTTGGCAATGCATGTCTTGGTCTGGATGATACACAGGTTTAAACTTGTGGTTAATTATGGTTTCCGATTTTACTTCGAAGTGTGTGTATATCGAGTAAACCCTAATTTCCCTGGTGGTTTTGATAGATTTGTGAGTTCAGGAATTCAATTTGTAGAATACTTCTAGAACAATCAATATGGAATGAAGAGCTTGTCGTTGCTGCTTTCAGATTGCTAACTTCTGCGGCATCTTATCAGGTTTGTCGCATCTATTTACTTCTATTCAACCATTTTCTTTATGTGACTATCTATCGGAAATGCAAGATTTCTGATAGTGTTTTTTGTTACATTTTTTGGATGTATTTACTGTGAAGAATGGTGTTCAGGGTGGTCGAGTTTAAGCTTTATGTTCTTAGTGTTAGGTGCTTACAGTTTCCTCTTCCTAATGCGTGTTGGTTGCACTCATTGTTTGCGTTATTTCCCCTACCCCCATGGTGGGAAGAAGGATTTGTTGTCTGCAGTTTTATTGATGGTTTTCTTTTGCAGCCTGCATTTCTTGCTGCAGTCATTAATCCGGGCAATGCTGCCACTGGAAAACACTTAGACGAAGCTAATGTTATTTTGATGGATTCGAAAGGAAAAAGTTTGGTAGATGTAATTCTTCTGTATTTCAATAAACCTGATGACCATATGAAGCGGTATGTCCTTGGAAGAACTGTACTATTTCATCTTGAAAACTGATTTCAGTTTCTCTTAACATGCAATGTAAGAATGACACAAGTGATCTAACTTTCAGGAAACCGAAAATACTGTCGAATGTGCTGAATTTCCTGAAGGCACTGTGGCAAAGTGCGCCTCAGTTTTCGAATTTCTTGGAGAAACTAAAGAACTCCGAGAATTTCTGGAGACGTCTTTCTGACTGCGTCATGCTGAGCTCTAATATACAGGATAGGCCATCTCAGAATTTGAAAGAACAGAATTATCGGGAAGAAGCATATGAACGTATCTGCCAATCTAACATGTTAGAAATAGTTGCCTGCGAAATTTTCCTGCATAAAAAGCTCTTGCACATTGAATTCGTTGAACAAACTTCTATGTTACCGGAGGGCTCCAAATTAGCAAAAGATGGAAGTATTTCTGGTCTGAAAGATTTGGTTTCAAGCTGGTTTAAAAGCTCGCTGTTGGGAAACTTGATTGAGTCATACGCCTCGTACGCATCCGACTGTAGATTGGATTCTCTTGAAAAAGTGAGTCACACCCTAATTCGTATACTGAAGTTATTCTTTTTGATGTAGCAACTACTGTCATTTAAACATCCATCGTATTACTTTTGGCTGCTGATTCATTACCTTCCAGATGTTTAGTCATATTAGGATTGCTATTTCACTTAGGTTTTGGCACTGAAAGGTCTCATATGAGAGCACGAGGTTGTTTTGAGGTTCATTCTTGCACCAATCATGATAAGAGACTGGGCCGGAAGGGCAAGAATTGTGATTTAATTTGATAGTGAAATTTTCTGAGTTTGTTGTGATAGCGAGATGTTCTGATCAATAATTTAGCTTTTGTTTGAAATTAGAAGATTAGTATCTTTTTTGATGCTTGCCTGCAGTGTAACATGAAATATATCTGTTAAGTGAGTTTTCAGAAAATGAATAGATGCATGGTCCATTACTTCATCGTATTCTTCAATGGTGTAATTTGTATGGTTACTAATTGAGGGCTTTGCAGGTTTACCCTTGTCTATTTTCTGTGCATGCAATGGCAAAGTTGAAAAGTGGTAACATGGGATGTATGTCTGTGCATCTCATCGAGAAGATACTCAACATGTCTGAAAAGGTGGCAATAATAAAATTTCATCTACAATTTGGAATTCTTTTATTGTAATTGGTTTGCCTAATTTGGCCTTTTTCTGGTTATTCGCAGTTGACAAAGTTGCCCGCCTTTTCAGAGTTATTGGCTCTGTATTTGCAGCGTGGTTACAGGTGAAGTGACCTTACTTCTTTCTGGTTTATTATTCATTCAATTTACTTTTACGTTTCTCTGTTGTCTCCTTTTCATTAAATGTCATCTGCAGTGCTGTTTCTGTATCTGATTTAGTGGTTTTAGTTTTTGATCTTTTGTAGTAACATCTGAACCATGAGTATGCAATAAAATGTTCTTGGGAACTTTGTTTTCCATGTATCTCCTTACCATAACATAGTTTGGAACATAACGTTAATGGGGCTTATATGTCTCCTGTTGTTCTTTTGCTGTGGATGCTACGGCCTGTATTAGGAACAGGTACTGGGACTGTTTTTTAGGGGGCTTTACTGTTGTCCGCTTGTGCTTTTGTTCGTGTTTGAATGAACAAAACAACTGATATTTTTCAAATCTTTCTCAGTCAAGGAAAAGAGCCACAGCATTTGATAATTAGTGATTTATTTTACCACCTGCAAGGTGAGATTGAAGGCCGACAAATTGATGACAGATTGGTGAGAGAGTTGGTGCAGTATCTCCTGCATACAGACTTTCTGCAATCGTATCTGTGCAAAGCTGATGAGGACTTTCAATGGCATATCATGGGTGGTAAACTATATGACACTGGTCGTCTACAATCAGAACTAGGGTTAGAGTTGTGGGATCTTCTTTCAGAATGGAGAGAATCCAAATCAATTGCAGAGAAAATGTTGCGTTATTTAGATGATGTGAATGGGAGACTGCTGCTTAGTAATGCCAAGCTTTCTGCTCTCAAAGCGTTGGTGGCCATGTTATTTTTGTGTAGTGATGATGTGAGTTTCCATTTGACTATCTATTCTTGCTCTTCGGCTTTCAAATACTGTTCTCTGCTGCCTCGTAATTTTTACTGTTGTATTATTTAACTGTCTCCTGCCTGTTTCTAACCTCTGCTACCTGCTGCAAGTCTGACGCTTTTCCCTTCTTAGCACCTAAAATCTCACCATTGCTCATACTTCTTAAAAGTTTTAATGAATAATAATTTAATCTTACAATTTTTGATTGATAAGAAAAAAAGTTATCGCAAACATGATTGATTTTTTATCCTTTTTTCTTATTTCTGGGATTAAATGATTATTACTTGATAAATTTCTGCTGAACGGAAAAAATTCAATTTTCTGAAGATTGGGTAGGTTCAATTACTTGCCTTTGACTTGTAACTTCTCATGTAGTCAGGTGAGCATGCATATGCCATTGGCGGAAAGTTCCCTGAGCAGCTACTGTTGTCATGCGTTGACCATACATGTCAATTCCTTATTGCTACTGTGGATTTATTACCTCCAGATCTTGATGATAGCCGGCATGTACTTGATATACTTGGTGCCCAAGCAGAACTGCTGCTGTATCTTGTTAAGTCAGGAGGGAACAAATTTTCCAGTAGCTCATGTTTTCTCTTGATAAAAGCTTCAGGTCATGGCCTGAAAGTATTAAGTGGCTTTAGTCCTTCAGATGCCAGGGTTAAAGAAGCGACTAAGCTTTTACTAATGTTGGTTCACTTCTCAGTCAAGATTGGGCATGCACAAAAACAATCGGATACTACGGGCGCAACTGTTGTTGAGGCCACTGAGATATCAAATATGATTATAGGGCTGCTACCTATTCTTTGTCACTGTACTCAGACTACTGATCATTATAAGCTCTCATTAACTATAATTGATATTATAGTGAGAGCCTTCTCAACCCCGGCTGTTTGGTTTCCTGTTATACAAAAGCACTTACAGTTGCCTTATGTCCTTCAAAAGCTTCAAGACAAAGATTCAGTTGAAACAATTCCAGCAATTTTGCAGTTTCTTTTGACCCTCAGCCGTGTCAGAGAAGGTGCTGTCATGTTTGTTAACAACGGTTTTTTTGCTTTCTTAAGATGGTTCTTCACTGAGTTGCCTGACGATCAGCCTTCCTCTTTTATTCTGAGCGAGAAGAGTCTTATGAATTCTATGTTAGACCAGTCAGAAAAGCCTAAGCACATCTGGGGACTTAGTCTGGCTGTTATTACTGCAGTTATTCACTCTCTTGAGGGTAGTTCTTCGTCCGCTGGAGTTGTGGATTATGTGATGGCTCACTTTTTTGTGGAGAAGTCTTTATTAATATCTTACTATCTTAGTGCACCGGATTTCCCTTCTTCCAGTGATCACGATAAAAAAAGGGCCCGGTCTCTGAAAAGATGCACTACATTGGCATCTCTGAAAGAAACAGAACAGACGCTTCTGCTAATTTGTGTGCTAGCGAGACATGGGAGTTTGTGGGGCAAGGCCATGAAAGTGGGGGATTCACAGTTAAGGGAGAGAATTATCCATTTGTTAGCTTTCATTAGTCGTGGGACCCAGCACCACGGAGAGTTCCACAACAGAGTTGCACCCCTTTTATGTCACCCTGTTGTTAAAGATGAGTTTGAATTGTATAAGAAACCATCATTTGTCAACAGCAGAAACGGTTGGTTTCTTCTTTCTCCTCTAGGTTGTGGACTAGATCCCAAATTTTCTTCTTTGTCCTCCAGAACTAATGCTCTTCTTTGCAAGGATCAATCAAATTCCGATGTTGAGCCAGCTCCTCAAACTTACTTTTCTGATATCACGGCTATTCAAATATACAAAATCACTTTCCTTCTTCTAGAGTTCTTATGCATACAAGCTAAAGCCTCTTCTAAAAGGGCTGAAGATGTTGGTTTTGTAGACCTTGCCACTTTTCCAGAGCTCCCAGTACCTGATATCTTGCATGGCTTACAGGTAGAATTCAACTCTTGTTTTTTGTCTTTCTCCTTAATGCTGCTTATTAACTGAGATCTAACAATTGGCACATATGCTCATTTCTAATTAGTTGTATGATTAAATCAAAATCTGAATGGGAATACAAGTCATTATCTTGTTTGGTTTTAAGATTGCACTGTTTCTTTCTGTCTTAACATGGGATTGATTACTTGCAAATCCTTGACGACAGGATCAAGCAATCAGTATTGTCACTGAATTGTGTGAAGCGGGCAACAAGTCGAAACTGGCGACACCTGAGTTACAGGATCTCTGTATATTGCTCCTGAAAATAATAGAAATGGCACTGTACCTTGAACTCTGTGTGATACAGATTTGTGGCTTGCGGCCAGTGCTGGGGCATGGCGAGTATTTCTTGAAAGAAATTAAAGCTCTAATCAAAGGTATTTTGTCCTTTTCCATTGAAGTTGAATCTTCTGATGTTGTCAACCTTTATGTTTTTCATCAAAGATGATTAATTCTCGCTTCTGTAACTTTTCAGCTACTGAAGGACACTCATTTTTGAAGGAGGCAATGATGGCCTTGAAACAAATCGTGGTATTAGTATATCCTGAATTACATGCTGAAGTCATTGTTTGACATGTAAATCGACGCAATCTTTGTTAGTTGAGGGTTCAACCATGTTTTCCTGTAGCTGATACTGACATCGAAAAGGGTCAACCTCCGCAGTACTCCGGGACATGCAATTTTGTTCTCTTTTGGCAGTTTGACTGCCATGAGTTGTGGACCGTTAGATTTGATTAGTGTGAGTAACAAACGGTTGCAGGCTGCTTGTAGAAGAATGGTTTTGTAATCTCAGGGTCTCTATTACTGTGTGTATATATATTGATGTTAGTAGAGTTTAGATGGAAAACCAGGCTGACATCAGGTTTTGATTTTAGTACGGTATTGTAATATATGTTTATAGTGTTCCCGACCTGCTGATCCGGCACGAGACGCCGTCAGATAATCACCAATTAGGTCACGTTGATACCAGTGGAGTGGTTTACCAAAGCTCGTCTTTATTTGCTGTAATGTGCTGTAACTGTATTGCATAGTTTAGAAAAATGTAGAATTTCTTGCTGTCTCTTAATATAATAATTAAACAATATAATTATTTTGGGACGGCAAGATTATATGTTGTTTAGCATTTGATCAGCATGGTAGTGTACCAGTAGGTAGAAACAACTTAATCCCAATCCAAGTTCCGATCTTTTGAAACTTTCGATTTTCTTTGCTGCACTTGTCCAGTTTTCGTATAATGTAATTAAACCGTACAGACTTTTAAGCTTCTACGAGAAATACTCTCCTGATGAATTAGCATATAACCTTTCCATTAATTTCTTTTATTTTCTTCAATTGTTGCAACCTTGATCAGTTGATGCAAATCAAATCGGTTTCCCTTGATTCATTATCGCCATTCCAAATAGAGGCGATGACTTGCCTAAGAGCGTTACAAAAAGTGGAAAACTTTGACATCTCAACGATCAAACTTTACACAGATTGTGAGTTACTCGTGACAAATCAGAGTCTTCAATCTCTTTCAGTCGAAGCACAACAAGTAGTTAGTACCCTCCGTTACTTAATGTCTTGTTTTCAATACTGCTATTTGATTAAAGCCAGCAGACTAGAAGTTCGTGATTTACATAATTTAACTTATGCTAAAATGCAATGTAATAATTTAAGTACTTCTTAAACCATTAAAAAAAAAAAAAAACTTCTTCCTATTCTATTTACATGACGCAAATATTGTTATAAAAAACTTTTTCTTTGGAAAATGTATTATAAATTTACTTGGAGGGAGTTCTTAAGATTTGTGTTGTTATTGATGCTTCAAGTGGATTGTGTTTTACACTAATGTATCTTTTGAATGCTGTTGATATTTTCCTGGTTTCTTTGTCATCCTCTATTCCTCCTTGACAGTTCTTATTAGTAGCTGACAAGTAGGAGCCGTTCTTTTAAAGATCAATCGAATGAAAAGTCGGAGCATTAAACAAAATGTTGAGATTCGGGAAAATGTGGAGTTCAATTTTGGGAATAGTATAGTAGTACGTCTTAACTTAACAACCCATATTGTATTTTACTCTTTGATAATGGCTCTCCAAATCGACTATCATGTGATCATAAAATAATCTTACTTTATTCACGTTTCACTCGGTATCCGAAGATCCCTAAAAACCAAATTATTACCTTTTTGCGAGTAAATTCTGGAATCCCAAAGTTGAAGAAGTATCATGCTGTCAGTGGATCGTGTTTCAGGTTCGCTGTTAATGAAATATTTATGTAGAAAAAAAATAGTTTTTAGATTACCCAAAAAAATAAAGGATTTTATAATCAGTTTTGACAAACATTTTCTTTATAGGGATACAAAATGCACCGAAGTTGAAAATTCAAATGAAAAGAAAATATATTTATTTTAAATAGAAATAAGCACAATAATTTTTTTGCAAAATTAAATTGGTGATGTATATCGTGCTTAACAACAAAAGTGGAAAAAAAAAATGGAAATGGAATAGAGTTCGAAGTTCGGACCAAATAAAAATGATGCACTGCAGGTATCTTCTTGTCGTAAATTACCTTTTCCTTTCACTGCTGAATAAGTTGACGTAATTTTGGTTGAACAAATGCAGTAAAAAAACGCAGACACACCATCTGGAATCTTGTCTCTCTCTGGTTTGCAAATTATAATTTACTGAACCAATCAACCAGTCCTCAGGAAAAAAATTTACACCAATCAAAACCCGTTCCGTATTTCTTCTAATTATTACCAAATATATATATATACTTCCGAACTATATACGATGCTGCTGCTGATGATACTGTATCAATCTTTGTGTCTTTAACTCCGACGAATCAAATCCAGATGGTCAAATTCTAATGTAGAAAAAAACGAAACTTCCCCCCAGCCAAAGCCAAGAAGACGACATTGTTCTTCTTCGGGTTCGGTTTTCTTTTTCCGGGTTTGATTTAAAAAACTCTAAAGAGGGATGATGATGATGGGTTGAAGCAGAGGAAGAAAGGAGCTTGTTTCTTTAATATTTCAAGATCTTCTCTTTTTTTCCCCCTTCCTAACCCCTTTTTTCACTTCCCACATTCACTCACAAATTCATTCTTTTTCCCTTTTCAGTTTCAGGGGTACAGCTAGATTCTTTATTTATATTGGCGGGAAATCAATCCCAGATTTGTTTCTAGTTTTGTTGTTTTGTTTGCTTCTTTTCTTTCTCTCTTTGCTCCAAAATACCAGTTTGTTTTTATCTATAGTGAGTGGTATAGATAGGTGGAAGTAGATTAGAGAAAAGGTAGTAAAGAAATGGGAGGGATGGGAGATAATACAAGAGGGCTAGTTCTGGCTATGTTATCCAGCTTGTTTATTGGAAGCAGCTTCATCTTGAAGAAGAAAGGTCTTAAGCGTGCTGCTGCTGCTTCTTCTGCTTCTCGCGCAGGTCTTTACTTTTCTCCTCCCTTCCGTATAATTCGAAAAAGAGATAAGAAGTTGACATTTTAGTTCGTTTGGATTGGAAGTTAGATCTCCTTGAATTTTTGGTGCCTTGTGTGTTTTTTGTCTAATAACGGATGGTTATTAGTAGATGGAGTATGGATCCTTTAGTTCTTGATACCTTGTTTACTTCTATTTTTAAAGTTAAGAAAATTGAGTTGTTTGGAAAACAATCTTTTACTGAGATAGCTTTATTGGGTTTTCGCATTGTTTGATTTTGCTGAGCAGTTAGACTCTGTGGGATTGTCTCCAATAATTTGTCCATGAATCTTATATTATTTCACTGGTTTTTTTATGCCTAGAGAAACTGTTTTTGAGTTGTTTCTTAACTTAAACGGCTCTCAGAAATCTTGGGTTATGAGAATCACTGAGTTGAAAGTGGTTAAGCTGATGTTTTACAGTATTATGCGTTTCATCATGTTATTAAGTTTTAACTGTAAATTTTCTTCAATACATGATCTACAAGCGCATATCTGTCATGGTTTCTCAGCAGCGGTTTTCTACTGCTGCAAGAAGTTTGAAATCAGAATGAACTCTTGAGGAGATTGTGGTTCAAAGAACTGTTCAATTGCTGTTTAGGCTTTAGAAAATATGTATAAAGACATTGAGCCTACAACCGTAGACAGAATTGCCATATTCTTTGTAGTCTACAATCTAGTTTACAATGTTAGCACCGGTCTCAAGCTATAAAATATGCCACATAAAAATGAATGAAGGGGTTTGGTGGTATAGATTTAGTTATTTTTATTTTCTTCTGTGTTTTATCCGCCACGTGGCTGTTTGTTGGCTGAGCCTAACATGACTGATGATTAAATAATAATGTACAAGCACCTTTATCGATTCTATCTGAGTTTACATTTCCGCGTTATCTCCTACTCCAGGTGTTGGGGGATACACTTACTTGCTTGAGCCTCTCTGGTGGACGGGCATGATTACAAGTGAGTTTGATCTTTAAGCTTTGACCAGTTACAAGAATTAAGTTTTTCTTTCCCAAAAACTTCTTTTTGCTATGCTCTTAATATTTATTAATACCTGAAAACACCTGTATGTGCAGTGATTGTTGGTGAAGTGGCAAATTTTGTGGCTTATATTTACGCTCCAGCTGTTCTAGTGACTCCTCTGGGTGCCTTGAGCATAATTGTTAGGTATAGACTTCTACTCCGTATATCTGAGATGCTAGCTAGGCTTGATGTTATCCCACATTAACATTTCCTTTTCTCTTTTTCCAATAGTGCTGTTTTAGCACACTTTCTATTGAAGGAACGGTTGCAGAAAATGGGTATTGTTGGATGTGTCTCATGCATCGTGGGATCAGTCGTGATTGTACTTCATGCGCCTCAAGAACATACACCAGGCTCTGTGCAAGAGGTTTGGATTTTGGCTACTCAACCAGGTTTTAAATTATCTTCCAGCTCTGTGAAACTCCTTGAATTTGGATCCTGTTGATATTTGATTATTGATGCTTCTTTTAGTTGTATTAATTCCTGGTAACTTGATGTTTTTTTCTCCAGCATTTCTATTTTACGTAGCTGCGACAATGTCAATTGTCCTGACACTAGTTTTGCATTTTCAACCTCGATATGGACAGTCAAACATACTGATTTATTTGGCAATTTGTTCCTTAATGGGTTCCCTTACGGTACTTTCATCACACCTTTTCCAGTTTAATTGTTGGTTCTCTACTCAATGTCTCAGCCATTGTTTTTCTAATGAGTGCTCTATTTTCCCATCTATAGGTTGTCAGCATAAAGGCTATTGGAATTGCTATAAAGCTCAGTCTAGAGGGTATTAGCCAAGTTGCATATCCTCAGACTTGGATTTTTCTTACGGTGGCTGTAGTTTGTATTATCACACAGTTAAATTACTTAAATAAGGTCAGTTATCTCTTGAAGAATCAGCATACTTTCTGGCTTTTCCCACCTCAATTTCGCATGCATTTTCATTCTTGAATTTGCTAAGAGATGATCTTTTAATTGTTGTTCAGGCTCTAGATACCTTCAACGCAGCTATTGTCTCGCCCATCTATTATGTGATGTTCACTACTCTTACCATTGTTGCTAGTGCAATTATGTTCAAGGTAATGTAATACTAAGCCCCTAGTTCTGATGGTTGCCTGCCTGAAAAGATATTCCACCCCAACCCCCCGCCCCCCTGTTTTTGGCATCACAATGCTTAATTACATGTTACATATACTCACTTTTGCAGGATTGGTCTGGACTAGATGCGAGCAGCGTAGCCTCGGAAATCTGTGGTTTTGTCACTGTGATTTCAGGAACTGTTATACTTCATGCTACAAAGGAGCCGGAGACATCCAATGTGGCGGCAGGTAACTAACTTAGAACCTCTTGAAACTATCATTTGTTTTGTCGAAACTGTAGATAGGAAGGAGAAATTAGGGGACTTTTCTGAAAGTTCTATTGTTGGATGCTATGTCTGTAAAATGTTCACTTTGGTCTGTCTAATTCAGGTCTAGCCTTAGGGTATGGTCAACATGCTATCTCATAATCACTTGAGAACACATATCTTGCCAGAATGACTTGGCTTTTTTACATTGTTGAAAGATATGCACTTTTTCAGTAGCCCTTCATTCTTTTTTCTTGTTTCTAACTAACCAGGTACTACACTTTCTAAAAACACAGGCAGCATAACATGGTACAATGGAGATCCAATAGACGGTAGGGAGCATGCGCATTTCATCTTATTGCACGAAGGAGATTACTGTGAATGAGTTAGTACATGGTTGATAAATAGGAACAACATGTAAATTCTTTCGGCAATGACACAATATGATGGCGTTCTCAATCACGGTCTTGTCGTACATTCTCCACCTCTTCTGCCGCCAAAATTCAGCAATCACAACTGCGCTGACAGAAATTTGATTTGGTATAGTTGGTGTATAAAATCGAGAAGCAAGAGACTTGTGCCAGAGGAGAGGGGAAAAGGGGGTTGGGTTTTGTTTGTAATGTGCAAAGTGTGTTATATAGTGATGTCAGATTGCTAAAAGTTTTGAGTAAGGCTGGGGCTTATAAGAGGGGTGTTTGTATCTTTGTGTTAGAGAATAGAGATGGTAGAAAAACAAAGTAAAAAGATTCTCTGTCCAGTGAAATATAGCATTGTTTGAGAAGATGAAACAGAAATTAGGTAGTACAAAAGAACAGGAAGAGATTGGAAACTGCCAGCATAGTTTGGCTGTTGTGTTTCGGATTTGGGTTTGTAATGTACCTTGTTTAAAGCATAAGAAACTGCTATACAAAACACAAAATGAAAACAAGAAGACATGTGTTAAATGTTACTTTGTTAAGACAAAATTCCCACATGTCCGTCCAATCATCCATCTTAGGACGGACTTCATTTGGTAGTTCAGTTACATGTTCCTTTCAGGTAGTAGTTCTAAGAAAAATTTACCCTTATTTGGCGGTAATTGGTAATCAGCTAGTATTAAGCGAATTAGAAAATCTTGTCGAGCTGTTGAGCCCAATTACTGGGTCACGTGGTTGTCCAGCCCATTTATATTTGATTTCTCAATTTTACCCTTTCTTGGAAGACAGGCGGTTTCGAAGTCCGAACCCGTTTTCCAACTGGCAAAATCCAATTCCAATAAAGATAATGAATATTGGCCGTGGGATCAGATTCTCAGACGATCTATTCTCGATCTCTATATTAGCTTCTAACCAACGCCAGAAAAAAAGTGTAAAAAGAAAAATCTCACACACACACACACACACCCAAACCCAACAAAGCAGCAGTTTTTCTTTTGTGATTACAAAGAAGCGAACCGAAACAACCATGGCGGCAACCGTGAGCGCGTGGGCTAAACCAGGCGCGTGGGCACTCGATTCCGAGGAGAACGAATCCGAACTCGTCCAGCTCCAGAAGAACGACTCCTTCCCCACCATCGGCAACGGCAACGGCAACGGCAACGGCAACGACAGCGGGGACTACCCAACCCTAAAAGCCGCCGCCGCCGCCCCCAAGTCCAAGAAGAAATCCAAGGGTCAAACCCTCTCTCTCCAGGAGTTTACCAGCAAGGTTTCTCAACCCGTGGTTGACCTACCCAAGGGCCCAAGCCCGCGCACCCAAGAGGAGCTCGACCAAAGCAGACGCTTTACAGGCGGCTATTCAACAAGAGATGACCAGCCTCGCCGTCAGAGGGACTCCAATAGGGAATATATGCCACCGGCTCCTTCCCGCGCCGACGAAGTAGACAACTGGAAGAAACCTGCAACCACTACCAACGGCGGCGGGTTTGAGCGGAGGGACAGGAGAGAGTATTTCCCCGATTCATCGTCGTCTCGGGCTGATGAAGTTGATAACTGGGGCAAGAATAAGGCCTTTGTTCCCTCTGACCGTAGGATTAGTGAAAGGAGAGGGTATGATGCCAACAACGGCGGCAGAGCCGATTCGGATAATTGGGTTAAGAGGAAAGAAGAGGACGGGAAGAAGTTTGGTTCTTCGTTTGATAGTTTGAGGGAAAGGAGAGGTGGTGGAGTTGCTTCCGAGACTGATTCCGATAACTGGTCGGGGAGAAAGAGAGAAGAGATTACTAACGGTGGTGGTGGTGGTGGTGAGCGGCGCCGGTTGAATTTGCAGCCTAGGACACTTCCCTTGGAAAGTAGTAATAATAATGATAATAATGAGAGCTCGGTGAAGCCCAAAGGGTCGAATCCCTTTGGGGATGCCCGGCCCAGAGAAGAGGTTTTGAAGGAGAAAGGTCAGGATTTGAAAGAAATCGAGGAGAATCCCTCGGAAAGTGATAATATTGAGAATGAGAGCTTTCCGAAGTCCAAAGGGTCGAACCCCTTTGGGGATGCCCGCCCCAGGGAGGAGGTTTTGAAGGAGAAAGGTCAGGATTGGAAAGAGATTGAGGAAAAGCTCGAGTCTGCTAAAAATGCTAAAGAGTCTGCCGGTGAGGAGAGGGAAAGGCGGAGGAGAGGGTTTGGGAGTGGTAGCTGGAAGGGCAGTTTGGCTGAGGACAGAGGTGATGAGCCGACTTGGAGGAAGCCTGCTCCTCCTGCTCAGGAGGTTATGGATGCCCCTACTCCGAGGTCTGTGGAGTGTGCTTAGAGTTTATTTAAACTTTTAATTTATTCGCTCTTTGTTTTTGTTTTTACTTTTTAGGCCAATTTAATGATGTTTTAAGGATTTTTTTAGTGGTTTAGACATGTCCTCTCTATATATTACAGCCTGAGACATTTACAGGTGCAAATTATAATTTTTTGAGAAAATTATGGTCAAGTCCAGGGGGCCATGATTTCGTTTCTATTGGTTTGCTTACATTATTTTCATGAGTCTGACTACAAACAAATCTATGGATGAGTTAGCCGTGACCTATTAGGGATTACGAGTTTTGTTTATTAGACATCTAAAATATTGTAACGCAGAAACCCGTTTTGAGGGGAGGATGAGATATTGGATTCGCTTCCATTTAGCTTGATAAAGGCTCAGTTGTCATTTTTGAAATTTGTGTTAATTGAATTGATATAGTCCTGCGAACTCACGGTCTTTATACCTTGTGTTTTTAAACTGCTTGGGAATTCCTTTTGGGTCTTCTGACCATATTTCTTATTGTTATTCAATTGAATTTTTGGATGCATCAGTGAACTCAAGTGGTTAAGCAAATTGAATGATATTGATTGCTCTAGTCTAATGGGCTAGGGTTTGAATGGCTTGTATAGAATTTGCAATTCTATTGTCTATTTGATGTTTGGGTTCCAATGTTTTTTTAACCTTCCCTCCAATGGTTTGCCAATCAGTCGATTTGCAGTTGCTGCATGATGAACTTTGATGTGAAAATCTGTCTCTTGTTCTTGGTTGATTGCTTCATATTTGGTTTGGCTATTGTTTCTATTCGTTTTCTTTTTCCTTATTCTTCCTTTGGAGTATTTGCTCTGCAACGTTTAAGATCTTCGATGTTTTTAGTTTATAGAGCTACAATGTTTACAACCTGTGATGGATGATGGCCTATTGAATTGGAATGGAGGGAGGAATAAGTTAACTCCTTAAAAATCTTCACTTGTAAATGGATATTCCTACAATCTTGTCTCTTTAACTTCACCTATACATCTGGCGATGTATGGTAAACCAAAAATGGGCATGTAGTATGACACAAGGTAGAGGTTAAAGGTTGTGTATTTATCCATTCCATGCTAGGTAGAGGTTAAAGGTTGTGTATTTATCCATTCCATGCGTTGCTCTTTGTTTTCCCTTTTACCTTTTGTTGCACACTGATTCATAGTTATAGTGAAGAAGTACTGGTATCGCTCCTGTTCGCTTGTCATACAGCTGCAATGCTTGGTCTCTTCATAGCTTATACCAAAAATTTAATGTTTCTCTGAACCCATGTCTAAAATTCTTCTGTGCTGCATTACATTTTCTGATTCCCTTTTTGCTTCAAGTTCTTCTACTTTTGTCCTTGGCTCTTGGTGTCGGTGCTCTTTTGATTATGCAACTTTTTTTCCCACTTAAAATGGGTGACGTTTTAAAATCGGGCTTTGGGGTGTGTTCTGATAAGATGTATTATCACTTAAAGGGAAGAATGCTTTTAGTTTTCCTGCCTGAAGTGAAATGTTCATATTGCGCGCGGTTTTGCCCATTGTTTCCAACCTTATTTTTTCTGTTGATCCAGTGCTCAAAAAGAAGAGGATGGAACTGGGGAAGAAGCTGATGATAAAGAACCGCAAATATAGATTTTGATCAACAAAAGATACATTGGTGGAGAGCTTTTGGAGAATTGAATTGCAGCGCTGAGATATTTATTTGTGTCCTGTTATTATTTTGTTTGGTCTTCCAGATATTATTAAGAGGGACACAGTTGGCAGTTTTGGTAGAGATACAGTTTAGATTATTTTTGAGGCTAATGTGATTCTGTTTCTACAGTGTGTTTTATTTAGAATTGAAGTCTTATTTATTTTTACTCTGATTTTTTGGACTGGGATTGTGGTGATTAGACTATTAATTTCATTGATAATGCAAACTAGTAGTATATATAGAATGATGGGAGCTTACAAGTTTTCTTTTTTTAATCATGGATTGCAAATTTCGGGCTTCTTGCGATGTGCAGTGCAGTGAAGTTGTATATCAAGCACTCTCAAATTGACTGTTATTTTGAAATTGGAAGCACCCCTTTTTTTTCCCATTCAGGTGTTTGTTTTCTGTAACCAAATAAAAAAAGAAAAAGAAAAATTGGAGGTCGGTGCATAAATAATATTCCCTCCGTCCCATAATTATTGTCAACTTTGCCTAAAAAATTTTGTCCTAAAATTATTGTCCAATTTGACTTTTTATGAATCAAGTTACACATTTGTCCTTAGTAAAAAACATTATCCATAAAATTTTAGTAGTTAAACAATTATTTATGTAAGGGTATATCCGATTATTTAAGGTAAAATATAGTTAAGTTTGACAAAAAATAAAATCTTTTATTTTAATAAAACTGGACAATAATTATAGGACGGAGGGAGTACACTTTTGTATCCGGTATTGCATTGTGGTGCACCATTCCCCGCCACTGTTTCTACGCGTCATACTGTGTTAGTGTTACGCATGTAATGAGGCATCAGCCTTGTCTAGGGATCCAAGTGTCCTTCCTCGTCGACCTTTCAATATCTATTGCCTCCAGCCCTTTCAGTTTCTTTGCCGGGTTGCAAAAAAAAAGGAATGTTCACCAAAGTGGTTGTGGTGGAATGGAAGGGACTTCTCCACCTTTAATCATAGGTTGATGGTTCGAACCTCGCTATGAGCCTGGAATAACCTTTAATACTTTGGCCAGCTGTCCCACACATCGAGGTACCTACAATTCAACGAGAGGGGATTAGTCACTGTTGCCTTGAACACTCTACAGATATGAAAAAAGAAAAAAGCAAAAAAAGGAATGCTAATCTCCTAAGTTCATTGCGGTTAAAAAGTTAGGGTAAACTTGGGGAGCGGAAATCACCCTCGATGGGTCGAGTCATGGGTAATAATATTGTCCTTTTGACGTCAATGTTAATAGGAAGATTTTGTGCCTGTCATCTAATTAAGGCACCTCTAATTAGTTAGTGGGTAAAGGCAATGACAAGGTGGTCTGACGGCTATCTAATTCGGTCACCTCCCATTTAATTTTGATGAAGCATGGTGTAATGTTGTGTGGTAAAATGGCATTTCACGTCTTCATAAGGCATTGCTTTTTTAGAACTTTCTTCCAAGTCTTTTTTCTTCCACTTCATTTCCAATCCCCTTGTGTAGTACTACTGTATTTCTTTCTCAATTTCACTTCTGAATTCGTCAAACCAGAGTAAAAGAATTTGAAATAGTAGTAATACATATAAACTGCTGGGTAAAAATTACCCAGGCAGGAGGTAGGTGATGACCATACTTGATTTCTAAAACGAAACCTTCCATTCTTCAAATTGGACAGACAAGAATTCTTCCTCCCCAGAATCCCTTCTTCACCTAGTTAAATTTCAGACATTCAAATCCACGAAAGCAATTACATTACCTGGTTCGCATGATTCCTTTAATAAAGATGTTGCAGTACTAATGTACTATGAATCCAACTTGCTTTTCATTTGAAACTGAAACCATTTACACCCCCCATTTCTCCCTTCTGAGTAAACATGTTTTGGTCATTCATTACTACTACTGCTTAGGCATTTAATGCACTTCTTCTTTTGCATACAGATTGTAGATGGGATGAATTCATTACAATTTTCATCAATCATAAATGACTTCCGTACTGCCTCCTCCTTAATTTTTCAAAGACTTTTCTTTTTTTAACCCCTTCTCTCTTTTTCATTTTTTTCAACACTCACCTAATAAATGAAGACAGTTGAATGTTGAGGTAATGCAACATCGCAACTCCCTTTTTAAATTTCTGATCATCCCCATTCTTCTTTTTTTCTTTAGGAGTAAGAGCTCGTTCACACACACACACACACACACACACATTCATACCCATATAAACCGAATTCGTGGGGAGGCGTTACTACCACATTTTTTCCTCAAAAAGAAAAGAAAAGAAAATACTTATAGAATAATAATCAGATTACTAGTTTCAGTCAGTAACTTCCTCATGGATTGGTCATCACCGCAGAGGATGTTGTTCTTTGCAGCTTTCCTTATTATTATTTCTGCTGCCATTCATGGTGTAAGTGGAGATACAATGGTTTCTGGCACCGTCTTCTGTGATCAATGCAAAGATGGCCAAGTGTCCCTCTTTGATTATCCGTTACACGGTAATTTCGTTCACTAAATGCAGAAACATTTCCTTCTTCTCATCAGTGACTATAAATGTTAGATTTTTTGCGGCCATCAAATTTTATGTGCAGAAAGTAAACACAAATGGTGTATTACCTTAATTTCGTCTTGGTTTTGTTTTTTCGATTTCTGAAGCTGTTTTCTGGCTTTCTAAAGATGCGATCATAGCTGGTGGGTGGTTTCAGTTTTGACTTTTGAGTCAAAAAGACTCTTTCTTTTGAGTCAAATTTTGATTGCCAATTGGCCATGGTTGCATTAAATTGCATATTCTGCATCTTATTATGTGTCTGGATCAAGTAAGATTTGGGTATAATATCATTTATTTACTACTTCATTAGTTCACTGATACAATTTTGTCCCAATTTTAGTTCCAATCTTCTTGTGCATGTTCTCAAATGGTCCCCAGATTGTGTAAAATTGCAGTTTTTTTCCCCCTTCTTGCATACATTAAATCAGAGCCATGGTTCAATTTTCGTTAATATGTATATGCCAATGATGGTATGTCACTGACAGAAGTTTACGATGGCGTAATATGATCCATATTGCCGACTCTAGTCTACTGACTGCAAAGAATTTGAGCAGGAATTAAGGTAACAATTGCTTGTCCTGGTGGTGATGGAAAACTCACAACATGGAGAGAGGAAACCACGAGCTGGGCAGGAGGTTACGCGATGAGGTTTGGGGGAACTCCCGATTTGAGAGCTTGTTATGCTCAGGTTTCAGGAAATGCAGGTTCATCAGGCTCCTGTGGGGCCTCGGCAGGTCCGGCGCAATCACTTAAACTTATGTTTGACATGTTTGGAATGGCAATGTACACTGTGGATCCACTGATTTCTCAGCCAGCTGCACCAATGTCCTTCTGCCCCAGAACTAGTTCCCCTGTCCCCGTCCCGACTCCGGTTACTCCTGTTAAATCTCCACCGACAACCCCAACGCCATCGCCCCCTGCCGTCCCAAAGTTGCCTCCAATTCCTTTTGTAGACGCTTCGGTCTGTCCTTACCAGTAAGCACCACGTTTTTTCATTAGGCCTCTTTAGATTTTAGATTCTGTTGGTTTACTTTCTTATGTTCATTTACTTTCTTGATGAACATCCTTGGGCAAAATGTGTTCTGTGTCCGTTCTTTGAATTTTGATTGTTTCCAAGAAAAACTAGTAGTAACCTCTATGTGAAATGGTAGCATGACTATTGCTGGATATGCAGGAATTCTACTAGCTCCAATGTTTTACACACTTTCTCAAAGGAACATCCTTGGGAAAACAACCTACATTTGTGTGGAATAATACGATCATCATCATGATTGATTTTTTTTTGGTTGCAGAAAGTGGATAATGCCAGAATACAGATGCCAATGGAAAGTGGTGACACCCGACACAAAAGTGGCGGTGGCATTCGGGCTAATAGCAGCGCAGCGATACGGCACAGACTTGACACTTTGGCATGGGATGCAAGGGAGAGGGGAGCCTTACAGAACTCTGTTGAGAGAAGGCACAGCTGCCCTCCTGAATTCATACAACACCATTCAGTTCCCTTATCATCCCCTCGCCGTGGTCGCGAGCATGAATTACGCGCTGACGGCTGGCTCTACACAGCAAGTCCTACGCACTGCCCTCAGATTCATGAGGGCTAATTCAGGCGATGGCCATGTTTCCTGCAAACTTTCACCTTGCTACTCATAATGAGAATGAACAATGGAAGAGTACTAGTACTTAACTCGTAGTTACTGTCATTTCGATATGAATATCCACATTTGATGGGATTGGATCATCATCTTATATGTTACAAAAAACTCCATATATATAGTTTTTCGTTTTGGTGTAATGGTAGTGTTTCAATTTTATAGCAGTATTTGTTATGCTATGATATTCTTGGGATTCCCATATGATAATTTGATCTTTTCAGCAATGGCATTCTGTGACAGATTTCCAGTTAAGTGTTCCTGCTATCTTCTGATTCGATATTTATCAAAACTACTCTACTCATATTGTTACATTTGCAATGTTTGATAACGTGAATTATTGTTTAAATTATTGGTTTAAGTGATTTTTAGAATAAGCAAATTTGATAACCAAAAAATAGTTCACTTATTTGATTAAGTAATGTTTAAACTCGAGTACAAATTTGTTAAGCAGTAAAATCTAACTTAATACTTATTGCTAATTATTCTCATCTATTTTTTTTTAATTCTTTATTATTAAATTCTAACATTACTTATGAACATTTTATTATTCCATGTACTGATTAAATATTCTTTAAATATTTTAATAGTTCATTTTGATTAAATAAAGTCTCGTTGGTTTTTTCTCTTTTATTTTATTTTCAAAGATATACAAATTTAATATTTTATAATTTGGCTCATTTATTTTTATTAAGAAAAATGCCATGCACATTTTAGTTTGCCATTTTATAATATATAATAATTTTATAGTATGTATTTTATGAATAATGAACATAATTACTGCATAGTTAGAGAAAAAATATTTTACAATAAAGAAATTTAAAAATTATAAAAGGATAAATTGGTAAAATTCACACAATTCAGCATTTAGATCGGTATTTTTATCAAACAAGAATAGTTTATTAACCATTTTGTTTCACACATTAAAATTTAAAAGTTAAGCATTCAGAGTTAAACATTTACCATTTCTATTTCAGCATTAAATATTCAGAATTAAGTACTAATTTTTATCAAACATGTGATTTTCATAAAGGGACTAAAGATTAACGCGATGCAAAAATCTCTTCAAATTTTCAATTGTTTAATTTTTTATTTATGCCTTTTTTTTGGTGAATTGTTATATGCAACTTAATTTTACTTCGTATAGATTGTAAAACAGACTAAAATACCCTTAAACTCTACACTCTCCCAAATTATTTTATACGATAATCTCTTTTTACATTTGCACACATCCATTATTTCAATATACGATAAAAAATTCACTAATTTTTTATGGTGTAAGAATACGTGAAAGAGGAACAAGTGAGGTAATTTTTGACTGAATTTTTTATTATCGTTTTTTTTTTTCCGTTCTTGTGTATGATCGGGTAGCTTTGGTGTTATGGGTTTTTTGGCGGATTATTATTTTGTTTTTTTCAGCAAAATGTTCTGAGCTAAATTTTTGACTTAGTATAATTGGTAATGGGTGATTTTTTTCTTTGGTTTTCGCAAAATGGGTAACTGCTTCTTTTGGTGTGATTTTTTTATTTTTATTTTTTTTTGGGTGCAATCGGGGACTTTGATGTTAACTTTTTTTTTTTTGGTGAGATCATTTTACAAATTTTTTAGCAATTAGATTTTGCAATCGGAAGAATTTTGTCCATCTCAAACACATTGATAGCAAGACAAAAATGAATATTACTAAATATAGCTTGATTTTATTTTGGGCAGTTTGATTTTACTTTGCATAACTTTATGGAGGTATTTTAGTCTATTTTATAAACTGCAAAAAGTAAAATCAAGATGCGTTTAGTAATTTCTTTTTAATTGCTTTTTTTCGTACCAATCCAAATTTCCTATTTACATTTTTGACTTTTTCAAATATTAAATTTTAGTTTATTCATTAATTTTTAATTGTAATTGTGACAAAAAATATTTGCGTAATGTTTTGTTGAATTTTTTTGTAAGATAGTGAGTGGATTGCATAAGGTCCAACAATTTTTACAATATAAAATTCAACATTTAGATTTTTTTTTAATAAAAAAATGAGATTTGGTTTAGATTTTGGTCTATTAGAGAAGAGGAAAATGTTCAACCCAAAAATTCCCATAAAAGAAAATAAATATATAATGAAGTTTAATTGCTTAGTATTTATAGTCGAATATAATTATGAGCATCATCATAGAACATTGTATTCTATCAAGTTTGCAATGCAACAAATATAAAGTATGTCATGGCATTTTAAATTTATAATTTATTACGTTAGGTGTTATATTCAAAAACCTCGACTGACTATCGTATTATCTTTTCAATGGGATCAGACACGAGATTATGAATATATTATTTTCTTTCGGAATATATTAATTTCAACAGTTTATGTAAAAAAAAATAAATAAAAAATACATATGGGTAAATGAAAATCCACATGAAATTTGTTCATCACCTAGTTATAATTTGATCAACTAATATCGGACAAAACTACATATACTGATTTCGTCCCAGAAAACGCAGACCTTTCAATATTAGCAACTTTTGCCGCTTTCCTATGAACGATCCGAATGCTTCAAGAGAAATGGCAGCCATGGTCAAACTCCACTTCTTCTCACCATATTCATTAACCTTTTTTCTACTTTGCTGCTGTTACCTAGTACTCTTCGGACCAACAACAACAATAACTGCAGCATTTGATTCCCTCTGTTCAAACGTTGACGTATTAGAGGAATCCCACCAACAAGGCTTCCAGGTTGAAGAATCCACCATTGAAGACATACAGCGAGCCTTCGCGTCCAAAAAGCTCACTTCCACACAACTCGTTGACTTTTACTTGAACCAGATTGAGACCCTTAACCCGATCCTTCGGGCCGTGATTGAAGTCAACCCGGACGCACGTGACCAAGCCGCCGATGCCGACCGCACCCGAGACGGCTCCTCCTCGATGCTGCATGGGATTCCGGTGCTGCTCAAGGACAGCATTGACACCAAGGATAAGCTCAACACGACGGCCGGGTCGTACGCGCTGTTGGGGTCAAAGGTGGCGCGTGATGCAGGGGTGGTGGAGCGGCTGAGGAAGGCCGGGGCGGTCATTCTGGGGAAGTCCAGCATGACTGAGTGGTACGGTCTTAGGGACCTCGGTTTCCCCGAAGGATGGTGTGCTAGAAGTGGACAGGGTTCGGTAAGTCATTTCTTCCTCCTCTTTCCTCCCTTTTCTTTGTTTGCCACTATTATGTTGTATTGAGCTTGATTTATTATTTGGTTCCTGATTGTAGCTTAATAGGGATGCTGTATTTAAAGTTGGTTTTGTGAATTTTAATGATGCAAATAATCTTTCAACCTTGTCACTGATGTAAATTTTATGTGTTCTGTAATCAACTTTCATTTTTGCCTTGCAATTTGGCTCACTTTTAGTGTTACGGGAATCTGCCAATTATTTGCGTGTTTAATTATACATTTGAAGGGAACAATGTTGTCTTTTGGTTTCTGGTTGTTTAGTAGTTTCAGTTTCCATAAGGTAGATTATTCGGGTGTGTGATCTTGTGAACCACCACACTTAATATTAATGTGGAAATTGGCTGTTTATTTAATGTAATGTAGTTAATGTTTTGGGATTTACAGAATCCATATGTGCTAGGTGGAGATCCAAGTGGGTCAAGCAGTGGATCCGCGATATCAGTTGCTGCAAACATGGTTGCTGTATCACTGGGCACTGAAACTGATGGCTCTATCCTCTGTCCTGCAGATTTCAACTCTGTTGTTGGCTTCAAGCCTACGGTTGGACTAACGAGTCGTGCTGGTGTCATACCCGTTTCAACTCGTCAGGATTCAATCGGGTAATGAAATCTGTAATTTTCTTCTCGAATAGAGTTGAGAGGATGAATTGTGCGAGTGAAACTCGATGGTGAATGATGTGACATTGATAACAAGAACTCAATGATCATCAATCAAGGTGGACATGATTTATAAATTTCAACAATGTGTAGGCTTGAATCTTCCGTAAAATGGTTTTCTCTTTTCTCTGTTCATTGTGGACGTATCTATTTATTCCAAAGGGACAAGAGCTAATTATTACATATGCTAATAAATTGCAGGCCAATATGTAGAACAGTTTCCGATGCAGTCCATGTGCTTGATGCAATCGTTGGCTTTGATCCTAGAGATTTTGCAGCCACAAAGGAAGCAGCAAAGTTTATTCCTATTGGCGGCTATAAGCAATTCCTGAAATTGGATGGGCTGGTGGGTAAGAGGTTAGGTGTGGTAAGAAATCCGTTCGTGCAACTTTCCAATCGGTCAAATGCTGTCGCAGTTCTTGATAGTCATCTTCAGAAACTAAGGTAAAGAAGCAATTCTTTCTCTGGGCCAGTCTTTTTCTTATTGTTAGTGATATTGTTCTCAACTGGTCATTTGCAATGTGAAGGCATGCAGGTGCAACTATTATAGATGATTTGGAGATACCTGATATTGATGTGATTTTAGACCCCTTTCAAAGTGGTGAATCGTTGGTGATGCTGTCTGAATTCAAGCTATCCCTCAATGATTATCTACAAGGTCTTACAGAATCTCCAGTGCGATCGCTAGCTGAAATCATAGCATTCAATGAAAACCATCCTGATTTGGTCTGTCAATTTGGTCTTGCTACCATTCTCCTAATGACTCCAGCTTCCTGCTACTTTCAAATTAATGAATATTCGTGCATCTTCTGATATATGACTTATGCAGGAGAGCTGTGGACGCTTGGATGGTCAAAATGTTCTAATTGCAGCAGAGTTCACAAATGGGATCGGCGAAGAGGAAAAGCAGGCAATGATGTTATTGGAGAGGCTGTGTAAGGATGGATTCGAGGAATTGATGTTGGAGAATGACTTAGATGCAGTGGTGACGATTGGTTCATCTGCATCGATGGTTTTGGCGATTGGAGGGTATCCAGCAATCACGGTACCTGCAAGCTATGATATAGATGGTATGCCATTTGGGATATTGTTTGCAGGTTTAAAAGGGATGGAACCTAAGCTAATCGAGGTATCTTATGCTTTTGAACAAGCTACAAAGGTTCGCAGGCTGCCTCCTCCCAGTTCCAGATTCGTTCAATCAAATTTAAGTAGTTGTCTTTGACATATTCTCCACTCTTCCCGTTGTTGAGAATTGAAGCTGTACCTTCCTGGTCTTGTACATTGTTAACCATTCTGGATCAACTTAATCTAATCTTAACATTGTTTCTTTGACATATTCTCCACGTTTTCATTGCTAATAATTTGGTTGGTACAACTTCAGCTCAGTTTTTGTTTTTTTTCTTTTCCTACTGATTCCTGAATAATTGGAAACAGATTACAAAGCATGGCCATTGAAATGTGAAAAGCGTTACAGCACCTATCTTTTTCCAACTGGGAAATACGAGGGGATAAGGTCCTAAAATTCAGGTCTGCAAATGTATCAATCTCACATTCTTAAATTACACAAAAATATCTTCCCATGTAACCCACCAATGGTGGGCTCGTCATTGTCTTGGATCCCACCAACACTGATCCATCATGACTCTACATTTTTCTTTTGTCACCCACAAGCTCGAAACAAGTGTAAAACGGTAAAGAAAAAGTGCAAAGTGAACAACAAAAGATTAGGAAATTAAAATTACTTTGGATACTTCGACTCAGTTGGAAAATGGAAACCATAAGTGTAGAGAACTTATAAAATCCATCCTTTTTTCAGAAGAACAGTTGGTTCATTTTTTCTTTTACTTGATACTAGGCCATGATGCGTGTCCTATTACTTGTTACTCTTGTTTTGAGTCTTTCTTTTCCCAATCATTATGCTGATCAAGGTGGTTCGTTCTCGTTCAAAGAAGCTACTGTGAGTGATATCCGGATTGCTTTGGATGAAAATAAGCTCACTTCAAGAGAATTAGTGGAGTTCTATCTTAAAGAGATTCGAAGACAAAACCCGGTCCTTAAATCAGTCATAGAAGTGAATCCAGATGCCCTGAAACTAAGTGATGAAGCTGATGCGCAGCGAAAAGCTAGTAAGCCTGGTTCCTTGTCTCCTTTGGCTGGGATCCCTATTTTGCTCAAAGACAACATTGCTACTAAGGATAAGCTTAATACCACTGCTGGTTCTTATGCACTTTTGCGATCTATCGTACCGCAGGATGCTGGAGTGGTGAAAAGGTTAAGAAAAGCAGGTGCAATCATATTAGGAAAAGCAAGTATGACTGAGTGGGCCGCTTTCAGGTCATTATCTATGCCGAACGGTTGGAATGCTAGACTTGGCCAAACTGTGGTGAGGTACTTAGCTTGAAGAGATAGCTTTGGGTTGGGTTTCTGTTTTGTATTTTATTCTGCATTTTGATTATATTGGTAAGCTTTGGCTTCATTCGAAATGTGAAAAATGCTTTGGAAATGTTAGCACATGGTATTGAAAATGAAAAGTAGTTTATGAAATGAAAAACAAAATGTTAAATGATGCAGGCTATGTGGAGAATAAATTATAAGAAGGTATGTTAGAAACTCCATTTCGTAATTCTGAATTTCTGATCTTATGTAGAATCCTTATGTCAAATCTGCTGATCCCTGCGGATCTAGCACTGGTTCAGCAGTGTCAGTTGCAGCAAATCTGGCAGCAGTTTCCCTTGGTACAGAAACATCAGGATCAATCTTGTGTCCATCCAGCTCTAATTCAATTGTCGGAATCAAACCAACTGTAGGCCTCACAAGTCGAGCCGGTGTAGTCCCAATTTCGCCTCGCCAGGATACCGTTGGGTAAGGCAACATACTCACTTCTCATGTAGTGATACTTTGAATCAGAGTAGATTGTCAATGTTAATGGCATTTCATTCATATGAACAACAGGCCGATATGTAGGACGTTAACTGATGCAGTGGTTGTTCTTGATGTCATTGTTGGATATGATCCTGATGATGCATTAGCAACCAAAAAAGCTTCAAAGTATATTCCAAAAGGAGGATACCTGCAATTTCTCAAGCGTGATGGACTCCAGGGGAAAAGGTTAGGGATTTTGAGGTACTCGTTCGTGGGATTTGACAATGACACTCGTTTACTTAAAACTTTTGCACCTCATTTCAAAACTTTACGGTAAGTTTACATTAACAGTCTTTTGAGGAATGGTTTACATCATCCATAGAATAGAATTTATGTATGGTGCTTTGAAATGTGAAACTTGTTTTCATGAGTAAATAACTTTTAAGTTGAAATATAAGCTGGTGAAACTTGGTTAAATCTTAAAAACAGGCAGAGAGGTGCAATATTAGTAGACATTGTGGATACTGCCAATTTCGACTCAATTGTGGATGGTTTGCTGAAAGATGAAAATACAGCGCTGTATGCGGAGTTTAAGCCAGCCTTAAATGCTTATTTAAGCCGATTGGTTGCCTCTACCGTGGGTTCACTTTCCGAAACAATAGCCTTCAACAACAAACACTTCAAGCTAGTAAGCAACAACTTTAGATTCTTTTACTTAACATTCCTTTGAACAAACAGTAATCAACAAAATTATGGTGATCGCTCTTGTGTGTCAAAATTACTCTGAGTCTGAGAATGAATATAATGACTGTAATTCCAGGAAAAGATTAAAGGATATGGTCAAGACATATTTGAAGAAGCTGAGAAAATTAACGTCACTGGCAAAGTAGAAAGGGAACTACTTCGTAATCTAACTAGAGCTGACAAACTTGGGTTTGAGAAATTGATGAAGGAAAATAAGCTGGATGCCTTTATAACACCTTTGTACAATGCTGTTTTTGTTCTGTCTGCTGGAGGATACCCTGGGATCAATGTTCCAGCCGGTTATGACAGTGATGGGGCTCCCTACGGAATTTCCTTTGGAGGGCTAAAGGGCTCAGAACCAAAGTTGATAGAGATTGCTTATGACTTTGAACAATCTACCAAGATCAGGAAGCCACCTCCTCTTTAATGTCCTTATCAAGGTGCTGATTCTTGTAAGCACACTACATAAAACCTTCATTATCAACTTATTGCAATTCTGATGTAATTTTCTGTTAACTCATGCTGCTGAGAGGAGTTCTGCAAATTGCTAAAGCGCGACTGATTCAACTTGTACCTTAACTAAAATATTCTTACCAATTCAAAAAAACTAAAATATTCTTAATTTGGAAAGAACAGACCTCTAAACAACATGGAGGAAAACTCATAAAGTTTACACCTTTACTGTTGCTTCATGATAAATGTTACACTCAAAATATTTTGGAATTCAATATCATCACTACAGTTTACATGGATTTCAATCTGACACCTGGTATAGACAGTAACAAACAGGAGCACACCCCAAAACAAATTACTACTTAATAAATGAAGAAGTAAAAACATGACAAACAAAGAATGAAAGGAGAGTAACTGTTTCCTTATGATCTACCAGCATGAACTCTGATCCCTCTTTGTCAACCTGGTCGAAATTTTGGTAACACTCAACAAAAAGGTTCATTGCACTACATAAAACAAAGGGTTGAGGATGATATGGAAAGCTTTGTACTAATGTGTACTTTGAGGAACATTAAGAGTGATCAGCCCGTGAAGGAGGATTCGGAGGTTGATTTCCAGGTTTGCCTGGCGAATTGAAATACCTCCTGGGAATTTTTGGGATGGGGGGAAGTTTCGGAATAGGGGGAGCTCGTGGAATTGGAGAGGAAGACCCCTTTGGTGCAGTTATTGGGGGAGTAGAAGGCCCAAGTTTGGATGCTGGTGATGGTGCCGGCTTTACAGGAGATGATATCTTGGGGGATGGAACCAGGGGAGGAGCCTGTTTTGGGGAAACAGGCTTTGGGGTGTTTGTCAGGGGTGGATTGGGCTTTTGATATGTGGGAGTTGGTGCGATAGGATTTGGAGGAAGTGGTTTTTTATCAATTGGCGAGACTGGATGAAGCAGAGGCGGTGGTTTTGGGAAACTTGTAACAGGTGGCGGCAGGGGATTCATGTGAGTAGGAGGCAATACAGGAGACGGATTATTGAAACTAGGCAGAGGTGGTGGTTTTGGGAAACTTGGTACTGTTGGTGGAAGGGGATCCTCATAAGGTGGAGCCAATGGAGGTGAGGGCTTCATGATATAAGGCGTTGGAGGTGATGGAACAGGAGTTTTGACATTAGGCACTGATGGTGGTGGACTTGAAGTGTCACATTTTGGTGGCAAAGTAGGAGGTGGAAGTCTGTTTGCAGGTGTTGGTACAGCTGGATCCGGTACATCATTAACCGGTGGAGGAGGAAGAACAGGATGGTTATAACTTGAAGGTGGTGGGATTGTTGTAGAAGGAGGAGTAGATGGTGGTGGCAATGAATACACCGGAGGTGTAGGTGGTGGCGGCGATGAATAAACCGGAGGTGTAGGTGGTGGTGGCAATGAATAAACCGGAGGTGTAGATGGTGGTGGTGATGAATAAACAGGATCAGTAGGTGGTGGTGGCGATGAGTAAACCGGAGGAGGTTGAGTTGTGGATGGAACTTGTGTTATTGGACCCAAATGGTAATATGGTGGGAGGAATGGTAATGAAAAGGTAAGCAGTTTCCTTGATACTCCAAATGTTGTTTCTGATGCTGACAGAGTTTTCATTTGTCCATCTGATAATGATTTCTGTATTCTGCCCTCATTTCTCAGGATGTCATCAGCTTCATCAAGAAAATTGATTCTGGAATTCCATTTCTTGTCAGCATTTCCAAATCCTGCTGCATATATAACAGAAAGGCAAAAGGCACAGGTCTTATGAAATCAGTAGTCCACATTTACTGCTGCATATAAACGCATGTTTTCTATAAGGTCATAATCTTTCTTGAGGGAATTTACCTAGTTAACCATATTGAAAGCTTGGTTGAGACTGAAACCAGCATGGAAATTGACAGACCTTTTTCACTGATTTAAATACAGATGCTAACCTAATTTTCGTTACCTACATTGGATAATCGAACTAAAACATAATATGGAAACTGGAAACTTTTCCATACCTGAAGGAGAATCACTCCATGTAATTACTGCATCCAGGGCGTTAGGCGCATTTTCACCTGATCCGACGAGAAAGACACTGTCATCCTTGCCAAAACAGAATGGCAAAGATAAAAGTAAGGTTAAACAGAATCCTCTAAAGAGAGATACTTCCATTTGGCTTCAGTATTGTTATTAGGAGCACAAAGAAGGCGCGTTTCCGGGGTTTAAAGGTTTACTCTTCAACAATGTTCATATGGCATATTAGAACAAGCAAGCCTGAATTTTCCAAAACCATGCAGTGGACCACTTATACTGCAAAAACAAAGAAATACATGATTGATTGCAATAAGTAGAATTGAATGTGGTGGCACTGGATGTTAGCTGCAATACTAATGGTTGTAACATTACGCCACCGGAGAAGTTGATGGAAATCTTTGATTGAGCAAAAAATGGATTGAGATCATGAACAACTCACTGTGTGTAAATAAAGCCTACCTACCCGGTACCCCAAAGGGCTAAAGTGTGCATTCAATTTTGGTGAAGACTGAAGAACGTGATAATAATGTAGCAGTACTTTACAGACACTGGTTTATGATGGAATTTGAATGCAGAATGCTTTATGATCTCAATGTGCTTGAATTTCAGCTTTTGATTTTCTAAAAATAAAAATCCAAACTGCACAATAAATTTGGGACGGAGAGGATATGATTCCGCGTAGATGGATTGGTAAAGGGATGATAAAACAGAAAACCAAACCATTTTCGAATTTTTGGTCCTAATCATTATAAAGTGTGAATTCTATTGAGTGCCTTCTTGAACAGATCTTGAAGGGTTGTTATGAATTTATGATTTGATATAAGATTCGGGAGCCCCCATCAAATTTCAAATCACTGATATCAATGTTCTAATATTTAGAACCAATGTGTCCAACCAGATCGCAGTAAATATACGACATATATATGAGAAAAAAAAATTGTTTTCTAAAATAATTCACATTGAAACAAACAGAGAAAGTATCTTGTACAGCTTGTATAACATCCGATCATTAATTTAGAAAACAAAACGTGAATTACAACTTTTGTCTGGAACGAAAAGATTGAAGAGATAGATATTGTACAACACACACACATAGTTCAAATTCATTGACTACTTATTTATAACTTGAGGATAGGTTTTTTTTTTTTATTTTTTTTATTTTTATTTTTACACTTTATACTTTATATTCACCACAATTATTATGGTATTTTTATGGGGACTCGACTTGAATGGTTTTACCCGGTGCATATGGTCCTCGATGAACGTAAAAAATAGACGTCTTACTTTTTTCTTTTTAAGTGGTACCTGTATGTTAATGTAAATCTTTTATACTATTATATCGCATTTTCACAATAGCTAAAGTATGTAATTTGATTACTTCTTATTTGCTAACTTTAATTAACGAGCATGATTCAAAAGATAATCTAGTAGACTGAAAAGAGGAAAGAACTTCATGTGTCTCGGTGGGAATTAACGAAAAGCATAGTGTAGTTTTTTTTTTTTTTTTTGGGTTACATAGAAAGAGGCATCAAGTCTAGATTCAACTCAGTACATTTGTAGGATATGCAATGCCTATTATATCATGTTTCAACCAAGGTTTTATCCTTGATGGTGAATTTTCAAATCTTTATGATTCAGCCACACCCAATCCTTGTACTGGTAGGAAAATCAAAGAGTCTGCTACAAAATTAGTCTTCCTTTCTGACATCATATGGGTCTAAATGAATTTCAAGACCTCCTCCTTACAAATTTTGACCTTAACGGGCCGACAAGTTAATAACTAACGAATGTCCAGAATGTCACGCTCCGGGGGCCTTAAGGTGGCCGGAATTACAGAAAGGGGAGAAATTGAGACGGGGTTAGGGTTTCGGGGACTGAAAGTCGAAGAACAAGGAGAGAACTAAAAAATTTCAGTTTTGACATAATAATTCTGATAATAATTTATAGACCCCCGCTAATTATTTATAGTCCACATACTTTCAAAAATGCTACTTTAGTCCCTATATTTCTATTCTCTAAGATTTTAGTCCAGGATCATGACACAGTGTTGGATAGCGTAATGCACTTGATTTCGGTTCTCAAGCTAAAGAGTGGCCTTAGAGAGCCATTTTCTTTCCTTTTTTTATTTTGGTTTCATTCATAAATAAAATTTAGTCCAAATTTGTTTATTGACAACACCACCCCCCAAAAAAATAAAGATCGAAGATGTTGAATTAAAATGTAAACGGTAAATAAAGTAATGAACACTGAAATGGAAACCATGACATTGTAGACTGGATTCACCCCGCCAAGCTTAAACGTTGGCTATACCATGACATTGTAGGGGTTTTGTATCCCTTCTGCACAGTATGGCTGCTGATTAAACCCCTTATTACCATTTAAAAAAAACACTGAAATGAAAACAAATAGAAGTATGTGTATATATATATTTTTTTTCTTTCGGTTTAAAACAAGATGGACGGAGGCCCAAAAGCATGATACTATTGCTTTAATTAATATGGGCCGTTTATTGTGAATGTGGATAGGAAAGGATGGTGGCGACCGTTTTTCATCATTATATTATTTGCGTACCAAAGAAAATAATTTTGTTTATTTGACAAAAAAAAAAAAAAACCTAACTCAGTTTAGATTTTTTACTTTTAATAAAAACTGAACTAAAAATAAAAAGCAGACTGAAAAAATTATGTTTGAAAAGAGGAAGTAGCATTATAGTATTCTTTTGTTATTAATAATTCATTTATATTCAAATTTTAAAAATGTACATCTAACTTACAACTTCCATCACATTATCATAATAGAATGTCGAGAACACCACATGTCTTGCAGTTAAATTAATTCTTCATCACATAAGACTTGAAAATTCCTCAAAAAAAAAAAAAAAACTCAAATACTGTTGATAAATTTTTGTTACAGTTGCATTGATTAAAGAATTTGACAAATTAAGCGCTAAATGAAGATGTTTTTACTGTTTTCCACGATCAAATGATTCGTATGTACTACGTATAGGTTTGTAGTACAATGGTTATCTCTTGTGATTCAAAGTAAATAGATAATTACATTATTGGTTATATAGCTAAGTTGTATTAATCTATGAAAGTGTAACACAAAATATCACACGACATCGGAGGAGAACAGGAAGAGAGTAGTATAAGCACCGCTGATGAGGGTTTCATGTACCCTACAGAGTACAGATCCTCGTCATCTACCAACTATCAATCAACATATTAATTGCTGAATCGATCACATCCATATATAGACACAGCATTCAATAAAAATCTTGCGAATCAATTGAAGAAAGGAGCGAAGGCTAACTTTCATTGACTTTGATAGTGTAAACACAAGAAAATGGGGGAAAAAAAGAAAGAAATAACAGTACAACGACAATAAATATTACCATGCATGCATGGCACTTGAAAACTTTACAAACTTTCCCAATCATTTCAGCCATATAATAAAATTGTCCCAACTCACAACTAACTTAAATTGACAAATCTCACGGAACAGGTAATTCTTGTAACTTCATAAGTTTTGCATGGTAGAAAATGTAACTTGCGGAAGAAGAAATGAATAACGGTAAATTTCTCTAAGGATGACCGAAAGGTGGTACTGGAGGCCAGGAAATGGGGACCTTAGGGAAAGGAAGAAGTGGTGGACAAGGCTTCTTGTATGGGAATGGCGGTTTTGGGAAGAATGGGAATGGTGGGAGCGGTTTTTGGTAAACCGGAGGTTTGTAGATTGGAACCGGTGGTGGAATCGGTTTTGGCTCGTAAACCGGTGGTGGAAGTGGCTTCGGTGTTGGCTTTGGCTTGTAAACTGGGGGCTTGTAGACTGGTGGCTTGTAAACCGGTGGTTTTGGTTTGGGCTTGTAGACTGGTGGCTTGTAGACCGGTGGCTTTGGTTTGGGCTTGTAGACTGGTGGCTTGTAGACCGGTGGAGAAACGGGCTTTGGCTTCGGCTTAGGTTTGTAAACCGGAACCGGTGGAGGGAGCGGCTTTGGTTTTGGAGTCGGTTTTGGCTTGTAGACCGGTACCGGAGGAGGGAGTGGTTTTGGCTTAGGTGCTGGCTTGTAAACCGGGACCGGTGGAGGATTCGGTTTGGGTGTGTAAACCGGCACCGGGGGAGGAAGCGGTTTCTTGATGATTGGAGGGCATGGTTTCTTGTAAATTGGAGGGAATTTAGGCAACGGAGGATGGCTAAACCAAGGATGATTCTCAACAGGTGGCAAAGGTGGATACTTGAAGAATGGCCATAAGAAAGCTGAAGTGCATAATGCTGAGGAGAATTTGATGGTTTTGGAAAATCCGAATTTGCCATCAATCAACACAATCTTGGAGGCTTCAATGCCATCATGGGCAGGGCATGGTGCAAATGCTGCACTGTACAATTGTGCATAGCATTCTTCACTTAGTTTCCCATCTTTGAGGATGATCTCCTTTGATAGGGATACCTCAAATTTGCCCTCTTCATTTAGCTCTCCTGATCCTCTTCTCTTGAATTCTCCGTTCTTCTGTTTGCAGTCAACAGTCACCCCAAGCCCTTCATCACAAAAAATGATAACACAAAAATTAATCAGTCAATTTATATATTAAGGAGAAGAATAGATCATTGCTCAATTGATTGCCAAATAGAAAAAAAGATCAATAATAGGTCATGCGCGCAACTTGGCTAGCTACTCATTAATTGCCTCATAAAGACCATCTACATATGGTGCGTGCGATCATCAAAGTGTAGAAAGTAGAGAACAAACATGACTAACTTCTTGCACTTATTTATGTATTATTATCAACAACAATACCAAGTTTTGACAGGTTCATTGTATGAATCATGTGTTTATCGCCAACAAGATCAAGAGGATATACAACAGTATGAGAATGGCGTTTCAAATTAACAATAAACTATATGCAAATTGAATAAGATAATTTAATCATACATATATACTACCTCCCAATTTTGATAAGAAATAAAAATGTGGAGGAACATAATGTATATATGGCTTGTCAAAGTAGCACAATGCCAATATGGTACGTATTACTAATAGTTTCAAGATGCACCATAGGGACAGTGCGACATTTTTGTATATATGGACAAAGTAAAAAAGGACAGTGAATTAAGAAAACAAACCTGAAAATGCCAGGCTAGTCTTAATGTTGAACTCTTTGCAATCTGCACATTCTCCAAATCCAACTACCTTGACTGTCTCATTCGCAAAGCAACAAGAACTGGCTACAAAAAGTACAAAGCACAAGAACCAAAGCAAATGAGAATGGCCCCTCATTGCTACTGAGGAATCTCTGAAGTTTGTTTTGCTGAGTGATTTGAGTTGCAAGAGTGTTGTTTGTCACATATATATAGTGACTAAAGGCATGGATGATTTTGTGCCGACAATAAAATAAAGAACATCACATGAGTTTAGGTCCCCGTTGTGACTACTGACTAGTGAGAGACGGCATTATGGTCTTCTTTTCGGTTTTTCTCTCTATCTATTTTACTCCTCGGATATAAAAATAATCGACATCGTAAATCATAAATCGTATTAATTTTAATATAATTTGTATTGTAGATTACCTTTTTAAAACAACATAGAGCATTATATTGTTTAAATCTACAGGAAAAGCAATGATTAAATTAAAACACCTCACTACACTAGTCACTAATTACCGTTTCATGTACTTAGATATACTGTTTCACATTTAAATGATCAATTAAAAGGGTAAAAAGGAAGAATATGGCCACCGGCAAAATAATAATTCTAGTTATAATGTAGGTTGGTCTTTATTTTTATTTATTTTTTTATTTTAAATCAAGAGGCCATTATCTTCACCACATTCAATGTCTTTTTCTAGCTAACTGTAAACCTACTTACCAGCTCCTCACAATTAATACCCACACTGTACTTTAATTGAAAAAATCGATATCTTCCAATTGAATTAGGGTAAGTACAAGTAACATAACATTTTGTGGTCATTTTTCAATTTCGATTTAGCTGCTTAGAGTAGTCTAGTTTTTAGTTGATTCTTATTAAAAAAACGATAAGGAAAAGAGAATGAGAATGGCCATGCATGTGCTGGACTATAAATGAATCGGTTTTAGTCCAGCCTATATCCCTCAAAATCCATGTGAATAACCAAAACCTATCTTCCTTAGAAAATAAAAAATAAATAAAAATTAGCCCTCATAAATGAATTTCCTCAACAGTCCCCTCCTCATTTGTTAGTTGTAGCATTACGGTTGTCTGATTTCTTTGATTTAATATTACAGCAACCGTATTCACTGTGAAATTCCTCACTAATTATAGTAGCTCACTGTGTTAAATTAAAATACTACTACTACTACTACTTCCGTTAACTTTTGTGATGTGGTTTTAGGTTTACACAACTATTAAGGAAACAATGATTGAGATTTTAATTTTTAAGTGCATTGTCTTTTTTGTCCATAATTAAATGTATTAAACTCTACAAAAATTTGAAATTAGAGTGCAAAGAATAGGTAATTATCATTAATATATGTTGTTAAAAGTAAAAAAGAGATAAGTGTGAGATTTAAAAAAATGGATCTAGTACTTGAATTAGAATTGAAGTGATAGATAAAATATTTTTTTTTGGATTCACTCTAATGCAACGGATAAAAAAAATAAAAGGTAGTATTACAAAATGGACAATTGAAGTGAAATGAAGGTGAAAAAAATTTTTTTTACAAAAAATTATGTAATCTATTTCCTTCATTATATCGATCGAAGAATAGAAACGTTGAGAAAAAAGACAAGTTAATTTAGATTTGGTACAGAAATAACAATAAGTACTATAATAATCGCGGTAAAGCAGTAATCTAGCTATAGGAAACAAAAAATTATTCTATCACCTTTAGATTTGACCGATGATATCTCTAATTGTAAATTCATTAAGTAAAATTAACAATATTATAAACGTTAAAAGAACACAAAGAACTTACGATCTGATATTCTGATTCATTTTCACCACAAGGAGAGTTTGTAAGGAAAAAAGAAAATGTGATTCTTTGTATGATATATTTAATGTGGACATTATGATTAACCCATTGCCTAAAAGAGCGGCTACATTCAGCTAGCAATGTGGTAATAATAGTCATAATTATTGATGCTCCTCAGTCTTTATCAATCATGTATATAATATATGTTGCAAATTTTGCCATAAGACTTAAGCTTCTCTGCTGCAACACAAATAAACGAAAGAGGAACAGTTGGCTCAACCAGGAACACCAGCCTCAGATCTCATTGATTTAAAAACCCTGAAAAAGATGTGCTACCTCCTAACTAATTAAGCAGGCGCTGCTTTTACTCAATTCCCCCTTTTATTCAACATTATTTATACCTTTATCTGCCTCTTTGTCAAGTTTAACTTGGCACATGACACTCGATTAATATAGGTAACGTTAATTATTTGGCCAGTTTTTTAGTACATCATTCTTCCCAGAAGAAGAAAAAAAATGTATGTTTGTTGAACGGTTTTATTATGCAAACTATGCACAAATTATGTATAATTTGTATAAAAAAAAAATAAAAATTTAAATTGGACAATCATTTTGGGCGGGATGGAATGGAGTGTATGAATCTTGTGTCGTACCAATTTACATGTGCAATTTGCTCTAAATATGTTTAAGTGAAGGAATAAAACATAGCACTATATTTGGTCAAAAAGCTGATACACAAAACCAAATGTTTTAGAATTAAGAAAGGGCATTTGATTTATGTGATTATAACATTTTTGTTCCATGTATAAACCACACTTGAATCTAGTGATGTTTTGGGTCTGGGAGACTTTAACAAACCCCATTGATTGACGGATAATACGCTCTAGATTGTGAAAAAGCTTTTGTGTGTTATAAATCTTCATTGATTAGCACCTTACAATGTCAATCACAATATATGTCCCTTGCAAAGAAAATATCTGCCCAGTTTTGCATTTGGTTTTGTAATCATAACGTTGACGCGGAGGAAGCTTGTCACCACTAATCTGGTCACTTGAAAGCACCATTTTCAATGATTTTTCCGGAGAAAAATTAGGACTTCAAATATCCTAAAATCTTCCCTTTTGGGTAAATCATTCTATTCTAATTTGTGTATACCTCAGTCGTCAGTCCCCTTGATTCTTTTTTGGGATCATAATGCAAGTTTTTAAACAGTAATCCAAAGTACCAATTGTTTTTTGGATCAAAATTAGAATTGTTATTCCTCCGTATTAAAATAAAAAAAAAAGAATTGTTATTAGCCAAATACTCTTTCCAAGCCTATCAACTTGTGACTGAAATGGATCTTATATGCAACCGCCACCATCATTCACGATTGTTGCACAATATTGGAGTCGGAATTAACCACCACAAGAACATTGCTACTTTCTTAAAGCCAACCCCACACTAAAAAGCCGCCAGGCTTTTCAATTGAGACCCAGCCTTCTTTATCGTGTTTCATCATCATCCATGAAAGAAGAGAAAACTAAACAAGTCAATTTAAGTAAAAATATCAGATGCACAAAATTGTACCTTTCCTACCTTACTCTCATCAACTAAATTCCGGTTTTTAATAAAGCTCAATTTTCAAAATCCTCTGAATTTTAAGAAAAAACGAGTTTTCCCTCTATTCCCACAACAGTGAGGCAGGACAGCAGATCAGTTTTCAGTGCCTACATCCAAAAGCTGAAGATTAGATGAACATTCCGCCTTCCACTAATTTTCCCATTTGAACATCAAGCCAGGGTCATGCGTCAAAACAACTGTTGCCACCTCCAATCTACTCTTGTGAACGAAATCCGAGATGCTAAAGAAGCCTTCATCTACTTCTTCTTCTTTAATTTGTTGGATTGGGACTGAGTATAGGCAGTACCCTGTAACACCAGCAGCAAGCAATTCAGTAACAAAAAAGCTTTCACTTTAGCAAAAGAAACTACACTCTATAAAATGCTCAACGAGGAAAAAGGTATACACGACAAACCTGTAGCCATTCATCCATCGACGCATCAGTAGTCCCAGTTCCAACCTCCACCTTGGGTGCTCTTTTGGTTTTCTGATAAAATGAAATAACGATGAGGAAAGGGAGGAGACTCATATCTAATATAATACAGTCATGAAGCTTGGGTCAACACCAATAAGCCCCAGTCTAGACTAAGCACTTCTTTGCCCAATGTATCTGCACATAGATTACTTCCCTTTCATATTCTTGAAAATTTTGTCAACTGATGTGTCACAACTAGAGGGGAATTTGAAACAAATCCAACACTATACAGTAGAATTATGCCTATATAATGCAACATTTGTTTTCTTTTTAAAGGCTATAGTCTAAGGTTTACCTAATAAAATTTCTGGGACATTTGCACTATTTCTAGTCGCCGTTAGTTAAGTTGCATTCAGGAAATCCTAGTTCATTCACAACATCCGATGATAAAATGCACAGCGACATCCATAACTGCGTCACACAATGCATAACAGTCAAACTAAAACTCACCTTGGAGTAATTCTGAATCCGACTCCGAATAGTGAAAAAGATAAAGCCAAGAAAGGCGATTGCAAGGGAAACCAAGAAAACAGACTCAATACTGAGAGGACCACTAGGCTCAGTAACTTCAATAGTCCCGTTATAAAAGGTGTTTTTGTATGGAGTTTGATCTATTTCATAAACAATTGTGCCCACGAGATCAAATGTTCCAGCCTACAAGATCAAAAAAGTAAATAAGGTAAAGAAGCATTTTCAAAAATTTGTACCATTACAAGTGCTAGAAGACAGAAAGGGACAAACAGGAGGATTCCAATTAACTTAACCTGCAAGAATTTGCTGACAGCAAATATGTAGGGGAATGTAGCTTGAGCAGAAGGAGGAACAGATGCATTGTTAAACGCCTAGAGATTAAAAGAAAGTAAAATCAGCCACCAAGCTGCAAAACATAGTAAAAGAGAAGCGAGAACAACACCAACCTGGGCAGAGAGATTCTGAATCAAATACTGATGGTCAAACGGAAGATGAACGCTGGCCTGGATTGCAATGATATTCAGATTTGAATCTCCTGTTTTAGACAAGCAGAAAAAGTCAAGTCAGCCATATAAGTTTTGAGAAACAAATATCACAGGTCCAAGAAGAAACACAGAAATGCAAAAAATCCATGCAGAAAATTACACCTAAAGAGGACATGTGAAGACTTGTTTAACAATGTTCATAAAAGGAGAGTTAAGAAGCGATAGATCCCCCTTTAATGCGGAAGAAAAATAGGGAACAACTAAGTAGGAAACAGCACAAACATTTACCATCATTTTTCACACCAACTAATAGTTCACTCTCTTCCCCAGCGGTAATCACTGCACAAACAGATGCATATAATTAACAGCAGACGAAAGGGAGATACATAGCAAAAGAACTCCACATGCACCAATATTTTTAGGGGAAAAAGACTGCAGCTTACATTTAGAAGGATTCTTTGGAAAAACACAAAGAGTCTCCACCCCTGGAGCAGGGCTAAAACTGCCACCACCAAAATCTTGGACATCATCACCAACAATTCCTAGATCACTTATTTCCTCACTACCTTCAGCTACTTCTGCTTCTGAGTCACCGTCACATCTAACCACTGCACAGGAACCCAAAAAAAGAAAAAAAAGAAAAGGCAGAAAAGGAATCAAATCTCAGCTCCATTAGTAATGGTAAGAGGATCTAGAATCAGCTAACAACTAAATTCAGTAAATTTCAGATGTATTAGCTAGCCTCAACAGGCTAATACTATTGAACCACTAGATAAAAGATACTACGAATACTGCATTCATATATAAACACACAGTTGAACCAAGCAAGCAACACTGCAACAGTAAAGGAAAAAATATTAAACCATTGGCCCTGGTTGTCCACATCGCACAGAAATAACAAAATTACTCACGAAAACTCTAATATCAAAGAATGGAAAGTTTATAAGTATGCAACTGATCACATTTCAGAGCATAATGTTTCTACACTTGAAAGGATCCAAGAAGATACATCAACCATAGTCCCCCGAACAATCAGAGTTACAAATTTTCTTAATTTTTATGATAGTGATCGATCCAAAGCTCAAATTTCAACCGCGCAGACATGCAAAAGCTAGAATTACAGCTATTCCAGATATCCTTATTACCGTAATGAAACAAAAGTAGACATGTCAATCTAAAACCATTTGAATTACAGCTAATTCATCAAAAAGGTAAAAACACAGGCCCACTAACTCCAACTAACTCCGTTGACTTCGGCGGAAGAACACAAACGAAAAAAGAACATTCACATGCATGGGTAAAGATTCAAAATCTTAATCCAATTCAACAATAGCTAAGCAGATCGAAACCACGGGCACTTAACATCAAAAGAAGGCAGGGGCCAAAGGAGATCAAAAACAAAACAAATGAAAAATCCTAATTTGTTTAATTACGCAAAATTTTTTTAAAAAAAACTAATAATTACTGCGGAATACGGGTGAAGTAATGGATCCAGATCTGGGAGGGGCGATGGGATAATACCTTGAAGGAAGGAAGAGGAGAATACGAGCAGGGCGAGGAGGAAGAAAACCCTAAGCGACATCGTTTCGTCACGGCGGAAGGAGGAGGAGGAGAGAGACGGAGTGGGGCTGAGGTGGGTGAAGTCGTTTACTGGGAAAATGTAACAACAAACCGTATGCAAGGAGAGAGTAAAATGACAAAGAACCAGAACTGAAAGACAATAATAATTTTCCCCCTGGGCTTTTTTCTGGTTAGGGGAATGGGCTTGGTAACTGAATGGGCTTTATTTCCTTCTAGCCGGCTTTTGAAGAAATTTGTTTTTTGTTGATTCTCAAGTGAAAGCGTGGTTTAAAAGACTTTTGAAGAGGAAAAACTGTTTGATTCTCAACGAAGCGTGTTTCTTTTTAACCACGACTTTTGAAGACTTGATTTTGTCATCCTTATTATTCCTTCACTGCGTATCCAAAACCACCGGTCCTTTCCCAATGAACTCTCATTTCAGATGATTTCAACAAAAAAGGGATTGAAAGTATATAGTGTAAATATCTGAAGAAATTCACCGCGAAGGAATGGATCAATTGAACCATCGTCAAGAAGCTTTATATCATCATCAATCTCTTCAAGTTCAGGGTCCAAATCCACCTCTGCCAGCTGATTCCAGGTTTTTCAGCGCCACTGCACTCAGTTCCTCTATGTTGGTGTTCAATTCTTATGTTTTCTGGGAAAAAAGATCAAATTTCGATGATGGATTTTGCTATTTGGTTTTTGCTTAAAGTTCCCATTTGATGGTGTTCGTGAATTTTATGTTTAGGTTTAGTTTCAGCCTAATTAGTGATGAATAATGAATATTACAGCTATTGCAGTCTGTGAAAGTTGGATTAGAAGGGACTGAAAGAGTTCGAATTGAGAAAACTGAAACAAAGAATAAAAGCAGAAATAACTGGTCTATTCTAAGTTTACCTGTTATCAACCAAGCTTATTTGCCTATACTTAATTGGGAATGCGTTTTAGTTTGAGTTTTGCATTCCGTTTTGATTACAAAGACGGCTCTTGTGGGATGTTATGAGGCAGATGATTGAAGTATGATAATTTAATGACTATGTTCAAATCTTAGTTCTTGTTGGTAGTGCCTTGTTGATTTATTGAATGGACAATTGGTTTGGATGGTTCAATGCCTTTAGAAATGTTTGAAAGAAAATTCTAACTTATACAATGGCCGGGGCCAGAGAGGTGTTGAGGTTGAAAAGGCTTGTGGCTAAAAGTTTTATGTTATCCGAAGGTATTGATTGGTTGAGAATCTGAAACTTGATTCATTTAGTCAAGATAGGAACTGCAGGCTGGATTATAAAAAAAATAGAGAACTGTTTTGATGAAATCATGGAACATCAATTGATATATTTCTGAAACTAATAGCAACATGAAGTTATTGTTTATATACCTGCAAAGGCACCAAAAATATCAACTTTCTATTTCTGCAATGGTTTTTATAACCACTATTGCTCGTCAGTAACAACATATTGTAATCAAGATATTGGCTCATAAAAGAGAAAATCTGGAATTTGGAATCAATAGGTTATGTTAAAAATATTTGACTGTAATAGGGTTATCAGAGCTAGACGATCATCAACCTTGATACGTAAAACCTCACGTGATGAAAACTACTCCACTTTTAGAAAAGAGAAAAAAAAGGTGTAAGACTGTAAAACTTTGACTGTTATAGGGCTGAAAAAAGTGTATCAGAGCTATATGATCATCAACCTTGATCAATAAAACCTCACATGATGAAAACTACTCCACTTTTAGAAAAGAAATAAAAAGGTGTAAGACTGTTTGAGTGTCATGTTGCGGATTTGTGCTTGTGTGACATCTAGTTTTTCTGAGTTTCCCTGCTATGTTCAACTGTATGGATTGGTGAATGTTTTGGGATCACATTACTGGTGTATCTGGTGAAGTTGCCTGACTCTCAAACAATCTTCGTAAATTGGATAGATGCGTAAGAGACCATTGTTTTATCCATGTTTGCTAATATCTGAATCCGTGTTCTGTGATCTGGTACTGGCCCTTACTTTTTTGACCCTTCTCATTATGGATATGATCTCACTTGAAGACCCGAAGTAGCGGCAAAGGACTCCGTTGCTGCAAGGAAAGTGCAGAAAGCAGATCGTGAGAAACTAAGGAGGGATCGCCTAAATGAGCAGTTTGCCGAGTTGGGAAATACTCTTGGTAAGTTCTAACAACTTTTTAAGTTATGGTGAAAAGTTGGCTCGACCCGTGGATTTTCATACAATGTGGTCCTATCCAATGTGCAGATCCTGACAGGCCTAAAAATGATAAAGCGTCTATTCTAACTGACGCTATCCAAGTGGTGAAAGATTTGACTTCACAGATTGACCGACTAAAAGCTGAATATGCTGCACTGAATGAAGAATCCCGTGAGGTAAGATATATTTGATATCTTGTTGTATTTGATATTTTGTCTCCATTCTGTAGGACTCTCAATGATTTATTTGCTGAGAATTGCTACATTGCCAATCAGTTGACTCAGGAGAAGAATGATCTTCGAGAAGAGAAGGCTTCACTTAAATCGGATATCGAGAGCCTTAATGCACAATATCAACAGCGAGTGAGAGCTATGTATCCATGGGGTGGAATGGATCATTCTGTCGTGATGCACCCAGCTTCTTATCCTTTCCCAATGCCAATGCCAATACCTGCTGGTCCAATTCCCATGCATCCATCTCTGCAGCCCTTTGCGCTTTACGGGAATCAGAATCCTGCTGTAGTTCCAAATCCAGTGTCAACTTTTGTTCCATATATGGCCCCTAGTGGTGCTGTCGAGCAGCAGTCTACACCGCATGTATCTCAAGTAACACAACAAGGTTGTAGGTCTCATGGTTCAAGAAAACAAGACCAAAAAACATCTACTTCAAAGGACAGGAGTGAAAAATGTGAAACTTCAGATGATGTAGCAACTGACCTTGAGCTGAAGACACCTGGTTCGGGGTCATCGGATCAGGTTAGCACTTTGTTCTTCTTTTCCATTTAGGTAAAGTAAGTACCTTATCAGAAATAATATATTAATAGCTGGAATGGGTGTTCAGGATGTTTCTCCTGGACAAAGAAGAGCCAGAAAATCACCAAGGAAGGAAAGTAGCATCACAGAAGCAAGTTCTTCAAGCAGGTGTTCATCATCTCACAGCGTGCAGGCAGTTTCACAAAACAGTGTCATCGGTGGTACTGCATCAAAGACAGATGAGTGAAGGGGTGCAGTTAGTGCCAAACCAAGTCACGAAGTTCTTCAACCAGTTTAAATCGTGCCATCTGACCACCATCTTCAATTCTTGACTATATTTTGGTCTTTGTTGACTGCAGTTCTACTCCAGTTGGATAGTGCAATCATTGCTTTGAGCCCTGTCGACATTGGTGTCAATGTGCTAGTGTATTGTAAAACATGTAGTTTAGTACTCATTTGATTGGCACCTGAGATCCTTGAGCCCTGATGTTGCTGTTGATGTACTAATTAAGCCGCCCGTGTATGTTTTGTAGCACGAAATCCATCCTCCTCCTTTTTATAATTTACTTTAGTTTAGGCTTTAGTGGTTTTGTTTATAAGGCTCAGGTGTAACCGATGCTAATGATGATGCTAACTGCTTGTGTTTGTACTGGCAAGTGTCAACTTTTTCGGATGAATCAAAAGCCATTTAGCAGAGGATGATGATAATGACTTAACCTAGCAGCTATGTTCTTCTACACTTGTCTGTTTCCGCTAGGATTGCAGCATTTTTGTTTCATTCATCTCTTACTAGTTGGAAATGAACATCATTCTTCATATTTCAGTTGAAGCTACTTTTTTAAGTGCTCGGATTGGAAACAAACATTCCTCAGAGGTTTTATTTATCTGTATTTTGAATTAAGAATGGACAATTCTGCAAAAATAGGATTTAGGGACAGCCGGACAGGAAGTTGGTGAGGTGAGACTGAACCACACGCACCAGTAGAAAGCGTGGGCGTACGTAACCTTAAGATTTATCGACCAGGTTGATAGATACGGTCGCGCGAGTGACGGACATCGCGAGTGAACCAAGGAAAAAACCCAAACCACAAAGCCAAAAGGGCACATTTCTTTCAATCTCTCTATCCAATCTTGCTCGCTTCAGTTCCACTTGACACAGAACAAAAAGACTTTTTAACAGTTGCAGCAGCAGCAGTTGTTGGGAGTTGGGGACTTGGCCTTTGGGAAAAAAGAAAAGAAAAAAAAAAAGAGAAAAACCCCCCAAGACATAACAACAATGGCGGCGGTGGCATCCACATCCCTGGCCTGTCCACCTAACTTTTCCGGCCTCCGTCGACTTTCCGACACCAAGCTTGATAACAATGCCGCCCTGTCCATGACCACTACTCAATCTTTTTTCCAACACCTTCGCCGGTCTACTTCTACTTCTACTGCTTCCAGGGCTTCTGTTGTTGCTATGGCTGGCACAGGGAAGGTTGGTCCCTTTTAACTGTTCGTTATCAAGATGGAATCTTTGGTATTTTATGTCTGTGTATTGGGTATGCGGTGAAATGGGCTTCATTGCTTTTACTGATTCTCTATTGGTTACTGTTGTGAATTTTTTTTTTCCATTAAAGAAGTTTGTTCAATAGCCTTACGCTAGTTAGTTGTTTTATTGCAGTTCAAGGGTTGAATCGGATTATTGGTTCATCAAATTTAGGGGATTTAGAATGTTTGATTAAATTAAACTGGGCTATTTTGCTGTTATCACCAGTCAATTATGGTTGCAGAGCATTTCAGGCGCCAAACTGTATATTAAAGAGATGGCCTTTTTGTGTGGAACCTGGTTTCTGTGTTTAACAAAATGCGTGAAAAGCATCTCATTCTTGGGTTAATTAAGGAATTGCTTTGTGTGTATTGCAATGTGTGCCAAAAAGCAATCAGCTAGTCTATGTGGCTCTACAACTTTCTTTCTCCACTAAATTATACTCCAACTGAGATATAAAAAAGAACCTTGCAGGAGTTAGCAGCATTGGATTTAAGCAGTTGCATTGAACTTCTGTTTAGGGACATTTTCATTATGAATTTTCTTGGGTATTGTGCAATGAGATAGTGGCTTCCCGCTTACAAATTCTTGATCCTGTCTGATTCTTCTCTTTGTTTCTTCTTGCAGTTCTTTGTTGGTGGAAACTGGAAGTGTGTAAGTATCGCAAGTGGTCTTCCTATTTTCAACTGATTCAACATTCTGGTTTTCTCTTTATTTCAATATGCTTTAAGGAAGATGTTAGGTTACATTCAGTGTGATGACTCCGAAATGATTAAGAAAGTAGTCTGGTTATCTATTGTTGAAACATAAATTAGCTATATGTTTTTCACATGGAGCACAAGTACCAGTTTTTTGTAAACAAAAAATGAGGACACTAATGTGCAAGCTAATCAGAATTTGGCATTAAGGCTTTGGAGTAAAAGCCATATCTAATTAATTATCCAAGAATGCATGAAAATTAGGGATTCTGTAGATGAATGTCGTTTTTCAAGTTCCCTAGGAGAATACTAAGGATTCTGATTTCTTTTCCAGTTTTTGATGTTCTACTGATTCCTTCTACTCAATCCCTATTGTAGAATGGAACAAAAGACTCCATTACCAAGCTCGTAGCTGACTTAAACAGTGCAAGCTTGGAGGCTGATGTTGGTGAGTTTTTCCGCTTTTAATGGCCTGCAATCTGTTTTAGTAGATTAACTTTGAAATGAGTTTGACCATGAAAGTCTTCTGCCACTTAATCTCTTATGGGTACAAATTTGTCTGTTTAATTTATGCAATTGACCTTACCCCTCTTTCAAACATCAGCATACTAGAAATGAGTTTGGCTCTTTCAATTTTCCCAGATGTTGTTGTGGCACCTCCATTTATCTACATTGATCAAGTAAAGAACTCATTAACTGACCGCATCGAAATTTCTGCTCAGAACTGTTGGGTAGGAAAAGGTGGAGCTTTCACTGGGGAAATCAGGTGAAGATCCCTGTTGACTTTCTTATCAGTCATTTTCAGATCTCTCATGCAATCTGATGAAAATCTAAGATTAGCTGTTTGTTAGTTAGAATCTGTTTCTTTATAGGTCACAAACTACGTTTACTTTATTATTTGAACTATTACTTATTAGAGTTTATTGCTCATTTTCTATTTTCTTGGTTTTTCTTGTTCTTAGTGGGGAGCAATTGAAAGATATTGGATGCAAATGGGTCGTCCTTGGACATTCTGAACGTAGACATGTGATCGGAGAAAAGGATGATGTAAGTTCACCTTTAATTTGTATATTTTGAAATTCTTTTGCTGCTTTGTCACTGTAAACTGTGAAGTGAACTCGAAAAGATTGCTTGTTTTCCTCCCTTGTTGATTTTTCAGTTATTATTGTTTTCTTTGTTTGTTAATTCACTAAGTATTTTCTTCTGCCTCGGTTAGAATAAAGAACTTGATGATCCTGAAAGCTTAAAAAAAAACACATCTTCTGCAGTTTATAGGCAAGAAGGCTGCATATGCCTTGAGCCAAGGTCTAGGTGTAATAGCATGCATTGGAGAACTTCTGGAGGAAAGGGAAGCAGGGAAAACTTTTGATGTCTGTTTTCAGCAATTGAAGGCTTATGCAGGCAAGCTGTCAATTCAACCTTTGTCTGTGTTTTCCTCTTCTCCTTCTACCAATACCCATCTCCTTTCTCTCCGATAAGTGCTTTCTAAGTAATGTTAGCTAATAACATTCAAAATCTCTTCTAATATTAGTTATAATCTTTGACAGATGCTGTACCAAGTTGGGATGACATTGTTATTGCCTATGAGCCTGTTTGGGCTATTGGAACAGGTAAAGTAGCCACCCCTCAGCAAGCACAGGAAGTGCATGTAGCTGTTCGTGATTGGCTCAGCAAGAATGTTTCCCCTGAAGTTGCTTCGAAAACAAGAATTATTTATGGAGGTACTGATCTCTTGGCCTCATATCCTCTGTGTAAATGTTTCCTCATATCCATTTAGGCATAACAAATATCTTGCTTAATTTTTTTTCTTGTGTCATCAGGCTCTGTAAACGGAAGTAACTGTGCTGACCTTGCTACAAAAGAAGATATTGATGGATTTCTTGTCGGTGGTGCTTCCTTAAAGGTATAATTGCTTCTGTAATAACTTTCAATAATTTGACAGGCTGCATATCTCGGTTTTTTCTCTTGTAACTTTTAGGTTGCAAGTTGTATTTAACTTAGTTGACGAATTTCTATGGACAACTTTGGCACTGGATAGGCTGTACTTAACATTGACTAGTAGGATTTCTGAAGTTACTGTTAAGGTTTTTGGAACATAAACTCTCCGGAGGGCCTTGCCTACAGACCAGCGAATATTGAACTCGTCGATATTGTTGGTTTATTGCGTTACATGCCATAGGAATTCCAAAGATTTCGAGGAGTCTTGCTTGTTTCGGGTGCCTAATGTTTTTGCTTGAACTACTGGCTGCAGGGTCCCGAGTTTGCTACAATTGTTAACTCTGTAACTGCTAAGAAGGTTGCTGCATGATCTTGCGAGAGCGCAGCTAAAGAAATAAAGCTGTTTACGAGTGTCTTCTGTTGCAGAAACGCTCTGGGGTTAGGATAATACTATTGTTCAAATCTCCCTGCCATAAACTGTACTTAAAATTTTCCTTCACCTGTTTAAAAATAATAGAGATTGTACTGTTGTACCGTGATTTGTAGTGTAACAAAATAAAAAGTTGAGTTGAATGACATGGTTTCCGTCTTGAGCATGCATGATATTGCGGATATGTCATGGAGTGCAGAAGAATGGAATCTACTTTTTCATTTTTGAGCTGGGGGTAAAAAAGTTGTGGGGAGAAGCATTTTATTCTACAGGTTGGCTTCGTGCGCATCTTACAGTGAGAATATATGAAATGAAACTTTACTTTCTGCTAGTGAATGGAAAAGCTGAAGCTTCAATTTGCCCACACTTGCATTCTTGGTTCCTTTTATAATTGCTACAATCCAAGAATTGTAGGATTTCTAGCTAGCTAGGTTGTCAATACCCCGTTGGCAGTGCCAAAGAAAACTAATGTCGAAAAACACTTCATTATTCGTTTTGGCAGGCAGCAAAATCAACTGTGGATAGGGCAAACATCTTGAGTAAACGAGATCTCTTATCTCACTTTTACATTGGTACAAGTATATATTTTTTCCGTCTCAAAATAAAAACTGTCAGTAAATTCATTAAGCTTTATTAGTGTACGAGTGAGACAACTTGGGTTGGGGTGACCACAAGCATCTTAGAAAAAAAAAAAAAAAAGGAAGGATGGGGGAGAATTCATACTCAAGGCATATATTCCAACAAATAGATACTTCATGGGAAAGTAACCAAAAAAAAGTTTCCAAAACCCTTTTTTTAAAACACATAGCCTAATGTAAGAAACCTGAGCAAAACTGAGGGCAACGAGAGAAAACTAAGGAAAAGAAGCACATATGGATTGGTTGTATCCCAAGAAGAGAGGTCCACAATGGAAACAAGGCTGGAGAGGGCAAGCAATGGCCTCAATCTCCATGCCACCATCGCCCTTACTAGCCATATTTGCCATTGTTATTTTCTTGTTATCCATATCTCAAACCAGAAACTACAGAGAACAGCTTGAAAATGCAAGAATAAGCTTCCATATTTTCCTCTTCTTTGTGCCCATATTCTTGATCTTCTTGCTGATGATCAAACCTCCTGGATTATTCAGTAGTACTGAAGGAGGCTGGTTGAGTTATTTCAACTTTTGGGGTCCTCGCAGGAGGCAACAAGAGTATTATTATTCATCAATGCAGAGAAATATTTGTGGCGGTGGGTTTCCATGGGGAGTGGCTGTATTGTTAGTGGCGCTGCTCGTTTTAGTTTCTTATCAGTCTTCATTTCAATCCAAATGGTTCCAGGGTCTACGGAGATCGGATTACTACTGAAAAAAAAATAATAAAATGTATTATGATTCAATAATTTTGTTGTCATTTGATCTCTGATTGTCGATTCGGATTTCAATAATTTTGCATTCAAATATTCCACGTGTATGATGAAATAAAGATCCAATCTCTAGATATGATGAATAAATGCATCAATCCTCAAGTGTTGTAATGATATATATGTTTGGACATTTTGTGCAAGAGTGTGACTATGATGCCTCCTTAATATTATACTATAATAAATAAGGCATTCTGGAAACAAGTAGCTCTGGGAAATAAGAATTTTGTAAGGTGGAAGAGCTGCATGGCAGACACGATAGGAGTAAACGTGGCATTCCAACACCATATGCAGCCGTTTTTTTTTTTTTTTATAATCCAGTTTTCATCAAGAATGGCCTGCCTATAAAATCCTTAAAGAACCATTTTTCTCTACAGAGACGATTAAACTTATCAAAGAGATATCGCCTCATGGAGTGACAGCTGAAAGAATTGAGGTAATAAGATTGGAAAAGGGGAAAAAAAAATTTTGGGTTTACTTTAAAAGATGCATAGCGTGACGGGAAAGGTGGAAAATGCAGCTGCTGTGGCAAAGGAGAAAGCTGAGATCTTCAAAGCCAAAGCTCAAGAGAAGGCCGAGAAAGCTGCGGCAACAACAAAGGAAGAGAGACAGATAGCAGAAGAAAGGAGGAAGGTGAAGGAGTATGAAGCTAAGATAAAGCTTCACGAAACCAAAGCTGAAATCATACAAGATAAGCTTGTTCATCATCATCATCCTCATCGTGGCGGCGGCGTTGGCCATGATCCTGTGATCGGAGCCACAGGGCAGCATTATCATGACCCAGCTGCTGTCGGAACCACCACTACTGCACCCATAGATCCAGTATCTGGGCTCCCAAGTACTACTGCTAATTATCCACCCGCGGGTCATACTCATACCTATCCTCATGGACATCATCACTACCCTTAGCTTAGCTTTGATAGTTCGTATTTAAGTTTGCTAAAATTTCATCCTAGTTTTGATTTGGATACTGCTCTGTTGTGTGTATGTTCTCAAGTACTTTAGAAATGTTGTTTTACACAGTTTGAATTCAAAGTTTGCTATCGAATTCCGGGCTGATTTTGTGCTTACGCATGTATATTATTTATTTTTTTTATTTTCCATTAGGGACTATGAAATAGGAGAAATGCTTTTAAAGTAAACAAAAGTATTTTAACGAAATGTGAAATAACATACATATGTAGTGTACTTTGAAATCAAAGGAAGGTATTCAAAGGAAGAATATTTTCCACATGATGCCACACATCCGCAGTGGTAAACATTGGAAGGATACCGGCAAAACTCAAAAGTCCTCGTATTAGCAAGCTTACCGTCTTCTCATCAGCACACTTGTTATGTTCCAACCTTCTCTTATGCGCAAACATCACATTCACAATTTGATACACCTTTTATCATCTCATCTTACAAGTCCTTCATTTCCAAATCACAAAATGTCAAAGAGCCCAAAATCCATGTCCAAACCCGTTTGTTCCGTGCTCGTGTCAACTTCCTCGACTTTGATGCTATTAGGAGCTTATTACCTGTATTTCTGCAGCCCACAAAGCAAATCCTTGGACCGGAGAACAATGCCTTGGCTGGCTCGATGGTAGACTTAAACCAGACCTGGTCACGCCGGTTCGTCAACATCCACAATGTAATTTCAACATTCTTATCATGGAACCTGGATCTTGCCAACGTGAATTCGTCCCCAATTTCGGTTATGATCACTTTATCAGAACTAAAATCTATCTCATTAATGACCACCGGATCATGAATCAGAAGAACTTCAAACTTTTCCTCCCCAACCTCGAAACACGGCACAAATCTTTCACCATTCACAACTACTATTTCCCTCCACAAGATTGCGCCATCAACACATATATGATCTGATGGAGATTTCCTAATAGGCTCAACCTGAGGTGAACTTGCAACTTCTCTCCATCTCCATCTGTGTGACACAGTATCATACTTGCTCGTTAACGTGGTCCACATAAATTTCCCTTTACAACCCAAGTAGAGTACTTTATAATCCTCGGAATTGATCGGATCAAATCCCAGTAAACAATGCTTCTTCCAAGAGATACATCAGGCATTGTTGTTGGTCCTCTAAAAAGACTGATTTTTTCCCCAGTCGTAAGGTTGAGCAATTCAAAATTCACACTGGCTCTCGACCCATAAACATACTAGACCGTTAACAACGCCGGAACAAATTACTGTGCCACCACAACCAAGGAATTTGTGTAACGGAAGCTGTTGAGTATTGCAACCACGGCTTGAAATAACTCCTCCGAGTTTTTCTGAGATGATGGCCTCTTCTATTGCTTCCACAGGTGAACCATTCTTGATGAGATAATATTGGAAATAAGAGGATTCGGGTCGAATTCGAGAATTGTTGTAATGCCATCTAGTGAAGTACGGGTCAAGAATCAGTGCATGCCATGCTTTACAAATGGTTCTGAATCGCATTAGGGGTTTTGCTGGAAGCCATGTGAGCACCTTAAAGATCACATCCTATGGAAGTTGCCATTGCTCCGAATCCAGGTTCGACGACCACTGTTTTATGGTCTCCATTAACTAACTCCTTTAATTATGAGATTCTTTTTCTCTCGATGCCACTTTGTCACTGAAACCTGCGGGTTTACCAATTTGCCTGTAAATCAAACTTGATTTTAGAGTGTGTTTAGGTGTTAATTAACTTATAAAGAAATTTCCAAATTTATATAGGGTTAGGAATATTCCTTTTTCTAATATGTTGTAGTGAATAAGCAAAAAGGACCATCCTGGTATCTTAGGTTGATTCTGTTTGTGGCAATAATTATTTACAAGTGACAGACTTTTATTTATATAAAGTTAAATTATAATTTATTTGGTTAACTTAATTTGTAACTTTTAATCATCAATGGTGATGGATTCCAATTTTTGTTTTCCTGTCGGGATGATGCAGTTATAATAAAAATATTGCCAATTCTGTTTTCCAGTGGGGATGATGGAGTTTTAATAAAAGAAAAATACAGAAAGCTTCAAAAATACAGAAACTACAGAGAACAACTTGAAAATGCGAGGATCAACTTCCATATCTTCCTGTTCTTTGTGCCAAATTTTCTTGATCTTCTTGCTAATGATCAAACATCCTGGATTATTATTCCCTAGTAGTGAGGAGAGTGGTTGAATAATCTCAACTTTTAAGGTCCGCGCAGGAGGCAACAAGAGTATTACTCCCTCTACTCCTTATTTTAAGGCATTTTGACTTTTCCCTAAATTTTACTTATGGATCAAAAAAACTTTAAAATATTTAGTAACAATCAAGAGAACGTAACGAGTACAAAAATATATTTTTACAGACTTTTATCAATTAAGAATATGTATTAGATGAAACTTAAAACAAATCGAAATATCTTATAATAAGTAGCGAGTGTGACTATGATGCCTCCTTAATTATAAAATGAAGATATTAAGGCATTCTGGAAACTTGGGTGAGAAAGGAAAAGTGGCTCGGAAATAAGAATTGTGTAATGGGGAAGAGCTGCATGACAGACACGATAGGAGTAAACGTGGCATTCCAACACCATAATACAGCCGTTTTGTAATCCAGTTTTCATCAAGAAATGCCCGTCATCTATGAAGTCCCAAAGAACAATAAACCATCTTTTCATCTTCAGGCATTAAAAGAGAGATCCAGTGACAAGGAATAATCAAAGGAGGTGATAAGGTTGGGAAAGGGATAAAGAAAAGTTGGGCGAAAAAGGATGCAAAGCGTGACGGGGAAGGTGGAAAATGCAGCTGCAGTGGCAAAGGAGAAAGCAGAGAGCTTCAAAGCCACGGATCAAGAGAAGGTCTGTCGTCTTTAGCTAATTCCTGTTTCATCGTTAATTTGTTCCTTTCATATATACTACCTCATAGACAGGTTGTTACTCTTTTAATAATCGTGTATAGGCAGAGAAAGCTGCAGCGATAACAAAGGAAGAGAGACAGATTGCAGAAGAGCGGAGGAAAGTGAAGGAGTATGAAGCCAAGATTAAGTTACATGAAACCAAAGCGGAGATCATACAAGATAAGCTTCTTCATAATCATCCTCATCATGGCAGGCGGCGGCGGCGGCGGCCACCACCTTGGCCATGATCCTGCCCTGATCGGACCAACTGGGCTCCACCATTATCATGACCCAGCAGCTGTTGGAACCAACGCTGCACCTGCGACTGCTGCGCCCGTTAATCCAGTATAACTGGACTCCCGTCTTCGACTAATTATTCTCCGGCGGCGGGTGGTATGGGTCACACCTATCCTCATGGACATCATCACTACCCTTAGCTGGCTAGCTTTTGATAGTTGGTTAGTTTTGCAAAATTTCATTATAGTTTTGATTTGGAGTCTACTCTTGTGTGTATGTTCCCAAGTACTCTAGAACTGATGTTTCAGGACTAGACTGCACGAAATTATATCTGGTTAGAGACGGAGTAAAGAGAAGCGCGTCCGACGGCAGTAAGTTGAATTTCGGAAATCTGTAAGATAGATTCAGATCTCGGAAATCCGATATATATGTGTCTAATATGATTTTTGGATAGATGTATGTTCGTGTATGAGGCTGAATAATTAGATTTTTGAAATCTGACTTTTTAATATTAATCTCTTAATATAAATTAATTGAATTTTTCGATTTCGAAAATCTGATAAATGTATTTTTGGTAAAAAAAAAAAAGAAAAAAATTAGACTCTCCACTTAAAATTTAATTAACTCTTTTTCTGAACTGTTATATGTTTTCATTTGGCTAATGGAGGAGGCAAAATGCACTGGCGGATTTAGGAGGGATCGTGGCCCTCGCTGGTACTACCTTAAAGCATTATTATATATATTTAATTTTTGAGTGAATTTCAAAATGGATCATTGAACTATTATGTAAGTATAGATCATGAATCAAATTATTTGTATAACATGTCACCTTATTAAGCAAAAAATTTATCTCAGATTATTCTGTTAATTTTGGCCGTTAAATAATAAAGAAAATTTATTTTTCACGTGCTTTTCGGTTCAGGGGTATTTTTGTCATTTTGTTATTTTTAAAAATTTTTTTTGAAAAAATTATTTTTTTTATTTTTATTTTTTTTACAATTTTTTTATTTTTTTATTTTTGTCATTTTAAATTTTTTATAATTTACCTATTTTCTAAAATACTATTTTAATGCCCTGAACTTTGCATCTCCTACAATTAGGTCCAGGGCGTGACACAAGAATACAACAGCCCAATTGTAGAGGTCGGTCCAAGAAGAGCATGTTTTGGTAGCCCGTGTAAATCTGGTGGAATAGTCCAAAACATGGACAAGTGAAGATCTTCGAGAGCAAAATACAAAAGAAAATAAAGATCATCATAAAAAGGAAAAAGTAGTACTACAGAAAGAAAATGAAGATCATAAAAAGGAAAGCGACAAGTACAATTGGAGTGGAGCCATTGGCCACAAATACAATAATGGGTTCCACACCAAGAGTGGTCGGCAATCATAGTCTTCAAATCTATCCACAATTTTTCTGATTTTCAGTCTTCAATTTCCACCAAACCTGTTAACTAATTCAAGAAATTACGTATTCCTTCAGAGGAAACGTAAGCAGAAAACATGGACAAGTGGCGCGCATGTGTACACGGCCCCTAATCAGTTCAACGCTTGTTTAGACTTTTAAGCCCCTTTTCCAGCATAATTCCAGGCCTTTTGTACCAAAAGTATGACTGAATTAAAGGAAGAAAATAGTCATTATTGAAGTTTTCCGATCAATATGAATCCATCATCCATGTTGTAAAGTTTATTAAGAGCAAATTCAAATACCAATCCCGCTTTTAGTTTTAGAAACAACAATATATGGTAATGGGCTAAATTACATTACAATAATTATTATTGTTGACAGGTATGCACAAAAAATAACAAATTAATCTGATTACGATTGACTACAGTAAAGCGCAAGTATCATCAGGGTGAAGGAAAAACACAATGGAAATGATTTAAGCGCTTTCCATGATTAATACATAATGTTTGTATAGTTTGCGCTCTAAAAGCATGCAACTTGTTTTGTAGTAAATGATTTTCAACATATAATTAGATAACTAAATTTGCGACTCTTAATAAATCAACTAAAGTTTTGTAACACATCGCAACTTCAAAAGTTAAAAAAAAAAAAAAAGTTACAATACTAGAACCCCATATGTACATGGCAGCAACACCGTATCATATACTAGGTATTATTACTATCATTATCAGCTCGGCCGACGATGATCAATCATTAATCACCTTTGTTTACCAATCCTTTTTCATCAAATAAACCAGCTTTCAAGAAAGCTTTCCTGATACTGAACCAAAACAAGCAACAAGACGATCAGCGCCAACACGCCCCACGGCGAACTCCCACCGTCGGAATACCCGAGCCTGGCCATCCTCCGTTGCCGATCCCAGGGGGACCCACCCCAGAGCATCCTCTCTGGGCTTTCCACGGAAGACAACAACTTGACAGCAAAGATGAGGACCAAAGGCACGGCGATTAAGACCCAGCCCATGCTTTCTTCGGTGGCCTCAACCACCGATTCGTACGAAACGTACCATTGAAGCCCAAGAAAGAAGAAGATCACGCCCAGCAACAGCAGCACCGGATACGGCAACGGATACAGCGAAAACGTGGTCACCACTGAGTCAACTGGCCCTCTTCTGTATGGTGAATACATCTTCTTGTTCTTCTTCTTTAAACTGCGATCTGATGATCTGGAACCCAAAAAAAGGAAAAGAAATGTTCAGAGACTTTAAATGGTTTGGTGGGTGATGAGTGATGATCAGTGTGTGTGTGTGTGGGGTTAAAGGCAATGAATTTGGGGGAGGTGTCCAAAGTAGTGATAAGAAAAAGTCTTAATTAATGGGTGAAAGTGAAGTGAAAGAAAGGTGTTTGTTCGTGAGTGGGGATTGTTTTCTTCTCATTCCTCTTTTGTTTTTTATTTTTTTTAATGCGATTAGACTAATTTTTATTAGTGGGACTTTTTCCTATTATAATATACGTAAGAGAGTAGAGTATAACTAACCTTTCGATATTTTTGAGGAAGTTTATTAACTACTCCATCCGTTCTTTATTATAAAGTATTTTTATTTATCTTAATTTTAATTATTATATTAAAAAAAATTAAAAACTATATTTACACATTCATTATTTTTTCATAATTATTAAGAAATATTTTTAAGATTTTTTTTAATTAAAAAAATATTAAGTGAAATGTTTGACAAATGAAAATACTTTATAATAAAGACACGAATTATTATATGTAGAGAATATTTTGAAGGAGCAAGGTCACTTTGATGAGGGCGAAACTCATCAAGCCCTTTTATTAAAAACAACAGCAGATGATGATCAATTCAATATGAGATGTTAGAGAGCACGTGTAATAGGAATGTGCACGAATTAGTTCAAACTGGTCAAATCGGTTAATTTGGATCGCGATTTGGTTTTTGGATCGGTTTCAAAGCTCTATTTTGAAACCGACGGTTTCAAAATTTTAAAATCGGATAGAACGGTTTAGTTCACAGTTTCATGTTCAAAATTCATTGGCTAAACCGGATCGGACCGTTTATAATACTAATTATATATATTATAGAATTCTTACATATGTAGAAATGTGTTGTATTAGTTAGAAGTTGTGACATAGTAGACTTGGTTAATTCAATATCATGTTTAGTCATAGTTTCCAGTTTTGATTCCTTTAAACTTCTCTTTTTCGGGTTTTTTTTTTTGCCTTATATATATATATATATATTTCTTTTGGATTTCAAAAGCTCTCTTCCTGCGTTTTTTTCTCTTTTTTCAGTATTTTTTTGGTTGCCTCTCAAAAGTTTTTCCAACGTTTTTTTTTTTCTTTCTTGAAAGAATATTTTTTTTGGACTTACAATAATTAAACCGTAACTATTGGAATTCCTGTTTCTTAAACTATTAAAGCAAAGCCTACCTAAATAAAGTAAGAATCTTAAGAGATTCAAAGTTGTGGACCATTAATTTTTTTCATATAATGAATTGAAATTTGTAGAAAAAGTCTTTGCTTTGGTCCAAATTTTGCCTAAAACAAAATAAAAATAATTTTTTTAAAAAAAAGCCAAAATGAGAACAAAACCGTGAAACCGTAAAAACTAAATTATTGATTAGGGATTGGTTTGGTCCAGTTTTTAAATGTGGACTGGTTTGGTTTTGGATTCAAATTTTCCAAACCGTTCTAACGGTTTGGTTTACGGTTTAGACTAAAAACCGGACCAACCGGACTGTACACACCCCTAACGCGTATATATTGACTATATCATGTGATCACCGAATCTTGTAAAATGAAATGGAATGACACATTTGTTTTTGGATTACCCTCGCTTCTGTCATTAACCACATCATCATTAGAATGTGTTAAGGTATTTCTTTATAAAAAAAAAAGAAGAAAAGAAATACAATAATTAACCCAAAAAGTACCATAATTTCGCCTGCTATATTCGTTCGCCATCATAAGTTCAAAAATAACTTAAATCCCATCAAAAGTTGAGTTTCTGTCTTCTTTCACTTTTCCGTCCGTTCACCGTCCAAAAAGTAACAGAAGGCTGACTTTCACGTGCCTTTCTAGAAGCGGCAATTTTGTCATTTTGGATCTTAAGATATTTTTGAACTTATGGTGGCAAACGAATATAGCATGCGAAGTTATGATACTTTTTGGGTTAATTATTGTTTCTTTTATTAATTTAGATTTGTATATAGTTTCATTTGTTTTATTAATTTATTATTTTTATTTTTATTTTTATTCTCTTTTCTTTCTTGTGTCAATATTTTTGTAGCATATTTGAGCTATTATGGAGAATTTTAACTATGGATATGGAGAGACTCCGTATTATGGTTATGATTCTGAATATGGAGACTATCCTACATATCAAGAAGATCCGTACTCTTGGAACAATTTGTTTTCTGATCCTTACTATGGTTGTGATTATCAAGAGTATTCATTTGATGCTGGGTACAATTCTGGTTTTGAGAGTGCGTATATGAGTCCTAAGATGTTGTCATGTTTGGAGAGAATTGATAAATTACTGGATGACATCGAGAAGAAAAATGCTTCATATTTCTCTCAAGAGGA